CTGTTGATCCTTGAGTGCTTCAGCAGCATGACTGATGTATCTCTTGTTGTTTTACATGCTAGTATATGGATGCCTTTCAGTCTTGTCGCTGATCATTTTCCTCCAATCGCACCTTTCGCGCATCGACTGCACCACTGGTTGACCGTGTCGTCTTGGTCGTGTTCGCACTGACGCTGATCACTTCGTGGACGATGTTCCCGTTCTCTCAAGAGCGACCATTCAAGGTGTTCTTCCAGCAACAGGTGGAGATTCGTACCTCTTCGGCCGTCCAATTCCATAGCACTCCGTTCGCTCTCAAGATCAGGCAACCGGGCCCGTAGGCGCGGCGAGTGTATCCTCTGATGTTCTCAACCCGGACGTCCGCGTTTGGACTGTCTTGACCGGGTTGCCTGGCTACGTGGACCGTCGCCTCGTCCCGGAATTGCCGTCTTCGTGGGGAAGGACGTTCAGTGCGAGACGGACACGGTTCTCAAGCCTGGTCTTCTCAGCTGCAAATGGGAGAGCGACCTTGTTCCCTCACCTGGCGGCACAAACACCAGCGGAGACTACGACCAGTGGCTCGACGTCAAGACGACACGGCTCAACGAGACCAATGGGATGGTGTTCGTGAAGGGTACGAATACGCGCGGGTGCAGGCTGTATTTCGACAAGCCTATCACGTACTACAAGATACACGATGTCGTCGACGCGGGTGCGCCTGGGACCAAACGCGACCGGGGAGTTCCTCCCGGATACGAGATGCCGAAAGAAGGGATCAGGGACCTCAAGCTATGGAGCCGAGAGTGGGAGAGGGGCTTCCTGGTTGAGGTGGGCTGGAATGCCGACTCGGAGGATGGCTTCATGGATGACACGATGGGAGGGCGTGCGGCGTGCGAGTGGCGGAGTACGCGAGCGCATCAGACGGTCAGGGTCAGGGTGGACTCATTCCTGCACTGGAAGAAGTGAAGGCGTTCCTGCCGCTGTGGGCGCAGCCGACTAAGACGACGGACGGTTTGGTGGAGGCCTGGATGAGGTTCTCAATTTGAGTGAGCACGCATATGCATATGTTATGTCTTGACGATGACTGGACACTCTCGTGATTAGTAAGGACAGCACTTCCCTGTACTTCTACTATCGGCAACGAAGTTTGATTGGTTTCGCAGGCTGTACGACTCGCCGGGGAATGTATGATGCGAAGAAGGTCGGCCTCGGTGGAGCATGGGTATTGTTCGCTTTGCACACTTTGGGGTGTCTCTTGACTGATCGCTTCCACCGGTCGTTGCGCGCACTTCGAAGTGCGTTCATTTCAAATATTTAAAAAAAAGTAGGGTCCCTCCAACCGTCAAACTACGCCGCAGCATCCATAACGTGAACGATTGTTGCCGCTAATAGTCTATGAAATTACACTAGGCTCGCAAGGCACCTTGTGTGCTACGGACACTCATGAGCAATCCCAGGGTGTTGGTATGACTGATATTCTCGAACGTCATCCTTAGCTGTCGCCTCCGACTTATGTGGCATGTTCGCCTTCTGTGCATTTCTGTGTCATGCCAATGTTCCGGAAAGCGTCGCGATATTCGGTTCAGCTTCATCACCTGATCATATTATCATGCACTGTCGTCATGATGCATGGGCCCTGCGAGGGTATCTAAGGAACACTTGGCCAAGGGTCAGGTTTACCGAGTCTACGAAGTCGCCCTCATATTCTGCACTATGCTCCACTCACAGGTACTTGTAGCGCTGGTTTCACTCGCCACTTCCTTTGCCGCTGCAAGCGCGCAGAACCTGGTCATTTCCAATGACGACGGGTGGGCGACTGCACAGATTCGTGCCCAGTTCGATGCGCTGACTGGCGCAGGGTATGACGTGAGTCTAAGGGTCTTTGTGGTCGTTCGGTCGACTGATGTCCAATTATTCAGGTCGTATTGTCTGCACCTGCAATCAATCAGTCAGGGAAGGGCTCGCAGACGACGACACCTCAAGTACTTACCGAGCCATGCCAGTTCGATACTTGCCCTGTCGGGTCGCCGCCGTTTGGTTTCAATGCCAGTGACCGTGAGTCTACCCGGATGTTTGAGTAATCTGTGCATTCTCTGAGATGGAGATTTAGCTCGTTTGAATTACGTGAACGCGTACCCGTTAGTAACCTCCGGAAACGATCTGAACACCGTCGCTGAGGAATGGTACTTAGGGTCGACGCAGCAAACTACGGAATCAACGTGCTCTCTCTGAGTCCGCAGCACTTCGGTGCTAGGCCGGATTTCCTTGTGAGCGGTCCTAACATCGGACGTACGTGGCTTTCACATCATCCTGGACAGTGGCATTGCACATCTGACATGTCCGATGCATAGCTAACGTCGATATCCTGACGCAATACTCGGGCACTGTGTAAGTGCAGTACCGCCCGAAATTATCTTCCATGCTGACCTGCATGACAGGGGAGCTGCATCCGCTGCCTCGTTGCAAGGCGTCCCAGCGACGGCCTTCTCAGGTGTCAGCGGGGCACAAGTGTCCTACACCACTCTCACCTCGGAGCCAGACGCGAACTCTACGCTCGCCGCCCGCATCTACTCCCAGCTGACGGTGTACTTCGTCGACACGCTCCTCGGCTCCTGCGGCCCGCCTGTCCTACCCCCTGCTGTAATAGTCAACGTCAACTACCCCTCAATTACGGATTGCGATGACCCGAGCGACTACAAGTGGGTTTTTGCGCGCAACCGGAAGAACGACACCGTGGTCGACGTGCAGACCTGCGGAAGCGACCACTTACCGAGCGAGGTGGAGGTGATCCTGAGCGAGGGGTGCTACGCTAGCGTGTCGGCCATCAGTGCTCAGACGAAGACGGATGTGGATGCAGCAACACAGGGCGTAGTCATGCAGAAGCTGTTGGGATTGCCTTTTAGTTGCTTGAACTGAGACCGGAGCTGTGGAAACACATGGTATATCAGCTTGTAGCTACACTGTCGAAATACAGAGTTTTTTATATGCTTCGGCTTATCAGATCGGCTGTGTACTAGCCCGTACTGGCGTCCGAGTCCACTGGAAGTTTGTGATGGCTGAGCACGTGCCGGGGTGAGAGAAGCGCCCAGCGTTCAGTATAATACCCAAAAGAGGAAATTGAGGCTCAAGTAACCGGCACGCCACGGCGAGTCATTCTGACTTGATTCTGACCAGTGCTCCTCCCCGGCTTCTCTCAGAGAAAGTTCAGTATATCGTCGTGACCGGAAAAGTCTTGTGGCACGCGACGAACGCTACGCTCTTATCATCGCGGGCCGTCGTGTTCGTGGTGAGTCTACAATGTCAATATTATTCGGAAGATCCACGGACCACCATATCCGCTCAGATAGCCGTCTTCAAGTTCACTGGCAGGGTCTCGATCACTAAGGTTACGCGATATTGCTCTCCTCTCCAGTGTCTTTCTAGTCAGAAATCCGGCGATTCATCACATGTCACCTGTCAACGCACACTGTCAGGGAGTCACTGAACAATTGCTACAAACTCCACGACTCAGTTTCACTCAACGTATCCGTCCTCCTCCACGTATCGCGCCCCTGCCTGGATATATCACAGAACGTCTGCCGCTCGAGCTGATCCACCAGATCATCAACAAGATTCAGGATGGGCAAACCCTGCTTGCGTGCATGCTTGTATGTCACGCCTGGCATTCGTATAGTGTTCGCCTCGTCTACCAGGCGATATATTTCTCCAATCATCGAAAGCTCGACAGCTTGGCTCGTCTAGCGCGAGAACATCCTTCCGTCCGTGATCTCCTCGTCTTCACTCGCGCCATCATTCTCGCCCAATTTCAGCGCGACACGAAGTTCTCGCACGTCTTTCCGCTTGTCCTCGGGAATTACCTGCCAAACTTGGAGAGCCTTTCTTTCCTGAGTTGTCTTTCGGGACCACTCCACCCGAGCTTCTTCCTATCGCTCCCGCAATTCACCTACGTAACGAGGCTCATGTTATACACATTCTCGCTGGGCAGCTTTCGAGACTTCCAACGCATCGTCTGCGCGTTCCCCCGGCTCACACATCTTCACGTAGCGGAGGGAAGGTTTGTCCCGCCAGGACCGCCCCTGGGAGACCCTCCGTTTCTCAAACCTGCAGCACAACCTCGCATCCCCGCCCTGAACAAACTAGCAGTTACCAAATTGGAGTCAAACTTCCTCGCCGTTTTCGTGGAGTGGGTCGTGTCTACTTGCAGTGCCATCCGGTCCCTAGACGTGTGCCAGGACTTCGTTGCGGACCAGCGCCCCGTTGACGAGCTTCTTGCATGTGTTGCTCCAACCGTGCAGCGCTTATGCTTAACAGATTCTGGGCAAGGTATGTCGAATACTTCATACGTATTTGGACTGGCGCTGTCGTATTGAAGCATCAACGCTTCAGGTGCGGGATGTCCATACCGGTTTTCTGAATTCTCGGACCTTCGCCTTCTGGACATCACGATCAAGACCTCGTCGCTGACACCGTCTGACGTCGTGATAGCTGGCGAGCTTCAAGGCATCCTATCCTCTATTTCGAGTACTCAGCTCGAGCGATTATCCATCTATCTGGACATCACCACCGTGGTCGCCGGCTCCGACCATGACATGGACCGAATCACTCGCTCTCTCGCTGGTGCACGAGATGGAATTTCCGACGTGCTCGCTGGACCGCCATTTGCTCGGCTGACATCCGCCAACATCGTGCTTTACTTCAGCTACGATCGACGGCGCTGGGATGCGGTCGCGGTCGCGCGCGCGCTGAAGACCTTGTTGGAACATACACGAGCGTTCTTCAGCCCCTGGGGCGCTCGCGGCATCCTCGACGTATCTTGTAATACTCCAAACCACCCGCGTACTTGACATCGCCCGTCTGACCCGCGCAACAGTCGATCTTCCCTGTAGCTATGACCAGCGGTTCTAGGACAGTGGCGCAGCCCAATCCACATCAGAAACTTTGCAGGAAATATGCCCCAGCCTTCTTCGACCCCTGGGATGCTTACGGCATCCTCGAAATGCCTTGCTGTTCAACAGCCTTTCTTCAAGTTGACTTCAACACAACGATTACTAGCTCGGATTGACACCTTTGTTGGATTTTTACCGAGTAACGAGACGCATACAGGTGCGGCCATATTAAGCTTCATGCAGAGTCAGTCTGAAAGTTATCAGAAACACCAACGCCGGTGGAGACCACTCGAGGAGGAGGGCTTCCACGAGGCGCTCGAGGACACGATCACGAGACCGAATCCCGTGTGGGCGCCTAGGCGCGTCCTTCATCCCTATCCGGTGGCCCTTATCCTTCAACGTGAGGTGGGTTCTACAACAACCATGCCTTGTCTGTCGTATGGCTCGAATATAGCGCTCACCTTGTATAGATGATACCTGAGGTATCCAGTATCCGTGGTGACCGGTCGCCTTGTAATCCTCAAGGTGGTGAACGCGACATAACAACGAGTTCGTTATGCGCCACAGCGGCCATGCTTCTTGACGCCGGAATAAAAGACGTATTGTGGCCCTACACGTTTCTCTCTCGATCCCGTTATCTGTCTCAATCTCTGCCCCTCTGCAAGCCTCCACCGACGTCCTCAAGCCTCTCCCTCAAGTTGCATCCTGCCTCATTCCCAAGCATTTCCCTTCCCAAGTCGTTTCCCGCGCTCAACGCTCAACACCTCCCGCTCCAAGACCTCTCCGCCTCCCGCGCAACCATGTCCGCGTGGCCCTACGCTGATTCAATCTTACTCGACCCCACCCTCCCCGCCACACCCACCTGGCTCCCCGAAGGCACGACCCGCGCCGAGGTCCGCCAGCTCCTCACGTTCTTCCTCTCCCACCTCGCCTCCGCGGTGTTCCCCTCGCGCTTCCCGCCCGACAAGACGCCGGGCCCGATGCGGTCCAAGATCCCGCCGGAGCTGCGCCCGGTGTACAGGGCCCTCCGCGCATGGCTGCGCGGGTGGGCGGGCTACCTCGAGCAGCACTACCGCTCCCCAGCGGAGATCGCGGAGGATAATTGGCATTGGGGCGCGGAGCTGCGGTGGTGGCCCGGGACGCCGGAGCTGGCGAGGCTGGCGCACCAAATGCCCTTTCGGGTGGTCCCGAGGCAGCCGGGGTGCGTGCGCTTTGTCCTTCTGTGCTGCGGGGTGCGTGCTGACGATGGTGTGGCTGTGTTGTGCGGATAGGTGGGTGCGCGTGTCGTGGTACTACGACATCAAGGAGATGTTTCCCGACGCGAGGGTGCACCCCGAGATGTACGTCCACCTACAGCTCGAGCCCGACGGGAGCCTCAAGATCGGGGACGTGCGCCGCAAGTGGGGCATGGAGAACATGTGTGTGAGTGGCACCGTTCTCTGCCACACGAAGCGCGTATGTATGGGTGGATATCTGACACGTCTTCCGTGCAGTTCGTCGAGTGGAACTCACAGAGGATCTCCCTGTGGCCCTCCGCGGACGACGAAACCCTGAGCGCCATCGCCGTGCAACACCTTCTGTCCACGCGCGAGCAGTATCCCTACCTCCGCGTCATCGGTACGTCCTCCCCTCTCTCCCCATACTCCAACCCCAACCCCAACTCACCTTCCTCCCACACCGCAGAACGCCCCTCCGCCGAACGACGCACCGTCCGCCTGCACCGCGCCAACCTCCTCAAATCGCACAACCGCCCCCGGCCCCTGCGCATCTACCTCCGCCTGCGCCACATCTACCTCCTCGCCGCCAAGTTCTGGTTCCGCCTCCACTACCGCTTCCTCCGCCTCCAGTACCCGTTCCTGCTCAGCACGCCCGTGCGCGAGCGGCTCGCGGTCACGTGCGCGACCGTGGTATGCGTCGCCGTGCTCGCGCTCGCGGTCTGCGCGGTGTGGTGGGCGTGGACGGCGGCGATCGCGGAGCGTGTGGGGTACGTGTCGGGGAGGGTCGTGGACGGAGTTGTCGCGTGGGCGGGGGAACACCCGCTCGTCGGGCTCGTGGCGGGGTGGGCGTCGGCGGCGGTGGGCGCGCTGCCGATGCGCGCATTCTGGGCGGCGACGCTCCCGGTGTGGGGCCCATTCTGGCTCGTGAAGAGCGTGCTGATGGGCGTGTGGTGGCTGGCGACTGCGCTGCTCTGGACGGCGATGGCGGGTATGAGATGGGGCGCGTTGGGTGTGCGTGTGCATGTGAAGGCGGCGGCGGCGGCACTGCAATCGTGCTTGGTACGGGAAAATATAGCCTGATTGTAGACGCGAAGGGTATATGGTAGGCGTGTGTGGTCGTCCTTTGGGTCTCCGTCTTGCTCTGTCGCTGTGGTGTTGACTTATGAATTGTTATATGCTTGTGCCCTACGGAGGCACGGACCTAGTTGTATGCCTCTCCTGTCATTGTACTCATTGTATGTTCTCCTGTACTTGCTACTATGCCTATGCTCTTCCTTGATGAATTACATGACATCTATCCATTCAACCAAGACAAGCATTGGGGAGCCTATTGGAGCATGCCCGAGCTTCATTTAGGTGCTCGTGGCATCCTGGACCTTAAGACCCAGCTCGTACCCATGGATTTAAGTTCACATACGCCCGCTCTGCGGAGCGCACTGGCAAATACGAGCCGCGATACTTCGGTGATTGCTTGGACCGCAACATGCATATGAATGCGAGGGAATGTAATCTGTTTGAAGCGAACATAGACATTCGAGGTGGAGCACCAGGATGTCAAACTTGATACCTAAGGCCTTCAGATATAACGGATCTTTTCCCGCGGCAAGTTGTGATCACCGCCCCTCAAGGACTTTCGCTCCTCCGATACCGTCCTCCGACACATCGACACTATACATGAATTAATGACGACAACACAAAAATATAGGGCTTACGGCCATGTCAGCACGTAGAACGACCACTCGCTGATGTAGACGGTAGATGTTGTACAATAAGCCACAGATCATCGCCTTGACCTGCTGGGCCATCGTCGGTGCGCAATGAGAACACAGCCTGAGGCCGGTGGCTTGGACCTGCACACTAATTGGGCTTCAAATAATATTAATTGTCCGCGTCACGAGGAAATCACCTACCTCGCTAGTGCTTGTCGAGCTTGGGCAATATAATGAGGGTCGTGTAGCAGCCCCTTCTCAACTGTAGACTCCAAAAACTCCTCGGTGCCAATGTCTCCTCGAGATCCCTGCACTGGGATGATGGGAATTGCGACGACAGGACAGATGAGAGAATGAAGGTCACGACGACCAGCTCGAGACCTATCCCCAAGGCCTTGCTGAACCGCAGTTCAGCGGACATCTCGGACCAACGTGTTTGAAGGCGGGAGAGGGATGCTAACCGAGAGAGCGTCAAGATCGTGCACGGCTTCCGATGCGATGAGACTGAGAGTTGGCCGTCCGAACCTCAGCCGTGGGGCTACTTGAGCACATACGACGACGGCCGGCAACCACTGCGCAAGAACATGAGGCTTACGCTCCGTAAAGGTGTGGTTGTTGAGCGTGATCGGCGTGTTTCTGCACAGCCTCATGGCCCGTGCGCAAGCTTGACAGAAAGAAGCCTGCACGTACTTAGCGCCGGGTGAGACGTGTGAGTCTGACGTCAGGCATCAGGACAATTGCGCTGAAGTCTGAGTCTGATTTGAAGGCCCCTGCGCTCTCCCTGCACGTCGGGCTCGTCAGTAATACTCCTTGAACATCGCCCATCCTAAAACAGATCTGCGAAACGGTAGTTTTCAGCCTCAAGAACGAGAGCGAATCGCAGCGGCGCACCTGACATTTAAGTCGACTGAGCCTGATATGAAGAAGAGATGCCTCGAGATGCCCTGCTAGCGTAGGTTTGCCTCGTCTACTGCCGACAGGCGGAGGAAACGTCCTTCCATTAGACAAAGGGGACCGGACGATCGTTGGGTATATCGGAGAGGCGAAGTGAAATTGATGCCTCGGTCTATGTTGCGGGGAGGGGGCGGAGACACCGGACAAAGAACACCCCATAGGCAGGTGAGTAACAGAGAGAACCGCATGATACGTTATGCTCAGAACAGGAAGCGAACCCGCGAGACACCCATTGATTCCTGGTAGAGCTGTACAATTTGAATACAATGTGAATAATGATACCTGTTGAGCCGATAGTTGTGACAAAGCGCCGAAAGCAATGATGACCAGCCGAGAGGTGGAATGGGGGTCTCGTGTCGTGAGCGAGCAACCTGGCAGAAACCTAAGGTCAGTGCCGCGGCGGATGTATGTATAACGCGACTGACAGAAGACTATGCTACCAGTTTCTTCATGCGATAAACACCTTCTCTTGCCATGTGAACAGCATTGTTCAGCATCCATTCAGGAGTGCTCTCGCCACGCGGCCGCAACCTTGCGCGCCATTGGACGGGGTCTACCGTAGACCGGATGCCCTGGAAAAACACCACCGCCTCGTCGGCAGTCAGCCGTTCTTCGGGTATCTTCCGAGTCATGCCGTCGATGAGAGACTCGAGCATCTTGAAGTCGTTGTATTTCTGCGGATTTTCAGCTCATGGGACTGCATCCACGCCACCTCCGTACGCTTACCTGGACGAAGTGCTTCCTATACAGATTTCCGAGTATGAATATGTCGACCTTAAATGCATTGTATGGAGCGCGGTCAGATAGCTCCGGTACCTCCTTGTCCCTTCCATCCAGACCCAAGACCAGAGGGGGTGCACCGACGGGGAAGAAGGATGAGATTCCGAAGTCGATGTAATAGTATCGAACAGGGTGGTCCAGGCGGGAGCGTGGTACGATGTCATATATCGCATCCGTGGACAGGTCCCGGCTGACTGGGTGGTGGCCCTCAGGGTATAAAGGTCGACCGTCCATCATGATGTTAGCGCCTGCACAGTCTCTGTATGACTTAGATGAGTGGACAGTCGCACAGCAAGAGACACTTACCGATGCGCTACTCGATGCCGATGCAGAAACGATATCCCCTTTAGATTTGGTCAACGAATCCGCAACGCGAAGACGCTTGTGGTGGAACCTACCTCGAGTGTCTGGCTGATGAAGTCGATGACTTCGCCAAGAGCCATGAATGGAGGATCATCAAACGGGCGTAGATATTGCATGATCATCAGCATCTTCTTCGGCTCGAAAGGGTCTGGCAAGACGTCAAAGACCGATACACAGTGATTGTGAGGATCTTTGGCCAGAGTCGCAGAGGAAAGGTATTGAGCAATGGCAACTTCTCTCGTGTCTTTCTTCACCATCTTGATCGTTACTACCGCACCGTCTCTCTTTCGTACGGCGTCCATGATGTGGTAACGCTAATAGATCCGGGCATCTGGAGACCGCTCGAGCAGACGAAGGACTAGACATACCTCGCTCATTATCGAGTCCTCGCAGAATAATGGGTTGAGCCTGGTTCCCAGCCATGACGGGCTCCAGTTCGCGTGATAGCGTGGTCTTAGTGAATAACCGGCAGAGAACAGACAAGATTCGCGTGCACTCCACCAGCGTTCGTCCGGAGAAAGCGCGTAGCTGCCTTCACGCGTTGATTTCTCGAATATCTGAGCGGCTTCCTCTGTGAGATAGACATAGTAAGGCAGTTTCGATGGTTTCCTCGCAGAGCCGTCGGGGTAAGCATTGTCTGGAGGGCTGATGGACATCAGTACCGATGAACAACTAGCTGGCCGGCAGTGGTGGCTACACGCCCGGATCTCGATCGCTGGCACTTGCCGTGCAACCATGTGACTGCAATAGTATTGGGGAGCAACTACCATACTCGAATGGCGGCATCGTTGAGCTTGCGTATGATGCCTGGCACGCTGCCGCATCCCTTCTTGGGCCCTTCTCCATTGTCATTTTCTACGGGGCAGTGCTGATCTGCTACTGTTTTTGGTTAGCGAAGAGCGATCTTGCCATGCGGTCTCCCGATGTTCATCTGGCACCTCATGTTACCCTTGAGCGCGAGGTGGAGGCTGCACTGGATATAAGTGCAGTCGCCGGCTGCTCAGGACTCGGACGGTCTCGCGATCTCCTCGTACCGAGCCACTCCGCGCGACCAGCTCTCAAGGGACCTCAACACGATGTCTGACAGTTTCAACATCGACACATGGACGTGGATCACTGGTGCCATCAGCCTCGCCACTGTGTTACCTCTACTCTACACTTTTGTCATGACCCAAATCCCCTTGACGAAGGTGAAAGCTCTCGAAGAGGCCATAGATGATACGAAGGATCTCCTCGACTCTGTGATCGAAAGAGGACTACTTTCGGATGTGGGTTACATCGCTAAGAGCAAGCTAGCTCTAATCAGGTATGTTACCGATATCTTGATCGACTTTGTTGCCTTACCTGATGGCCATCGTTGCCTAGCATTGAGGGGCATGCGATTGACTTCAAACTATCCGCATACTCTGCAAAGACCCTTGGACAACAAATCAAGGGCATGGTCACGGGCGTGTCTTACGGTATCTATCGATTATGCCAGCAAGTCAACAAACTACGCGCCGACATCTCTGTAAGTCTGGTGAATCTTGTTCGTTCTCTCTATGCTAATCTATATGTACGCCAGGAAACGACATCTCAAGCACAGATGCGTCTACAAAGCGAGGGGCGCGCGCCTTTGCTCTCGGCCGATGACGCCACATCGACGACTGCACCGTCACCCCGTACCCAGGAAACACCAGAGCTCGAAAAACACTCCGTGGATATCGCCGACCTTGACGACCCGTACGTGCGTACTGTGGAGCTATCGTACGAGCAGTACGAGCATTCCGCCCTATTCGACAAGGAAGCTCGATGGTCGATGTCAACAGATACCCGTAAGCACTCGCGGTTACTTGTGCTATGATAATGTCTGATGGCATGCAGAACACGAACACGCGGTCCACTCCGCGGCGGCTGAGCCCAATGCCTGAGCTCGCCGCTACGAGTGGCATCCGTCATACCCGCGAGACAGCCACAGGGCTCTCGCAAGCATTATTGGATTCCCTCTACTATGTGCGTTCGATGCATCATCTCATTATTAACGTGAATCTATCATTAGAATGTATACATCTCTGCTTCGAGAGTAGCATCCTATTTATCTGTCCTGCACAGCAACTGGATGTAGCGATTGTCTTGAACCTCGCGACCTCTAAGTATGTTGTAAAAGGACGACTTTTCCTTGAGATTGCTAGCAGGTCTATCCATGGCTTATTGGGAGAGGTCTCACTAGTCGGCTCTGAAAGGGCTGATTTCGAGTGAATTCTGCTTTTACGATGTCTTGAAGCACCGAGTCATCCAGTAGCCTACGAATACGCAGTCAAATTCGCGGTCAAAATCAGCGAACCCAGGAGGGCGCCTAGATTGTCCGGCGAGATCTCGGCAACCACCGAAGCCGATCATGACTCCCGCCTCGTCCTCCTCCTCCTCCTACGCCTCATCGCTTCTCCTCCTCCTCCTCCTCCTCCTCCTCCTCCTCCTCCTCCTCCTCCTCCTCGTCGTCGTCGTCGTCACCCCTCATCTTCGTCCTGCCTTTTCTGGCTGTCAAGACTCAGGCCGTCGTTGCTACTCTATTGCGCCGATCACGGCGTCCTCAAAAGTGGGTCATGCGTTCGACGGCACTCTGTCCTCGGCGCGAAATCCTGCACGCGTTCTTTGCCAAACCTCGAGCACGACTGTACAGTGACATAGCTGCACGACCTGATTTGCGGTCCTTCTCTGTACAAAGAGAACCCTCCGCTCCGGTATCATCAAAGTCCACGTCGGACCCGATTATAGAGATACCCAAGTCCTCCATCTATGCTCCGGGCGACCCAAACACCGCCGAGCCTATCCTCCGTGACATCTCTTGGACGGTCCAGCCCTTCGAATCCTGGGCCGTTATATCCGCAGGCCACGGTACATCCAAACGCGCTCTATTCGAGTCACTCCTTGGCTCTCGCCGTCTGCACCCGAACCCGCCTCGCGGGATCTTCCCCTTCCTAGGTCACCGACCACCAGAGCACTATGTCCGGTTTGCGGGGAGCACGAGGGGCCAGAAGGGCGGAGAGTTTTTTGACTACACTGCGAGGTACGGTGCAATGCGGGATGGTGACGGGCAGACCCTGCGGGAAACGTACTTTCCGGACTTGGTGGAACACTCTGATGCGGATCACCACCATCATGGCACACCCTCGCGAAAGATTGCGAGGCTCCGACGGCTGGTTGATGAGCTGCACCTCAACCCGCTGCTTGACCTGCCGCTCATTGCGTTGAGCAATGGCCAGACGCGGAGGGCACGTCTTGCGCGGGCCCTCCTCGCGCGACCTGCTCTGCTCATATTGGATGAGCCTCTGAGTGCGTGTGCTCCCCGTCGAAGCTTAGTTTGTGTACTCACGCGCACTGCAGCTGGTTTGGACGTGGAAACGCGAGCCGTCATATCTGACTTCCTCCACCGGAAACACTCATCCACTGAGCCTGATACCCCCCATGTTCTGCTCGGCATGCGAGCCAAGGACCCGATTCCTGACTGGATAACTCACGTCGCGCTCGTGACGCCCGAACAGACTATACGCACGGGCACGACGGAAGAAATGCACGAGGCGATACATGAGCAGCAACACACAGCTGCCGCCATGTCCGGCGGTGGTGCCAAGCACGGCGAGCGGCAGCGCGGCTTCGAACTCGCGAAGATCGACAACCTGAGCGTGACCTACGGCAACCGGCAGGTGCTGAAGAGCGTGAGTTGGACGATCCACGAGAACTCGCGGTGGCACCTGATGGGCGAGAACGGCGCGGGGAAGACGACGCTGCTCGCGATGCTCACGGGCGAGCACCCGCTGTCGTACGCGCAGAGCGAGAGGCTCCAGCTGCTGGGCCGCCCGCGCGCGAGCTGGCCGACGCTCCAGCTCAATACGCGCATCGGGCGCGTCAGCCCCGAGCTGCACGCCGCGTTCCCGCGAAGGCACGGCATGACGGTGTGGGACGTCATTGGGACGGGGTTCGGCGGTGTGTTCGTGCCCCGCGGAAGGATGCGCGTCGGAGTGGGCTACGACACCGCGCAGGAGCTCGAGCCCGGTGGTCTCGAGGAGAAGTGGCGAATCGAGCGTGTGTGGGAGGTGCTCGAGGGCCTTGGGCCGCGCGCGTGGAAGGGGCGCGTGCCCGACGGGTCGTACAGCGCGCCGGAGGACGTCGCGTTTGCGAAGCGCCACTTCATCGACCTCACCCCTGGTGAGCAGGGCATGGTTCTGCTGATGCGTGCGCTCGTGGGACGGCCGCCGATCGTGCTGCTGGATGAGGTGTGGGCGGGGATGGACGAGGGGATGGTGGAGGCGGTCTGGCGGTACTTGGCGGACGGTGCGGGAGGACTGCTGCCGACGCAGGCATGCGTGGTGATCAGTCATTGGGAAGACGAGGTGCCTTGGGCCAAGGCGGACGGGGTCAGGAGACTCTTGTTGAAGGATGGCGTAGCACAGGAAGTCATTGCTTGAACGTCGTGGAGCTATCTCTGCTACGACAATCAACTAGGTCTAAGCCGTTCACAGCTCTCACAGAGCTTGCACAATTTTCCTTCGTGAAGACGGCTCGCAAGGACCTCATGGGCATCTATATAGCATCCATCGTGGTGACTCAACAGTGTTTATTGCTGTTTGCGAGATAGTGGGCGATGGCACGTTTCGCGCAAACGCGATGCCCGACCATCTGTCCCGCATAACTCGCGAATGCGGACACGGATCCCCTTACATGTTTATAGGTGTTGAATATGCTCGACCGAGGGGAGTTGTGCAGCCGGGCTGAGTGCCTGTCTAGCCCATGAAACTAGAAGAATATAAAGAGTGACTGCGTGGATAGGTGTGGTATAACATGCAATGATGTACTAGATGTGTGCCCCATGATTTTTGCGTCAGCAGCGTGTCGTTGAGCGATGCCGAGTGGGCCATCCTGGCGCTCAAATGAAGTGCTTGCCGCGGCATTTGGCGACGACCGTCTCGTTGGAACATTCACTGACGTCTCTGCAGCGTGTTTCTAGATTCAAACCGCCCAATAAATCCTTCAAGCATACCTAAGGCACCAACGACGGTATGTAATGTTGAGCTCAAGCTATCATAATGCAAGTACCCATTAGGATTGCTCGAGCGCCGGTCGGACACCGACCGGGCCCGACATCGCAAGATGACACTGCTACTTACCAGAAAAGACCTGGGGCACACGTCATGGAACATGTCACACCATGGGTATCTTATTCAGTTGTGATCACAGCTCGTTATCCATGTGCTAGGTGTGCTTCTTTGCCCAAGAGGCCCCCTCGCGGACGGTCTTGCACGAATTAAACAAATTCACAGACTAAGTATGGGGTGCAAATCTCCTCATCGAGTACATCAAGAATATATATCCGATGATGGCCGTTCGCCTTCGTGAATCATGCAGGACTAAAAACTGGGGATCGCATTTGTGCGAAACGCGTTTGAAACGCGCCACCGCCAACTATTTCGCAAACGGCAATAATTCAAGCGCCCATGTCAAGCGTTCAATATAAATTCCGAAAATGGTTTAGTGTCCATCCCCGCAGACGCGTTTCCTTGGCGCCTTCGTCGCGCGTCGCTCCTATCGGCCGAAATGTTGTCCCGACAATGTCCCTTCCAACCTGCGGTGCAAACGACATGTCGCATCTTCTCCATTTTATCCACACCACGCAACCGCGAGGTCTGACTCACGCTGGCGTCTCGCCGCGTACTGCAGGGGTTATAAACGCGTGCAGCGAACAGAAAACTATACCTCAGCTTAGGAGGTTCGAGCGCTAACACGCTACACAGTTGACCAGAACGAAGCTTTCACCCTCCTCAGACGCGTCCAACCGGGACGGAAGTACTTTAGTCATGGCGACGTTCGCGCAGAAGACGTTTGACGCGGTGCGGTACGCCGCAGGTACGCGTTTCCCTGATCACCACCTCGTGCGTTCTACTGCACGCTGACATCCGTACCTTAGCGCGTCCTACCTACCCCAAGCAGTTATACGACTTCCTCTTCGCCCACCACGGACGCGACCCGCGCGCGCGATGGGACACCGCGCTCGACTTGGGCTGCGGCACCGGTGCGTGTTGAGGTCCCCTTGTACTTTCTAACTCACCAATCCTTTGAACAGGCCAAGCGACGCTTGAGCTGACCCCCTTCAAGAATGTCATCGGGTCAGACCCCTCAGAGGGCATGCTCGTGCAAGCACGCGAGGTAGTCAAGTCGCGCCCGGAGCTCGACAGGCCGGGGCGGTTCAAGTTCGTACAGAGCGCGGCGGAGGAGCTGGGCTGGCTGGAGGAAGGGAGCGTGGATCTGATCGTCTCCGGTGCGTAATAATCAACGTGATCCAATACTCCGATTCTAAATCGCCGTGGACGGAATGTAGCCCAAGCCGCGCACTGGTTCGACTGGGCCAAGCTCTGGCCCGAAGCCGCGCGGGTCCTCAAGCCCGGAGGCACCCTCGCCGCCTGGGTAAGCCGTCTTTTCGCCTCCGCACCATACGCAGTTGCTCACAGCGCTACCAGGGCTACTCGCAATTCCGACTCCCGCAATACCCCTCCCTCACGCCGCTCATCCACGAGTACTGCCAAGGCACGGACCCGCTGCACTCCGTCGGGCCATACTGGGAGCGACCGGGGCGAACCATCGTCGACGATCACCTGCAGGCAATTCCAGACCCGCGCACCCTCTCCGCCGCGTCCTGGGCGGACTTTGAACGCGTCTACTTCACGCGGCCGCACCACGCGCTGCCGGAGGCGCGCCCGTCGATCCTGCGGACGCGCACGACGTGGGCGGGCATGCTCGCATACTTGCAGACGTTCTCCGCGCTGCACACCATGAAAGCGAAGGTGCCAGAGGCCGCGGACGTGGAGGTGCGGTTTTGGCGTAAGCTGAGGGAGGAGGTGGCGCGATTGGAAGGGAAGGATGGGGGCGAGGCGGGGGAGGGCGAGGAGGTGGAGGTGGAGTGGCCGATGGCGGTGTTGCTTGCGAGGAGGGCGTGAAGATGAAGTGGGTGGCTTTGGGATGTATTTGTCGTCGTTTCTGACGTTGAATGCGCAGGTTCTGCCTATTTTGTGTTTGAGGTTGTCAGTCAGCGCCAGTGGGCAATTGCCATCCGTCCACCGCGGACGCTTGTTTACCGCCATGGGTGACACTCAAACACTTCCACCGAGGCTTCGACTGGGCAGCGTTGGTATAATGCACTCACAGTCATTGTGGTCCCAGTACTACGGGTTTAGCTCTGTTGATTATATGATTATGATTTCTCAGGGATATTAGCGCTTCCGAGCAAAGAAAATGATGATTGATTTTTTTTTTTTTTTTTTTTTTTTGGAGGGCCGTAATGGACGTCCGCAAATGACAATGGGTCACTCCAGATCGCCCAGCCTGCGCATGGGTTTCCCCATGTTCGCCAGTCCAGGGTGAAAAATGCTAATTACGCACGATTTAATAACCAGTGTGGGGCTCATCAGTCCGGCTCGAGGTCTACTCGCAAGGCCGGTGTTCTACCCACTAAAAAACCCGTATATGCAGTCCAGTCCATTGGGAGGGCAGGTTCGTCCCGTAGTACCTTGTTCCATGTAGCCAGGACAAGGTCTCGTTTGAGGGCAGAGCCCCCGTACTTCCGTTTCACGGCTTCGACGTCGAGCGCTAGCCTACTATTAAGTGTAAATTGTAACTTATTCCAGACGAGCGTCTCGCGGTGTTCCCACTGTTCGTCTTCTGCATGTCCGATCACCCTGTCGCATCTTAGTTTCCAGATCAAGTGAACGGCTTCGGATATAAGCACTCGCCAGAGCCTTGTGGCTCCCTGTCGAACTCGCCCTTTTTGGTCCACCCACGTTGTCAATCCCAGTGTGAGGATATCCGTAGCAGACAAGGAGGGCCATTTGATTCCCTTCTTTTCCCAGATGGTACGCACCAAGGACCATATCAGAGATTGACCTGCCGCTTCGCACTCGAAGAGGATGTGTTGTATTGATTCGATTGCCCCACAGTGGCTGCACATCGCGCGGTCTTCGTATCCTTGGATTCTATTCCAATAGGCACCGCATTTCAGCCCGCCGTGCATGATCTTCCAGAGGAAGACCGCGAAGGGGCGGCTGAAGTCCTTATGTCGGGTGCTCATCCAGATCGTGCTTCTCATCTGGGGGGTCTGCATGTGTGTCTTGGCAGCGGCGAGGTTCTCTTCTGTCTGTCGACGTTGCGGTGCCTTGTGTTGTTCTATAATCCCGCGGTACGCTAAGGCTTGGGTCAGGGAGCTCAGTTTGGCTCCTGTCAGTTCAAAGCGGGGGTCGATCACCCTTGCCGGAGGGTTGGCCTTGTGGAAGGTTTGTGGCGAGGGTCCGGAGGCATCCTGGCGCGCCCTCTCCAGGGTTTCCAGTCGTCATCCCCGGTTATCCTCCTGATAGTGGTGGGCGCGCACCTTTGACGGAGGCGATTCATAAACGGCTTTACAAACTGCGCAAGGGGTACGCCGATCCAGCCCTTTGCTTCCCAGAGTGGGGTGCTGTCGAAAATCAAGTTGGACAGGATATTGTTGGTACTTAGGAAGTGGAGCGGTGCGTCCAGGGGTGTTTGTTCACTTGCATACATGGCCGCTGAGAGAACCCCAGGCTCAGTCACTTCCATGTCCGGGTTGTTAGTCGGGGTGACTAGTCCATTTCGCCGGTCGTGAGGGCCGAAGAAGGCCGCAAAAGTGTTGTGTTCGTCGTCGTTGGTGGCTACGTCCGGTCCAACAGGGTCCGTCGTTGGTTGGAAGAGCATCACAGTCGTGGATTCTTCCGGGACCGGGACTCCGGGGCGTCTTCTGATCGCCGGAGGTTTGGTGAGTGTGCTGGGATTGACGAAGATGCGGAAGGCCTCCGACAGGCCACCGTTGGACGTGACCGACGGGTTGAAAACGAGCACGTCGCCTTTATCCAGTTCTGCTTCTTCGTTCCGTTCAAGTCTCCGCCTAGTCAAGGTGAGGCCGTCCGTCATTTCGGGAACTAGGGGGTTCCATTTAGGTAGGATCTCACTAAGGATTCGGAATGCCGCAAGCCTGCACGTAGCAGGGTGTGCGCAGCCGTTTCGTCGGGAGGACTGACATTCAGGACAGGCACAGTTATTGTCTTCCCATGTCGTATCTTGCGTGGACGGCTGGTCTCCGCAGGTCGACCGAGTCGCCTCTAGTAAGTCCGAGATCACTATTACCTGGTGGTTATCTCTCAGGCAGTCGCTGACCTTCGTGTTATTGAGTCTGCGGAGTGCTTTAGTCGCCCCGATGTGGTACCACGCTGGCAGTTCTCGTTTCAGGGACGGGTCGACTTTTATCGCTTCAAGTTGGATGCCAAAGCGTCGCCCCGCATTCAACATCTGTCGTATATATAGCGGTAGGCCGGAGCGGGCACTGAGCGAGGGGTCCCAGCTCTGTAGGTATGTGTTTATCTGTGCTTTCGGTCGGATTACTCCTGTGTCTTTCTTCGCGTGTTTATTGATGATGGCGTCCACGGCAAACACCCAGACAGGTCGGTCACCCGTTAGTGTTAGGTATCGTTTCAACCACATCAGATCGATTGCGTCGTTCCGCGCTTCTATATCCAGCAGGCCTAGGCCCCCGTCCCTGACAGGACGGTGCAAGGTGGCTGTGTTAACCGGCGGTATACTCTCCGAATTCCACACAAAGGTGCGTATCATCTTCTTCAGCTCTGTTTCCACTGATTTCGGCATGCCTTGTACGACCGCTAGGTACTGGGAGATTCCCCAGGGCCCATTTGGATAATGTGTCTTCGCCCTATCATCGAGGGCCGGCATTGTCCCCATCGCTTGAGGAATTGCCTAATTTTTGTGAGTGCTGGTGTCCACACGGCGGTCTGTTCCACGTTACTGCCGATCCAGGCTCCCAGGATTCGGACTGGTTCGCCTTCTGTGGCGACATGTATATTCGAGGGATGGTCCCGGACGAAGTCAGGTCCGGGTTCAGTTGGCGTGTGGATACTACAGCTCGTCGGTATTCCGGTGAGCCAACCGGTACTACTTCTGTCTTTCCATCGTTGAACTTGGCTCTTGAAGCCGTGCACCAGCGGTTCAGGATGTCCCACAGGCCAGTCCAACTGTCGTGTTTGGATAGGAAAGTGGACGTGTCGTCCGCGAAAAGCTTAGTGATGAGTCTGTCGGCTGCACCAGGGATTCGGAAACCTTTCAGAGTCGAAGTGCGGAGCAAATTGGCTAATGGTTCGATTGCTATGTCGAAAAGTAGGCAGGAGAGTGGGTCACCTTGTCTCACTCCTCGTATGACATTGAAGAAGTCGCTGACCTCTCCATTCAGTATGACTCTCGTTTTCGCAGTTGAGTACAGCACCCGGATTTTCTTGATAAAACTGGCGGGTAGACCGAAGGCTTCCAAGGTCTTCCATAGGTATGTATGATCTATTTTATCATACGCTTTTCCTGGTCCAAGGCGACTATAACGCCGTCTTCCTCCGCTGCTTCTGCGTAGTCCACCAGGACTCGGCAGGTCTGAGTCTGGTCTTCGATATGGCGTCCCGGTACGAAGCCAGCCTGGTCGGGATGGATGAGTTTTGTAGCGACCTCTCCTAGTCGTGATGTCAGGGCTCGTGTGTAGACTTTATAGTCCGAGTTCAGGAGCGTGATAGGTCTGTAGTTTGCAATTTCCCGTCTGTCACCTTTCTTATATATAGGGCACAGCCAACCATCGGCGAAACCGGCATCAGGGGATAGTCCATGTTCCTCTATGTCCTCGTATACTAAGGTAAGATAATCCAGACTATTGAAAGTTTTTTCCCCAGAGCTGTCGCTCATGAAGTATTTCCAGAACTCATAGGGATTCCGTCCAGGCCCGGTGCGCGACCAGTCTGGGATTTCTTCAGTGCACGTTTAACTTCGTCCTTATATATTCTGGATTGTAGGAGGGCAGAGTCGCTAGGATCGAGCGTTTGGGTGACCCCGGTCAGGATCTTCTCGATCTCTTTGGCTTGGAGGTCCTTCGAGAAGCCTGGGACGTCAACGGACTGAGCATGTTCGTGGTAGCCTCTCGCTAGCGTGGCCATCTTATCAGACCTGACCTCAAAGCGTGGAGGGGTCGTGTCCGGCAGTCGTAGGGTGTATATAACATCCCTCGGTGTCTTTTCTCGGTTTACTGCTGACCAGTATTTGGTCACCCGCTCGGCGTTGATGACGTATCTCGCGGTGGTTGTGAGCTTAGAGAAGGTATGGCGTTTCTTCTCGAGTTCGCAGATCCGGTTATGGAGAACGGCGGAGTCATTCTGTAGCTCGCTCGAGAATTGGTATGTGCTCCGGCTCTCTATTTCTGTTACATGGTCGCGCAGCCGTTTCAGTTCGGCCCGCAGCTTGGGGATCTTCTTCTTCAGACGCTCCCTGGCAAGTTTTTGGATGTCCTCCTTGAACCGCTTATGGAGTCCTTGAACGGGTGAGCTATGCAGGGCCGTCTCCCCATGGCACATCGCTTGCATCGTCTCCATCACGGCTTTGCCCAGAGTCCCCATTTCCTCCATAAATACTTTGTCTTCGATGAGATGTGGTGGCATCGACCACCTCCCTTTTCCGATGAGAGGTGTGTTAGTGGCATTGAGTTTAGCGCTGATCAGCCGGTGGTCCGTGTGTACTCCTGTGGTTTTGATGTCCCACGTATGTGAGGTACGGACTAGAGGTTCCGACGCATATATGCGGTCGATTCTTGAACGCGTGACGCTGCCTCGCTGCGGGTATGAGTAGTCTTTTTTATTCGGTTCTGACAGTCTCCATCCATCGTACAGGTCGAAGTGCCTGATGAGGTCTCTCAGGGCCTCTACCGCCGACGCATAGTCTTCCTTGGCTGGCAGTCTATCGATGGATTCCTCGACCAGGTTGAAGTCGCCCGTCATGATGTCGGGTGCTTTAAATCGGCCCTTCTCGGCCATGCTCAACAGACGACTCCAGAAGGCGGCATTCTCCGTCATCGAGTTGGGGCGTAGACGTTGAGGATCGTGATCGATCTGTCGGCGTGCCAATGCATTGTCAGTGTCACAGCACGGCCGGGGATTATTTCCTTGAAGACGACGTTTGAGACGTCAACGAGTTCACGGTTTAGGACGACTGCCACGCCTTGTGAGGAGGTCGTGGATTCGGAGCCGGAGTTCCAGATTCGGATGCGTCTCCCGTACAGGTCTTGTATCGTGTTGGTATGCGTTTCATCCAGATGCGTCTCTTGGAGGCATAGGACTCCCAGTCTTTCTTCTCGCAGAAGCTGGTTCACGGCGTTCCACTTCTGGTCCCTTGGGCCGTTTAGGGAGCCTCTGCCATTGAGGTTAAGGCTCCCGATGTGCAGACTAGCTTTAGTCTTTCTTCCAGACGGAATGATTCTTTCCGTCCTCGCAGTGTGCCCCTCCACAGGGGCACTTTGTTCAGGGTTGTTCAGTACGCAGCTCTCCGCGTTACCCTGGGCACTGTTGATTGGTGTGCGCATACCACGGAGAGCAGCCCCGTCTCTGGGTTCCTCTACCCGGTCATTGATTTCAGCGTGGGCGGGGGACACGTTGGCCTCTCTCGGGCAGAGGAGAGTGTTGCCGGTTGTCGAGTAATCGTCCGTATGGGTGTTTAAAGAGTAGTTTGTCGCCGTTGATGTACACTTCCTAGCTACAACGATCCACTAGGGGCGGGGAGCGCTCCTGGCTCACTCAGGTGACATGCTGCTAGGCAGCTTGGCCTCTCGGCCTGGGTAAGTCTAAAAGTACCCATCAATAGCAGTAGCAACCTCACGCAGCAGGGGACATCGAGCTTTCCTGTCCCGAAGTCGGTCAGTAAATTTGGGCTCGGGTCCGCTGTGCGCGTTCCGGGAAGTCTCAGTCGATCTCGCAAGGGCAAGTATGAGGCTAGCGAAGACAATGCGTGTATATTTTTCCTGTGAGTACGAGATTTAACAGGGACGTCATTACAGGGAGCGAGGAGAATTTGGCAACAAGAGGAGGAGCTACGTCATTTCTGGTAGCGCGTATACATAGTGAGGGGACGTGACCGTGATGTCGACGTAGGTGCACGGACTCTGGAAGGGCGCCGAGCATCAGGCCAGGCCTGTTCGCTGCTGCACGCTAGCATTACCACCTCGGCGACCGCGGTTACTTCCTCGTCCTCTGCCTCCTCGGCCACCGCGTCCGCCTCTGCCTCCACGGCCGTGCTGGTCTTGCGTCTGCGCTCGTCGGTCAGTTGCGAGAGTTTCGCGAACGTCCGCGAGGGAGGGTCCATTCCATCCGGGGGTCGTCGGGACCGTGCACGCGTGAGTTGGATGATCTATGGAGTGGCAGAACAGGCAGTAGAAGACGCGTGTGACTAGCTCAGGTGGGCCAGCATACGGACTGCCGAAGGTGAAGCCGCGTACACGCTCGCGGAAGCAGAGCCACTCAGTAGCGTCGGCAGTTGGCGACTCCATGTAAAGGAAGGCAATCGGCTCTTCTTCGTCGTCGCGCGAGTCTCGGATGGAGATCAGCCTGACTCTGACCGAGTCGACGACGCAGCGGTGCGCCTCTCCTACCATGAGGTGGCGCCATCTCCCGCCCGTGCGGACGTCGATCGTCAATAACGCGCGTACGTGTTGGTAAAGGTCCGTGCTCATCATACCCTTCTTGAAAGCATCCGTTAGTCCCTCCTCCGTCGGCGGTACGCATAGTCTTTCGGGGTGCCGGAAGGAGGCGAGGAAAGTAGGCGGAACCGAGTCCGACGGCACGACACCGAAGGTGCCTTCGGCGGTGGAGACCCAGCCCTCGCGCAGCAAGCGGTCTCGTTGCTCCACAGTCAGGTTCCCGACGCGATAGTATGTCGGACTGGAGTTGGGCTTCGTGGGGGCTACTGCTGCGATGGGTTGGGTGATGCTGGCGGTGGGTATGTTCAGAGAGACACGCAGGATGTTGTCCGCCGCGCAGAGTCGCCCGAAGTTGCCCTTGTCGTGCGCTCCGCGTCCCGGGAAGTGGATAAAGACGTGGTGGTCAGTTGCCTTCCTCCATTCGTCTGCCTGTGAGGCAGCCACGTTCCTGTACGCTAGGTCGAAATCCGCTCCCTGGATACGCGGCCAACCTTCAGGAGGTGGGCGCGTCCTCGTGACCGGCTGCGACGTGCCCTGCGCTGGCGCAAGAGGTTGTATGGGACCCGCCGGGGGGGAGCGAAGTTGGGGAACGGGCCCGGGGCATAGTGGACCGGGTGGGGGTGGAGCACCGAGGGAGAGCGCGGCCTGCGAGGCCCGAGGCGTGCGTCGTCGTCGTCGAGTATCTGGGCGGGCGAGGCTGGCGCTGGCGAGAGTTGGATAGGCCGGTGAGATACTGAGCGTGGCGCCCTGCTAGCCGCCTCAATATCCCGCATTCGTCGGCCTAACGTATAGAGTAGCGGTGAGTTTGTGTCTCCCTGCCGTACTGTAGTGTACGCACTCATGTCGTCGTCAGTCGTGGCGCTACGTGGGTCTTCCCTACGGCGAGGAGGGTCGCTGGACCTCCCGTTCCTCGACGGTCCTGCTTGCCCGGGTGCCGACTGGTATGGGAGGGAAGTTACGTCCTCGTACATGTCTGATCTTTTGGGTGAGAATTGCACAGCGTTGTTCTCGCAGCGACATACCTTCGATATCACCCTCATGGAGGGCTGTCGTACGTTTCAGGTACGGGAGGTCGTGGTCCGGGACGTCCGATACAATGCGGCGCGTCGAGTAGGAGCCATCCGATGCCCTACGAGCATATGTGAAGCTTGGCAGGTCCCCGTCGTGCTATGGGAGCGGGGCGAGGTTATATCATAGAGAGAGGAAGGTGTCAGCGACATCTACGGCTTATATAGGTTAGGGGAAGAGAGCTAACCCTCGATGTGTCCAATTCGCGGTTAAGTCTCATGGGTCCGCCGCACGGTTCGATGTCCCGCATGTCGACGTCAGACGTGGTGGCCGCCGGCGGGTCGTCACGGTCGTCGTTGAGCCCCGGAGACGCTTCGTAGCGCGGGAAGCCTAATACTTCCCCAATGTCGACTACGTACCGAGTCTGCGTCACTGGGGTAGACGTCGTAGGCACATCCTGGGTGCGGGTCGTTACTCCGGGCGCCGCGTGGTCCCCGTCGACATCCGTGGAGACGCGGCGCCTCTTGCGCACGTCGCTGGTCGATCGTTGAGGAAGGTCAGGCGGCGGAGCGGCCTCAGCGGCGGGCGTCACCGAGTTCGGCGTTCCTTTCCCTATGTTCATCGGTGCTTTGCCTGCAGCCTTCGCGCTCTTCTTCGATCGCTGCTTCCTGTTCTTCACCTTGGCAACTACCTGCTGCTTGTCGGAGCGAGTGCGTCGTAGGGCCAGCGCATTCAGTTCCAAGTCTTCCTCCTCTTAATAGGGGATGTTAGCTAGGACTTGGGACGTGTAGCCTGAGGGAGCGCATTGCGCGTACCTTTTATGACGACCTCGGGGGTCGCTGCGTCAACGTTGATGACCTCCTGCTGCGTCTGGGCAGGCTCAGTGGTGGCGGGGCCATCGCGTTCAACCGCCGTGCTACGCGTCGTCGGTGCGGCGGCCTTCGCATTCGCCTTCTTCAGTGCGAGGAGAGCCGGAGGCGTCGCAGGACGGGACGCCATCCCCGCGTAGGAGACACCCGTAAGGTTCGTCGGCGAGGCGACTCGGGGGAGTCCCAGGGGTTAGGGACGCCTGAGGAGATAGGCTCGGCGTTGACACGTTTGTTGGGGGATTTGACGAGGGAGGCTGCACGGAGGCGCTCGATGTAGGGATCAGGAAGGGTTTCACTATCGTTGGTCGCATTAGCATGCCCATGGCGGGGAGTCAGGGTTGGGGAGACGGGACGAGAGGGTTGTTGCATGGTGGCGACGGTCGACGAGAATTGTTAGATAACTGAGGATTTTGGGATGGCTGTGAGCGTAGCCCCAGGGTTCCTTTTATCCTCATGGCTGGCTCATGGCGTACGCCGTTCTCGCAGCTGTCAGGATGCTGTGATGGTGGGGGAGTGACCATCTTGGGATACCATTCTCGCGCCTGTCAGGCTAGCGGTGTATCGGCTTCATCTGGCATGAGTTAGGCTGGTGCGTTGCTTTCCTACTGTGTTTCGTGGGTCAGGTCATTCTGATGGTCGTGCTGTCGCGCTCATTCGCGCTCCCCTCGTTCCTGGCGGGCGCGGTGAAGCTTCCCTGCGCGGGAGGGGTGGGGAGGGTTGTAGGGAGTATGTAGTGTCGGGAAGTCCAGCGGTACCGTCATCTCATTGCCGAGCCTATTCCTCCGTGGGGTCGGAAGGATATGATGGCGGCGAGGTCTCCGTCCAGTATGTTTCTCGTCTGTTGGGGTCTGGGGCGGCGTCCATCGGCTGCGTCGTATTCCACGAAGGTCCATACTCGCACCTTCTGTATGACCTTGATTCCCTCTTTTTTGTCCACATAACGCAGCGGAGAGCCGTCGCGCTCGTGATGATTGTTTCCGTGTTCAGGAGTCTAGTGCAGGGGCTCGAAGGCCATCTCTCGCTGTTATTGCGTGCGCTAGGTCGGTGTCCAGCTCCTACTGTGGAGATGCCGCGTTCTCGTACCTAAGCAGGTCCGCTAAGCGACGCAGTTGGATGGTGCCTCGACGACGCTCGCGTCGTGGGTTTTTTACGAGATTTATTCAGCTCGAGCGGGTTCTCGTGTTCCCTACATGTCCGGCAGAGGGGCCACGTCCTGTAGCGGTTACCCTCGTTCCCGGATGGTGTTATTCCCTCCGCTCGATTGACAGGTCTGCGATCTCCGCGGCGTCAAAGTCGTGTTCGTTTGATCGTTTGATCGGGGTCTTGAGGGCGCTATACGCTTGTTGTGTGGTTTGGGGTCATAGCCACCGCGTCCTAGTCTAGTCGGCCGGTGGCGTTCAGCGGCACCTGTCGCTCCGCCTGGCTCGTAATGTCAGCGGTTCTCTCGTTTTTCGGGACGTCTAGGTGTCGCAATGGGGGGCTCGTTATTCGTACGTGGTGGGTGTTGTCTTCCACGTCATTGGAGGTGGGGTGAGTGTTACACCGTCTCCTCGGGTAGAAGTGGCGCCAGTGGTATTTGTGAACGTGGCGGGCGTCCTAGACCTGTCATACATACCGTTATCAAGGTTGACTTAGTGTGAGTGTATGTAACTCGGCTAGGTGCGGTGGTAACGATCTGGAGCGCTAGAGGATGGCCGGCAGCGCCCCGTCCACGGTGTGGCTACTGCCCGTGTTAGGGGCATCTTCCATTATGGTCCGGGCCTGGACCTTGCGTTGACATTTTTGTTTTCGCTCTTGGTGTTCCAGCGTTATGGTAGTTCTGTGGGTCCAGCGTCATCGGGGCGCCTTAGGGAGATAGAATACTTCCCAGAGAGGCTTGTTAGGGTCTTACCGGTCGCGTATGGGGTGGAGCCTGCATGGCATTGGTACGGGCCTGTTGTGTGAGGGCGCCGGTCTCTGCGCTTACTCCGGTACCTGGAGTGTTATGATGCCGGGATGCTCATGGGCGTTAGAATTCTGTCAGGCTGCACTTAGTGCGCGGGTGTATCTGTGTGGCGCATCGTTCGGGAGCAGTACGTTACATCAATCACTCCTGATCGATTCCTATATGGGGGTCTCTCCGCGCTCATCAGCCTCTTCGCGCAGATGTCTATTTCTCCGCGCCAGCCGCACTCCATCGGCCGGTATCGGAGGGCTCATATGGGCTCGTCATGTCACGTGTCCCCATTTGCGGTGTCTTATTGGCGGTCGTCCTCCGAGTCAAACTCGTACGGGCTGTCGACACTGTTGGATATGACAGGGTCGTGCGCCAGAAGGCGGTGAGGCGGGGGGGAGTGAGGGAGGAAGGCGTATAGTTGGGCATGGATCTGGCTCTCGTCACGCGTGAGCCTGGACCACGAAGTCGGGACGCGGATGGCGCACGCCGTTGGACTGCCCGTGAGGAGCCACGTGATCCAATGACGTTGGATGTCCGTTGCGTTCTCGACTCGACCGACTCCGGTCCGCAGGTCTCCGACAGCAAGGATGACAGGCAATCCTCGCTCGATATGGCAGGTTGGGCGTTCTTCTACTATCCATGTCAGCGTGATTCCGTTCCTCTCTGGGATCCCTTCCACTTGAACGGTAACTGCGAGGGACTCGGGCATCGGGAGTCGCAGTGTTGGGAGTGATGGGGGTAACGGCGTGGATGGTGAGAACAGGTAGGATTCAGATGGCGACCAGGCTTTGAACTGACGTGGCTTGGCCCCAGGAGTCCCTTGGTGGTGGGCTTTCTGCTTGGATCCTGCTGCTTGCCTTGCGGTGGGTGGCATGGCGTACTATGGTTGTTAGACCGGCAGGTGAGGCCTGATTTATACAGTTAGGAGAGCGATGAGCGTTTACTTTCTAGGGGATCCTGATGCCAGTGACGGCAGCTGATGCGATTCAAGCGGCCCAACGTAATTGTCCATGGGGAGACGCTCAGGGTGTAGGGAGTGTGTGGGGTGTGACAGAGCACATTCATTTTAACCGGTAGAAAGAGCGACAGGTATTGGGACAGAGATCATGTCTTTTTGCTTCAAGGATCCGCCCATCCATCGAAGATCGACCTGGAGGACAGGTGTGGCACCGTGTTTAGGGATGTTTATTACGTGGCTGGCGCCCGGCGGCTCGGGGGTCGCCGAGAAGCGGGTATCTACGGGCGTCTCCACGATCATGGTCAGGCGCCCTTGGGCGTCGTGCGCAGCTCAGTGGTCGCTGTCTACGGTGTGGAGGACGGTGGGCTCGGATAGGAGCTTATTTTAGTTCCTCTTCTGGGGTAATGGCACTGCCTAGGTAGGTCAGAGCAGGAGCGGGTCTATCCGGCTCGATTTGAGGATGGATTGGGATCCATTTTCTCGGATGAAGCAAGGTTACATCCAGGCTGCACCGCTGAACAGCGGTGACAGTCTTTATAGCGCATGTTGGTTTCATCCCATTGGGACTACTCACCCCCCGGACCACGAGAAGGTCTGCGCAGGGCTCGTCGACGACGAGTCCCTCCCGGGGGATGATGATTGATTTGACAACTGAACTCCGTCAACACTCATAACGGAGCTCGTTATGTCTCACAGTCAGCGCTTTACAACAAGGCGATTGCGCGCTGGGCGATAGACGCGAAGATCGTCGCATTCGTCAGGGATGTCCAGAATATCTCGCTCGCAATCCAGTACGCGCACTCACATGGCCTCGAGTACACAACATCCAAACCGCCGTCCATCCAATGCTTCATTCTCAAGAATTGATCACATACGAGCATAAGTGGGCGCCAATGCCTTCCCCGACACAGCATCTCGACCCGCGTTGCGGCCGCATGGCCATTCTGTACGTTGAGACCGCACAACACATTAGCAGGGCGGCCTGATGATGATGGTTCTATACTCACAAACTCCATGCGACGATACGAGCCAGGATGCAGGGTTGCAAGGACGTCAATCCATGCTACCTCAAGGACCCTCGGCCTCCTCTTCGGCGGTATTCTTCTGTTCAACTTACATACTGTGACGAGGTATCTTGTCCACATCCTTCCTCCAGCTGGCGAATTCTTGGAAGCTATGCACTGGAGCGGTACTCCAAGGACAGTCAGCTTCCTTTGCAATTTGACCAAGTCCATAGTACTACACACCTCAATATACCTCGTCTATGCGAGTGTGGCATTTTCCGCCTGACGAGCTCGTCCAACCGATCGCACCGTTCTCGTAGTCCTGAACCCATCCCAAGAAGCTCATTACTAGACGTCCAAGTGGTGTTGTCATCGTGAGTGCCTATACAGATGCCGCGTGACGCATCAGTATAGGAGAACTGCTTCTCCTGCAGTATACTGTCCAATCACGCCAGGACATCATCCTGCTCCAGTGTCGTCAACATTCCGTCCAGGTTATCTGTCCTGTGGTCCATCCGAAGCCATAACATAACAGCCACAGCTTGGAAGTGTTTCGAGACGATGCGAGACAGGATATGTGGGATCCAGGGCCACTCTGCAAAGGGGTGGCACAGCCAGATCACCAACCTCCGCAGGTGGTTGTGGCTTGAAAGGTTGTAATGTTGCTCTGTAGGCACGAACAATCAGCAAAGTGGTTCGAGAGAGAACTAAGAAAACTTTCCGACTGTGGCATCGATTGCACCACCATCACGAGCAGAAGAACTGAGATACAAATGGAGCTCAACCGCTTCTGCAGACGTGGAACTTGCGTCCAGCAAAGTCTGGCTTCTGCTGACTGCCGAGGATGGATCAAACCCGACGTCCACCCCATGAACGAGATTGCGCACTCGAGAAGCCCGGCTGATATGCACGAAAAGGTCTTCGACTGCTGGTGCAACCCATCGCAGTTCGAGATCCACCAAATTTGCACAGTTCAGGGGGAGGGAGGCCGAGGAGACTTGCTGTTTCTGCAAGCAGCTGACATTGAAGCATTTCAAATTCCTGAGCCTTGGGAGCGCTGAAACAAGGTGAGACAGCTGGGCGACGCTCGACAAGGTGACGTTGGAGAGGTGTAAACTGTCGATGTAGCTGAACACGCCCAGGAAACCGATATCCTCCATTCGGACCGAGCCGATAGTCCATTCAGCATCTTCGATGGTGATCCACAACAGCCTCGGAGCCTTGCCCGCGAGCATAGCAGCAAACGTCCCCAGGTGCCGGATCGGTTGACGCTCCCCGGGGGAAGCGCCAGATATGATGACCTGTTGAATGACCTCATGGAGGCGAGGTTTTGCGCGGAGTGTCTTGGAAAGCGAGAGGACATCATTCCGGCCTCGTAGATAGATGCGTTGGCGCAGATGGTACCATGTCAGGTAGTACCAGTCTTGGCATACGAGCGCGCAGGATGTGAGAGTGGGCAGATGTGGCTCGCCACTCATAAAACGGTAACCGAGGTCCACTCTTGTTGCTATGTGGCCGATGATTTGTTCACAGACATCCACAGGAAGCTGCGGGATCGACAATCCGGGAGAGGCGCCCTCAGGCTCGGACGCGGTCGTACTGTAGTCCACATGTGTAAGCCATGTCAACCGCGTCCGGACAGTGACACTTACATTGACTCGACTCTGTCCATTCCGTTGACGTGGGATGAGCGTTATTACGACGACGTCACCGCGCTGTCGCACCGATGAAAGTCTCCTGTGCCACCAGACAAGTTAAGGTGCGCCGTCTTGGTCGGTTCGCGCGGTGCTGGCAGCCGTTGGTGGTCGCGACGCTAAAAGGAGAGTACGATGTCAGTAAATGCATGCGTCGGCAAAAGCGGAGTCGTACCCCGTGAGGACTTTCAATGGCCCTTGGTGTGCGCAGCAAAACTCAAAGCTGGACGAGGGTGAGAGCGCAGTGAAGGCAATGATAAGTGATGTATATATGCATCGTTAAAACGTAGCGCTCGCTCGCCGGCGCGCCGGCGTATAGAGGCGTCGAGCATAGACACACGCTGTCGCAAGCCGTTCTTTGCTTTCAGTGGACACCGTGAGATCCGGGCGGTTCGCAGCCGATGTGATGATAGCCTCTACGGCCTGAAGCCTCTGCAAAGCGAAACTCACGTCATCAACACTCAGCGGCGATGCACGAGAAATGCATACAGAGGACCGCTCTCCTTGGATGCAGTGCACCTCACTCTGGTAAGTGCGCGCGAGACAGGCACGTCCGAACCTTGAGCTTGTTCAATGACAGAACACTTATCGATATCAAATTGGACCACATAGACGTGGAGGCAGTGTGGAATGCAGAATGAAAGTCTGTGATGGCGGGGCACCTTTCAAGGGTGAAGATGATTAATAGTGTGGAATGACATACCAGAAGGGCGCTCATGTAGTACATCAACTAGCCGTGAATTGACATCTCACATATCAGGTCGACGAGGTGGGACTGTATGTGCACATTCGCATGTTAAAGTGTTATATGGGCCCGTCAGACATGCGCGAACGTGACATACCTATGGCGGCTATATCGTACGTCGAACGCTGGACGGCCGCACTTAACCACCGGCGGCCATGTACCGACGAACACATGAAGGCGTGTGCAGACATGTCAAAAGTACGGCTGTACTAGGCGGGCGTATGCTGAGGGGTATGGCGCGGTGGGTTGTGGCGTCTGCGCATTCTTGTGGTTTCTTGCGATGAGGTATATTTCATGCACGCGATTAACGAGAGTGTTGAGCTTCCAGTGTTCGCAAAACATCAGCACTGCAGCAATGCTATGCGGAGAAGGTGCAAGAACTCACGGGACTGAGGAGGAGGTGGCGCGACTGGAAGAATGGGGGAGAGGCGGGGGAGGGCGAGGAGGTTGAGGTGGAATGGCCGACGGCGGTGTTGCTCGCGAGGAGGGCGTGAGAATGGATGCCCGGGGGATATGGGTGCGTACCTAAAGGTGGCTTCGTGATACATCTGTCGTGTTTTCTGACATTCATGGTATGCATCGCAGATACTCTGCCTGATAACATTCAAGTACAGCGCACTATCAATGGGAGTCACAAACCAGCAAACAAACTCTGCCTGTTCTGTGCTGTCCGTCAACGCGTGAACTGTTGTCAACCCGATTCCACCGCGGACGTTTGATTACCGCCATAGGCGGTCTAGAAGCATCTGCACCAATGCTTCAGTTGGGTGCCAATATTGGTGAGACGCGCTGACAGAGCGTGAGTCATCCGAGTCGAAACATCGGTCTAACTTAGCTGTATTGAGCCTATGGCGTCGCTGAACATAATTTTTACGCCTCCGGCAGCACTTTCGCTGCGGCAAAGACATGATATTAGGTTCACGTTAACACGGCGCCCTTGACTCGGAGATGGGGGGGCGGACACTTACCTCGCTAGAACCATTCCATCCTCATAGATCAACATGTCCTTTTGCGGATAGGGTTTCCGTAGTAGACCTGTGCATGTTCCTGCCACTGGAGCCACAGAAACCATTGTCACTGTCAGCAAGACAGCTGCAGAAGGCTGTAGGGACTCGTATTCCACAACCTGCGTTCATTTGATTACTGGACAGCACCTCGCCAGTGCGTCACTAGGTTTTATGTACTCCGTGATGCGTCAAATGGATGACGCGAGGCGGGGTCATTGCGCCGAGCCCATGCGGGGATGCGGGGGAGGTGGCTTGGCGCCGATCACACATCCGCGCTCGGAGCCTGTAAAGGCAAGTGGATTGCCATATCGGGTGCACCAAAAGGAAAGGTCAGGTGTGGTTGGCTGAAAACGCCTCACGAGGGCTGGCGTGTGACGCCCCCGCGGCATTCTAGCGTGCCACACGTCTAGGCCCGTGTTTCTCCCCTCCTCGTGCTTCGTCATCCCCGCGCGCACAGGCAAAGAAGGCTGCTGCAGTATATAGGCCGCCAGTCGCGCGCGCGTCCTCTCCACAGCGTCCGCCTTCACAGGGATACCCACCCACACAGACACGCTCGGACCACCCAGCGACCGCGCCCGCGACGCCCACGACCGTTACGACCATGTCCGCCGCGACCGCCCACGCCCGCCTCGCCGCCCTCGCGCTCTCCTTTGCGTTCGGCATCGTAGCCCTGTCCACGGGCATCAACGCGCTCGCAAAGTCCTCGGACCAGAAGCGCACGCTGAAGAAGGACGTGCCCTCCGTGGCGTCCGTCACCATCAACACCAACGACGTGCTCAGCTCGGGCATCGTCGTCACCGTCGTCTGCGCTCTCATCGCGCTCGTCTCCTTCCTCTCCATCGTGCACGCGCTCTTCTTCCGCCTCCGCATCGTCAAGCGCAACCCCGACGGGAACAGCTGGGGCGCGCTCCACACGCGCCACGCGCCCCGCGCGGGCGCGGCGGCGCTCGCCTTCCTGAGCGTGTGGCTCTTCGCGACGCTCGTGCCGTTCACGGACTTCGTCGCGAACCGCTCCGCGAAGATCAGCGCGAACATCGGCGGCGTGCCCCTCAGCGCGGGAGACATCCAGGCGTACCAGGCCGCGTTCGGCCTCACCTCCGTCTACCACAAGCTCGGCTACCGTGAGTCTGCGCGGCTGCGGTCGATGTATGCGCACTTTTGCTGACGGTATGCGCGCGGTTCGCAGTCGTGGCGGGCACGGTGCTTCCGTGGATAGCCCTCCTCTTCTCCTCGCTCGCGTCCGCGCTGTCGTTCCACTACGCGCGCCAGGCGTCCGGGGAGCAGTGGCGACGGGCAGCGGCGTCCCCGCGGGATATGCAGACGAGAAAGCACAGCCGCAACGAGTGGAGTGAGCGCGACCGGCCAGATACCTGCGACCGTCTCGGAGAGGCGTGTCTTGAGAGTGGTAGCTACGAATTATCGATCAGTAACGCGGTTCATTTGATTCCCCACCACGATGTCACGACTCTGATTTGACTTGATGCTGTTAAGTTGTACCCTGTAGTCGACGTAATGACCTGTATTCTCGTTAGTAACGATCCGCGATGACTTCATCGACCTGCCTGAGGCATTCGAAGGCCGTGGGCCACTCGCCTCCGGTCCGTAAGAGGCAGAAGATGTATCGGACTGCTGTCTCTCGTAAGTGGCCGTAAGCAGCATCAAAGAGACTCGTAGACTTAGAGCACCAACAGAAGAGCGAGTATGACAGCTCGGAGCAAGCTAAGAGCTTGGAGGACGAACTTGAATTGACGTTCGAATCGTAATCACGTGCGCTCAGGAGATCGAGATTCAGATGGCATGAGAGCGACCGATGCGGCGTTCAAGCTGCAACACGACCAAGTTTCATCACATCCCACCACTGCTGGTCCGGACTGCTCTGGATTAGTGCTCAGGCTGCAGCACAACTAAGGCTGATGTACTGTGTCTGCGGCGAAAATGTTAATCGTCCCTCAACGGCCTTCCCTCGCTCGCTGCGCGTACCATGCCGTAAGTTCGAGCCGTGAACATTCTTTGAAGGCATCGAGACGTCTTACCGTATGTTCAGTGCAGAGGTATTACGTCTGATTTCGTAGCCTGATTGACTCTGCTCATTATTGTCTGCAGAACGAAAATGGCAATGGTTACTCATAAGTACTAAAGGTCACATCTGCATCTCGCCGACGCGCACGAGCCTCGAGGCTTACAGCAGACAATGTCCTTCTGGCATGTGGCTTGCTGACGCAGGACGGATGCCTCATGGTCTCGGGCTGTGCGTTCTGAACGTCGGAGTCCGACCGCGCAAGTAGCCCTAGGCTGAGACTCATCGCGAATCGCGTACGACAACAGCACTCTTCCATTCCTCTTTACGTCCCATCCCTCTCTCTCTCTAGCGTCATCCCGAGATGCCTGCGAACTGCAGCTATGCATGGTCCTGGGCGATGGGCCTCGAGCTAGTCATCGTGTCGTTCATCCTCTGCTCTGTGCTTTCGTCGCAGATCCCGTCGGCTCAATGCAGACATCTCGACGAGACACTGGATGACACCGGGACCTTCCTGGAGTCTGTGATTGAGAGGGGCTTGCTAGTCGGTAGTGACGTCGGCGAGGCACAACAGGCCCTAGCCAGGTAGGAGCAATCGCCGCAGTATGGAACGCGAGCTAACGCAGCCTTCGTCACCGGATAGCATGCAGGCGCAGGCCGTGGATCTCAAGCTCTGCTCCCATTGTGCGCCGTCGATGGTACCACAGGTGAAGGGATTGTTAGGCGGCTTGTCGTACAGCATCTACCGCCTTCGGCGACGGGTGGAACTCCTTCGCGCCAGAATTGCTGTGGGTGTATCTCCATCGTTTCCCATGTCCTTTCCATGTCTCATCGCGCGACTAGAGGCGAGCATCGGACGAGCTGAGGCGCTTGAAGAACGAAGGTGGCCCCCAGCGCAAGACGCACGGTTCAAGGTCACACCATTCTTCCGTTTCACTGAATCGCGGAGCCCACATTCATATCGCTCTTAGACAGAACCATGGACCGCCGTGTTGTCGTGAAGGGGAGAGTATGTCAGTCCTGGTGGTTGACGTAGGCATGTGGGTCACATACGACATTGCATACAACTCTGATTCGGCGCTTCACTGGCAGGGGTGTTCTTCGCGTGCGGTATATGGACTACCAGTGGTCGGCCCTGTGTATTGCTCGGATCTGGGCTCGCTATGTAACAGGCGCAGGCTCCTGTAGCCTGAGTTACGACACCGCGCGTACGTGCCCGCTCGCCGTAATGCGCAGGTAAGTATGCGCAGTGTTCTCGAAGCTATCCCAGCGACCTTGCAAAGTTGCTCCCGTGTAGCACGCAGGGAACCATGGCACATTTAGATGGTGCTTTCTTCCTTTCTTCGATGGCTGCGGGCCCGCATCAAACCCAGGCTACTGATTCGGATGCACTGGTTAGTGGGATAAGTTGCCACGACAAGTCAGTTAGTGTTTGCACACGCGCGGCATCTTGCGACAGGAATGCGAGGTGCATGTCATACCATGGCTGGGTGTCTCTACATGCCACTTCCCGCATGAAAGAGGTCCAACTACCGGTGAGAGTGGTTCAACTGTGTACCAATACTCTGTGGTCAACTTTGCCGGTACGTGTGACTAGTAAGTAGGCTTCTCTGTTTGTTTGTAAGCCCTGATCCTAGTAGCAGACACCATTATATGATCACGTTCAAGTTCAAGCTTCAAGGCCCATATGCATTGTCGAGCTACATGATGACTATCAGCGGGGTTTTGACGGTTTTTGTGAGTTAGTGCTTGGTTAGTGCTTTTCTCCGGATTCGAAGCTGACGAGCGCCTAATTAATGTGGCTGTGTCGATGATCAAAGTCCGCGAGCGCTGCCCTCCCGGGCCACCAGCTGGCAACTGGTTCTACACTGCCTTACAATTGCATCATAAGACTTGCTTCCCAGCATCCACCAGGCGTCGACGTCGTCTAGTAAATTTGGTGGTCATCCCGGTTTACTATGACTGCATTTGGGATCCGGGTGAGCGGGGCAACCTTACGTTGGTACTTACCAGTGACCACCGTCCGCGAGCGCGAACTTGAAGGGACGTCACGGTATCATCGCGTGGCTTATAACCTCTGTTGTATGCTGAACCTATGAAGCTTTAAAGCTTGAAGACAGTGACTTTGGGTGCTCTGATTCGGATGAGCCGTTGCTCTGAATATGCGGTAGGTCGCTCTGAGTCAACTGATCGTCGTGTCGTTGATCAGTCGACTCACTGGCAGGACTTCATAACCACATATACGTCCGCATACAGAAGGTCCGCTCGGGCGAAACAATGTATGGGGGTGGCAATTCGCTGTAGCTCAGTGTCCACGGATGGACCGATCCTCAGATTGACTTCAGGCGTGCTAGAGTCACTGGGCGTAGACCCTTGATACGCCCATCAAGAGCTGTGGATGCAAGGTGTATCGACTCGGACGTTGTGTATAAAACACGGATGTCCGAGCCTCAGCCTCCATTGCACTGTGTGCCACTCGGCTGCACACGTCAGTGAGTTGTCCTCGTCCTCTCTTACAAGGCTTGTACTAGTATGGGCGGAATCCATATTCACGGCATGCGATACCATTGCCATTTGGGGGATACGCACGGCAGCTCGTACAGGGTCACTCCTGCTTCTCACAATGGAAGGTTTGATATTTGCGGCAAAATGTTCAGCATCTCTTCGATTGCTAGGGTGCGTCACTGAAACTCTCAACAGGTACAGGATTGTATATGAGGTGGGACGGCATGCTCTGGACGGGCTGGCCATGAATGCAAAGATGCACTGCATGCATCTATGTGGCTGTGGCAATTGCATGGAAATGAACAGGAATGGCCATCGTACCTCGGTTCATCAACTTCTTGAAGTCGATTTGGCTTTCGGCAAAGGAATATTTTGTAAAAATGTCACGGGTACCTTCACAACGCATGAAAACGAAAAGAACATAGCTGACATGTAGGCCTTTTCTCAGCACATCTGAGCTGAGGCATGGACTGATCTTTGTGCTTTAGCTACGTCGCCCTGAGGCGCACGCCGCATCATAGGGATGAACACATAATTGAAGTGGAAGTTGTCCAGCTTAGTCGCTGTCTGTGGCGGAAGTGGCAAGTCCATGACGCTCAATTCTCTGACCAGAAGTCTCACTAGCACTCTCTACAGCTCCGCCAGTGCGGAACCGCGGTCCAAGGGGCTCAAAGGGTCGATCGATAAACCTCTTGCTTTGGCTGCCACAGCAGCTCCCAATACGCCGCCTCTAGCCGATGTCGATTGGGACTACTATTACTGGGGTTTCACCTACCGCGTTTTTCATAACAGACCGCCACCTGTTCTTTACCCTCTTCCACTGCACATCACCGACCGCGTACCCATCGAAATCGCTGACCACATCATCGGCTTTCTGGTGTGCGATAGGCGCACGCTGCGTGTATGCATGTCCGTGTGTCGAGCATGGTACAGCGCTAGCATTCGCCCGTTTTACAACGACATCTCTCTCTGCAGTCGTCGTCAATTTCAGGGGTTGGTGCGCCTCCCACACCAAAATCCTTCAAGCCGCTCCCTCCTCCTCCGGACTCGGACTTTGTCCATATCACACAACGAGGACGACAAGCAGTTCCTCCATGTCGTTCCCCTCGTCTTGCCGCGGATCTGTCCCAATGTAGAGAGCCTCGCTTTTCAAGGCTGTCCTCCAGGCTCCTTCGACCCCACATTCACTCTGAATCTCTCCCAATTTCAACACGTGACCCACTTGGCACTACGCAGTTTCGTCCTCTCTAGTGTGTAAGATTGCGACGTGTCATCTGCGCTTTACCAGCACTCTCGGAGCTAGATTTGGTCAATGGTCATCTGACCAAAGCGGCGCAGAAGAACTTGGTGCCGCCCGCATATCCTGGACCTGGGCCTATCCTGATACCGAAGCTCAAGAAGCTGACGCTAGTGTCCCTCGACTCAGCACTGCTTGATCGTCTGGTTGATTGGTTATTTCCCACAGATGGCCGTAGTACCATCGTTCCCTATGTGTAGAGCAGGACTTCGCGGCTAGTGAGCGGTCGATCTGCGAACTCCTTCAAAGGGCCGCGCCGTCCATGGAGAACTTGCGTCTCATTGACTCCGGGCATAGTAATATACTTCTTGGGCGTAAACCTTCTCAGCTGACCAATGCTGACAGGTTATCCCTCTTCGCTCCTCAAATTGCATGGTGCCAATCTACGCATTTTGCAATTTGGCTACCGAAATCTGGATTCTGCAACAAACATGGACCCATCTTCACCACCCTTGAGAATAGCAGACCAACTCCACTTGGTTCTTTCCAATCTCTCTCAGTGCCAACTAGAACGGCTCAGTTTGGTCGTTGATCTTTCCTCGACAGTAGCACGATATGGCCACACGATCGACAGACTCAATTGGACACCTCACGACCATCAAGTGCAGCGTCGTCTACATGACGTGGCGAACGCACCTTCGTTCAACCGGCTCACCAGTGTCAACATTCAATTTCACGTCGCTCAAGATAGGCGTCAATGGAACCAGACCGATTTCTCCGATGCGATGCAGATTACCATAGAGAAAATGCAATCTTTACTGGCATCCTGGCACGACCGCGGGATCCTCAACGTATGCGTTCGAAGTCTGCTATCGTGCTACGGTCCACTGCAGTCCCGCCGAACGTCATTACGAACAGCACCATCCAAGGGGCATTCAACCGTTCTTGCAGGTAGGGCGGGATCATTCGGCGGATCTGGCTACGCTTCAGACACTGAGGGTGTAGATGGGGCATGACAGTGAAACACAGACCACTACGAGAAACAGTTCGTCATTCCCCCCCTTCAAATCTCAGTGCATGAATAACACGCTGTTTAGGATACACATGCATTGCGCATTCGAGCGAAATTTGGACGCACGATCCAGATCCACGCAAACTCACGACACATTCACGGCCGTGTTGAGGCTATAACACATGACATATGACGGAGGGATGGAAGACGATGGTGAAGGTATCATTCGTAATGTTGAGAAGGGCCTGTATTCGCGTAGTGTGCATTACCTTGTGTCAGTCGGATACGAAGCTTGCTGTTCCCTGGACAGCACACTATCGATGTAGCGTTCGAGGACAACCACAGATAACCGCGTTCAATACATGCGTTCACTTCCTCTGAATGGATAACACTATACATACAAGTATCCACCGACGGCGTAAGTTGCGAGAGGGGAATAAGTGATACACATTAGCACACGCGCTATCCTAGGTCCACTCCTAACCAAACGACCATCTCAGTCCAAAGCAGGCGCGCGGGTCGACGCTCTCCTCCTCCATCATCACCTCGACGCTGACAGCGACACACGACGTGCATGGCCACGCGCCATGAAGAGTGTGCCGTCAGCTTTATGGAAGAGACGCCTGTCCCCACCCGTCGACCACCTCTCGATGTACGACCACCGAGCGCTGAACCCGGATGGCCAATCCTGTGACGCAGACCTACCCGCTCCGACTCTGTAATCCATGCATGCAAGACTGATGGTGCCATATGTAGTTGACTTACAACGAATGAGCGATGACGACGACAGCGTGGAGCAAAGCAAGAGGCAGGTGAGGGTATCCAGGATATGCGATGATGAGGATGATGCAGCGCGACTGCATGGATTTGAAGGTCGACGAAAGGATTCTGGAAGGTCACGGTGATCTTCGTCCGGAAGGCATTTCGCCCGGGAGCTCCTCGGGTGTCGACAAGTCCACCAAATCTACCGCAGCATCAGCCAACGATTCTCCAATACACGTCGACCACCGTGCTCCTCATGACAGAGACACCCACCGATTGGACTCGTGAACGTCATCACATACGGGTGCAGCCTCGGTGCGCCTCTCCTGTACCCCTCCCGAGGCGCACCCCACCCCTCGCGCGCCTGCCCCCGCTCGCTTCCGCTCTCCCTCACGCGCTGCATCTCGTTATCGCCCTCTCTCAGGGGCGGCTTCTTCGACACATACGAGCTCGCGCGCCGTGCGACGCCGACGCCCTCCGCCCACGACGGTAATTGGGGCGACAGCGAAGAGCGGCACGCGGGCGGGGGACCGCCACGCGCACCGCCGGTGGCGAGCCAGGTGGTGGCTGCGCGTTTTGTGGAATCTGCGGTGATGAGAGGGTGTGTGGGAAAGGGTGGCGCTGGTATAGGTTGTTCACGGCGTTCTGCGCTGGTGTTTCCTGTGGGGACCCCGGGCCCACAGACGTCGGCAGTAGGATCTGCGAATGCGGTCGTGAGGGCGGGGAAGACGGTGGCGACTGCGCGAACGAATGTGGACTCCGAGGGTACGGAAAGGAATGGGGGCGGGGATGTGGGTGGTGGTCCCGCGGGTGGTCATGGCGCGGGTGGTAATGAGAATTTTGTGTGCGCATGTGCGAGTATGGAGGCGCATCGCCGCCTTCTCCTTCCTCCTCCGCCCCCTCCTCTGCCTCCTCACCCTCGTCCGCCTCCTCGATCGTCTCTCCCCCGCCCACCGCGACGTCCACCATGCTCTCGTGTGGACTCACCGCCGTGCTCACCACCTCACCCTCCAGGTGCTCGGGCCCGGCACAGACCCCGTCCCCCCCGCCCACCGCGGAGAATTGGTGCTGTGAATGCCCGTGGGTGGACGGCGCCCTCGGCAGCTGATCGAGGCTCGCGATGTGGTGGAGCTGCGGGTGGGACAGAGCGCCCGTGAAATGGTGGTGGCCCGAGGGCGAGAAGACGGGTGCGGAGTGGGCTATGGATGGCGCATGGGATAAGGAGAACGATGGTGCGTGCGTGAGGATGGGGGTGCTGTATGCTTGGGTGAGTGGTGGACTGTGGATGTCGGCTTGGGCTTGTAGCCCGCCTCGCGCAGGATGGACCGCGGGAAGAAATCTACAGGAGGTCAGACAACGCCGCGGCCATAGGCACAAGGAGCAAGTAGTCATATGAGACGAGGTTCAGCATCAAGCATCAAATTAGTGAGACGCACCAGGAGCGTAATCGCAGACGACACGAAACAGCCGACCCCGCCAATCATAACCAAGAAATCTACACCCGACACTCATCAATAATCCACTCAAGTCCATCCACAAGACAACAATACCTGCCGACTCCCTAAACGTTCATCAGCATCACTTAACTTCCTCAGAGATGCAATGATCACGTACAGATGCGAATTCAGCGGGTGGCTCGACCCAACGATCGCGTCCAGGGCAAGCATCAGCAGCGGCACCGTAAACAAGAACCTAAACACCACCCGTGCGAGCTGCACCCCAACCGGAAAAACGTGTTCACGTCAACATCAAGCCCACACACGAAGGCACAACGCCCTGCACGTACGTTCAGCTGGTAGAACGTCGCCAATCGGACGACGACCGTCGGGTCCGCGCCCTCCGACTTCACGTGCCGTATGAATCGCGGGAAGCGCCAGAGCACATACAGGAACGCGACCGTCGTGCTCAGCGAGCCGCACGAGCCGCTCAGGAAGATGTACGCGTCGAGCTGCGGGGACACACGTTAGGGGAGAGCGAGACGGGCCTCGAACGCGGGAGCACGCACCGTATCCAGGTGCCTACGTGCAATCATGCACGTCAGCGGCATCCCTATGATGGACACGATGCTCCCTGGTGACAAACAAGATGAGCCGTCGCGAGGCGCACGGGAGGGGCGGAGACGCACCCCAGTACCAGAACCTGTACTCCCAGCTCTCGAACCACTCGCCCTTCTCCGGCCTCTGATGGAGGAGGTACAGCCAAAACGCGAGCTCTGCACATCACCCATACGTCAGCCGTGCATCACGCACCCCAGATGGGTAGCATAGCAGTGCGGGAAGACACCGACCTTCGAGGTGGGTTACGCTTGAAACATCGGAGACGGGTGAGCGTGAAGACGGTCGAGAAATCGGAAAGCATACGCACAGCTCGAGCGCCCAGGCGAAGCTGAATACGAAGTTCAGCGGGAGGACCCACGCCCGCGAGCGATCGCTGTACATCTCGATGGGTCGGGGGAAGACTGTCAGTGCGCATATACCCACACACACATGACGACGCAACGGATAGGCGAACCAGATCGTCGAGCACACCAGCCAATTGCAAGCACAGAGCATCCCAAAGCCCGGCGGACCAATCGGCAATCAAACAAACCGCCGGCAGGTCAACATTCGCGTATCGGCATCACCGTAGCAAACGAGTTACGAGATTCGCGCGAGCCAGCAACAATCACGCCGGGACCAGACCGCGAAGACCGCCACAAGACGACGAACGGCGCATCAGTAACCAGGGCGCGGAGACGCGCAGAAGACGTCCGGCCAGGGCGAGGCGACAAGTCAGATGAGATCAGCCGCGCGATATTTCACCGGGCGAGGGATCCGCCGAGTGGTCCGGACGGGAGTTCGGGATCGGGTGGCCACACGACGGATGCGACCATGACGCGGAACGTCGAGGCGATGCCGGAGTCGCGAGTGTTCGGGGGATCCGCAGTGCAGTGCGCCGACGTTCGTAGCGAGGAAGTGAGCCGGCGCGCCGTCAGAACAGGACCGACATAACAGCGCGCGCAGAGACCGTAATGAGTGTAGCCCAATTGGAGGATGACGCGCAGGTTGGCGTAGGCAGAGCAGCAATGGGCGTAGCCGAGAGTAGGCCCATCATAAGTGATATCACGGACGAGCAGGAGATGCGAGGTGCCGCCGGATCACCAGAGCGAGTCGAAACCGCGCATTTCGGTAGAGTTAGCCGTGACAGGTCGGAGCGACAGGGATAATGAGGCAGCAGCGGAGCCAGCGGGAAAGGTTGGGTGTGCCGGTTGATGCGGGTGAGCGAGCGGTTAGGGTGCCGAGGGGAAGAGAGAATATCGAATGAATGGAGAAAGAGAGGATGTGCATGGTGAGCGGAGGGTGTATAGAGAGATAGACAGCATGTACGCACTTATATTTGTCGTGGGTAACACGACGAAGCCTGGTGGAGCATGCATCGTGTCAGCAGGTAGGCACACGGCGAGCGGCTTGCGCGAGACGCGAGGCGGTAGCCCCTGCGCTGCGAGATGGCGGGCGGAACGCACCTTCGCGGTATTTCAGCACGGTATATGCGATGCTGTATACCGTGAACAGCGGCACACTCGCTAGATATGAATACTACCGCACCGCCGCGCATATATTGCATGCAAGTAGATAGCCAACGCTCGCAGTAAGCATAACGCGTGCATATGATGATTGCAGGGACGACGCACGGTCATGACACGCTTGAACGCACCGGGCTGGCGGCCGGCCGACCAACGGAGACACTGAAAGCGGTCGTAGCTCCAGAGGTGGTATATCAGAAATCCGAGGAACTGCCCAGCACCGAACGCAAGCCATCCCAAGCCGTCCAAATCACAACATTATGCATCCGTGAGGGGACCGCGCAGCACCCACATGAGCCCATGCAGCACGCATATACAACACGCGCGGACATAAGAGGCAACCACGCGGGGCACCATGCATATATGGAAAGAATGAACGAAACAGCGTTAGACGTGCGCGGGGACGCGAGGAGAGGGTACGCACGAGGACGGAGAGGATGGTCCACAGGAGGTACGCGGTGGGCGATGCGTTGCTCATTACTTAGCCCCGCCAGGGCGGCGTGTGCGGGCGTCCGAGGCGGCGCGCGCGTGTGTACTTCGATAGACCTTGCGTGTGTGTGGGCTTGCGGGCGTCGTACGCGACGATGAGCGCGGCGTGTTGGTCGCGGTGATGGCGCACGGGAGGAGGGGGGACGAGGAGGAGTGCGACGAGGAGGCTGAGAGGGCGGACACTCGAACGGAGGACACAAGCGGACGAACGAGCCAACCCACGGCTCGTTCGATCCAGGCACGCCGCTGTCCCCGATTTGGCTAGCGACCCCGCGAAGACGCCCGGGACCTCCCATGAAGATCTGATCGGGCTCCCTGTACGCGGCCGTACTTCTCGATTAATTTATTATCCCAGCCCGCCTTCCGTTGATCGCGACCGTCCGCAGCGCCGATGTGCTCTCGTCGAAATTGTGCAGAATGCGAGACTCAGACAGGAGAGACGACTGGCCTGACTTGGGATATGCTATCTATATCACAGAATTTGAGGACCATATCTCGGTGACCTCGGCGCATCTCCAATTTGACTTACGGACGGATATGCCGTCCAATCTCAATCTGCCATCACGGACCAAGGTCGTCGCCCGGTCGTCGCGGCCACCGTGAGGTGGGTCTCCTACGCCGCTGTACGACTCGTCTCCTCTCGACGCGACACCCCATAAGTAGGCTGTACTTACGACCGTCACGGAACAACGTCGCGACTGTGATGGCACGCGCTCCGCGCCTCCCAACGTGTCGCCGCGCAACCTTGATAACCACATGTACAGTATATCAACTGAACAAAGTATCTCATGCCGGGCTCGCTTGTATTACGCCCAAGGCACCCATACATGTACTGACACCGCTGGTACAGTATGCGGCCATCCGGGGCATAACCCAACCTCTGCTCTCTATCTCCGTACTTAGCACGTTTGTTGCGCGTATCTCTGCCACTCCGGAACATACCCCTTTCATGCGTATCTATTTATTCCCATCTTCGCGTCATGGCGGCTCATATATTGCAGCTTCCCTCAGAATTCCAGTACGTACGGCACAGGTCAAGCCCATGATTCAACAGCTCGCGAACCACGTCCTCCAGCCAATCTGACCACGACGATCTCACAACCGTCATCCTCTGCGATTCTCTATCACTTTCTACATCTACACGCGCCCGCACATCGATTCTGCTGTTGACCAAATCAACTCATCATCAAACTTAACCTCTCCTCCGCTGGCCGGTGACCCCACTGAGATCAGTCTCAATGCCCTCGTCCGCAGCGCACCCAGCGAGGTACGCTCTGAGGCCAACTCGTACCTGTTTACCTTATCCAGCGCGCCCTCAATTACGCTTTACCACGGACCTGCGCTTCTAGCTCCGATCTGGTGCGCACACAGCTTGAACTTTCGATTGGGCGGGTGGCAGGCTCGGGGCCGCTTATCTCCAGGCACACCAAGGCCGCCGCGCCAGTCGCGGCGCGCCCAGCTGCGAATGGCACCGCGGAAAGCTTGACTGCGCAATGACGCGCCTTGTGTGCGTTGCCAGTGTCTGCATCCGACGTGGTCTAGGTCACGAGGGATTGATTGGGGATCATTGTGAGTGATTTTAACCTGGCCGAGGCTCGGGCGCGAACATGCTAGTACTCACCTAACGAATACTAGTAGTGTGTACTCGTTGTGCGGTTTAAGTTGAATCGCGTAGTTAGTAAGTGTTCGTCCTATAAGTACCCGCTCTCATACTCACCATCCTCGCCAGAGCAGTACTTGAAAAAACCAGGTTTGGAGACCTCATCACACTCACCGGCGCGCCCCGTTTCATACAAGATCATGGCCATGCGAGGCACCCACTGGCACTTCCGGAGCATATGGCACCGACACCGTTTCTATGGTACTCGTCGTGCTCATCGCTGTTGCCGGCTCACCTACGAACTGATCCACCAATATGCTAGAGATTGGCGCAACAACTTGGCGAGCCGCCACAATATTCAAGTTGAGTACAACCGGGACGGATAAATGATGGACCAAGCTGCTTTTGTGGGATTTGTCTCAGTCCGTGCTTCAAGTTGCGACCACGCGGTCTCGAAAAAACAAACACAAGAGTTGTGTTTGCCGACGCACGCTGACGCCAGAGACTAGGCCACTCGATGTTACAACTTGAGGATTACGAACAGGCCGGGAGGGAAGGACGGAACGATCGCATTTCACATTACTGTATCGTACATCGTATGTAGATCTGAGCCTCAAATTCTTCTCCTGCCCTTCATCATGTCTGCAGCGGCCCGACAGCTCGTTCATTCAAATAACAACCGTTCACGGGGCAGATAGCACGGTGGCCATAAACTGATCGTAGTTCAGCTGCACCCACCCACTGCGGTTGGTGTCGAGGCGCTGGAACGACTCCGTGAGCTGCTTCACGGCGACGCACGCGCGCACGAAGCGGTCAAACGTGATGCCCGCGGTGAGGCCGGGACCAGCGGCGCCTTGACGGATGTCTGCCCCGGTGAGCGTGGGCGGTCACGGATGCAGCGGGCGGGAACTCACCGTACTTGCGCTCGACGAGGTCGAGCAGGCGCGGGGAGAGGTTGTAGCCGAACTGCGTAAGGGCGTCACGCAACTCGCGCACGTCGATCGTGCCGGAGCGGTCGCGGTCGAAGTGGCGGTAGACGTTCTGCCAGTCTTTGACGTACTTCCATAGGCCAGCGAACTGCGGATGTAACCGTTAGCGGTGGCCTTCAAAAGAACGAACAGGGCAGTGCGTACTTCGTTGTAGCCGATGGTTCCACTGCGGTCGACATCCTGGTGGAACAGTTAGTCTCGGCACAGAGTAAAGAAGACATTACTCACGAAGATCGTCATCAGCATCTTCACGGTGTCGAGGTCAAAGGGCGTCCAGTCGCCATTGATGAGCGCCTTCTCTATATGGACCCGCGCAGCGTAGTTCAGTGTTCCACCCAACATACCACCAAGATGGTGTAGACTCACGGAGCTCATGGGCACTTATTTGGCCGCTGCCGTCCGTGTCGACAGCAGTGAACCAGTTCCACAGCCTATGCACCGCAGCCGCAGCAGGGATTCTCAGTGGAAACCCCTTACCCCCTGACGTAGTACAATACTCACTGAGGATCAACTCCGGGCGGCGGCCCCCTGGCTCCCCTCGGTGCAAAGCCTCCAGGTTCGGCTCCGGCTCCGTATCCCCTGTGTCCTTGGTCGCCTCCTGCTCCATATCCACCACCTCCGTACCCCGGCGGCGCGCCAGTCGGAGGTGCATATCCGCCACCATACTGTCCGGCAGCGATGGTCGAGATAAGAAATCAGTGATACACGCTAGGAGGAGAGTAACCACATACGCCGTAAGACATAATCAGTTCTGTTGCAGTTGGTACGGTTTGTCTCGGTGAAGATGAATGTCGAGAGCAAGGGCAGCGCGGTGAGGTGGAGGATTATGTATGTATCGGTTTGGTGGACCGCCACAATTGCGCCAAGCCCAACGCGCGCGCGTCTGGGCGCGTCACGCGAGACGCGTCATTCACGTGCGCCTCGCCCGCGGCCAGGTGACTGACGCGCTACGCGACGCCAACGCGCGCCTGACGCGTGTTGAGTTCTTCGACTTCTACCAAACTATCGATTGAGGCTGCTTTTGCTTGATCTTCTTGCTTGATATTGAAGGTGTATACAACACACTATGCGCTTCAGATCTTCGAGGACCCAGAGATAAAATCATCGCAAGAGCTGATCGTCTTGCAGATTGCAGGCGCGCTCGCGAAACACACACGCGACGCGTACTAGTATGCCTCCAGACAGCTATGAGGTACTTTGGGACACTCGATGATTTTGGAATTTGATACATGACTTATGAGCAACACTTCACACTTGATAGGATCTGGTCGCGCTCTCCGGCGAGACGTTTGGCCTCTCGGTCGATGTGTCGAATGTGCGCTTCTACACACAAGAGCTCGCGGGAAGCAAGGGGATCAACGTAGAGATCACAAAGGGGGCATGGGACGCGATCAAGACCCTCCTCACGTCAGTGACCGTCGAGCTGCACGACTCGGGTGCGCGAGATCAGAAGAAGGCACCCGGAAGAGCATCGCGCCCCCTTGCCGGATCGCGTCGTCACGCACGATGTAGGGGATGCGCCCACGAAAGACGTCATTGACGCAGCGAGGCGCTCTCGCGCATGAGCCTCGCGCCCGATGACAAACGGCATCGGGCGTCACGCCGCTCGTTCGTCCTGCCATCGCCGGCGCGGCCTTCGAAGGCCAGCGAGGATAGAAAGTCGAGGGAACCAGTGTCCCACCTACTGAAGACGATGAAGAGAGGATGCAGAGGAAGAAGAGGAAGACGTTGTCTTTCGGAGCAGGGGCGTAGGCAAGCGCAGGTCGTCGCGTCCGAGGATGAAGAGGACGAGGAGGTGGAAGATGAGCTTGATGACGAGCTACGTGAGGAAGAGGCTGAGGGTGGCGTAGCGGAGGCATCGTCATCGCCGAGGAAGAAGACAATGCGCAACAGCTGCAGCTACCACCATCGCCGCCACTGGCGCCGCAATCTCCTAAACAGCTGCAGCCCCTCCCGCCATCCCCCAAGACCCCAGCCTCGAAGGTTGACCGGCGGAGCTCACCTCAACGCAGCATCGGTGTGTGTTTATTTGTTCGCGACTGCTTGAACGGTCCCTAACACATGGTGTCATCGTAGTCTCACAAGCAGCCCAACGCCTAAATCAAGCAGGAGCGTAACGCAACCGCTAGCGCAGGACCCAAATCCGTCAAAAAAGAAAGGCCTGGTGAGCACCGGCATTCCCATCACTATTTCCATAGCCCTGATATCTAACAACGCATACAGAACCTCCTCCGCGTCCGCAGCCCGGGCCAGATGAACGATTTGTCGTCATCATCGAGTATGACGACGGCAGCGACGAGGAGACGCAAACAATGTTCAAGACTCGGGGACGCCATACCGTCTCGAAGGTGCTCATGCAAGCCTGTCGTACGTTCGGCATCGAGGAGTTGTATGATAAGTGCGTACTCACACGTCGGATTGTCATGGACCACCTCTGACTTATATTCTCAACAGGACGCAGCTGGTGCTGGCAATTGACACGGAGGAGGATGGTGAGATCGTAGAGCACAGATTCATGTGCCCGAAGGACGAGACCATGGCGAACGTGGGCGCGGTGGCGGAGTCAAGGTTCATTGTGCAAGTCGAGGACGATCTGTGACACATACTTGCTTATCTGACACTGCTACACCAACAAGATTAACAGATTATTGACGTGGCTCAGACTTTGGACCTTCCTTGCAGTACTCATGCCAGGTAGCCACCTTTCAGCGCTCCTGAAAGTCTCAGCCCCGCGTGTGTGGACGATGATTGCGCTGCTGTTGACATTGCTCTCTCGATAGTCTGCACCGAATGGTCGTGCAATATCAACGTACAGGGTCGCTCCACTAATCTGGCTGAAGGTCAGACTATCCCTGGATCACGAATTGAGAATGGGAGCGACTGTGATACCGCCGTGATACCGGCGATTCAACGTATCTTTGTAACGATATATTGACATTCTGCTACAGGTGTTGGAATACGAGACAGTAGGCGAGTCTACCAGGTGTCGAGTCTGCATAGAGGTATGATACACATAGGAGGTAAAGTACATATAATCCGTGACCGTGTTGACGATATCGTATGCATCGTATGATTTTGTTTGACCTAGTCGGATGGAAAACATAGGGTCGAGTCGCTAATTCCAGAGGATTCTGTACACACCTTCGAGGTCACTTCAGACGGATGTTACCATGTTTCGATCGACAGCGTCTCGCTGGTCGACGGCGAAACACTGCCGTTACAATCGGACTCCAGGTCGACTGTGTCGGTATATGTGGAGGTAAGCGTCTCTAATGTGGGACTTCGAAGATTTGGGGCATATGGTATGTACGCGAATTTCTCCAGGTCATCACCGCCACCTGAATTGTAACCGCACTTCCTCTAAGCGCAGTGCATGTCAGTAATGTGCTCTCGGCCCTAAGTGAGGACATACTTTGGGCAGATAGCTGTTCCTTCCCCGTGTTTCCTTGTTCCCTAACAGCGGCAAGCTAACACCGGTCGGTCGTAAAACGGCCGCCAAAAGCAGTCTAACGACGGAACACGATTCAGCGATAGAGTCGACACCCGGATGACGATACACGAATGCTCACAAAGTTAACAAGTGGAGAGTCATGGTCATGCTGGTGTGGCTACATCCAGTTGTTGCCTGACTTCGGAAGCTTCCCGTCGACGCCAGAGCCACCAATCCATCTTCCGGTATATGCGGGCGAAAACACACCCTCGCGTTGGCAGTCCACCTAGTGCAGCTTTGTATCGTTCGACCCTCTTCAGAAACCTACCCGTGGCCTGCGAGAACGCCTCGAGTTTCTCGGAAACTGAGAGGGCCACTGTGGCATCCAACGCTTGAGCTAAGGGAAGCACAACGCGCTGGATGGAATCTAGGTCGGCGCGGAAGCGGTCCACTTCACTGACTGTCTTCCTGTAGTCGCTAGCTGAACCGCGAGCGTCGTTGAAGGCCATACAGATGCTCTTTAATGTGGAGAGAATGGTGGCGATGTCTCCGAGACTGATGGGGACAGACATGACGATGAGCAGCGGAAGCCGGTGAACAATACGCCGCGAAGACGATGAGGCAGAATAGGTTCAAGCTCTCCGGGGAGCATAAGCAGACCCAATTTATAGTGTCTGCACCTCGCACATCGTCTCTCCCAGACCATGGAACGAACCACCAAGGCTGCGCAGGTGGGAATGAAGTAGTGACTTGAACGCACGGTGCGTCCAGGCCAGAGACCTGAAGACCCACCAGACGTTTTCGGATATCTTGCGTATTGCTTCTTGAGGCGGATGAAGGTGGACAGAGCACATTGACTCTAGCTGATGCGCCCGTCAGGAGGTGGGACGCTCGGATCCTGTACCTGACAGTACATTATGTCCGTGACGCGCGTGGCGCAGTACTGTCCACCTCCATCACATCAAGAACCGAATCAAGTTCCAGGCCTGCCACCCAAAAGGACAGACGTCCACATCGTCGCCTGCTGCACTGTCTTATTAGGTAGCCTGTACGCTTGTAGCGGTTAACTTGAACCCGACTCACTCAATATGCCAACGTAGCAGTATTTCGTGGGATGAATCAGACACTTCGATATTACTATAGATGTACGTCGGCGTAATGTCTAAAGATGTGGTCAGTAGGGCTGGTGGCTCAGGGTGGGACCCGGTGACTACGTACCAGCGGTGTACATACTTCTTGACATGATGAGTCAGAATAAGCCTCAAGCGCCCGTGTAGGTCTTCCCGTCTGAACAAGCGAAGCGGCCCGGGTGGTCGTACATAGCGGCTGTGGTCGCGCAGAAGGGGCGATGAGATCGAATAAAAGTGCACCACAGAGGCTCGAAAACTAGCGTTAGATAGGCATAAAACTACTCAGATAACTTACAGGCTAGCGCAACATATCTACGGACAGTGGGGCACGTATGTAAGTATGTGACGGGGGCGCCCGTTACACTCCCTGATAGTTATCATATAGCCGTGAGATCGAATTTGTTACCGTCTCCCGTATAACCTTCTTGAACAAGTACAGACTGCGTATCCGCCTGCGCTCGAGGAGCACCTTCGCGCTTTGGGAGATATTGTATCTCTCTTCCTTTACCAATCATCGCTGTTAGAGAATTCAGTAAGGACCGCAGAGTCAATGAAACGAGCTCAGGCCGACTCACACGCCGCTCCGGTTCGTTTCCGTACCGCGCTGTTACCTGTCTGTGAATGGTAGACAGTCAGCCCCGAGGGGTTTGGCACACCGCTGGTGACATGACTAATTTCAGTTTAGCAAACGTTGCAATACGGACATGATCAAGATGAGAAGCCTACAGAACCAACAGAGCGACAGTCGCGCCCAAGTCGAGGTAAGCTGCGCTCAGCACAGTCCTAACAATGGAAGGCTTGTCTTTGCCCCACAGCCGCCAGTGAAACTTCCAGTATGTGCGTGTGACCATGCCTCCTTTCCCCAGCTGTGAGGCTCGTCCGAACACCTTGTCATATTGCTCGAAGGTCTTCATGAAAGTCCTGACGGCTTCCTTGTAAGCTCCGACCTTGTTGGAGATCAACGAGGCTAGCGTCGTGTGTGACCGCTGCGCGACGGCAGCACAACTCGCTCGAGGACGCCGAGGACAACGTGAAAGTGGTCCATCTCGCTGGCTATCGTCCGATAGTCCTCGACTGCGCCGCTCGGAGCCGCGCACAGGTTGGCGTCGCCAAGACGTTGAGGACATACTCAATACCAGCAGGATCCGACATGACGATGAGTTCGGAGGTCGCTGAGCGACAAACGGGCGATTTGACAAAGTCGCGAGCTCGTGGCAGGTTAGCTTTTATCATCAAGTAAGCGATACACCTACAAGGGGTCAGCTAACTAAGCGGTGGGGATGACATTGCTCACATGAGCGTTCTATATTGGCCAATGTCATACCCCTGGATTCGTACGGGAGTCGAGACGACCGGTGGATCTTGGTGTGCGAGCGGTGGGGGGTTGGAAATGAATTGGAGAGGTGGATACGAGTTCTTCGACAAAGATAGGCGTGCGCAGTGTATTCGGCATTTTGGTCGCCGCCCAGCGGCGTGCCTTCTGTTAATGAGCATAAGTTAGTCACCCAGACTGCTCTATGAGATCCGAGTGAACATCGCCTACGGAAGATGTTGAGCACAGGCACGCCATGCCATAGGTTTGTCTCGCCCACCTACACTCGATTCCACCAATATGCATCAAACCCAGCTTGATTAGGTATCCTAAGAGCAATTTCCACTTGCTTTCTGGTCCTCACCAACCATCTGACATCGTGATTTGGCTGGTGGACCGATTGTCCACCACCCGGCGCTTGAGGTTCAAGTGTGGTGGACAGGCTTCGGACATGACACGACGGACTCGATGGGCTGAGGAAAACCCACCCACCATTCATCCGTGTGCTCGCTCGCCTGTATCACAAGCACGTGTGGACCCGAGGTTATCGGTGGTGCACAGGCCACCGACAGTGTTTGGATGGCTTCAAGTTGGGCGTTCAATACAAGTGATGTGTGCTGGCAATAGTAGCCCATGCGACTGGCAGCGAACTCGAGTCGGAAGCAAGAGTGGAAATGTCAACGAAACCGCGACTCAGATAGCATAGCCTCCCGTCCGATGCGTTAAGCACATGACAAGAAAGCGAGAGCGCAACGCACAAGTCTATGTAGGTACTGTTGGAGCAGTCTGAGCGATGCGGCCGGAGTAAATGTACGTGGGAAAGTTCGGTACGTAGCATCGACTACCGTGCTGAGCGCTGCCAGTCCTAGATGCAAGTGCACGTCGTACGGTTCACCTACACCTCAGTTACTGATTTACTAGACTACTGAACAAGATTGTCAAACCATCGAAATTCCTCACAGGTATCTTTCACACGGAGTGTTCATGCTTGCCCTTGGTCGCCTCCCGGGCACGGTCTCGCTGTGATTGACGGCGCAATACGCTTTCGATGGTCTTGAATGAGTCGAATTTTCCCTGCGATCCATCCTTGTATGGTCGGTTCACCGTCACACAGCACCCCGGACCGCCAGCAGAGAGCGAGAACGACTCCATAACGCAGTCGAAATTAAGCACCGCCGCGGTGTAAAATGTCAACACAAAAATCGTCGTTTTACGACGACGGCAAATAATCGTAATCAGCATAACCGGCCTTGACATGGTCTACCTTAGATCGACTCTGCGCACAGGTATCATACGCATAACATCGGGGAAAGCATATCTGGTCCGTGGTTTCTTCGGCGTGTCACCGAGTAGTCGTTGCTAATGGCTAGTCATTCAGGTGTGAGATTGAGTAGCTGCATCCAGCGCGTTGTGTGCATACCTTGGACAAGCATATTGACTCAGCGAATGAACCTCTCCAGTAGATCTTCATCAAGCCGTTCAAGCGTCTCGTCCCAAGCTAGCGTAGAATCGCTGCTATCCCGACAGTGTTGGTAAATCGACATGCTCGCACGCTTGTGGACGATAGTTTCCAGTTCAATGCTTCGACTGTATGGATCGTTGGGCATGGGCGAAGATCGACCTCCAGGGTCAGAAAAGCCTCCACCCGGATGCCTCTCGGTGAGCTTTATGCATTCCTACACGGACATGATCATTCAGTACTCCTGGGTGCCTGGCAATTTTATATAACTGAAGTACCATGCGCTGGAAACAATTTGTCTCCGTCATGCTCCTGTCGCGTTGAAGTCGTTGCGTAACATTTGGCCTTGCGGAGGACGACGAATCGCGCGAAATGCGTCTGGTAAGCAAGCACATTTTAGTGCGCGATTGTATGAACGTAGAGATTGTCTCACAGCGTCAACAAAGCTAAGTCATGGATATGCTGGAGTAGGCCCGTACATATCTTGTCTGGCTTGTAAGACTTCGCTTTTACGCCGAAGCCGCCAGTCGATCTTCCGGATTACACGGCAATTACCCCCCATGCTTCAGATGGTGTCCTAGTGTCGTGTCGTATCTTCGATCGTCTGCTTGAATTTTCATGGCTTCTCCGTATGCATCGAGTTGTCGGAAGTGACGATGCAATCCATATCAGGTCTTGTGCGAGGGGCAGGCGACACCCTGATGATGTCGAGGTCAGCACGAAAGCGGTCTAGCTCCCTAACCATCTCTGGTATTCCTCAGCTGATCCACGAGCGTCGCTGAGGGCCAGGCGCATGCTGTTCAGTACCGCGACGATGCTGATGATGTCCCCGACACCGAGAGGTGATGACATGAGTATGAGTACGAGACCCTTCCAATATCCTCTGAAGAGGGAGCCAAGGTGGAATGCAAGCGTAGTGGTCCGTGTAACGTGCGTACTGCATCGTAATGCGAGCCGCTTTTATACGTCTGCGAGCACTGGCATGCAATGCATCCTCAGACTCGGCCTTGTTAGGTGAGCACAAGAACGTTGCGTATCCTGGAGGCCATTCCACCAGATGCGTATGACACTGGTGGGTGGATCCTGTTGCTCATAGAGATGGTGGGAGGTGGACACCGGAGGACATTGACTCTACCTGACGCGCGCCTGTCGGAAGGTGGAACGATCGACGGTTCCCATTCGGTACCAGTACGTCCGTGACGCGTGTCGCACAGCAATCCACCTGCAAGGTGGCATGAACTTCGTGAGTACGAATGTCTTGACCCGCTCTCGGCGACAACGAGAAGAAACTCGAATGGGCACCTTGTACAATTGTGCGCATCTAGGAGCCTTCCGGTCCTTAACTTACCAATTTAATAATGCACCGCTGTGCTGGGGAAGGAACGGCGGTGTCGTCTGTGGATCTACGTCGCCGTACTGAGAACGCAGTCGGTGAGGCCGGTAGCTCGCATTGGAACGGCTATTCATCCTGTACGATTATCGTGGCAAGAACTCACAAACTCGAGCGCTGTACATGTAGGCAGTTGTGGTGAGGCGCTCTGAATCAGCGATCGCCTCCTCGTTAGCCATTGTTCGCACGTAGTTAGGTGGTTTTTTGGACGGCCTAGCTTCTCAAGACAATCTCTCCCTCATCTCATCTCAGACGACATCTCCATTCTGCATCCACCCCCAGACACAGGCATGCATGGGTAGTCTGAGGAAAGACGGCGATAAGCTTATTGGGCCTAAGTAGCAATCGAACCTATACGGGAAATGGGTAAGCTAACGTCAGTTTGCCAGTGTTGGCTGTCTTTTCGAATCATGCAAACTAGGAGAAACTGGTGAATACAATGTTGCTCGACACACTGTACTTGCACCAATGACGCCGTGTCTGTCAGATCCGTTCCGCGGTACAAGCCTTCTTGACGATGAGGAACCAAAGTTCATGCTTTCTAGTACCACTTCACCGATAGTGCGCACCAAGTGCGCACATCTCGAACTGCTATAGCTTAGTCATATGACTGGAAAATCGAATTACCACCCTCAGTACCTTCTGTACACGCCTCTAAAATGACCACTACATCACCCCGACCTCGGCGTCCGGGAGATATTGGGTTCCTTTCCCATTCCACGAGCGACCCTCGCTGGTAGAAGATGGTCAGTGATTTGAGGTACCTTCACGCGCACGAATAACTGCATCTAACGCGGTATTGGGGCAAGCTTGATCGTTTCTTGTATACCCGGATCCACCAGAGACGTATCCTCCACCCAGGGGCACGTTAGTGAGGCCTTGAAGCTCCTACGGAGACGTGACACGTGTTATCAGTAGCTGGCGAGAACCACAAAGTGAAAATCGTACAATTGAGGCCGCGCTCTTTCGTTCCCGTACGACACCGTTACCTGTCTGTGGTTTGTAGACAGTCAGCCTTGATAGGTTTGGCACACCGCTGGTGACATGGCTAAGTACTGTTTAGCGAACGTCGTGATACAGATAAGATCAAGATGAGAAGCCTACAGAGTCAACAGGGCGACAGCCGCACCCAAGTCGAGGTAAGCTGCACGTAGCAGAGTCCTGAGAAAGGAGGTCTTGTCTTTGCCCCGAAGCCACCAGTGGAACTTCCAGTATGTGCGTGCGACCATGCCTCCTTCCCCCGGATGTGAGGCTCGTCCGAACACCTTGTCATATTGCTCGAAAGTCTTCATGAAAGTCTTGACGGCTTCCTTGTAAGCTCCGACCTTGTTGGAGATCAACGAGGCTAGCGTCGTGTGTGACCGCTGCGCAACGGGCAGCACAATTCGCTCGATGACGCCGAGGACAAAGTGAAAGTGGTCCACCTCGCTAGCTATTGTCCGATAGTCCTCGACTACGCCGCTGGGAGCCGTACACAGGTTTGACGTCGTCGTCGCCAGGTCGGTGAGGACATGCTCAATACCAGCAGAATCCGCCATGACGATGAGTTTGGAACCCGCTGAGTGATAAACGGGCGGGGTGGAACAGGATGAAGCCGCGGAGCTCGCAGGGTAGTACCTTTTTATGTAGCGAAGCGTATGCGATACACCTACGCAGTCTCCCGGTCAGGTAACTAAGCGGTGAAAAGGACAAAACTTACATGAACGGTCTTAGTACGTTTGGCCATCTCGCCTGTTACGAACGAGAGCTGTACGGGCAGTGGGAGGTGGATATGAGTCCGGGAGGCGGCTATGAGTCTTTCGACCCAAAATAGGCGTGTGCAGTGTGTTCGGCACCCTAATCCCCGCAGCTCAGCGGCATGATGCTGTGACGGTCGATGCAGCAATTTTCTTCACGTGTTCACCGCACTCGCGTTCTGAGAATGAACATAAGTGAATTTATCAGAGCGCTCTGTTAAGATTCGAGTGAACATCGCCTGTGGAAGTTATTGGGCACAGGCCACACGCCATGCCACAAGCTTCTCTCGCCCGCCTACACTCCGAGTCAACTCCACCCGTATGCGTCAAACCCAGTTATCCAGTTTGAATGGGTAAACTGAAAGCATTTGTCTACTTGCTTCCTGGATTTCACCAACCATCCGAGATTATAATTTGGCTGGGTGGACTGATACTCCACCATCCAGCGCTTGGGGTTGGTGCAAGGTTCGTCGCGGTGAATAGAGTTCGAACATGAAGCATTCGCACGGACTCGATGCGCTGCGTTCCACCATGCTCCGGCGTGGCATCCTTCCTTTCTACGAGTGGCCACTGACGTAGAAGGCGGGCCGCTCGGCAGCAGGAACAAAAGCGAGGCCATTGTCTCTCGACTTCTGGACGCGCAGCCACAACGACACCATGCAGGCGGTGCACGAACAGCGGACGAACGGTGGCCCAGCCAGTGCATCCATCTACTTCGTCGCCAGTCCTGAGCGCTAGTGCGTGGACAGCTTATTGGCACAGTCACAGGGACACATGTTGACGAATTGGGGTCTAGAGCAAGCACAAAACATTTGAGTCAATGGGAATTGAGGATGTTGACGGACCTGCTGGTACGCGAGCGACATCACCCATGGCGAGGATCATGGCATATATGCAGCTTGGAGGCCTACTCCTATCGACTAAAGCAGACAGCAGCGAGCCCCCATCAGAGAACTCTAAGATTGAAGCAGCATGCATACATGGACAGCACAGTAGTGACGATGACGGTCAAGGCGACGGACTGGGAGGCTCGTTCGACAACGGCTCGATCGGCCGGCCGTCCTTGTCTAATGGCCAGAAGTTGTTCTTGAAGAAGCCCTCCGGGTCGTACTTGCGCTTCAGGCCAGCCAGACGCGCCCAGTTCTTGCCGAAGCACGCCATCGTCCGCGCGGGGGGCTCGTGGCGACCGATGAACTGTAACCTTACTTCAGACTCATTACGAAACGGAGGACAACCGACAAACGTACAGACGGGAACGGGCCGCCCAGCGCGACCTTCCCGATCGTCCCGTCGATCCACTACCGACACAGACCGTCAGCACGCCCTCGACTCGGAGGCAGATCCACGCGAGATGAACAGCCACGCACCTCCTCAGCCGACTCGACGCACCGCGCGTCGTCAATACCCATCTCCCACTGGTGCAGCGCCGCGACCGTCCACACCGCCTCCCGCTGCTCCCGCGGAATCGGCGTGTCCTCAAAGTCCGCTATGGCGCCCCCGGAAAGCTCGAAGATCCACGCTGCAATCGACGGTCAGTCTTGAAATAGAGGTTGGGTCAGAGCCCGATGGGACACTCACTGCACCCGATGGGCGTGTTGGCGAACTGGATGACGGTCTGGTTGATGATTTCGTCCGGGAGGGAGTGGATGAGCGCCGAGCGGATGAACCACTGGCGCCCCGCTAGCGTCGCCCCCGGCCACAGTCAGCAAGCCACCCCCCACGCGAAGCCGGGCTGCGCACCTTTCCCCCGCAGGATCTGCGCGACGCTGTCCTGCTGCGCCAGATAGCTCTTCTCGTTCACCTCGTTCAGCAGGCAGCGCTCGCCGTCCCAGCTCGAGATCGCGTTCAGGAACTCCAGCCCCTGCTCCTTCGGCCCGACGTAGCACATCTGCACGACGACGAGCGAGTCCTTGTCCGCGGGCCCCGCCGTGAGCAGCACGTTCGCGTAGAGCTCGCGCGGCGCGCCCTTGATGCAGTCGCGCACGTGCTTGATGAGCGAGGCCGCGGTCGCGCGGTGGAAGCGGCTGTGGACGGCGGGTGAGCCCGCACTCGGGCGTGCGGACGGACGTGAGCGAGGGACGTACTAGATGAGGTTCCCAGCGAAGACGACGGGCACTGGGAACGCCCTGACCTTGTACCGGGTCGCGATCCCGAAGGCGGGGCCTGCGCCCCGAATTGCCCACCACAGATCTAAGAGATGGTGTACATATGTCAGGGCCGCGTTTTGCGAAAGACTTCGGCTCACCTGGATCGCTGTCCTCGCTGACGACCACGATCCGGCCATCCGCCAGCACCATCTCGATCTCGACGACGTTGTCCACGCTCAGCCCGTACATCCGGCTGATGAACCCAAACCCCGCAAGCAACAGGATCGACGAGCCCACAGGGTGCGCCGACCTACATCCATCCTCGTCAGCACATCGCCACCCCGCCGGAACAGAGAGAGAGAGACGCACGAAGGCATATGGTACGGCACGCTCCGCTCCTGCCGCTCGCCCGTCACGCCGCTGAGCCCCTCCAGCGGGTGCTCCGCCGTGTACATGTCCACCTCCTTCTGCTTCATCCCCGCGCCGAGCGTCACGTACGCGTGCGGGTGCACGGGCCGCGCGGGCGCGACGACGCCGAACCCGCCGTCCGGCGGCAGCGCGAGCATCCCCATCGGCGCCATGCCCAGCCCCGCGGGGAACGCGAACGCCGGCGGGAAGGAGATGCGTGGGCCGACCCCTGCGCTCGACGCGCCCTGCCGGCCCAGTGCGCTTGCCGCGGAGAACGAGGACCAGGACCCCATGCCCATACCCATGCTGGAGAACCCTGGGGTGAGCGTCGTGAAGCTGGATGGACCCGGGGCGGCGCCGAACGGGTTGGTGCTCGTCATCGCTGGCGCATGAGGTGCGGTCGCTGTCGGGTCATCCGCGGACAGGTAGCCGAAGGGATCCTGGGCGCGCGGGGGAGGCGCTTCGTGCGAGGGTTTCTCGTCCGTGTCTGGCGTCGTGATGTGCGTGCTGGCTTCAGAAGGACCAGAGGTTGACCCCGAGCCGCCGGAGCCAGAGCGAGACATGGATATAGGACCCGGAGCCTCGCTGGAAGAGTTACTAGTCTGCCCCTGTCCCGTAGGCGTGCTTGCAGTGCGCACGGGCGACGCATACCTCCGGCGGTTGGCAGGGGGCTTCCGGGGCTCCTCCCCCTCCTCTTCGGGGAGCGGCGGCCCGCGGAAGAACGCGGCGACGCTGTCGGACGCGGTGTCGTACGAGCGCAGGAGGTTGCGCTTCTCCTGCGTCGCTTGGAGTTTGGGGAGGGGCCGATCCTCCGCCTCTGCACTGTCTTCTCGCCTCCGCTTCGTCCCGGCAGCAACGGATGGCTCTTCAGCTTCGTGTGCGGGGGCCGTCGACGTCTCGGGTGGGGCTGCGGAGGCCACGTCTTCCTTCTTGTCTGGGACGCGCGCACGGCCCTTGCCTTTGCTTCCTAGGGGGAGCATGTCGACTAGCTTAGTCCAGTCCTTGCCGTCGTCCGCGTCCGGGACAGGCGGCTCGATGTCGCACTCCCTCATCATGCCCAGGTCGACGATGACATCGCCGGCGATGGACCAGCCCGCCGTCGCGTAGCCACCGGCTTTGACCGACGGAGAGAGCCCGTGCTTGCGGCAGAAGAGGACGATCGCACTCACGTCCTGCGCGTCGAGCGGCGAGACGAGGGCCTTGGACAGACAGGTGATCTTCCCGTTGAAGGTTTTGGCGCGCTCGCCGAACCTACATAGACACGGCTGTAAGGAGATTCGCGGGCGATACAGTTGGGAGAGACGTACTCCATCGTGCTCCGAGCGTACACGGGGCCTCTGACAGCAGCACGCAGCTCGTCGCATAGAGCCGGTGGAAGATCCGCGCCAGGGATGGAGTGCGACGGGAGTGCTTGTTGCACAGACATGTTGAGTGGCCCGGAGGCTAAACTGGGCGTACAACGTTGTGATGGTGGCACGGGGATCCCGGGGATGCGAACAACTGTCGACGGATGCAGCAGTGAGTTAGCCTGAAGGCCGCGATCGTGCGCGAGACGTCAGAGAGAAGAGGCGACGTGGGGAGACGTCCGCATTAGCAAGGTTATATACGATCGAGGGCGTATGCGCTACGCGTCTGAGCATGTTTGACTCGCCCTGATTGCCCTTGAAGACGTACGCGACTTGGCCGGAAGCGAAGGCACCAAGGACACCAACAACCGCGCCATCGTGGAGCGGGGAGGAGAAAGGCAATGGACGGGACGTAAAGCGGGGAAAGTTTCGCCACAGCAGCACAGCTAACGTTACGCGCATATTCAGGAGGACATCTCACCGACATGGCCGAGATAGAACCCGGTCGGATTTAGCACGAATACCGTGCCTCCAGTTCAAACTTACCTACTCAGGAGACGGGTGACAGCATTTGTGCGGGAGAAGGCGGTCGCCCAGGCCCAAACAGCGCGAAAAGATCGCACTCGCTGTCAACAAAAGACATATTGGATCCATTAGGCGTGAATTCCGCGCTTAACTGCAGACAATGTGAATCAACGATTGGCTGGACGATCGCACCGGAGACAGTGACAGAACACGCGCACCTGTACATCGGGAACCGGAAGTTTTCAAAGTTCAGTCACTGTACTCGTCCTTCCAAGCATACATAAGTCAAGCAACCCTGCAAGCGTTGGGCTCGGAGACGACATGGTAAGCACAGGAGTGTGCAGCTTCGATCCAGCTAGCGTGGCTCGCTGCTAAGGCGTCAAATAGAGAATAACCGGAGTATATAGTTGGAGGTGAGTGGTCGATGATCGATGAGGATGATGTATGGTCCATGGCGAGACCCTGCGTCACCACCTCTAAAAGAATAAACCTCTACCGGATCTCTACCCTGGTACCGTGAAACTGGACAGACAAGTCGTCCTCGCCCAGAAGATTGCAGATGCAGGGGCTGACTGAATAGTGGAACGCATATATGCCATTTTTTGCGCTCACACGGATAACAGAGACAATGTGTGTCGGGCCAACCTCCCACAACTAGCAAGCGACTCACCAGAGCAGCGCTCTGCGCGATTCGAGACTAAGCAGCGTCACGTTCGTTGTCTTTGCATCGTCCGTGTACATAGTTCTGCATCCCAGTCGCCGTGACAGATTACGCGACTTCTTAGGTGAAGTCAATGAGTGTTACGCGTTAAGAGTGGACTACCTAGAGGCGCATATATAAAGAGTTAATGAACAATGCAGAGTCAAAATATTAACTGAAAACGGCACCTTGTCCGAGTGGGTTCGTCGTGCATGCAAGTCAAGATGGAAGTGGTGGTCAACATGCAGCTCGGGCTGTTGCGGGAATACTTACGCGGTCGGGACCGCATCGACCTCCGGCTCTGAGTCCGTCCCGACGGCCCGGCGGACCGTTGCGTCATACCGCGATCGCCTGTGGTGCCAGATCGTGCCAGATTAGTGCCAGATGGCGGGGGGCGGGGCTTGCGCCCTCGAACCTGGAAACCGAGAAGGAACCTGGGGAAGAAATATCCCGCCAGAAATGTGGTATATAAACCCCAGCGACCAGCATGCGATCGCGCAATCCGCACCCCACCCTCTGCTCTCCTCCCCCACCATCCCGCATCTCCAGCCATGTCCCACGGCAAAGTCCTGTCTCTGTCCAGCGGACAGACGATCCCCCAGATCGGCCTCGGCACATGGCTCTCGAAGCCCAACGAAGTTGAGAACGCGGTACGTCGCCGGTGTTTCATGCCATCGGCCCGCATCTGACGAGGGACGGCGCCCGCAGGTCGAGCTCGCCGTGCGCGCGGGCTACCGCCACCTCGATCTCGCGATGATCTACGCGAACCAAGACGAGGTCGGGCGTGCGCTCAAGAAGGTCGTCCCCTCCGTCGTCAAGCGCGAGGAGCTCTTCATCACCTCCAAGCTCTGGAACACCTCGCACAAGAAGGAGCTTGTCGAGAAGGAGCTCGACGAGACGCTCAGCCAGCTCGGCACCGACTACCTCGACCTCTACCGTGAGTGCGCTCGTCCTGTGTTACATCCTGTGACTGACCTGGATGTTCCGCGGCAGTGATCCACTGGCCCGTTGCGTTCAAGGGGAGCTCGGTCCCTGGCAAGGACTTCTTCCCGTCAACGAAGGAGGGCTGGGTTGAGCTCGACACGGAGACGTCGCTCGTTGAGACGTGGCAGGCACTCATCGATCTCATCAAGACCGGCAAGGTCAAGGCCATCGGTGTCTCCAACTTCACCATCGAACAAATCCAGACCATCGCCGACGCGACCGGCGTCTGGCCGGTACGTCTCCCGGCGCTCCGCGACTGCTGATCCGAAGCTGATAAGATGGCCATGCATAGACCGTGAACCAGATCGAGGCGCACCCGCTGCTGCAGCAGGACGAGCTCGACGCGTTCGCCAAGGCGCACAACATCCACATCACCGCATACAGCCCGCTCGGGAACAACCTGGTCGGCAAGCCCAAGCTCACCGACTACCCCGAGGTGGTCGAGATCGCGAAGAAGCTCGACGCGACGCCTGCGCAGGTCCTTGTTGCGTACGGCGTGTACCGCGGGTACTCCGTCATCCCCAAGTCCGTGCAGAAAGGTACGTGTCCCCGTGCCGACAGTGACATTCAGCGAGGCTGACCGAGATGTGCAGAGCGCATCGACTCGAACCTCAAGCAGGTGTCGCTCTCGGAGGAGGACTACCAGAAGCTGGTCGCGCTCGGCAAGCGCGACCCGACGCGGTTCAACGTACCGTACAACTACTCGCCCCGCTGGGACATCAACATCTTCAACGAGCCCAGCGAGCAGCCCGCGACGACCACGCCTAAGCTGAAGTAAGCAAACGCGTCCGTGTTCGCGGGGAGGGGCTGTAGGTTATCGAATCACTAGAGAAGCTCGCGTCAATGTAGATGTAAATCGTGGCAAATCAAAAAGTCATACCCCAACAGTATCCCAACTTGATGGAATGCTATGTTCACTATGTTACATGTAGTTCAGTCTACGCTCGTCGCAGGCTCGGCAGAGCGGATCGACATGGTCAGGATCGTGACGGTCCGAGATGTTGACCCGCGCTCACCCGCACCCTGCACCCGACAGTATCAGTCCGGATCGAAATATCAACCTTCCGACGATCGATCCAGCACGTATTGAGTAGTACCGGACTAGTACGTGGGGAACCGAAGGCTCAGGCCCAATGGAAAACGCATCTGCTGGGAGATGCGCTGAGCTGCTCGGAGCTGCGCGCGTCGTCGAAAACTGCCCGAATCTGCTCCGAGCTGCTGACGGCTTACAGCAAAGTCACCAAATGACAGCTTCTTAGCGAGTTAACTCATCGTCGTTAGAGCTTAGAGCTTAATGTCTTTTGCCTCTGAGCTGGGGCTGTAGCCTATCAATATTGCTGTCGAGTCTGCCGTGGACGTCCCCTTGCGTTAAGTACTTACGGCGACACTGCGCGATGCGCATTATAAGCTAACATTCCCGCCCGCTCTGGTATGACGTAATCTCTTCGCAGCAACGACCGTCGTCGTCGTCGTCTTCCTGCCCCTCTCTCTCATGCTCTTACCACCATCACCTAGTGCTCAATTGCCCGCCGCTTGTCTACTGCTCGCCCGCCGTGCGCTTGCCTGCTCACTTCTTCATTTGTCTGCACACTTGTCTGCCTGCTCGCCCTCCGGTATGCCTGTCTCATTCGCCTACGCGTCTTTTCGCTTGCCCATGCATATTTTTCACTTTCCACGCGCGTTCTTGCCTGTCCGCACGTCTCATTCACACATTACATGGCTGGCCATCCACTCGCCCGTTCGTTCCCTAACTGGCTGACTCGCCCACCCGCTTATCCACCTGTCGGTACTATGACTCGCGGGACCCGTGCACATCGCCGTAAGGATCGCTGGCGCGCCGAGCGACGCGATCTCACGCCCGCCCGCCCACTCTCGTCTTCTGCCTGATCTTGCCTGGCCACGCTCACAGTGTTGTTCACCACTCGCCCGGCGCCGCGCTCAATCACGCCGTCGTGCCACACAGGCATAGCAAACTAGGCGCGTCAAGCGTGGGGCACGCAAGAATGCCGGCAGTGACCGCGAACGCATCATAAGTGCGTCTCAAGACACACTTGGATGGACGGGAAAGGCTCAGGGACGCGTCAAAAGCGTCCGCGTTTGGGAACACAATGGATGGGCAAGCATGGTGCGTACACCAATTTCCGAGTGTGCAGCAGACAAACTGTCTGCTCGCCTGGTTCCTCATTGAAGTCATTCGCCTCGTTGCCCGCCCGCCCGCTCGTCCGCCCTCTCTCCTGCTTTCCCGCTCGCTCTCCAGCTTGCCAACTCTCTCGCTCACTTGCTGACTCGCCCACCCGTCGACTTGCACGCTTACTCGCCTGCCCGTTCTCTCAAGTGTACCCGTCTCTTGCCCATTCTCTTACCTGGTGCCTCCCGCTCGTGCGCCCGCCCGCTCTCTCCCCCGTTCTCTCTCGCTCGCGTGCCCACTCTCTCCCGCGGTCTCTCTTGCCTGCGCACCCGGTCCCCTGCCTAGCCCATCACACCCGTTCTGCCTCGCGCACCTGTACTCCCTTGTGCACACATTTGTTCCTCGTTGATTGTGTCTGCTCCGCAGTGGTCACTCCCTTGGTCTTGCTTGTTTGCTGCCCACTGCTGCTCGCCTGCGTGCTTGTTGTCCGCTCGCCCTGCCTGCCCATTCACTTGCTCGCCTCAGTCGCTCACGCATCTTCTCACTGATCACGGCATTGCAAGGAGAACAAGGTGCGTAGGCAGTGAGCCGGCAGTTAAGCCTGAGGAACATACACACAAGTTGCGCAAGGCTCTCGATGTCCCCGACTTCAAGACAATAATGCGTATGTTTCAGATTGTGTATGGTAGGACTCGGCACTCGTAACACTCACATTCTGCCAATACCTACAGGAGTCGTCAAGTCCACGAAGGTGACGAAATGAAGCGCAGCAGCCAAGAAATGTCGGCGAGCGGCGGGCGCGTGTGAGTGAGACGAAGGCGTGAAACGGGTGCAAGTGCGGTATGCAGGGTGCGGGCGGGCGTGGTACGTAGGAAGCGGGTGGGCGTAGTGTGCAGGTGGTGTGTGGGGTGGTTGGGCGGGAGCGCGTGGGCGCGGTATGCGGGCGTCGGGCGTGGCATGCGGGTGGTACGCAGGGTGTGGGCGCGCGGGCGCGGTATCCAGGGCGCGGGCGGCGCAGGACGCGGGCAATGTATACACGATAATTGTATTATTTTTCTGGCAGCTAGTGCAATACAGGAGCATCTAGCAATATGCCCGGATCTGCTCCCAGCTGCATACACGTAATTTTCACCCTCAGAGCAGCTCCGAGCATCTTGAAAAATGCAAAAAGTCCGGATTTCATGCTCCAGGCTGCTCGGAGCTGCTCGCAGATGTCCTTTTGACAGCGGCCCCACCGAGCAGCTCCGAGCATCTCAGAGCATCTCCCAGCAGATGCGTTTTTCACTGGGGCTCAGGTAAGCGGTCCCGGACGTTGTATGCCATCGCTCACCATTGAAATATTGACAGCCAGGTATGCGAGCTTCTCGGTTCTGGATAGGTTGGTAAGAACATGCTAGAACGTGCGCCACCAAGGCCGACACGCGCAAGCACGGATACGCATACTACCAACCCGCGAACGGATATGGATATGCGGGTACCGATGCGCTGCCGTCCCCATCCCGTCCCCGTCCTCGCAGGCTCCTAACAGCACCATCAGAAAATGCATATAAGGCCACCCAGTCTCAACGGGACCCTCAGTATCATCATCACCTGCACACGCACAAACCAGCATGTCCGCATCCGCATCTGCTGTTATTCGCTCCGCCCTAGCTGGTCTAGGGTTCTCCTCTCCTGCCCTCGACGTCATGTGCTCGCTGGCCGAGTACAAGCAGCACACCAGCGGCGAGGCACACAAGGTGTCGCGCCGGTGTGGCTCGAGGGCGGGGAGGGTAGTGCGCTCCCCTCGCCGTCGGCGGAAGAGATAGTTTATCCTCGTGAAAAGTAAGTAGCATCCTCGTCCTACTGAGGGCCACTCCTGACGAAGTCCTTCTTCGACAGAGCTCGCGCCCCGAAAGCCTCTCATCTTTGCATGGAGGTCGGCGACGAGAACGAGGACGGCTACGAAGCCGGATGCGAGAGCGACCCCGATGCTCTCGCACGCACGCGACACCTCCGGAGCAAGCGCAGACACAGTTCCAGTCGCGCTCGCACGGAGACTGTCGCGTCCTCCGGCATGAAGGCGTACGTTGGTCTCGGCCTGGGACTCCCCTCGGGGGTCCTTCCTCAGCCGCACAGGAGACCAGCGTACGGCTTCGACGAGGTCGACGATATCCCCAAAAGCTCCGCCATCGTTGTGGAGAGGGGTATCTGTCGTCCTCGGGCTGGGCGGACGTGGGACAGCTGGCCGCCTGTCGCGCCGTCCCCGTCACTGCTGCCCAGTCCCACCCTGGCGTTTGGTCCGTCGCGGACCTGCCTGTCTCCGGGTAGCCCTGCGTGGCCTCGGGTGTCGATAGCGCCGTCGCCGTCGATGCTGCCGAGCCCACGGTTTGCGTTCATGGGTACTCCGAGGCGGCCGGCGTGGCCTCCGGTAGCACCGTCGCCGTCGATGCTACCGACGCCTGTATTCTGATGCTGTATCAGTGGCTTGCCTGGAGCAATACCACTTGTACTGAGTAGTATCAGAATTGGATATTGATCAACGGAAAGACACTCATGTTGTGTGATGTTGCGAGACCAATGCAGCCTAAAGTTCAGCTGTCAGCGAGCGAAGACGAGCAACGCAGAATTAGCCATCTTCTCGACGTGGTGCATACAAGCCATAGATTACACGGTCGTGATCAGTGCGAGTAATATAGATAAATACCATTACATGAAGGGCCCGCGAATACCCTGGAATGTTATGCTAGCTCTTCAGTGACGGCCGCGTATGTCTGCTCCGCTTCTATGGATCGCTCGTAACGTCGTCGGCCTTCGTGCAGAGCAAACGACAAACCCGCGATGAAGAGTAGTCGCGAAATGTCTGCCATGCTCAGAGCTTCCGTCTGGAAGATGCTCTGCATGAAAGGCACGTATATGAGGGTCAGCTGCACAAGGAACGATATCGATACAGTCGAAATGAGCATGCTGTTTTGTGTGATGCCGCATCCCAATCCCCGGTTCTGCAGCGCAGACACGAGGTCCAGGAAGACAAAGCACGTGAAGGTCTGAACAAGGACTGTCGTCAGTCGACTATGTCAACGGTAATGAGATGAATAACATACCATGGTCTGTTCTCGTCTTGACATGTTGTCGTCTGATAGAGCGTACAGATACATGTACATCGTGCCAACCACGATCATCGTCGCAGAAAACAGTATCCGGTATGTCAACTGCTTCGAGATAATGGGCGCGTCTTTCTTGCGCGGTGGTCTTCGCATGACTTCTTGATTTACCGGGTCGACGCCTAGTGACTGACTTGGTGGGCCTTCACAGGAAATCGGGTTCAGAGACGACGAGACCGAATGCATTGAGACTCACCATCCATGAGGATATTGATGAAAAGGATTTGCATGGCATTCAAGGGATTGCTGAGACCGAAGAACGTGCTCATGGTGATGAGACTGAGCGCCGCCACAGCGGTACTGAGCTGGAACGACAGGAAGTTCTGGATGTTGTAGAAGATGGACTTGCCTGTACATTAATGGTAAGCATTGTGAATTTTCTCCGAAGGGGTGGCACGACGTACCCTCTTCCACTGCAGGCAGAATAGTGCTGAAGTTATCATCCACGAGAATGACATCTGCCGCTTCCTTCGCTACATCCGTGCCACTAAGTCCATGGAAACACCGATATCGGCCATCTTCAAAGCCGGGGCGTCGTTGACTATAGGCATCGTTCAATGTTCCTACCATGTAATGTATACGGAAGTGCTCACCTCCGTCACCCGTCATCGCCACGATAGCGCCCCTCGCCTGGAACGCCTCTACGATCGCCATCTTGTGTTTTGGCGTCGTCCGCGCGAACACGCTTACGTTCCCGACGCGCTCCATCAGTTGCGTCTGGGTCATCCTGTCAATCGCCTTGCCCGTCAAGCATGCAGAGTTGTCTCGCGCTCCGACGCGGAGACCAAGCGTCCTTGCGATCGAGAGTGCTGTCTCCTCCGCATCACCTGTGATCATCACCACCTGAATGCCCGCGTTCTGCAACAGCCCGATCGCATCTGCGACGCCTTTCCGCGGAGGGTCAAGCATCGCCTGGAAGCCCACAAAGATGAGGTTGTTCTTCGACTTGTCCTTCTCCGATGCGAACTGGATGGGTGTAGAGGAGCGGGTGCCAGGACCTGACGAATTGGCCTCGCCAGATCCGAAGCCGTAGGCGATGGCGATGATGCGTAATCCGCGAGCAGCGGTTGTCTGCGCCTTGGAAAGGATGACGCTCCGCGTATTCGCATCAAGAGCGGGGGTCGATTCATCCGAGACGTAGTAGAACCTGCAGCGCTCCAGGACAGCGTCGATCGAGCCTTTCAAGTAGTACATCTCGCGGCCGGTTTCTTTGACCGCCGAGCCATTCATACCAGGAGAGGGGCCAATGTGTACGCCGCTGACAGACATATACTTCCGGTCCGAGCTGAAGGGCACCTCAGCGCGACGTGTGAAGCCCTATGTCGCACTCGTCAAGTGTATCCTGAGGTGGTCCAGGTCGAGATGGACGCACCTGTCGTGGGTCGGGCATACCGAAGACGGACAGTACGCTCTGCAGTGCCACATCCGTAGAATGCCCTACGTAAGTACCATCCTCCTTCATGATCGCATCGTTGCAGAGGCCTCCAGCAGTCAGTGTCTTCCTGATGGCAGGTGATACGTGGTGCGGAGGAGGAACAGGACCAGATGCGTCGCCGTGCACCACTTCGTCGACCGCGTAGATCTCCATGACCGTTTGCTCGTTCCGTGTTAGCGTTCCTTCAAGCCGCGACATTCAGCAAATGCGAAAATTATATCGCAAATGACGATCAGCCTACCTGTCTTGTCAGAGCAGATCACAGAAACACTGCCAAGACCCTCAACGGAGTGCAGCTTCTTGACTATAGCCTTGCGCTTCGACATACGCACGACGCCCAACGCAAGTGTGACCGTCGTGACGATGGGCAGCCCTTCAGGAATAGCCGCGACCGCGAGGGACACTGCACTTCGACAGCGTCAGCCAATCAGCATTCTGCGTACCAACCACAAGACTCAAGCCAAGTCTACGCACCTCCAATGGTAAACATGTCTAACCACGACCGTTGCTGCAGCACCCCTATGATGACGATGACGCCAATGACACCGAACGAGATGAAGGACAGCTTCTTCGCGAGCTCGTCCATGCTCAGCTGCAGCGGCGTGCGCTTCTCCTCTACCTCCTGCATCATCGAGAAGATGACTCCGAACTCGGTCTGAGTCCCAGTGGCGACTACGACGCCGCTGCCCCGACCGTTCCTGACCAGCGTGCCCATGTACGCGATGCAGTTCCGCTCTGCTACCGCCGCAGGACCGTAGCCCGCTACCGACTGACATGGCTCGGTGTCCTTCTTCCGGGCAGTAGTCTCGCCAGTCAGGCTGCTCTCGTCAATCTCCAGGTCAGATGCGGTGACCAGACGCAAGTCTGCGGGAATCCGGTCGCCTGTCGTGAATGTCACTATGTCTCCGGGGACGAGCTCGTTGGCGAGGACGTGTAGTTGCTGGCCGTCACTGTACGCATGTTACTTCGTGATGCAGTGAGATGAGGGACGGCGAACAAACCGCATTAAGTGACAGTGGTGCGGGACAAGTTTGTTTAGAGCCTCGAGACTCTTCTCTGACCGCTGTTCTTGGACAAAGCCGACTGTCCCAGGTGAAGTCAGACAAGGATATTGCACACAAGTGCCGTGCTCACCAGTGAGCACTATGAGCACTGCGATGGTGATACTCATAGCGTCGTCCAGGTTGCCCATGATTGCGCTCACTGTCGCGCTGCCGCACAAGAGGATGATCAGCGGGTTCTCATATATCGTTTTCGCGAATTTGATGAGCAGCGGCTCCGGCGCAGATACCGAAAACTCGTTGTATCCATGCCTCTCCAGTAGCCCGGCTACACTCGCGGACGGAAGTCCACTTGACGGCGAGACTCCAAAGCGTGCAACAGTATCCTACTGTCGATTCAGAATGCGGATGTAAAGAAACTGGCGAAAACGCACCTCCACCGACCGGTGAGCAAAGATAGCAGACGGTGTCTCCCGGTGGTCCGAGTTCGACGGTGTAGCCAGTTTCTCGTATCCCTCGTCCTTCGAGAACCATCCCTTCACCACTCCTGCTGTCTGCTGCCAGAGCCCCGATGGACCCTCCATCTCGACGACCGTACGCAATTCCTCGAGCTTGGGAAATCCAGTCCCACTGTTCGGTGTCGCCAGGCCCATGGGACCCTCTGGACGGTGTCTTCGCAGTGTCGTGCTGTAGGCGAAGTGAGCACCCGCGTCGGCTGTGGTAGGCTGTGGCTCTCCATGGTGTGTCCCGTCGTAAGGCGTGAAGTACGTAGATGCTGGCGGCGACGAGGTGCGATTCGTAGGGTACGCACGAGAGCTGACAGCTTGCCGCGAAGGTGCCGCGGCGCTGGTCGTCGCCATCGGTGCGTAGGGGTCGTCTTGAGGGTAGGACCGCTTCATTGGTGCAGATGTAGTCGCCGTGCGATCGTGGAGAGGGCGACGTTGCCGATGAGAAAGCTTACGCGCAGACGGAGTCCGTGCGACCTCCGGGATGTGAGCCTGCTGGAGGCACAGGAAACCCGCAGGAAACTCACTTCACAGGCGCCCGCTGCGCTGCCAAGACCATATCCACGTGGCGATTGATCGCGCCGAGCCGCCCTGCCGTCAGAGGAAACGCTCGTCGTCTATTTCTCAGATTCTCTGTAATAGTCGTCCGTTGGTCGTCCGACTCTCTTGCGTCTCGAAGGAGACTGAAGATCAAGTATCTGGGGACGGGAAAGGTAAGTTGTGCATTCAGACACGCATACGGTATAAACCTAATCTTTTTTACCAGTGTTGCCGGCGTGATGAGAGGACATAAGTACCTTGAGTACGTCAGCAACGACTTGCCGCGGCCGTCTGTTGAGAACAGAAGATGGGAGTTCAAGGTCAAGAAGGGTTCGGGTGGTCATCCACAAGAATGGTCCGCCTTATATACCGCCGTAAGGGATTGACATGCTCGGAACTATCAGGGAAGCATTGCGTCATAGTCACTGAATGAACAGACGAAGGAAGCGACCGAATACGTCATTCGTAGAGGACACCAAACTGGGTAAGATGCACACCATAACAGGAAGGAGTTCACGAACCACGCGCTACACGTAGCAGTCGACCGGAGTATGTCGGCCCCATGTAAGTAAGTGGTGCAGTCATGTCACAAAATGATCTACTCATTAATTCATTACTCAGTCGGGGGCCTAAGAGTAATTCTCCAACTGAACACGGCTCGAGGCGGCGCCCTTGGAAGGGGCCTACTGCCAAGTTGATGCTTGTACGTTGGCAAAACATCGAAAAATTTGCTTCGTGGTCTCAGTATGGCTAGTTCCACAGCCTGACAGACAGTTCACATCATATCAGCAGTCGACATACTTAACCCAACTTTCACTGGTCATCCGGAATGTACGTGGCCTCACACCAGCCTGTAGCGATGTTGCTTTCTTTTACATCCATTCATGATATTAATACAGGTGGCATTAATGCTCCAGGCAAGCCATAGCATCAGAATACAGGCGTCGGTAGCATCGACGGCGACGGTGCTACCGGAGGCCACGCCGGCCGCCTCGGAGTACCCATGAACGCAAAGCGCGGACTCGGCAGCATCGACGGCGACGGCGCCATCGACACCCGAGGCCACGCAGGGCTACCCGGAGACAGGCAGGTCCGCGACGGACCAAACGCCAGGGTGGGACTGGGCAGCAGTGACGGGGACGGCGCGACAGGCGGCCAGCTGTCCCACGCCCGCCCAGCCCGAGGGCGGCAGATATCCCTCTCCACAACCAAGGTGGAGCTTTTGGGGATATCGTCGACCTCCTCGAAGTCGTACGCTGGTCTTCTGTGCGGCTGAGGAAGGACTTCCGAAGGGAGGCCTAGGCCGAGACCATCGTACGCCTTCGTGCCGGGGGACGCGACAGTCTCCGTGCGAGCGCGACTGGAACTGTGTCTGCGCTTGCTCCGGAGGTGTCGCGTGCGTGCGAGAGCATCGGGGTCGCTCTCGCATCCGGCTTCGTAGCCGTCCTCGTTCTCGTCGCCGACCTCCATGAAAAGATGGGAGGCTTTTGGGGCGCGAGCTCTGTCGACGGAGGACTTCGTCAGGAGTGGCCCTCGGTAGGACGAGGATGCTACTTACTTTTCACGAGGATAGACTATTTCTTCCGCCGACGGCGAAGGGAGCGCACTCCCCTCCCCGCCCCTCGAGCCACACCGGCGGGACACCTTGTGTGCCTCGCCGCTGGTGTACTGCTTGTACTCGGCCAGCGAGCACATAGCGTCGAGAGCGGGGGAGGAGAACCCTAGACCAGCTAGGGCAGAGCAAATGACAGCAGAAGCGGATGCGGACATGCTGGTTTGTGCGTGTGCGAGTGATGATGATACTGAGGGTCCCGCTGAGACTGGGTGGCCTTATATGCGTTTTCGGATGGTCATGTTAGGGGTCTGCGAGGATGGGGACGGGGACGCGGGGGCGGCGCGTTGGTATCCGCGCATCCATATCCGCTTGCGGGTTGGTAGTATGTGTATCCGTTCTTGCGCTTGTTGGATTATACTGACTGTGATGGCAAGGTGACCTGACGGGATCACCGAACCTTTACGCTCGTGCATACCCCTTGCAAGCATCTTGGCCCTTGGGGCCTCACACCATTGCTCCCACCGAGAAACCAGTCACGGATTATCCGCATAATGACTATAGTCAGCATTGCGATTGCAACTGGTGACGGAGTCCGATGGCTACTAGGAAAGGGCCTAGGCATTGGCATTCCGTTGTCATTCTGACCGAGCGGGAAACTTGAAGCCGCAGATCCACTCACATGCATGGGTCGGAATTTCTTTGCAGACCCGGTCGGTACGAATTGACGGGTTTGCTGATTTGGGAGGGCTCTGGATTGGCTAGACAAGACTATAGCATGGAACTGAAGATGTAGGCGACTGGCCCATTTGTCTCTGGACATCGGCTGAGTGCCCAGCCACGACTCGGAAGATTCATGGGTTTCATGATCTACAGAATGTCTCAACCTTCGGTTGCAGCGACTCCGAGTAAGATAAAGTAACAGGTTGAAGTAGAGTGGGTAGTAGCAACAACTTGAGTTGACTAGCTGATAGTGTAGATCTGAGATACGATTTCGACTCGGAGGCAGTCACCTGCGCAGTCACTGCGGGGGAGGCAACTTGAAGTTGAACATGACCGGGTACTGACGGACTGTTACATCCAAATCACATCCTCCTTGGTATTGCTTAAAGTCACGACCTTCTACAAAAACTCTGTTGAGGTTTACTCGCCCAATCTTCAGGCCTCAGGAGCCGGGACCCATCCAGCTGCAGCGTGACACTGGTGTACCGGCGGGACCGATTTTGCCGACGACAAGTCGTTTCCCGAGACTCATCTCTCAGTCTGAGGTCACCGGGGCTCGGTGGTCGAGCTCACCTGACACCTTAAAAACGTTTATTATCCTCCGCGTTCCGGATTGACTGAGCATCCACCGTCTGCTTTAGCTGTTGCAATTGACTCTGAGTCGGTGGTCCAAGTTGGCACTTCAAGTTCCCAACAGCGGCCAGCAGCCACTGCCAGATCCACATTGCACGAAAGATATGTTCCCAGGTCTTCGCCATGGGTCAAGTAGAGCCGTGTCTTTGCGGAGGGTTGCTATACACAAGCCATCAGCCTCAACGCGTCAGTGAGTCGAAATGATGTGCCTGGACTTCAACGAAATCCGCATCTTATTCTTAACTGGAATGTGTCAAGGTACAGCGTCGCTCCAGGAGATGCTACCAAAGATCTCCCTCTTTCGGGCATTCGCGTACTCGAAATAGGCCAAGTCATTGCGGGGCCTTTCTGCGGCCAACTTCTTGGGTAGGTTCCCTTCCGCGTGAATGGAAGAGTTATCGAGGACCAACTTTGATACTACCAGGCACTATGGCGCAGAAGTCATCAAAGTGGAACCACCGAACGTAGGGGACCCACTGCGCGTCTGGCGTGAGCTAGACGTCGATGGGGTCAGTCCTTGGTGGCGGAGCATTGCTCGCAACAAGAAGAGTGTGACGATAGACCTTCGGAAAGAGGAAGGCAGAGAGTACGTGTCGCAGTAGGGACAGACGTCACTCAAATGACGGACGATTCCCCGTTCAGGTTGATCAGGAAACTAGCTATCAAAAGTGATGTGCTACTCGAGAACTTCAAGCCCGGAAGTCAGTCCTACCGCGAGTTCGCTCTGCATCATACTCATTCACAGACGTCTAGCCCTGGAGAAATGGAAGCTTAGCCCTGAAGACCTACATCCGCACAATCCGTCCCTCATCTTCACGCGGGTCAGTGGGTACGGGCAGACAGGTCCATGGGCTTCCCGTCCAGGATACGCATCTGTCTGCGAGGCACAGTCCGGCTTCCGCTATATCAACGGTCACCCGGACCCAGAGACGGGCATGCTGGATGGCCCACCTGTCCGCCCGAACATCAGTCTTGGAGACTCTGTTGCAGGACTCCATGCTGCGCTCGGAACGGTGAGCCGCCCGCACTAAATGGATCTGCGCCGCCTCTAAGCGGCAATCCCACCTCATGCCCGCGATATGTAGGTGCTCGCGCTTCTGTCTAGAACGGCGAAGGAGGCTCGGGGCCTGGTCGGAGGGCAGACGGTGGATGTGAGCATTCTAGAAAGGTGCGTCGTGCGCGTCGCTCTGGTAGGATGATCGTTGGGACGACCGTGCGTGCTCCAGCATGATGAACCTGACGGAGGGAATTATACCGGAATACGACCGCAAGGGCAAGGTCAGAGCAGCCGTACCTGCGAAGACTCAGTGAACTGATTCCCTCCCTGTAGATCCGCGGGCCCTCTGGATCCTCAATCACAGGGATCGTCCCGACGAATGCCTATCCTTGCAAGCCCTCCCCGTCTTCCCCGGGCGTCCCGTCCTTCGTTGTCATCGGCGCGAACGCTGACAGCATGTACGTCCGCCTGATGAACGCCGTCGGGCGGCCAGATCTCACGGGGCCCGACTTCGCGCACAACCAGCACCGTGTCGCGCGCCAGCAGGAGATCGAGGCTGCCATCTCCGCCTGGACGCGCGAACACACGGCGGAGGAAGTCGAGGAGGTGCTCCAGGGAGTCGGTGTGCCGAGTGGGCGCGTGCTGAGTGTCAAGGAGATCGTGGACAACCCGCAGGTGCGGGCGAGGGGACTCGTCGAGGAAGTTTGGGTGGGAGACAAGGATGGGGAGAAGGGGTGGACCGTCAAGATGCCGAGGGTGACTCCGGTGCTGGAGGGCTGCGAGGCCAAAACACGCTGGGCCGGTCCCGACTTGGGTCAGCACAACAGAGAGGTCCTCATTGGTGAACTGGGGCTGGGCGAGGAGGAGTTGACTCGTCTCCAACGCGAAGGTATCATTGGGAAATGCTGATAGACAACGACCTATCGACGATCTGTCACGGCAATACGAGACAACTATATTGTATCTATTGTAGCGAGCGTGTTGTTTTACAAGACTGTAGTGTGTACTAGGAAAACCCAGATGAGCAAGACACCAACTACCAATGAGAGTTCTACAAGGTATACACAATGAGGCAGGCGGGACAATGTCGAGGATATACAAGAACACATGTGCTACTACAGCTGCGACCATAGTCCTAATCCTGATGATTATTAAATAGAGCATCCCTTAATCCGCCGGTAGCATGAAGCTGGCCAACGCCCAACCAATGTCCTCCGTACGTTTTCGTACGAGTAGCAAACAGTCCTCACCATCGTCAACATACAAAGGAAGGTCTTCATGGAGGGCTGGATGGCCGGCCTCTTGGAGCACGTCGTAACAATCTCCAATGTGGAGCGTAAAGAAAGGAAGGTCGCGGTATGAGACACCCGGCGGCGGCTCACACGGGTGCACGACCCGACAAGTATACAGGCACGGTATCCTTGCACTGCCAACGCTTGGTCCCTTGCTTCGGTGCCGACTGGAAGAGGGGGTGCTGTGGGGTGGTGTGGTAGTCTGCAGGAATGATGGAGACGGATGGCCAGGCGCGGAGGGCGACCGATGGTGTCGTACGACAGAAGTAGAGCTAGGTAGGAGTGTTTCCGTCAGCCTCCGCTTGAAGGATGGCTTTCGCACAGGCCGACCCCGGCATCCGTGTCGTCTGCGAACTGGGGGCGTTTCGGAGAAGGATGGTCGGTATTGGCACGACGAGGACTCTTCCGACGTGTATCAGCGGCCTCATCCAACAGACGTCCATGGGAGTGTGACTTCTTCAGCGGAAGCGGAGCCGGAACAGGCCTGTTCTTCGTCCGAAGCTTCTGTGGCGTCGTGTTCAAGGAATTCAACGCGTCGCCGTACCCATACCCGATGACGTCGGGGTCAACGACAGTAACGCTGTGGCTCGGCTGGTGGCCCATCGACTTCGCTGACTTGCCCGACTTTTTCGACCGGAGGCTCTCATCTGAGTTGTGGCGCTCGAGCTTGCGCCCAACGTCCAGGGAGCGCACACTCCGGGCCTTGGCGCTGACGGGTGTCTGCAGTGACAACGTAGACGGCGAGCTGAGAGGCTCATACGCGAAGTTAGGGTCGAGAGTGAGGATAGAGGACGACACGACGACGGTAGAGCTTGTTTCGCTAGAGTCGTCATCGAAGAATTTCATGCGGAGCCGCGATTTCTGCCGCGTTAATTCTGGTGCCTGCACGCGTTTCTCGGGTTGCCGTACAATGTTCAGACCAAGTGTCTGGCCCTCGATGTCCGCCCACCGAGACCACCAGACCCTGACGGTCTCGGCAGCACCAGCGTTCATCTCGCCCTCCACTTTGAGAGAGTTCCACAGGGTTAGCCACCGATCGCGTACCCGCAGGTAGAAGTCCATCTGCCAGGTGTTGAACTGCTTGAAGCAGGCCACCAGCCCCTTGTCTAGTAGCGTCAGATACGCAGGCAGCTCGGATGCGAGCTGGGCACGGAGCGCGACGTAAGACTGTGATGCCTCCAGGAGTTGGGGCGGAGGACGTGACTTGGCGACGTTCAGGTTGAGCAGACCTAGATGCAGTGGCTCTAGGGTGGACATCGCCTCTACTAGGCGCTGCGGCGCAAGGCTCGAATCCACGAGCCTGGATAGTTCTGGCAAGAGCTTCTCCTTGACGACGTTGGTGAAGTCCTCGCACAGCGCCGGCAGCTCCTTCGTGCTGACCTGAATGAAGGCAGCGAAAGCCTCCGACTCCTCAGGCTGCGATACGCCGATCACCTGCCCGAAGCTCGTGGACCATCTCGATAGCTGGTCCATCAGACCCTGCACCGTCTTGCACCACTCAACTGTCTCCTTCGCGAACGTCCTGGCGAAGGCTTCGCACTTCCTCACCTTTTCACCTAGCCGCACGACCTGCTCAGCCTCCTGGTTCGCCTCGGCGCCCTCCTTCGCCTTTCCTGGCTTCATACTGAAGCTCTTCATCCGCCCGAGGCTCACGGAGGCCGACACGCCAATATTAAGACCCTTCTTCTTCGGCTTGGGCTTCGGGTCGCTGTGCCGCTTGCTCGGCGTCCCGGATGAGGCGGCGTTGTTGAGCACCTCCTTGATCACCTCCCGCCGCCTCCTGCCCTCGTTCACGCCGCGTGCAACCTCCTCCATCTTCTCCCGGGCACGTTTGAGGTTTGCCTTGTCTGAGTGCACATCGGGCGTCTCCTCAATGATCGCACCCAGCAGAAGTGGATACTTGAGCAAACGTTGCACGGGCTTAATGAGAAGCGAGGGCAGGTCCCAGGCGTGGGTGAGCCTCGACGCGAGCGTGCGTGACTCCGCGAGGTAGGCCGTGAGCGCCGGAGTCTGCGGCAGGCCATTCAGGTGCTCCAAGGCAATGGGATGCTTTGTGATATACGCGAGGTAAAGCGGTTCCATGGTAGAAATCTGGAACACGCAATCGGTCAATATGAACAGCAATGAAGGGCGCGTGGGCGTGGTCATACCGTTTCCAAGAACAGCGCCCCGACGTGGTCCTCGCCTGACCCTCCCTCGAGCACGGATCCTAGTGCTTCTTCGATCTGCTCCGTGAACGAGTCCGAGAATACGGCCAGTTCCGCAACGTTGTTAAAGATAATCCGGATATCGTCCCGGGTCATTGGTGGCGAGGATGTCGAGCTGGACGCACCCGGTAAGGAATCCGACGATGTCGATTGGGTGCGTACCGATGACCCCGAGGACGGTGGGGTCGCGGGAGCCGCAGGGAAAGGCGCAGGTTGCCCTGACGCGAGTCTGAGTCATGAAAGCAAGGCCAAGTCGTGTGCGTACTCACCTGACGCAAGAGGGATGTGTATGTCCCGAATGATCGCAAGGTCAGACGCGTACGCTCTCTCGCTCGACAGCAACTCCTCGAGTGCACGGACGCGTTTCGTCACCGCCGTCGGTGGTTTGAGAAGCGAGGACGAGCCGGAGTCAGACGCGAACACGGAATCGTTAGGTTCCGGTGTGGGTTCGTGGACGCGATCGTGATCATCGTCAAGGGTGGCTGAGGACGTTGATGGATCGGGAGTTATGGGCAGAGGCTTGTCTGGTGTCTGAGAACGTCCAGAGAGACCAGACCTTAGGCTCGCTGGCTGCGAGTTTAACATACCGGAGAGGGAACCGAGGCTGCGCGAATGCGACAAAGGCATGACGTCGTCGATGTCTGCTATGTCAGGTTGAAGCAACGAAGAAACGCGCTGCTCTGGGCCTGTGGGACGCAGAGGAGACCGGGGAGGTCTAGGTGGAGAAGAAGAGGTTAGGAGGGGAGACGAGGGAGGCGTTGTCCACGGTGCGCTTTCTGAAGTGCCTGTGGTGCTGGTAGAGAGTCTGTAGCTCGACGGAGGGCCTGATATGCCCATGCGGCGCGAGCGAGGCTCGCAGACAGACGCTTTCTCGAAAACGTCGGGCTGGTCAGAAGCGACGCTCATCTCCGTAGTGAAAGTGGGAGTCGCCTGCTTTGCTTCCGTCTCGGAAAAGTCCATCGGATCCGCCCTGCTCGCTATTCCGCCGCTGTAGATCCTAGACGCTCTGTACTTGTCTGCCAAAGTTCTACCGCAGAGCCGGGAAGAGAAGGTGGGTAACTCGAAGCGCAGAAGACGACTGTGCTCACGCTCGCTGACCTCCTTTGCCGGTGTCCAAGTCTTCAAATTGGCCCCATACACGTGAAGAACATGCGCTGAATTCAGTAGGCCTCTCACGCGATCTTCGTGGCGTCTGGCACCTCGCAAGCGGCAGTAAGGACAGCGTCAAGCGTGGGCAGTGTTGATGCGAGGCAGAGGTGGTGGCAGGGAGAAAACGCGGCACCAAGAGTCCGCAGACTGCACTTGGTCTGCACGCACACCTGGGAACCGTTACTTATGTGCCTGAATTGCCGTCACACCTGCCAAATATAGATTAAAAATATTGATGTCGCATAATGAACGCTCTAGACATGTAAGTTACATAAGCCTTTGTTTCATAGTGGAGGCCTCCAAGCTTCGTTAAGAATCGACCGCGCAGGTCGCGCGCGAGGGTGGGGGAAGGCTGGTATCTATACGGAGGCGGAGTCCCTCTTGGCAAGATTAGTAATGACTCGGCATACAACCGTCACAGAAGAACGACGTGTATGTATATTGTTACTTACAGGCTCGCTGGTCTTGCAGATCGCAGAAGCCGAGTAGCATAATGGCAAGTCTGCATCTAAGCCGGTGATCTTTATCCATTGTCGCAGCTCACTTCCATGCGAACTTTGCGGAGCGGAATGATCGTGGAATGAACATCATGAGAACGCAACTACGGGCGTGCTACCAGGGCATGTTATATACCCTGGTCTCCGCACCACTTCCAGGTCTCCCGAATACTACCTCCGCTTTCGGCACTTTTCCATCCTCGAAGCTCATAACGATGTTGAATAGGGTCTCTATCTTCGCGAGGGGCCCCCGCGCAGGATCCGGCGAGCAGCATATCGCCTGTGGGGAGTTCTCCGTATTGGCGAACACGCGGCTACGCAGCAGGGCAGCGCCCACGAAGTCCCCAAGACCCACCAGGCCTACCTCCTCCACGATCGAACCACAGAGCGCGCGGGCCTTCTCGAGACGGAAGGGCGAGCCAGACAACCACGGTGGCTCGTCGACGAGCTTGTTCGCGAGGAAGTGGTTCGTGTGGACAATCAGGCCGTCCTCGTCCTCACGCAGGTACACCCCACCTCTCGGTGACAGCTCCAGCCCGCGCGCTCCGTTGGCGTCCGCAATGAGGATATGTTGACTTGACGCGGCGCCTCCGAGCTTCTCGAACGTAGCAATCGCCGAGTCCACAGACTCGCACTCGAGCGCGGTACGGAGCAGCAAGTGAATGGGGAGGAGGTCTGTCGAGATTGGCCGAGCGCGTATAGCGTTCAGGCAAACGCCCACGGAGGACGAGTTGAACCCAATCTTGCCTACGATCCCAGGCTTCGTGTACGGTGAGCACACGACGTGAACTCTAGGCAGCGTCTGCGTACCTCGGTGACCATCCAGATAGTCGGCCTTCCGATGCGCCGGATGGACATGAGCGCGAGGTTGTCGCCCACAGACACCCGCCAGTCCCAGTTCTGCGCGAGCAGCTGCTTCCCAGATGCGCCAAGCCTCCAAGCTAGCGCGGTGCAGCCGTCATCCCACTTCCCAAGGGCTATCTCGCTCCGCGCGTTAAGTGCGACGATGTCCAGCAGCCCTACGTCACTCCTGCCAACACCGTCCGCGATGCCGCGCATTTCCTCTAGTAAGTCTGGGGCCAGCCTGCGAATAGTCGCGCGGAACTCCTCCGCGATCCCGAGCACCTGCGGCCACTTGTACTTGCAGGTGTCCGCGAATATGCCGCGGTAGATATGGAGCTGACTCAGGATCTGCGAGGCAAGTACCTGACCATGTTTCAGGCCAATCTGCGAGCACACGTTTGTGAGCTAGGGATCGCACTCGGCCATAAACTCTGCTCGTACCTCGTATGGCGGCCCAGAGAGGTCGACGGTGAGTCTTCCACCTCCCATGGTGTGAAGGAGAAACGAGGTGTGGGCGCACCGTGCTAGTGGAAAGCCAATCTGTTGCTTATCGAGTCGCTCTAGAGCTAGAAGCCGGGCTTAGTAGCGGAAGGCACGCGAAGTCTAAGGTACCGATAACGAAACCTTCCCAATGAATTCATGGTATGCTTCGAAACCATGAACCCCAGACGTGTGGCCAGTATCCATCCTTTACGATTGGCGATGTTTCGTTTAGTCGGAGCTGTACCATTCCAAGAAACCGACCAACACCAACCAGTATTACCGGCATCCGATATCCATTCACATGAAGGCGATCTTGTGCTCCTTTACTGAGATTTCGATGCGGGAATTTGAGGTTCAAGATCCAAGGTGGGCAGACGTTGATACTTCGAATATATGCATACGGAAACCTGAGCCAAGTGTGCGCTTATCATATTGTGAACCTGCAAAGATGACATTACAACGCTCCACGTCAGGCTGAGGAATGTGGGATGCAATGAGACCAACTAACATCGCACTGTCACTTGCACGAAGAGGCCGAAGGAAGCTGATAGTCGTGCCAGGATATTTGCCGTCGTCGTTTACAGTCAATAAACTGTCCTGAACGAGTTTATGTCTTTCGATGTGCTGCTACAGCGACGGATGCAGTCAGTTTCTGCACCTAGATCCACAAGAAGCCTGTCGGAGCCTCCAACTCAAGGGAGGCAATCTCCTTCAGGCCCTTCCCGCCATCGATCCTCTCGAATACCTTCACCCCACCTCCGTGTACCCCGCCCGCCATCAACCACTTGTCGTCCGGCCCGCCAAACACCATGCCCCTCAGATGCTTCAGTCCCGAGCGCACCTCCGCGACCATCTTCAGTCCACCATCCGAGTCCGCCGGCGAGAAGATGGCGATGGTGTCGTTACCTGGCGAGGGGTCATCCCGGTTAGAGACGTAGACGTACGCGGTTGGGAAGGATGCGTTGGGCGCGGGCAGGAGGATCTCCGATGCGAACATGTTTGAGGCCGCTTCGTGCGGCGTGTCAGCCAACTGCAGCGTGGGGACCGTGGCGATGTGCGTAGCCTCCTCCGGGGCGGGCGGGAAGCGGTATGCGCTGAGCTCGTTGGTCAGCTCGTGCACGGTGTAGAGGATGTCATCTACGGGGATGGGTGAGCGACGTTGCGATTGATGCGCGGCGCGGCAACCCACTGTACACCACGACATGCCGCGGACCGCCGCCCGCCTTGTACTTCAGCTCGCCGTTCGGCACCCACTTCCCGCCCGCGTCCCTCACGAACCGGCGCGCAAGGTCCGCGCCGAGGTCGGGGATGAGGAGCTCTGCGCGCGCCGGGTGCAAGTAGATTTGGTGCGGATGCGACGCCTCTTGCCGCTCCTTGTTCGGACCCGTCCCTTCGAACTGCAGGACCGTGGTCTTCGATGCTTGGAGGTGTGGCGGCTCGTAGGTGAGGGGGATGTCTGCGAACGTGCCGGACGAGTACTGCGTGCGTGTTCATTCCCTTCGCTACACAGATGCCACGGACCACTCACGTTGCCAATGAGGAGCTCCGTGCCCAGCGCGAGCAGGGTGCAGGGATCCGCACCGCCGCTCGGCGCCTCGCCTACGACCGTCCCCTTGCCCTCTGCGTCATACCTCACCACGACCGCTTTGCCGCCGTCCCTTTCCAGCCCAGTGAAGACGAGCGAGGGGTCCGTTGGGTGTGGTGTGATCCAGGAAGGGTGGTGCCCGACCGTGAGCGTGGACTCAAGCGTAAGCTTCGGTGTATCGGGGTCGAACGAGATGGTGTAGATCTCGTTCGTGTACGAGCCGACTAGGATGCGGAAGGACATGCTTGATGCGCTCAAGGCCCTTTGCTCGACAAAGGGGGCGTAATGAGAGTTTGGTGACAGTTATCGCCTCAATATCGATAACGAGTTCACGGGTCTGCTGTTCATGGTCTGCACCAGTCCGTGGAAAGACCGCGAATTCCAAGCGAACTCTCACCCACGGCTATCCATAGAACCTGCATTGTTATATTTTCGGTCTAATCGTGAGGGGTCGCATTACAAGCTTGAGAGGTAATTGAGAGGAGTCAGGAATTGGTCAGTGTCGCTGGCACCACCGAGTCGGTGGTGCCAGCCAGCGTTGGACGGACCCCTGGGTCCGACCGGAGTCAGACCAGGGTCCGGACCTGGTCAGACCGAAAACCTTGGACCCCGGTCTGAGGTCCGTGCGCAAACTAACCTCAGGCGTCTAACCTGGCTACCTACTTAGGGTAATGAGCAAAAGAATTCAATATCTATATTATGCTGGTCGCGTACTTGGCGGTCTGCGCTCAGCTCGCAGGCCCTCTCGACGACGCGATTCTACTCCATTACTGCTAAATACAATATATGTACTAAGGACAACACTGCACTACAATCCAGTCAATCTGTGGTCAGCAAATGGACTCAACAGACTGAGAAACTACCGACTCGGAGTCTGGCGAGTCCACTGAGTTCGTCGCCGCCGTTTCCGCAACATGTGCGGCTTCCTGAAGGGTTTCCTCGCGTGCAAGGAACTGTTCGCCAACAGTCCGGAACTCGCTGAATACGGATGCAGCGGATGGTGGGATTTCGTTGGCATGAGGGAAGAGATTGGCGAGGGAGAGAGCCTGCTTCTCGACGAGGTGAGCAGGAATTCGGATACGGATTCGAAGTCCTGTCCCCGGTGCCGCGGAGCCTTCGGGAGCGGATTGCAGTGTCGGACGTCCAGCGAGACCCGCAGAAGTGGGATGGGAGGAACTTGGTGCAGGTTGCGGGTTTACAGGGCCCGTGTCGACGCCGTCCAAGTCAAGGGCACCCGGGAGGATGGCATCCATCAGGAAAACCCTCTTTCCGTAATTCGTGGTAATGTTCTGAAATTGTCAGTAATATGCGGAACACGGCAGAACACTCAATAATATCTTGCCATTATGAATCCAATCATCACACCTCTCGTATTCGCGAGTATTGTTCCGAAGTCGGTAGTTGCTTCGCGCATGTGCAATAATTTGCATATATTCACATCACTGGGTACATATTGTTTACGAAATTGTGGACTGCATAGTATTGAGCTCAGGGGTCTAGACTACATGATTACAAGTTGGTACTAGGCTCGACCCGTGCACGTACCCACCCGCGTACAGATCCGCCACAGCAGGTACAGGTCCACGTAGGCAAGTGAGACGGCGGGCGAGCATGACAGCAGGCAGGTGGAATGGCAGGTAAGCAGAATGGCAGGTAAGCAGGACGGCGAGGGGGATAACAAGCGAGAGGAAGACTGGTGAGAGGGTATAGCGAGATGGTGGGCGAGCAGGACAGCGGCGAGGGGAGCGACAGGGAGTTCGACAACAGACGAGAGGAGCGGCGGGCGCGTGAAACGGCGGGCGAGTGGAATAGCGGGGCCGCGGGCGAACTAGAGAGAGGGTGAGGGTGAGAGTGGACGACCGAGTCAGTGAGCAAACAAGTTAGCAGACAAATCAGTAAGGGGACGCCGTGGCGTGCCCGTCCTTAACAAGCCTACGCGCGCTGTGCCTGGCAGGCTTTTGCTAGAGCATGGCTGAGCTACTCCGTGCGATTTCAGAGGAGGCACCGCTTGCGGGGTGCATAGTCCTCACGGCCGCACTGTCCGACCGAACGTTTGCACAGCTCGAGGAGGCGGACTTCGCAAGCGTGTACGAGTCGAAGATGGGTGTGGTTGACACGCTCCGTGAGTGCGTCGATGTCGGGGCATTGGAGTTCCTCGTCCCATTCTCATCCGGATTCCGTGGCGGGCCTCTTTGGGAATGGAGGGCAGACGAACTACTGCGCGTGAGTGGCTACGATAGGGTAACAAAAACTGATCAGGACTGACAAGTATGTTGTTAGAGCCAACACGCCGGTAGAGGAGCAGGTCTCCGCGTGTCCGAACACATTCGCCTTCGTCTGTCCGGGAATCATCGACTCCACGATGATGCGCTCGAGCGAACTGGGTGAGTCAGGCAAAGTCGCACAGCTTGAGCAGTTCGCCCAGTGGGGCGTCACGGCGGAAGGTGCGTCCACACATCTGCACATCGCGCCCAACGTCAATCAGGGCTCATGTGGCTGGAAGACGCCCTTGCTCGCTTCCAAACCGGTGAGCGGTTCACGCGGTATGTACCGACAGTCGACTGGTACGCGCTCGAGCGCACGCGGTGCATGCCCCTTCTCGGACGACACCTCCTATCTACTTCTGTTGACGCGGGTCTGGGCTCGTCAGCCACTGGCCCCGGGGCGAGTGGTGTGGGGGCGGCAGACGAAGGGAGGCGACGTGGGCACGCGGATGGCGGCAATCGTACGCGGGGTGCTGGGCGTCGCTGTGGAGGACTTCTCGCCGGAGACGCCGTTCACAGCGCATGGCGTTAGCTCGCTGTCCGCACCTTGTCGTATACCAGTGTAACTTGTCGTACCAGCGCGCGTCGTGTCTGTATGTACCTGCACTTGTTGGGCAAACGTGCGCCGGGGCTGTCTCTGTCGTGTCACGGCGCTAGGCTCCATCCACTCGTTCTTGATGGGCATTCCCGGAGTCGAGGTGAAAAGCAGGGTGCTCACCTGACTCGCTGGCCCTGCTGGACGCAGCCCATGTTCCTCCCTGCATCTTAACCTTTCGCTAAGAGCGTCGCTGGGGCTCGTTGCAGTTGCGTACAGCGCGATCTTGGTCGACTCATTGGTCCGATGTACGCGCCGTCTCTCGCGAACAGGTCCACCTGTGTGTACTGGAGGTCAGCGGCGGGCAAGTGAGAGCGAAGCAGAGTCTCAGTCACTGAGGGAGGAGGGGACTCGAGAGGCGAGAGAAAGTCCGGCGAGCGCGCGTGACGTGTCGTGGCTGAAGCGCTTAGCACTTCTCACGACAAGCCATATTCTCTGCCCCTCCCCATTCTCTGTCCCTCCCATTCTCCGTCTCTCCCCGTCTCTTTCGACTCGAACGCACCGCTTGCCTGGCTCTGGTAAGCCGCAGCACGATCATGTGGGCTCGAATTCACGCACCGCGCATGAAGGACTCGGACCGGTTCTGAGCGACAGGATCATTGCGCCGAGCGCGACAAGAGCGGAACGAAGAGGCAAGGGTAGCATGAGAGGAAGGCGAAGAAACACATTTATGAGCACCTAGGAAGACTGTGGGAAGGCTCGACGGTATGTTCGTGGTATTTACTACCCTTCTCGTTCGCTCACAAGCCGCGACGCACTTGTTGAAGTTGCGCGTCAACCTGGCGGTCAGTTGCTCTCTCTCGCCTACCTACAAGCGTGTTACCAACCAGCTTGTCCACCCATCTGCCCTCTTGCATGCTCGCCTGCCTGCCTGCCATCTGTCACGCCCCCGCCTGTCTGGTCACTGGTCAGAGTCGCCCCCTCTTGCACACTCGCTCTCGCATCCGACTCTCTCTGCCCTACTCTGCCAATGGGGCCTGTTATCTCGCTTGCCTTGCCTCGCCCGCATACTTGTGCTTTCAGCCTTCCGCCTTCTTGCATGCTCACTCTCTCGGCTTCTCGTTCCCTCCCTGCCTTGCTCTCGCGCGTCCTCTCGACCTCACTCTCGACCACTACCGTCGTCTCAATGGCTCAATTTTTCATACGCTCACTCTCTCGCCCGCCCGTGCGCTCGCCCATCTTTGCTTTCACCTGCTCACTCGGTGGCTCATCGGCTCTCTGGCTCACCCACTGGCTCTCGCCTGATCACCTACCCTCGCTGCTCTCGCCTGACCACCTGCTCTCACTGCTCTCACATACCCCTGCATCATCTCACCCGCGCAACCTCTCGCTCGCGCGACCTCTCGTCCGTGCAATCTCTCGTCCGCTCAACCTCTCGCCTGTGCACTCTCTCGCTCGCACACCGTCTCGCTCGCACACCCTCCCGCCTGCACTCTTGCTCGCGCATCTGCTCGCCCGCTCGCTAGTCCACACCCGCGCAAAACTCTTACCCGCTCTGGTGGGCCTGTATACATGTGGGTACGAGTACAATAGGGATTGATTACGAGTAGTATATATCACGAGTACTACCAATGAGTCGTGTTGGCTGTATTTGTATTGTATTGGATCATTGACAGTACATTATAATGCATCATGTTTTTTCGCACCTATGTGTCTGTGGAATGCGCTGCGAACATTAAGAATAAAGACAATGGTTCATCTAATAGTGAGGAACCCTGCCCCTAATACGACTGTATTCGGCACAATATCCTGTTATTCGTAGGTCGACCTCCGGACCATAGCGAATAAACCACTACTACAGCGAACAAAAGAATGGCTACAATTACTCGTTTTTCGCAGTAATAATGCATCATTCGTTGTTATTCCGAAAGTAGGGTTTTCCTGATGCATCGCACTGACCCGTCGCATAGCGTCCTTTGACCTCCGTCTTCACGCGATCAGCCACTTTAGTCGCCTCCTGATCCAGGACACGACCGGAGAGCTCCTTGCGACCAGGGAGGCTTGCTTGGCTAATGTACTTCGAGAAGAAGTAGCGCACAAATGGGATCTCGAGTGCGTACCATGCGATATTGGCAACAATAAAGAGCTTACACAAGTCTGCCACGAACTCGGACTGATACCATTGCGGCCATGGTGCATGCTGCGAGGGCTCGTCGCCGGCGTCTTGATCGCCCAGGACAGTGGTGCTCGAATCACTGGAAGTCCCGGTGCGTCGCACCTTACGGCGATGCTGTGCGGTCGCTGACAGACTAGGTGACGTGCGTTCTCGCTCGGATGATGATGGGGATGGGGACGAACGTGCTTGTCTTCGTGCCTCTTCACGGCGCCGATCCCGAATGGCTGTCGCAGCCCATTGCTTTTGCTCTGGATGCACATGCCAGCAATGTTTTGATAGGTGTGTGAGGAGGGTGTCGATCTTGCCACAGATTGCAGTCGAGCTGTGGTATACTATCATTGATCCAGGGACTTGCGCATCAATCATCTTAACAGATGTCGAAAAACATAGTACGACGTACGCGACTCCCGAATGGCTTCCTCATCTCGCGCCGGCCGTGCATCAACAGCAAGTTCCTCCGCCTCTAGCTCCCGCGCGCGTACTCGAGATACCTCGGCGTCGATGCAATAGTTGCACCAGGCTTCCTTGTGAGTCGAGTTCCCCTTATAATTGTGCTTACCCTTCTTGAAGTGACGCCAGACAGCATGCGGAGGGCTCATTATGAAGCAAGCCGGGAGGAAGGCCGAGAGTCGTCGTGAGTGGAAAATGGGGGAGCATAGTCAAATATATATTCATCTCAGGCTGCGGCACTATGGTGACGGACGGGTGCTACGTTTCGGGGATGGTCAAATTCCAAAGCGCGTTGTGTTTCGTTCAACAAAGGCATGTGACCGTGTCGAGCCGCGTCGCCGTCAGGGTGATTTCAGGTTAACTTTCATGCGGCCCTTATCCGGCACGTGCATTGACTCGAACCTGGTCGAACCCTCTACGGACCCTGGTCAGACCCTCGGTCAGACCCCACTGACCCCGTCCGAAGGTCCAAAAGTCAGCCGCCCGTAGTGCCAACGCTGCCACCGAGAGGACCGCTCAAGGACTGCTTAATATCGGCGCCTTCTACTTAAATAAGATAAGTGCCAGTAAGTATACTATGTAATTTTACGCCTACTGTCAGTATGTATCACAGCTGTGAGTATCAGTACAGGCTTCGCTTTCGCCTTCTCCTTGTTCGAACCTCAGGCCTCAGGCCTCCGATCTCAAGCTCAAGCCTCGGCAGCAAGCTCACAGCGAGCTCACCGTAAACCCATAGCAATCAGTAGCTAACATTGTAGAACGCCACCCGGGTGCGCATAGTACTAGTAGTCATCCTCATTGCGGCATCACCGTTGCGACATACTCCACTGGCAGACATACTCGGCCTTCGCCCATTCTCGTACGTCTCCGAGTTCAGTCGCGATCTCGTCGCATCTAATCATTTCATAGTTGGCCAGTACCGTCGTGCGCTATGAAGTCCGCCCCTGCGCAGGCACGGAACCGTGCTGCTCTTGTTCGCGACGAAGAGTTATGGTTTTCTGACGGCAATTTGATGCTCGAAGCAAATGGTCACGTCTTCAGGATATACCAAGGCCTACTTGCTCAAAACTCCGAGGTGTTTCGTGACCTGTTCACCACCCCTCGATCAACATATGTGGAGACTTTTGAAGGATGTCGTGTTTTCCACCTGACGGACCGGCCGGAGGATCTTCGCCACCTTCTACGAGTCGTATATCACGGCAACAGGTGTGCATCACCTCCCATAACCACCGACCCTCCGTTAGCTCTTCCTGATTGCATGTCTTAACAGGTACTATCGCCCCGACGAACAACTTGACTTCGCGACTGTTGCCGCGCTCGTCCGATTGTCACACAAGTACCAAATCGATCACATTCGCGACACCTATCTCTCGCGGATGAAATCCTGCTTCTGTACCGAATTCGAGACCTGGGTCACTGTCAGCCGCGATGGTGGTAGCCCTGTCATGAAGTTCGGCACCGCAGACGCTATCTCTGCCGTGGACATAGCGCATCTCACTGGGGCGGAGTCTATGCTTCCCACCGCACTGTATTCTTGTTGCCAGCTCAAGGCGGAGCACCTCATTAGTGGTTGTCCTCGCCCTGATGGTACTGTTGAGTACCTCAGCCCAGTGGACACCATGAAATGCGTCGATGCTCGCCAAACGCTATATCAGAAGGCCATCACTACTGGCCTCGAGATATTCTCTCCTCTGGCACCATCGCCACTGTGTTTGGACCGCGTGCAATGCGGCCGAGCAATCCAAGCCCTTCGTGGCAGGCATTTGCGCTTCCCTCCGGCAGATGTGATCGCCACGACTCTCTCACCCAAGCATCTTATGTTCTCCTCTCTCCCAACCGAGGAACGTCTGTATGTGTGTCCAGAGTGCGCGGATTTGATTCGCGAAGCAGAAGAGCCGACGTACAGAAAGATCTGGGCCGAACTTCCTCGGCTCCTGGGTATTGAAACACCGTCAGACTGGCCTACGGCATAGCTTATGCACGTCCCCGCTGCGTGGTAAGCAACCGAACCCATGATCGTCGTGTCCATGAAGTGTCCTAACCTAGCACAACCCAACTCATCGCAGGGACTTCATATATATATGGTGGTGTCACGATATATGTGTTCATTTTTTGGATCACGGGCTTGAGAGTGTGGTTAGCTATTTGAACTCGTGAGTGGATGTAGTTGTAGTCTGCAAGTTACGTTTCTACACAGATCTGCGGGCAGTGCGCTGAGCAATCGTATACCGATCTCTATTTACGGGCGGTCGCACCCAGGCGTTCGAGGTTCACGACATTCATACTTATAGACTGTTGACGGTTGGTTAGCGGTATGTTGCCTTCAGCTTGAGCTCGCTGTCGCGGTCAATTCAAGGCTCAGTGGCTCCGGAGGAGAGCCCCGGACCAGGCCCCCGGTCAGATCATGATCAGAGATCGAGATCTACTAACTGTTGCTCCTCGACATCACGCCGGAGTCGCGACAGTCGCGACGGGCACCTTCAACACCCTGCGAACGTCAGCTTGCACTTCGTGTCTCGGCGATCCGACGCTTGTATCACTGGCACGGGGCACTCATGCAGGATACTCTCGAACATTCGCTTTCAGGATCGCGGAACACCGAGAACGCGGCAGACCACATGTCTGTTGAACAGGAGGCGACACGCGACGAACAGTTCTGGTTCAGGGATGGCAACGTCGTCCTACAAGCCGGCGGTGTAGCGTTTCGCGTCTACCAAGGCACTCTGTCCCAAAACTCCGAAGTGTTCGACGGACTATTCTCTGTCCCGCAGCCCGTGATCGCGGATACATTCGATGGGTGTCCAGTCATTCAACTCGAAGACAGGCCAGACGACTTGCGGCATCTTCTTCGTGCTTTATTCGTCGGTCAAAGGTATGTTTGCATCGCGTGTAATGCGACGGCATCCCTGATCAGTGTATTCCAGGTTTTATCGGCATGACGAGCAATTGCCATTCACCGTTGTCGCGTCTATCGTCCGCCTCGCGCACAAGTATGGCATGGAGCACTTGCGGGACGACGCGCTCGAACGCATGAAGTCCTGCTTCAGCGATGACCTCGATGTCTGGTCGGAAGCCGACGTTGGCATGGGCAGTGCCTCCATGTCGTACGTCGACACAGACGCCATCGCCGCCGTCAGCATCGCGCGACTTACGGACACGTATTCGATGTTGCCTTCCGCCCTATATACGTGTTGCCAACTCGATACTGAGGAGATAGTGAACGGCGTCACGCGGGAAGACGGCACAACCGAGCGGCTAACGCAGGAAGACATGCTAAGGTGTCTCAACGCACGGAGAACCCTCCTCCATGACAACATCGTCTCCGCATACACCCTCTTTACGACTACCCCGCACGGGTGCACGAGGCACTCCGACTGCGAGTTGATGCGGAGGAACCTTGCCGACACTCATATAACCTTCGACACCGACGGAGTAGAGGACTACGCATACCTCGCGGACTGGGACCCTTACTTTCGCAACAAGGAGTTGTCAGGTAGCTACCATTCCCTCTGCCCTAACTGCCAGGCAGCCATACTGGAGCACGCGCGCGAGTTACGCTTAGCAGCATGGACTTCGCTCTCGAAGACCTTGAACTTGATTGCTTAATCGTTCTAGTTCGCGATCCAGCTCGTAGAAGTGCGTCTCCATAATGGTCCTGAGACGCCCAGGACACCACGACATACATGGGTAGCACTGTGCTGGTCGAGAATGAGATGTAACTTACCTATTGTACGCCGACCGCGACCCAACGACCTCTTGCGGCTGAACCATTCTCAGCCGTGTCGTGTGCAACCATAGACGTTGTAGTGCAGGAACGCAGACCTCTGCGCTCACACGCGACGAGGAATCATGCGAGGCAGGTACGTGCCTTTATGGGATACCGGGAGCTAAGTACCGGCTCACAACTCTGAGGTGTTTTGCGACCTGTTCACGATCCCTCAGCCGACGTCTGGAGAGACAATGGATGAATACCGTGTCGTCCACCTTATGGACCATTCCGAAAAGCCGCGCCATCGTCTGCGTGCTTTTCGGACAAAGGTCAGGCATATCATGTACTAGTGAACATGCATATGCTGACGGGGTATCTTGACAGTGTCTACTGCCCTGACGAACGCTTCGATTTCGCGTTGTCTTCCGACTATCTCACAAGCATCAAATACGATTACACGCGACGTCCGCTGAAGAGAATGCAGTTGTGTCTCTGCACCGAGCGGACAGCCTGGGAAGCATCACGACATGGCGGCAGTAACATCTTGAAGTAGCGCGACACCGATGCGATTGCTACTGTCATCATCACGCGACTCACCGGATCGACTCTGTGATATCTGTCGCTGTGTTCTTGCTGCGCCCTCGATGCGAAACCCTCCTCCAGTCGCTGGCGCTTCTCGGGTCGACGGACCACTTTAGTGTCTGAGTCTGTCGGACATCGTGAAGTGTGTCAAGAAAGTGATCTCCAAGACTCCGGAGATTTGCAACCTCCCTAATCCATCATTGCAATGCCGCGCGAATGAATGCCAACCAAGCATCCGTATACGGTATCATACGCGAGATCGGTACCTCGCCGAAATGCCCACACAGAGTCTACGATACAGTGTATCACGACTTAATGGTCGCTTTGCAACGGGAGGAACACTTGCGTTGCAGGTGCGCGAAACTCCTTGGGGAGGCATTGGAGCGGCAGCTGCGCAAAAAGGTTCGGGGTGAGTTTCTACAATTCCTGGGATTAGCAGAGCCAGAGGGCTGAGAGCTGACCTGAAGAGTGAGTGCCCCAGTAGTCCGCACTTTGAAGACTTGGCCAGTGAGACTTTGATGTACTGACCACTCACCCGATTTCCGTTCGTCTCAAGGATCATCCACCGTTTTCCGCTTTCAGTCCATTCGACCGGCTGGTGTTCATTGCGCATGTGCTTCAATCGCAACAGCGTTCTATGCCCAGAAGTTCTCGTGCTGATACGACTGAGGGGATTCTGTACATTTTTAATCATGCAAATTGAAATTGAAGTAGTATACGCGACGCCCAGCTCAAGAGAATGAAATCATGTTTTTGCACCGAGCAGACAGCCTGGGAGGCATCACGGCGTGGTGGCAGTACAGTCATGAAGTATCGCGATACCGATGCCATTGCTGCTGTTAACATCGCGCGACTCACCGGAACCGACTCTATGCTTCCCGTCGCTCTGTATTCTTGCTGCACCCTCGACGCGGAAACCCTCCTCCATGGCGCCCCTCGGATCGACGGGTCACTCGAGTGCCTGTGTCCATCGGACATTGTGAAGTGCGTCAATGCCCGCCAAGCAATACTGCAGAAAGCGATCTCCAATACCTTGAAGATTTTCGACCCATCATCGCAATGCGGCGCGGACAAATGCCAACAAAGTATACGTATCATACGCGATATCGGTACCTCGCCATATATCCCACACCAGGTCCTGGATACAGCACCTCACTGGTATCTGACTGCGACTGTCTGGCACTCAATGTCTTCGCCTGTGATCACGTACTTCCCGCAAAGTTCAATGTGGCAAGACTGGTTGCAATTCTTGTACTTATTGTCATAATGGAGGCTCTGAGTAGCACCGGCATTCTTACTGCACTACGACCACGGGTATATGTACATCTCCAGTCTTCTACGACTCACCAGCATTCCTTGGCCACTGTGAAACTTTCCGCAATACATGGACCGTGTTCTCCACCAGCCTCCAACAATCGCTTGTCATTGTGCTGTCGTACTCGTTGATCGCCTGAAGGTTCGGAAAAATTGCATATAAGAACGCCCCAATTTCAGCGACGTTATATATATCCGTTGCAAATGGCTGCTTGAAGTCGATGGATCGGAGGACTCGATTGCAATGACCCCCACCCGGTTCCGCGTGAGGCGAGATGAAGGTGTCGGATGGATCCACGTCGATCGTGAGCGACTTCAGCGAGGGGCAGTACCTGGCGAGTGGCACTAAACCCTCCAGTGTCGCCGCGTTCTGGATTAACCAGGAATCCTCGGCCATGCTCTGGAACCGCAGGGACTCCAAACAGGGCCATGCCATGGCCATCTCCTCGAGGAGATAATCGTCGAGGGCGATGTACATCTCCGTGAGAAGCCAGATCTTGCGCATACGACGGAAAGCGCATAGGCGACTCAAAGACGTCGCGGTGATAACTTGTATTCCCTCCTCGAGATGTGTGAGTTGACCAGGCACGGTGTGTATCTGGATCGTCTCCAGCACACCATGAGAACAGCAGTCATGGATCACTTGAAGCATTTCATCGAATGCGTGTGGTTCGGAGCCCCAAAACGATGTCAGGTTTAGTCGCCGCAGTCGGGGGAAGCGACAGACCGATAGGATCGTACTGAGCTCTGTCATGAACGAGAGCACCAGAGTGATACTCTTCAGAGCACGGAACTCGAGGCTCTGGGCAGCGGGATAGTCCGTCTCCAAGAGACTGCGTTTGTCTTGCCGCGTGATCGTCGCAATCACAATTTTCACCTCCGTGAGGTGCGGTAGTGTCGATAATCCAGCGAGGACGTCGATGTCGAAAGGTGAGAACGACTCCAGAGTGAGAGACCTAAGGGGTGTCAACGAAGTAAGGATATCGCGAGGAATAGGTTGATGGTCCGAGTCTGGGCCTCCGTTTCCGTCCGGATGAATATGGAGGTCCTGAATGTCGGGTGAACGTCGATGAAGGTGCACCAACATCTGAAGACACGACCCAATGTCCAGCATATAGAGCTGTGGACCGAAGAGCATATGTGCGGAGTCGACATAATCGAACGGGATGTCCGAGCCATACCACTCGAGGAATCGCAGTCTGGGAAGCAAGTGGTGGGAAGGGCTCGACGATAAAAGCCAGCGAAAGAGCTTCCCCGAGAGAACACGAGACATCCTCAGGTATGGATTGAGTGGAGACTTCCGTGGGCCATACCGTAATGACCGCACACGCCGAGCATAGAACTCCAGGCGTTCCCAGTCCTGATGTGTCGTGGGCCTCGTTGGCTCGTTGAGCGTCTGGATACAAACGGGAGCTCAGTCAGTCTTCGAAGATGCAGAATAACCACCGACTCACTAGAGTCCCATGACGATCATCTAATATCGTCCACAAGTCTGTCGGCAAACATTCGACAAGATGGCTCAAGCCCTCCTGAAGAGACCATAGAACGTCCAGGGCAGGTTCATGGAAAGCGCGGCATGTGAGCGCCAACGCCTGGAGTGTCGGTAGGTCAGGACTCCGCCAGTCAGAACTCGGCCAGCCGTCGTCGCCCAGTGGCACGTTATTGACTATCAAGTGAATGAGCTCCGGAATGGTAAGGGCCCGATGCACCATGGAACTTCAATGAATGCTTCCCCGCTGGGAATTAGTGTAGGTATGCCGTCGTACAGGCCAGCGCCGAGACACTACTTCAATGCATGCGTCAATTACTGGAATAAGCATGAGGATTCCAGCTTGATAATGGATTATCACTGACCTCGACGAACGAGTCACCTTCAGACTGATCAACACGCAGACCCAAGGAATCACTGACGAACGAAGTTCAACCCGACGCGTCCAAGGCGTTGAGTGTCAGTGACTTGAGTCTGGTCCGTGTAGCCGAATACATCGCATCACGAGATCGTGGTAAAGTCGTACTCATTGACCCACTTACCAAATTGAGCATCGCGAATTCGAACACTTGTGCTCGTATTTTGGTCAGCAACGGAGACTATTGTGCTCGCAAGCTTGAGATCGGGATTGGTCTAAAAGTATAGTAAGTAAGACTCTCACATCATGATATTTGGACTTTGAAGAGTCCAAACTAATACACCAGGCGAGGTCATCATACCTTCACGGTACCTTCATGCAAGAGAGCGCTTGCGGTCCGCGGTTGAAACGCGCGCGCGCAGACGCGTCGGAGGACGGAGACACACCCAGACCAACATCGGAAGATATCAAGCGGGATCAAGTTGTTTGGTTCGATGACGGGAACATCATGTTGCTGGCTGGCGGTGTTGCCTTTCGCGTCTACCGAGGGCTTCTGGCATTGCACTCTGAAATCTTCGCCGACATGTTTTCTGTCCCGCAGCCGGAGTCTGTGGAACAACTCGATGGCTGCCCGGTCATACATCTTACGGACCATCCAGACGAATTGCGTCACTTTCTGCGCGACCTCTTCGTGGACAAGAAGTGCGTTCGCATTCCTGACTTCTGCTTCTGTGACCCACTGTGAAGAGCCATGGTTTCTGACGAACGCCGTGGCAGATACAATCGACACAACGAAACGCTCCCATGTACTACGGTTGTAGCTCTTGCTCGCCTCGCTCACAAGTATGGAATCAAGGATATGCTAGACGACGCTCTGTGTCGCGTGCAGTCCTGCTTCAGCGACAATCTGTACATCTGGATTAGAGCTGATGAAAACATGCACACCCACCTCATGACCTTCGACCGGAAGGATGCAGTCGCCGCGGTGAACATCGCTCGTCTTACGGAGACAACAAGCATGCTTCCCGTAGCCCTATATATGTGCTGCCAACTCGAAATCCAGGACATCATGAACGGGGTCATGCAAGAGAACGGCACGGTTGAGCGGCTCGCACCAGGGGACGTCATGAAGTGTCTCGAAGCGCGGAAGACACTCGCCTACGACAACGTGGTCTCTGCTGCCCGGATATTCACCCCTGTCGCCCATATCTCATGTCTATCTCAGGAGTCCTGCACTGCGCATATCCTGGGTCTTTTCCAACGTCTGGTGAATCACCGGGCTGGTTTGGATATTTGCTCAAGTCTTGGTGATTGGGTACCATACATCCTGACAAGCCAATCCTGCAAGTCGCTCTGTGGTTGCTGCTATGAAATGGTACAAGGGAGAGCTATTGGCGAGCAAGAAGAAGTATGGCGACGACTCCCGAAGGTCATGGGTGTCGAGGTCCATGGCTGGATGTCATAAATCAACGATGGAACCCAGGTGAGTAATATTTCTGCCCGTCACGATTGGCATTCGTTCCGTGGCTGAACGATCGGATGGAACATATGCTCACGATTTTCCTTAGGCTTCACTGACTGTGCACGTCACCGGATCCGTCCCTAGAGCTTCAAGTTGCTGCAAACCGCACAACGTCCGCCTCAGATACTCAGATATCGCATCACTATCTACGCCTGCGCACGGACACCGCGAATGTTTCCTTACCTGATAGATCAACATACTATTCCGAACCCGGATATCTACATCTCCAAGTGCCTGCTTACGAGTTCGTGCATGGAGGCTGGATTAGGCTGTTTGGGATCGGCCCGGTTCAAGTTGGGGTTTGAACGAGGTCGGCTTCGCATGTTACTTAGAAACTTCGTGTCATACCGGTATCGACACGGGGGCAACGAGCTTGATTTGTAGCTTGTCAGTGAAAAGAACTTGATTGAGGGATGAATCGATGACGGCACAAGAGGTGGTATAAGAGAAGGTTACTTACCAGGTTACGATACTTCACAGTAATGTTTACTATTATCAACTGTGATGCATGCGACTTCCGACCCTGTACTCTCGACCTCATGCTCTAACGTCGAGCAACAACGCATTACTCTCGCAAACGGGCTCTTACACTGATTTCCCTGGTCGACCATGTCCCCGCGAGTGCGTGTGCATCTGATGATAGGACGACCGCAAGTGAATAATATGGGGTACTTACGTGCGTGCATTGGTCTATTCCTCTCCGCTGGCTACTTACTACTGTCCGGAAACACAGCCCGTAGGACCAACTACACGATCATATCGACAACTGAGGCTGAAGCTGTAGAAGCTGAAGCATGGGGACGGATGACTCCCGCACAGCCCTCGGAGCCGCGTCTATCTGCGATTGCTTGACCGCAGCCCCTTTCCGTAAGTGACCTTGTGTTGCGCAGCGTGTACTAGTCTGTTCATTTGACCGCCACGTACTCCTCTCGTCAGGTACTTACCTCTCCGCGCCGAACACGTACGGCCAAGGCGTACCATGATCCTCCCCTCCCCCCCTTCCTTGATCGACGACGAGCTGCCGCCCGATGCTCCTCCGGCGTACGACGACCTGCCACCACAGGCGGACGCTCCGGCTGTGAAGAACGAGAAGACAGAGTCAGCACTAAGTCCTGGTACGCCATCCGCCTCCACGTTTCTGGCGACTTCCCCGGCCTCGGCAGTCTCGTCGAAGTCGCCCACGTCGCCCAGCAAGGGTGCGGAAGGAATATGGGCGTGGATACCTTCCCCCGCACGTACTCGCGCAGCAGCAGAGGTTAGGGCGACTGTACTCGGGCTCATAAGGGAGCTCATTAAGCGAGGGGATACTGGGCCTCCTGCGCGATCCATTCTATCCAGCTGCGACGACGTGTGCCATGCTTATCGTCTCTCGCTCTCTTCGATCCTCCAGGACCGCTGCGTCGAGGGTCACTCTGCCATGTACTGGGCAGTCATCAAGCGTCGCAAGGGCGTCGAGCTGAGTACCGACTCGCCGACCGACGTCCTTGGGGCCTTCCTCACATTCGGCGCGCCGCTCTTACCCGTTGCCCTCTCTGAAATCCGGCTCGCATGCCTGCAGAAGGCAGACCAGGCCCTCTTCCAACAGCTGCGGCAGTCGCCCTCGTTCGCGCCCTTGAGCGGGAAGGACGACATGCTGCTCAGCCCGTCGTGCGCACGCGACGAGATCTACGTGGAGGACATCGCGTCGGAGGACGCGTTCGCCGTGCGCTTCCGCATCCCGATGTTCCAGCAGCGCCTGCGGGTCTCGAAGCACATCAGTCTGGAGTTCATCGCGCGAGGTGAGTATACCGCGCCATGGTCCTGCCACAGCCGTCCTCACAACCTTAACAGGCAGGCTGTGGTCGTTCAGATTCCTCATCGCCTCCGCGGACAACTACAAGCTCCGCCCGATTGCAGAGCCTGGCAGTTGGGTCGTCACGCTCTCACTGCTCGAGCACAGCGCGCCCACCGCGATCGACTCGCGTCTGGTCATCCAGGACGTGTCCACGCACTCCTCTGACGCTGCTTCCTCGAGCCAGCCAGGGCAGTCGCCCCTGCGAAGCGCGAGGGTCCCGGAGCGCAGGCCGCCGATTGAGGTGCGGCTCAAGAGCGCGGAGGACCTGGCGCCGGACACATACGAGAACTTCATTGCTGCATCCTTCAAGAAGAACTCCTTCGCCGACCGTCTGCAGTACGAGTGAGTGTGAATCATCATGACTGAGTGGGAGCTTGGTGTTGATAGAGTCGCAGTGGAAGTCCGTACATCGGCAGTGACGGCTCGTTGGACGCTACGCTAGAGGCGCGTTTGGGCAAGCCTGGGCTAGAATGCGTCATATGTTAGATGCCCTTCCTTTGTATTCTCCTGTCACCTCTTTCCGGACCTCTTCGTCGCGCTCTCTTAGGATTATGGTGAGGCCTTCCCCCCTGCATAATCAGTCGCCGTGTCCTGACATTCCGTTTTCTTTTCAGTTGTGTTCATACCTGTACCATAGACTTCTTCATCTGGGACTTCTTCGGCGTGTATGTGTACGAGTAGGACGTCGGGACGCGCTTACAACATCATTGTTCCGCAGTCTTCGCCTGTCATGTGAACAATTTGAGCTTTCACCGTCGCTGCGCCGGTTTCGCATACATCGGTGTGTCCTCTGTCAAGGTTATTGCTCACATCTGCTTACATTGACGTTCTGGAGGGTTTCAGCACGAGTGACGTGCTGGTACGACATTGATGACTGCGCATGCATGACATCAAATGGACGTATGGGAGACTCAGAGTCATATCGAGAAAGTGCGCCAGGTTCCGGTTACCAGTTCAGGAAGGTACGCTGCGCATTCTCGAGCAGGTACTTACACCCGGATAGTGCTCGCCGCCTCCTTCCGCCTTCCTCGTTCTTCCAAGCGCTGGACGTTCATGCGGACACGGGTCTATTGGACGTCGGTACATATGGATGGCGTCGCTTCCGGGTGATGATATGTAGCAATGACCACTAATTTATACGATTCGCACTGCTATCGAACTGCGATCTGCACTGCCTCGATAGACATGCACACGTAGAAGCGTGCGTGGCATCACCCAGGTACGTCTATCCCGCGTCTATGTTCACTCAAGCTTATCCTGCTGACCAGCTATAGTGGCTGACAGCATGCTGATGAAGGCTGTGCGCAGCTATGCCGGCCCCAGACATTGAGTACATATGCACGATTCAGTACGCATGGATCTAGGACTGACCTGCAGTCCTTCAGCCGCAGTCCCAGTCCTAGTCCTCCATACGCACCAGCAGTGCGTCCGCAATGCTCCTGATCAACGTCAAACACCTGAGCAAGGACCTGCCCTCAGTCCCGGTCGAAGACGCCCCTCCAGCGTACGAACCGACCGCATCTACGTCCTACAACCCGTACTCTCCGAACGCCGACTATGTCTCCGCGGAGCTTACTGCCACTGACGTCGGCGTCGTCAAGGAGGATACAACATCCCCTCCCTCTCTGTCCCCTCCGGTCTCCCGGCCTTCGCTCAGATATCGCTCTTCCGACGGCGATGTAACACCGTCGTTGCCGCAGCGACCGTCCAGCCGGCCCGCACGCAGCGAACTCAGTCTCCCTTCGTCTGTGAACCGAGAGGGTGACCACCGGATCTCCCGTCCCTACAGCACGATCCGTCTCTCGTCCGCTCCATTGTTCGACAAGAGCGACAAACGCGGGTCGATCAAGTCGGCCAACGGCGTGACCTCAGTGACGCTGGATGCCTCGGAGATCATGTCCAGCTTCCTCCGTGATCTTCTAACGAGACAATTCGCCGTGGAGCAATCCGTAGAGTTCGTCCTGAAAGGGTGCACTGATGCGTGTCGCGTGTATGGCCTTTCGCTGGCTGCCTTGCTGCAGGAGCCCTCTATTGAGGGCCACACTCCGATCTACTGGGCGGTGGTCAAGTGCGGCCCTGGTCCGCAGACTACCTTCACTCATGAGCTGCTCGCGACATTCCTCTCGTGCGCTGCTCCGCTCACCGAGACCGCACTCGCCGACATACGACTCGCGTGCCTCGAGAATCCTGACCAAGAGCTGTTCCAGTGGATCCGGCGCTCGCGCGCCATGACGCCGCTCTTTGGTGCTGCCGAGGTGCTCTTCAGCGGCGCGGTGCCCGAAGATGAGGTCTTCGTGGAGGAGCTCCCCGGAGAGAACGACATGTTCGTCGGCCACTTCCGCATCCTCATGTTCCAGAAGCGTATGCGCGTGCTCAAGCATGTTGGCCTCGAATTCATTGCCCGAGGTGAGCCCGTTACTGCGACCATACATTGAGTCAGTGTTGACTAAATTCTGTTTGCAGGTAGACTCTGGGGTCTTCAGGTGTATGTCGCGTCGGCCGAGAATGCCCGCAAAATGCGGCATGGCGCAAAGCCGGGAGCATGGGTTGCTACGATCTCGCTACTCGAGGGTAGTCAACCTGCTTGGGTCGACTCTGGGTTCATAGTATGCACGAAGGACAGCGCGGCCACTCGATCCGAAGGCAACGACGCCAACTGGCTACGTCTTAAGTCCGGTCACCAGCTGATGGCGCCTCCCCGCCTGAACTCAGTGAGCGCGTCGTTCAAAGAGGCATTCGCCATCGACTGCCTTTCATCGTACGTTTATTATCTCTGCACGATCCTAGGCCTACCACTGATGACATCTCCTGTGTATGCAGAGACGGCCCTTACGTCCAACCGGACGGTTCACTCAATATCAGGTTGGAGGCCAGTCTCAAGAAGCACGATTCGGGGTGCATCATCTGCTGAGGCCCAGTGAAACCACTGATCCGGCGCTACCCCTACCGTCAGGCTACTCCTAGCACCAGGGCCGTGAATAGGCCGGGTTTTCGGGAGTCCATGCGCTTACCGGCACTGCGAGTGCTCCCTCCAGGCATGAAGGGACTTCCCTAGCCCTTAGGTGCTTCCGGCTTTTGGCTGCGGCGACCCTCAACATCCACACAGTCCCCTATCAATGCTTCTGCGCTCGCCGATCAGACTTGATGTGTGGTGCACTGTCTCTTCAGGCTATCGCATCTCGCTCGTTGCACGAAGACTCCGGACGCTGAAGCGTTCTGTGTGTTGGTGTTGTCCGGAAGGTTTGACGGATTCTTAACACCAATCTGTGTGAGTGTACCCTCACGGAGCGGTTGCCCATCTTCACTTCCTTCCAAAGCTCCCCTAGAGTTTAGTGTTACTGCCATGTCTTTGCTGACTATCGTAAAATGACCCGTGTACCACACTGTTCTAGCAATGTATAAATATTAACTTTAGCGTGAACGTACCAGTAAATCCCGTAGCTCGAGTACTGTCATGGCTGCGAAGCTGTGCTTTCCCCTGACTGTGCAACAATCGCAAGCTGTGTTACAGATTACATGATATCCAGATAGAAAAAGTGTCCTAAGTGATACAAATTGATAAATACCCTACTGCGAGGCGACAACAGCGCCCGGACGCTCATGCGTTCGCCATAATGACTGCAGGGAATGCACCTGAGCCATTGGCCGGCTTCTTCTTAGCAGGACTGCCGCCAGAAGATTGGCCTCTCTTATTGGCGGACTCCATACCCGGGGTGGCCGCGGCAAACTCTTGTTGCGGCTCTCCCTCTGATGGTGCAGGCATCATCCCGGTCGGGGCAACAGGAGGTTTCGCTTTCTTCTTCTTGGAGGCTGCTGCTGAAGGCGCGTTCTTCATGACCTGACCGAGTGGTCCGATCTTGGTATGCGATGGGCTGGGTGCATCGTCGGGAAGTACGACGGATGGGGTATCAGACTCTGTGGGTATAGGCTGAGCATAACCAGGTGGCATAGGTGGTGGGAAACCGGAGGTTTGGGGAGGTACGGAGGCCGCACCAGGCGGTGGATGTTGCGCCGCAGACGCAGACAGGGTGGAGATCCGCTCGGAGTAAAAGGGCTTGAGCAGGCCGATCTGTTTCTCGACCGTTCTGGAGTCCAATGGTATGAATGGGGGAGGCGGGGGAAACGGGGGAGGAGGCTCTGTAGGTTTGGCACTGCATAGACATAATGAGAGCAGCTCAGTGAGCACACATGAACGACATACGCAGATGGCCCCTCCGCATGTCCCTGCTTCTTGCCCTTCAGCAGCTTCTTGGGGACTGTCAGGCTCTGCAGACCAAATTCTGCAGCGATACCCAGCTCCCGAAGACCAAGGAAATCTTCTCCAAAAGAATCGGCGAAGTTGCCCCTACGGCTGAAGTCAGGCTCTGTGTCTTAACCATTGGAGAACGGTGAACTTACATGACGAATTGGCCATCTTCCTCCTCGCCTTCGGTGTTCTGGAATAGGGCGTCGTCATCCCAGGCTTCCTCGGTGGTCTGTGTATAGACACTCAGAATACAGCTTCCGGTCAAGATCAATTTAGCCACTGACCGCGTCTCGATAAGCGTTGGCCAGCTTTTTCTCGAGCTCAGCCAGCCGTCCGCCATATCGAACGACGTCGTCCTTGACGTAGCGATCGAGCTCGTAGATGCGAGTCGTTCCACTTTCGAAAAGGGTGTGTAGGATGATTTCCTGTAGAAAATCAGTCGTTTGCTTACCCTGGGTTAGCACGCACTCACCTCAGGCGTCATCTTCTTCGCATACTTGTCGCACATAAAACGTATCGTCCGCCCGACGTTGAGAAGATACTCTGAAGCGACGCCAGCCAGGACATCAAGCGCAGCCTTGGATGTTCCTAGGGTTGCTCCGTCAGAAGGGTCGTTTTACCACCACGAACCATGCACAAACCTTGGAAGCCGACATGTTCCAAGACCTTGCCACCCATCCAGTGCAGACAATCGTTTGCATGTTCCTCCCCTATTTCTATACCCGAGCCATTAGGTTTCCATGGCCGTTCATCCAACACGTCCTCCACGTCCTCTGAGATAGGTTCGATCGGTGGCACCACAGGCCCGCCACCCTCTTCCGTGTTCTGGTTGAGGTTGAGAGCAGCGAACTTTGCGTGCGTGGTCCGGACCCGGCGAAGGGTACGGATGTTGTTGTTCATGTGGTATAGCAAAGTGTCTGTGCGTGGCGTCGTTTTCTTCTTCTTGCCCCGCTGCGTTCCTTGCCGTGGTGGGTCCTTGATTTGCTTGGGCGGCCCAGCACCAGGGACGTCCTCTGATGAACGGTACAGAAGTGTTGGGAGACCGTTCGCGAGCAATTCCTCAGACTGCATCGCGTCCCACCAGAGTTCGACCGGATCCTTGTCCGCAGTTGGCAACATGCGTGCACGTTTGCGTGGTCGATCGTCAAGAAAACCATTCCTGCAAAGCCGGTATAAGCGCGTGAACCACATATTGATGGTAGAGCTTACAATTTGCGCTTCTCTCCGACACCGCTGTCCATGGTATGCAGAGACAAGCTATCGATATCAAGTTCGTCGTCCGAGACGGGTTTGTATCGTCTCAAGCGTTGCTCAAGGTGTTGAGTCTCATCGTTCACGATATTGGTAGGATGCGCAGTGTTCGTCCACCACTCCAGCTCTTGGTCCAACCGCACGAACGCCGCCATGCCTTCTGCGCTCCGAACAATCGCGGGTGAGTCGGCGAAGGAGCCATCGTGACGAGGCTTCTTGCTGCTCGGCTGTGCTATGGGGATGGCCTTACCGGGACTCGGCGACTTCGCCAAAACAGGGGAGTGGACGCGTGCATGACCGTTGAGAGTGACGCCGTTTGTCCGGGGCGCGATGAGGATGGCTGCAATGTCTGACGGGATGACGGGATCTGCGCGCTCCTTCCAGTCTGTGATGTTCTTGAGCAACTTCTCGGCCTTGACCTTTAACCGCATGACGCACATCCGCAGAGGGTGGTCCTGTAAGCAGTCAGCACAAGAGTGACATTTGACCGCGAGTAATATTCGGACCGGCTGAGCATTGTACGTAAAGCAGTTAGACCAGATGAGATCAAGGTCGTCCTTGAACTCCCGCTTCGACTTGTACTGCTTCTGCTTCGCCTTCTTGAGCATGGTCTGCAAGTCCATAGGGTTGGAGATGACTGTGTTGGAGTAAGCTTTGGGGCGAAGGAGTCATATCGGACAACGAACCCTCATAATAGTCAGGAACATCGGTCTTCGAGACCGGCTTCAGGAATGCTTCCGCATCCCTGTTATCCTGTAGAGCAAACATATCAGCACCAAGTACAGTGTGTAGTGCATGCAACCAATGGCGAGACGACGAAAACATAAACAGGTCAGAACGCCTGCAAGGTGTACACCGCACAGCGGTACATACTTGTGGACAGCGGTCGGACCCAGCCGATGTGAGCGACTACTTGATCTGCAGAATCAAGTAGAAGAACGGGCTGCACTGTGTCGGAGTAGCCTGAACGCTCGTCTATCCTCTCATAGAGTCCCGTCATCGGCTCGCTGTGATATACGGACTCAGCCACATCGACAGATTCTATATGCCATAAGTGCGTGGTATCACACTGGCGTCATGCAGCAAGGCACTTGGATCAACCAGCTCCGGATCTTCGACTTACTACAGGTGACTGTGATCCAGATGTTTCGTTGATTTGGTCAACGGCCAGAGGACACCAGCCCAGGCCTTCTCTGCGAATGCGCCAACGGCACTCGCCCTATATGTAGGGTTGCTTGTACTTTACGTACAGCGGGAGACGGTGTCCATCTTCGCTAATCATCCTGCTGGGCTACAGTGACTCTGCCTTGTCTGCACGGTCACAGCCAAGCAGTAGAAGTTGGACTTCACTGGCCCCAGCATAGCGATAGCACTCGCAGTAGGAGTGAGATGAAGCAGACCTAGTCATCCTAACAAAAACCTCATTTGGGTATTGAACCATGCTGATGGCTGTGAATGTATGAGCAAGGCTTTGGTGCCCGTCCGCCCACACTCAGCTAAGGGAACGGGCACGGCCAATGCTGATGCCTGTAAGACGACTGAGGACACGGATATCCAGGCTGTCCTCGCGTGGTGAAACGGGCCATGTCCGAACCAGGCAGAATTCTGAGGTCCAGACATTCCTGTCTAATGGCGGGGCTCCAGGATGCGATCGTCCACCAGGGCGCTCGGGCCGGTGTGGCCACCACAAAGACGCGGTACAAACATATCCTGATCACAGTGTTACGCACTCACCATTGTTACCGTGCGGAGGTCATGTAAGAGGCCCTCCAGTGAGTCATAGAATGCATCAGCGTATTTCGCAGCATCATGAGACTGCCTCTGCAACGAAGTTAGACATTTCAGCCACATCCAAGAAGCGCACTCACGCGAGTCTCCTTAACGGCGCTTAATAGTAACTTGAGATCTGTGTGCTGTTGCGCTGTCTTGACCTGACTTTCCGTCAGAGTTCTGAGAAGGTTCTGAGGTAAGAAGTGGTCAGACGCGATAATACTGGATGGATGGCTAACGAAGCGCGATGTACGTACGTTCATCCTCGGTCCATGGGCCGTGCGCACGATGACGGTCGCAGAACAAGGTGGCAAATCAAACTCCGCCGATGTTTATCGCAAAATGCCGAACGTTGTCTGGTTGGTAAGTTGAACTATGGTAAAGATGTGTACTGTGGCCCTCCAAACTAAACTACCAAGGTGGCTATCAACCCTACGCCTGCGGGCACCTTCTGCTATGCGATGTTTTATGCTGAGGCAGCATACATATCGCTAACGCTTTCAATTGTCAAGCAGTATCGGGCCGGGATCTCAGCCACCCTAGCTATTCGGCCACTGCCTCGAGCAGGTACTGCTCGCCTAGCTCTCAGTGGTTTTCCTCAAGAATTACACGAGTAGATTCCTATATCTCGTCACTACCTGCACATTCACTTACCATGTGTTTACATCAGGACCGTGGTACTCGACTGACCGACCCACAAATACATCACGTGCGTTTCTTCGTCTTCCGAGTCGAACCAAGAGTACGTTGAACAAGTTACATATCGTACTTATGCGGTGTATGTTCTTCATTATGGCGAGACTGGCCCATTCTATCCTGCTATCACTGGAACTTCTGGCTTCTCATGATGATTTGGTGAGTTCCTTGTGTTTGGTCCATTCAAGTTCTCAACTACGAACGTCACGGTGGCGAACTTATAGCGTGTGGCTCCGGCCACAATGGGGTGTTCGGGGTCCTGTATGGGCCACCGCTGTGGCCCATGCGTGCCAGTTAACATTTGCTTACCACCCTCCAAATCGTGCTTGATTCGTAACACTGGCCCTGGGTGTTCAGAAGTAATTTTGTTTGGCACCTAATATACTCACCTTTGCTGCTTTTTTTGCTGATGCTGTATCAGTTGGAGGGAATGTTAGCGTCGTCATATTCGAGAGACGAACAATGGTTCGAACCCGGATGAACGGGACCCCGAGAGTATACGCGGTGGGTTCGCGTTTGAACGCGTCGTTATAACTTGACCCACAACCACCATCTGCTCGCCGCTCAGCGACACTCAAATGCTAGGTCTCGACTGATTTCTAACTCATCTACGTTGTGTATCGACCCTCTCTCACTCCCATTTCTACTCTGCCAGTCGACAGGATCAACACGACACGCGCAGCAACCATGTCCGGTCTCCAGAACTCACCCTTTGGCAAACGCCTACGCGCCGCACAGAACGACGAGGACGCTCACCGACGGAACCGTCCTCGTGTCAACCAAATCTTTGGATCTGCGGCGGTGCCTGGGTCAACGCCCTCGCTCGATTCGCGCCCGACGACGAGCGACAGTGGCGTGTTCGAGTCACCGGCGGACGCGCCCGGACCTTCAAGAGGACACGACTACGGCGACCGGTTCGTGCCATCGCGCGACGCGGGGGACATGCGCACATCGTACCACCTCATGGACGAGTCCCCGACAGCGACACCGTCAAAGAACCGCATCATACCGACGGAGTCCGACGCGCTCAAAGAGCAGGCCAACGCGATCTTCACGTCCATCCTTCACACGGAGGTTACTCCGTCGTCACCCGTGCGTTCTTCGTCCCCTACACGGCCGGCCACAAACGCGCCTCTGCCGTCTACGCCAACCCGCCGGCGACTGTTCAACTACAACTCACCCTCCCGTTCGAATCCGGCCACACCGACGCGACGACTGGATACGCCCGTCGACGAGGCTTACTCAATCAGCCCTGTGCGCGCAGAAAGCCGGCAGCTCCTGGAAAGCCCTCGGCGACAGCTCCGGAGCGTGTGCAAGACTCCGTACCGCGTTCTGGATGCGCCAGAACTTGCGGACGACTTCTATCTGAACCTGGTTGATTGGTCAAGCACAAACGTCCTGGGTGTGGGGTTAGGGTCGTGTGTGTATCTTTGGACAGCGCACACGGCACAGGTGTCGAAGCTTTGCGACCTATCGGATTCGAACGACACTATTAGCTCGGTATCATGGGTACAAAAGGTGCGCTGATCTCTAACCATAGTTTGAACGCGCGTCGCTAACATCTCCGTAGGGCTCCACCCTCGCAGTCGGTACACTATCTGGTCGGCTCCGAATTTACGACGCAAGCACCCTCCAACTCACTCGAACCTATCAACAAGCGCATACGCAGCGCATCGGTGCCCTCTCTTGGAATCAGCATATCCTCAGTTCTGGCTCACGCGACCGTATGATACACCATCGAGATGTCCGTGACCCATCCGTCAAGCCGTTTAAACGCGCGCAGGGCCACCGACAAGAAGTGTGTGGCCTGCGGTGGAACAGCGATGCCGGGCCGCAAAGCGCGCTCCTGGCGAGTGGCGGCAATGACAACAAGGTGTGCATATGGGATTTGCGTGGCGGGAAGCGACCGCAAGCGGGCGCGGCACCGAGGGCGAGCAGTGCGGGTGGTGCAAGCAGTGCTGGGGAAGATGCGGGCGAGTCACCGCTATGGAAGTTCCATCAACACACGGCTGCGGTCAAGGCCCTTGCCTGGGATCCGCACGTATCTGGCGTCTTGGCCACAGGGGGAGGAACCGCAGACAAACATATTCGGTTTTGGAATGTGTTTAACGGCAACATGCTAAATGAGCTGGACACCGGTAGCCAGGTGAGCGTTGCAACCGCTGAGCTTCTGATACTGTTGCTAACATGTGGGCCCATTGAAGGTTTGTAACCTCACCTGGTCGCTCAATTACCACGAGCTTGTGTCCACGCATGGATTCTCCTCCACCACCGCTCAGCACCAGATATGCGTTTGGAAGTATCCTTCACTTGACATGGTTGCCTCTTTGACAGGGCATACGTATCGCGTACTGTACCTGGCGATGAGTCCTGACGGCGAGACGATTGTCACCGGCGCTGGTGACGAGACCCTGCGATTTTGGAACGCCTTCCCCAAACGCGACAATCAAGAGACCAAGCGCGAAAGCCGGCTCGACTATGGTCGACTCATCCGATGATCGCTCGCGCGCGTCTATCCTTATTCGCTCCTCGTCGGTCGCCTGCCTCCGGCTGTGCCCCTCCGTTATTTCCCTTCGCCACACCTGCTTCCTCAAACTCGCCGTCGTACACAAGGTTCTTCATATCCTACGCTCCATCTACTCACCCGCTTCGGACTGTTTTCGTGTCCCTCGCATCCCACCACACCACACCATTGCTACTCCCACCCCATCGTCCCTGAACTCGTCGAGCACCACGTACAGTCTCCGTCTCTGCGCATACTCATGAAACCCGTACATACCGCACCTTTCCTTGCTTTGCCATGTCTTGGGGATTGTCCGTCGGCCCTGTCTTCTCATCCCCTTCCTCTATATGCGCGTACCGATCTCCTTTCCGTTGGTGTTGTGCCATCCCATAGCTAGATATATCCCTTTCCTCTACTCGCGTGTAAGAGCTACGTCCGTCATCGCTGCATGCCCGTTTCCTCTAGGTTTTGTCACACATGTACACATCCGCTGCTTTGTCACGTATGCACTGGCTCGAATTGTATTATTGCCCATCGTCTTTAGCGTGCATTCAGTAAATCTGCTGGCTGTGGTCCGGGTAAGAGCGCTTTTGCGCTTTCACATCAATATTATGAGGCATGTCTCCGGTCTATACATACGTATTGTAGACGAGTCTCACATCGTGCCTCATGTATGCATTGAGCCGGCGTTCAAAGGTGCAACGTTCAAACGTTCAATTTGGGATAAGCGTGCGCTTGGTGGGCGCCTGAGTAGTAGTAGTGGTTTTCACCAACCTCCTACACCAAACGTCGGTCCCCAAACGACGCCGGTTTGGATGTTATCCTATGGCAGGGTGTTACTGACAAACTTCCGCGCTGCTAGCATCGGTTCTAATAACCATCCGCTGATCGTTACACAGGTCAACACGCGACATGCGTCCCATAGCGTCCGGTCCGTCGCACTTAGGCAAATTGAGCCAGTAGTGGGGTCATCTCCGACAGTACGTGCTTTGACGAGGGCTGGGATCGCCGCTGGATCGCGGTTAGTAATGAGGTCTGATGTCGTTTTCCCAATTTAGGATGTGGTGCGAATACTTCTAGCACAGATGTATTCATTGAGCCGTCGAGCCTTCGACTTACCCAAGGTCTCGTGGTGCGAGTCCGTGGTCAACTTCTCCGCCATCTTCTCATGTTCCTATGCCTTATCTAGCTCAACTACATCGATATGTAGCTATCGCAAGGAATTCTCTGTCTCCGCGGAGCCGTTCAAGATGTCTCCCTACAGCATGGCTACGTGTCCGGGGGAGGTATTTCGACACCTATGTTTGCCAGGTCATTTCTAAAATGGGATCACGCATGAGTCGCCAGACAGCTCGATATTACGAGCTTTCCGATATTTGGAGGCGTGTGTCATATCTGTTGTGCAGCAATGCCCCCGATCCGTGGCTTGGCCTACACCTAGCCGATATGTCGTGGGACCCCTCGCGTCTGCAGGAAGTCATCTGAAGGATATATATACTCATTGATCTCCTCGAGATCGTAGCAGAGCCTATCGCCTCTCCCTACCATGGATCACCTCGTCACAGTACTCGCCTTCGCGCTGCTATGTCTCCTGTACGCGGCCTTGAGGGCGCGGAACAGGGCTGTCTTGGCTGATCTACCTGGGCCACGACCAGAGTCGTTCTTAATGGGTACGTCAGATAACCCCGAACATGAACGAAGTCACGCTTATACATTGGCATGGCCCAGGAAACCTCGCCGAGCTGCACAAAGAAGAGGCGGGCAAGGCAGACTTCAGGTATCAAGCTGAATTCGGAGGTGTTGCGAGGATCAAAGCACCTTTTGGAGTACGTATGACGCACCGCGACGGCGTACTCGGATGAGATTTACAGTACATCGGCAGGTTGACATGCTATGGATCTGCGACCCCAAAGCTCTGCAGTATATCTACCAAACTTCCGGTTATAATTTCCCCAAGCAGCCCGAACGTCGAGTCCTGTCAGGACTGATGGGCGATCATGGACTAACATGGGCAGAGGGTTTGTCTTTCAGGCGTGCTGTATTATAATACTAGCTGAAGGATTCGGCAGGTGAAACGCATAAACGGCAGCGGAAAGTAATGCTACCTGCGTTCGGCTCTCCTGAAGCCAAGGCTTTGTTGCCTGTCTTCGACCACTATGCTGAACAGGTCGGTCATATCCTATAGGATGGGATGCAACACGCTTTCTCATGCAATTGGGATATCTGACTACAGGTGACGCTGAAGTGGCGAGAAATCATCGAGGGTTCTCCGGATCAGACAGCAGTGTTGAATGTCATCAAGCTGATTGCCCCCGCCACACTCGACGCGATTGGCGAAGGTATGTCTTGTCATGCCCATGAACTCAATATTTTCTGAACGACATCTCTTCAGCTGCTTTTGACTACAAACTCGGGTGCATGGAAAACTCCGAGAACGAGCTCGCGCAGGCTTACAGCAGTCTCGTGTAAGTAATCGCCATCTGCGTCCTTGAACCGGGACAGCGCTCACAGCACGTTACAGAGCAGGCATTTTCTCGAGCCCGTCAAAGTCAAAGTTGTTCTGGATTAGCGTCGCCCACTACATCCCCATGCGCGTTGCTGAATGGCTATACGCCAACTTGCCGGGGAAGGGCCTTGACAAGGCTCGCCAGAACAAGCGAGCGGCACACACGGTGGCTCGGCAACTACTCGATTCGAAGTCAGAGGCGTTGTTGCAAAGCAAGGGCAGCCGAGACGTCATGAGCATCATTGGTACTGTCAATCAGCCATATTCCAAACGTCGGTCGGTCACTCATTTCACCCGTAGTGAGAGCGAACACGTCCGAAAATGAGAAGACGAAACTGGCCGACGATGAGATGATAGCCCAGATGAGGTGAACATGGACTAGTATGGGCGAGCTTTGATAGCGCTGACGCATGACATGCGCAGGACGATCATGCTTGCTGGACAAGAGACAGGCTCAAACACGCTCAGCTTCGCGCTCTACGAGCTTGCCAGGAATCCGCATTACCAAGAACGCCTGAGAGTGGAGATCCGTACTATGGAACAAGCCATTCGCGAGCGAAACGGTATCACGTTCACGGCATCTGACTTCGATGGTATGCCGTTCCTGCAAGCATTTGTGCGCGAGGTTTTGCGCTATCATCCTGCGGTGCCGCACAACTATAGGCAAGCCGCAAAAGACGATGTCATCCCTCTGTCGAAGCCCATCAGGACCTTGTCTGGCAAGATTGTCGATGAAATACCTATTCCCAAGGGTACCCGAGTAACCCTGTCTTTGGCCGCATATAACAGGTCCGTCTTCGTACTTCCTCTAATGTTGCGGGCACTCCGATTCACCATTACTGCTGCAGGGAGAAAGACATCTGGGGCGAAGACGCGCATGTATTCAACCCGGAACGCTTCCTGAACTTTTCTGGCAAGCGTGGCCCGACCGTAGGTGTATTCGCTAATATGTGAGTCTTATTCGACGCGTGCTCGTCGCCGCCATTCTGAGCGAATCCCATGTTAGCCTGACCTTCTCGGGTGGTATTCATGCCTGCATTGGCTGGCGTCTTGCGTATGTTCAATCAAGCCAGTGTCACCGTTTCGCATCTGACAATTTGCTGGAACACTGAACAGGATACTCGAACTGCAGAGTTTCCTGGTTCAATTGGTATCGAACTTCGAGTTCGGTCTGACAGAAGAGCTGAAGCGCCTACGAAGAGAGAATGCCCTCGTCATGGTACCCACCCTAGAAGGAGAACCAGAGAAGGGTGTTCAGCTCCCGCTGAAGATATCTTTTGCTGCTCAATGCTAGTGTAATCCGGCGTCGCTGGTGATCTGTCGTACATTGTTTGAGCGACGAGCTACGATTCTGGGGCTAGGCCTAAAGCACAGTACTAGTAGAATATCCGTCACAATGATGATCTCTTGTTCGCGTTTCGATGATTGTCACTGAGCGTGCTACTAGTAGTTCAAGTTGGGATGGTGTGGCCACGGCTGCTAGTGGTTGGAGCGGACTACCGGCCCGGGTATGCCGTCAGTGGCTTCGGTATCGACGCGGTGGCTCTGCCAGGGCTCTGCCGCGCAGGTGAAACGGTGACGCCAGCCATCAATCAAGCTCACCTCGTAAGTACTCATTCTTCACGACGCCTCCTGCACGAACCGCTATGCTTTGTCTTATACTCGCTTGATTAGATTTTTGCACGTAGCCGTGGGTCCTTCATTGTCAAGCGCACAGAGAAATGGCCGCTGCGTTCGTACGTACGCGACTCCGAAGAGATATGGTACCCGGACGGTGACGTTGTTCTCGAGGCAACGCGTCTTCAATCGAAGTAACTTCAATTATATCAAGGACTACTTGCTCTCAGCTGGGAGGTGCTTTATGACCTGTTCGCGATCGGTCAAACGAAGGCTGTGGAGACGATTAACGGATATCCTGCCGTCCACTTCCCGACCATCCCACAGAACTCCGCCATCTCCTCTAAGTACTTTTTGCGTGGGCGTCGTCTCATACTGTCCAGTGTATGCAGTGCTGAAGGCCAACTCGATAGATACTGTCCCCCGACGAACAACCTCAAGTCCGCGGTCGTTGCTGCCCTCATCCGACTTTCTCACAAATACCAAATCGAATGGGTGCGCGACGCCTACCTTTCGAGGATGAAGTCGTGTTTCTGTACCGACTTTAAGACACGATTCGCAGCATACAAGGCTTCCGGAAATTCCTCGATGCAGTTTTGCGGCACAGATGCCATCCAAGCAGTGACCGGTGACCGGTTGACCAGTCAATATCGCGCGGGGTCGTGATAAGTCGCGTGAACATTCGATCGAGAGGTCGAGTCGATCGTAGACCTATACTAAGCAGTCACAGCCACAAATAGGGGTCTCCTCTGCTCAGGCTACGATAAGGCTACGACGTCGGGTGGGCGACGTGCCCGCCCTTCAGTTTCAGTCTTCCTTCATCGTCTCCGCAACACCTCGCAGTCCGGGTAACAGCGCACCAGCCATCATATGGAGGAAAGTTCAAGTTCTGAGACGCGGAAGCGCACGCGCACGGAGTCGGAGGCCGGGCCCATAGGAGAAGCGGGAACCAAACGAGATGAGGAGTTCTGGTTCAAGGATGGGAATGTTGTCCTGCAGGCCGGAGGAGTCGCGTTCCGCGTCTATCAAGGTAGCCTGTCGCTGAACTCTGAAGTCTTCGCCGGGCTATTCTCCGTCCCGCAACCGACGCTGACGGATACGTTCGACGGGTGCCCCGTCATTGAACTTGCGGACCACCCGGATGACCTGCGACACCTCCTGCGTGCTGTATTCGTTGACCAAACGTATGTGTTGTCTGTCTCGATATTGAAGGTGCGACTCACGTGCGACGCAGGTTCTACCGCCATAACGCACAACTGCCTTTCGTCGTCGTTGCCTCTGTTGTCCGCCTCGCCCACAAGTACGGCATGGAGCACCTGCGGGATGATGCCCTTGAACGCATGAAGTCTTGCTTCAGCGACGACTTACACGTCTGGGCGAAGGCTGAGGCTAGCGAGGGCAGCGCCCTCATGACCTACGATTACACCGACGCCATCGCCGCCGTCAACATCGCACGACTCACGGAGACGCAGTCTATGCTGCCTTACGCTCTATACACGTGCTGCCAGCTCGACACCGAGGTCATCCTGAACGGAGTCCCGCAGAAGAACGGCACGACCGAGCGGCTCACGCAGGAGGACATTCTGAGGTGCCTCAATGCGCGGAGCACACTCGTCCACGACAACATCATCTTCGCATACCTCCTCTTCACACCAACCTTGCCACTTGCGTGCGCAGATCAGGTTTGCCACGCGTCGCTGCAGTGCCTCGCCCAGGCCAACTTAACCTTCGAAGGTGAACTAGAGGACCCCACATGTCTAGCAGATTGGATCACTTGGCTGGCTCATAACGAGCAGACGCGCAGTTACAACAATCTCTGCCTCAACTGCCAGGCATACATGCAGCTGAAGGCGAGAGAATTGCGCTCGGATATCTGGCTTCGGCTCCCACATATCTTGAACTTGGACGTTCGAGTCAGAGACCCAAGTGCGGAGGACCCTTAGAGCTAAAAGAGCACAGGCTGCCAGAGGGTGACGGTTCATTCTCTAAACCAGCATTGCGCTCTCCACCCAAGGGCTGCTGAGAGACTATGATATGTGCAGGTCAGTTGGTGTCGCCGTACTACATACCTATCAGTAGGTCGCACAGACCATTAAGTCCCTGTAGAGAATCTTTCAAAGCTTGTAGTAGTGTTCCTTCTATGTATTCCTGTTCCAACCCTGTTTATGCTGGATGTATGTGCTACTGTATGCAACGTTCGTCTGCCGGAGCGAAAGACAAATATATCAGCAACAAACGCGAAAAGCCGCGCAAACACTTGTGGAAAGCGACGGCAAAAACAAATGGACATGTCCGGGATCGAACCGGACCCCTCTCGCAGGTAATGGTTTGCTAAGCGAGCGTGATAACCAACTACACCACATGCCCTATTGTTTGCTAAGTGCATAAAAAGGACCTCAGCCTTGTGGTACCAGCTGCTCTCAGACTGAAAGACTAGTACGTAGTAGACGTCGCATATAGAGATGCTCATCTGTTGTGTACGATGCGACTTAGCCTTAAATATCAAATGGCGACAATGAGGAGCCTGAAAGTTGCCTGAAAGAGTGGAAAGATCATGTGACTGACCACCATTCGATCCTAGGACTTGCTATTTTGGGTGCTCGAAGGCTCTCGAGCGCTAGTGCACCGAACTCGGTTTGCACCTTCACCTTCAAGCACAATAGCAACTGCGATTTTTGTGGCCATTATCTATCTCGCTTGCTTGCCTGCGACTGTATACCTCAATATCAATGCAGCGAGAAATATACATGAACATCCCGGCACAGAACCCTCAGACTGTGCCAAGCTTCGAGGTAAGGTCGCCGCCACTCGTAACCGCTGCCCGGATTCAACGTCCAAGGATGTCTCAAGCTCGTTCACATTTAGGAACGCCGTGTACAAGACTATCTTCATGCCTACCGGACAACGGGGAAACCACCAGCATCTTGTCCAGCACAACCAACCGATCGTGCACAACGCGCCTCACTTGGCTTACCCCCACTCATCGAGCCGCACTCGGAGATCGTGCGCGGCAGTACCGACATATTGCTTGACACCGACTCGCCCTCACCATCTATTGTGGTCAATGGTGGGGCGCCAGGAGCAATACCTGATACCCATACCTTCCGACCTGTACCGGTGGCGGGTGAGGCGCGTGGCGCGTTCTTCCAGTGCATCGTGAGCCAACCTGAATTCGTCGCATGGTCATTCGAGGTGCGTGACATCTCAAGATACTCTGAATGGAGGACTCGGTTATACATCACTGAGCTCTCGCAATTGCGGATGCCGTTTGACGTCCCCGCATAACCAGGAGTTGAGGGTCTCGGCGTATGCCAAAGGTCGCAAGCTTGCTCCTGAAGTTGTACAGCGGCCAGCTCTGCGTGAGTATGAAGTCTCTGAGATTTCTGTCTTTTCTCACTCTGCAATAGAACCTGCACCTGTGATGGCTAGTAGTACTAGTAACGGCTTCGCCCCAGAGAACTACCAAAACATCACGTGCAAACCAGATTACATCCAGCATAGCGTCGAGGTACGTGCGCGTTCATATGCTACTCAAACTATGCTCTCATCTCAAACTGAAACACAGGAACTGCGACTAGCTTTCTACCGCGCAGGGCGTCAGCTAAGGTCCGCAGAGATCATCCAACGGAATGCTGCTCTTCGGATAGCAAAGCCGTGAACGAACAAATGAACACTGCACTGCACTCAGACTTGTATCGTGCTATCATCTGCTATCTTGTACAACAATGTCTTTGTATGAATGTGAGTGAAATGTATTGAGAATATATACAATATCATAAATACGGCTCGTGCTATTATATAGTGTGGGTCCCGCCGCTGCTATTGGACCCGGGCAAGATGACGGTGTTCAGCCGGACGATACGCACGCGCGCGGCGTAGATCGCCGTCGTCGTCGTGTACCTCACGACGCCTCTCATGATGTCGTGTGTGCGGTTCGGCGTGAGCGCAACGCACGCGAAGGAGGACATGGACATTGTGCTCCCCGCTGTGCGACGAGATCGGCTACCTGCTCGACCTCAAGCAGGGCCAGGGCGAGCGCTGGTTGCCTCAGAAGATTCTAGACAGGGCGGTCGAACTGGTGAACATGACGGAGGAGTGAGTGAAATGCAATAAGAATATATACGATATCATAAATACTGCTCGTCGTGCTATTATACAGTGCGGGGATGAATGATACATGCTGATGTTCCAACGCACTCCAGGTGCTCGAATGCAAGAGTCCCTCGTCTGGGTGAGTTCTGCGTCCTGATCCCTCTACCGCCTGATGCGCGACAGCCACGACCACATCCTGGCGACGCGCTCGATGCGCGCCACCTCGTCCTCCGACACCTCGCCCTTCCAGACGCTCAAGAACTCGGGCTCGTCGTCGATGCAGCGGAGGGCGGTGTCGACGCTCTTCCCTGACGCGAAGGCGAGGTAGCAGCCCACGATGGACATGGCGTCCGTCGGCCGCCGCGGGGGCGTGGAGATCAGGATGCGCACGCCCTGCTTATCTCCCACTGTAGCTGCAGGACGAGTGGCGGCAGACGACTGCGACGCGGTACCGTAGGGGAGCGTCTCCGCAAGGAAGTCTCGCGCAGCGCGCAACTGCGCCTCGGTGAGCGCGAGTCCAGCACGCCCAGACTCTTCTGTCGACGCCTCCGGGAGGACGAGACGCAGCCGGTGCACGCGCCCCTCGTAGGCTTGTTCAGTGGCCCCTGCATCGTACCCCGGCAGCGGGTGGCACACATCGACGACGTGCGTGTAGCCTTCGTGCGCTGTTTCCGTCTTGAACGCGGCGAAAAGCCCGGGGACGACTTCCTGGAGGCACGGTTCGTTGGGTCTGAGTGGCGGCACGAAGGCCCCGGGTGTGGGCGCCGACTGGGCTTGCTCGGGCTCGTCGTCATCGTGGAAGTTGTCGTACAGCACAAGGCGCTTCACCTGCGCCTTCCGCCTGCGCGGGAGGTGGCTGCGGTGTGGTTGGATGTGGCCCTTGGGCGACCACGGCCCCGCGCATGCCTGTTGCTGCCCGAAGGATGTCTTGATCGTCAGGCTGAGTTCTGCAGTGAACCCGCAGCGCTCGCGGAGCGGCCTGCGGAGCGTCGGCGCTGGCGGTGGGAACTTTGCGAGTGGACTCGTCGGGTAGATCCCGATGGAGGGTCCTGTTACTGGTATGGTCAAGTGTGGTGTTTGGACCGCAGTGGCCATGATGGCGCGAGGAATATCAATGAAAGAAAGGTGCGAACGTCTAGAGAGTGCGGTGAGTTGGGATAGGACCGAGTGCCAGACTCAAGAGATTGATACGAACTGATAAATGACTGTGAAGTATGCGAAGTTGCTTTATATGCTCGTTGAACACGAGGATCGTGGCACCAACAATGCTATCTGCACGAGGAAGGGCGGTGCCGGTGCTTATAGCGCGGGAAGGGTCCTCTGAGCTTCTCGCCTCGTTGTTGGTGGAACCCCATGAAAGCGATGAACTGCCTTATATACTCTCCTCGCCGCGTCGGATATGCGAGGCTCCAGAACTCTCGGATGGAGGTCTCGCGAATTCCATGCCTTCTCCGTCGCCGACGAAGTGCACACCTGATCCGCTCCTGTGGCCCATAAAGCGTGTTCGGAAGCGGATATCGGACACGAGGATTCCGCCGCTTGTATGCAACGATCGAGACCTACCTGACACCGTCTACTACTGGGGCCGCTCAATTCTCAGATGTAAGAAGTATGAGCGAAAGTAAGACGCGAGACGGCCGTAAGCGCGCGACCGGACATCAATCCGAGGCTGCGGACCGCGCCACGGACTCGCTTGGCGTTCCAGAACCGGCCGTCTCCCTCGCGCAAAAGACGGAAAATGGCCCTCGTAAACCCCACGGAAAATACTGTAAACCCGAGCGTTGTGGCGCCGAGCTTGCGCGATATTTACTTGCCTTCCGTGTATTATGCCTGTGCTTACTCAGGGCGCCGACAACCGCCCGTATGATGCGTGGGAAACTCAGCCACAACCCGCCGAATTCGGTGTAAGCCTGCCTATGCAGGTAGTAAAGTGAGATGGGGGGACCCACTGTAAGGCGTAAAACTGTCGGGAATGCACTATGGGCATGCAGCCATAGTGTATTCTCGACAGCTTATATACTTTGAATGCACGGTGAGCGCAGGATGGGCGGAAGCCACTGGGACCGGGCGTGGGAAAGTCAGCCACTTGGGCCGAACATTGCTGCAGTGGTGCTCTAGTGCAAGCTCTGTTGGCGTGGGGTTGCTGAAAGTAGTTATACGTACTCTGGAGAGGTATAGGACACCATATAATCAACTATTATTGCTTAGAGAATGATCCCCCTTTCTCAATGCAGGGCAAACTTTGAGTATCCCTGGACATTCGTAAGCGCCGGCACTGTGGCGCGTGTGCCGGTCACTGCAATTGCTATACCTGCTGCAAAAGGGTTTGCCCACACAATTCTTTCAGGCAAAGCTTTGTGTTATAGGCCAAGGAAGCTATTTCCCGCAGCTCGCTGCTTATTCTTCAACGCTGAGTGCACAAAGTGAGTTAAGCGTGCGCACTCACAAGTCACATATTTGGACAGTTTCTCACGCTACATCGCGCCAGCGCACGCCCTCCGAGTCCGTTTCCTCGACATTGTCACTGACTGCAAGATGCCAACTGCTGGTAGGCTAGTACTCCAGTCCAAGAAACATGCACAGGAACTGCTACAGCAAGCAGCATTCATCTACATCTTCTTAGGCCTGTTTCTCCCTCATCTCACACTGCCGAATTATCAAGTTTTCGACCCTCTACCCGATGATCTCCGAGCTACAACCAATATTCTACTCTTTGCAGGCATGAATCTCATTGGATTCTCTTCAATGCTTGACGCCAACACCCGTGGACCATACAATCAATTTGCCAAGTGTCCTCAGTCATTCACCATCGCACTCTCATATCCTGATCGATGGTTCCGCCACCACTTCCGGTAAGCTCTGCACATTATGCTTTCGCATAGTCATAGGAATTGATGAGGTGAGCTGTGAATCTTCAGTATGGGCCGTCAAACCTTTGAGCGGCTTGTTTCCCGACTCGAAACATGTGACATCTTCCGGTCTCGTGGGCGGAAGCCACAGCGGCCTGTTCGCTATCAGTTGGGCTGCTTCCTTATTCGATATGGGAGACGTGGCACAGATGCCCTCACAACAGCACATGACATGGGCATTGGGTTCGGTACAGTGCATAAGTATTGTGAACGGGTCACGTATGCATTAAGGGTAATGGGGCAGGATTGGGTGAAGTGGGGAGATCGCACGTCAACAAAGGCTTGGGTGTATGCCCGGAGTCGTCTCAATGGCTGTGTGGGCATGCTCGATGGGACGCTTATACAGCTCACTGAGCCCCCTCGTAACTCTGGTTCAACTTTCTTTTGTCGCAAGAAGTTCCCTGCAGTGCGTATCTATGTCCTTGAATTACGCACATATACTGACCAAGATATAGATCAACGTCTTAGCAATTGTTGACCATCTCCGTCGTTTCATCATGTTTGACCTTGGTTGGCCTGGATCAGTGCCTGATGTCACGCTGTGGCCAAGATCCTATTTATGGGAACACCGTGATGAATATTTTGCACGTGGTGAGTATGTATTGGCGGACAAAGGTATGTTCCAATGCAATTTGCTTGCTCCTGCATATTCAGCTCCTTTTTGTCTTTTGATAGGCTTTGCATCTTCACCATACATTCTTCGGCCATTCACCGAACCTGAATGCAGCCGAGCATCACCTGCACGCCTCGCTCGCATGAGAATGTTCAACAAACTGGTATCTTCTATCCGTGTACGGGTTGAACAAGCATTTGGCATTCTGAAAGGTCGGTTTCCTGGACTAAAAATCCTAGGGACACCCTCAGAGATAGCCAATGCATACCGCACGGTCGAAGCTCTCATGTCTATCCACAACTTCTGTATCGACAACGACGATCACCCTGAAGCTATCCCGTGGTTTGATTGGCGCGATCCTGAAGTTGATGCAGCTATTGAGCTTGCACGTGCAGGGATCCTGGATGATGAAGAGATGGGGAATGTGGGAGGACCTGCAGAGGAACAGCCTGGCGATGATCTCAGGGAACTGGGGCATCAGATGAGGGAAGAGCTTTTCAATGTGTTGTTCCCGCCCGAATAGACAACCATTAAATGTGATTGATCAACAATCAAAATGTACTTGTAGTGTAAAGGTAACGAACGTAGCGATAGGCTATGCTATGTCAGAAGCGTCTAGATAAGGTCAAAAACATATTCGGTATATCTTGCTATCGCCTCCTTTGCACGCTCTTTGACGTGCTCAGGAGACGTTGGATTATTAAGAATGGCAACAGCAGCATCATACGCTGCCTTCTTGCGCTGCATGTCCATGGAACTCGTCTGGGTATCAACAAACCTACTGATAGACTCGAACGACTTCATCAATGAATCAGCTGCAGGAAGGGAAGACTTCTTCGGAGCATGTGCAGGCTCAGGAACACCTTTCTCGCGTGGGATCACCGCCTTCTTCGCCACTGCAGGTGCAGCTACCTCTTGAGGGATGTCCGAGTCAGACTCGGACTCAGCATCACGAAGCTGTGCGGGAGGTGGCGAGACACGGCCATCCCGGAAATGGATGTCACGCTGGACTGCAGGGTTCCGCCCAAATCTAGAGTACATTAGCCAAAGAGAGTACAGATAACTGATCAAACATACCGCTGCTTGCACATGTCGAGCCAGTCGGACTGTAACCAGTCACAGATCAGCTTCTTACTCAGCTTCTTGCCCGACTCTGCATGTTTCTTCGTCTCCTTCATCCGATTGATGCGAGCCTGGATGTACTCGTTGCTGAAGCGTTCGTCTTCATCGATATCGGCATCACCTTCTCCGCCAGTGAAGTCGACATAGGCCTGCACTGCTGGGTACAGCGCTCGCATCCCGAAGAAGCGTTCACGACATGCCTCCCAGGTGCGTGTGCCCTTCAGTGCGTTTGCCGACACCTACACCACAACGGGCTTCGCATCAGCATCAGACAGCCCAAGAACTATATCACTGACCTTTTCCCAAGCCTTCTTGTTCTTCGCCACGAGGCGCTGGAATAACTCGTCCGAGACGTCCACACCGAGAGTGGCATCGACCAGGGCTTGTACCTCCTTCCTCTCCCAGCGATGCTTCGCCCGGTCTACACCCTCTTCAAGTACGACGACTTCCTTCTCAGACTTCACCTTCACCCTCGCCTCCTCGCTCACTCTGGCTTTCTTCCGTTTCACCGAAGACGCCTGGGAGCCTTCGTTCTCCTTCCGGTTTGAGCCCAGCACCGGCCCAGCAGCACCGACGAAGACTACGTCGTCATCCGACGTGGAAGCGTCAACAGACAGTTGACGCTTCTTTGCAGATGGCTGGGAAGCTTTTGGTGGCTGCATTGCAGGGTTCTGCACGGCTTGCACCGGCACCGTAGGAGCGCGTGGAATGGCAGGATATAGGCGGTGTCGATCTGCGACGACATCCTGCGAAGGAAGCGCCATATGCATCTCGTCGCGAGACACTGCAGATGGTGGAGGTAATGGCAAGTCGTCCCAGACGTTCATGATGTCGGCCAGCCTTCCATCCGGTGGAAGCTGCTCAGGGCTCGGTGGTACACGCACAACCTCGGTGTCGAAGTTGCCCTGTAACTGTGGCAGGTACATTTAGATAGAATAACAATACAGGGATCAGATACTCACCACGTCTGATGCCTGCCCTATTATCTCTTCTCCGACCTCATGACCTCCTTCAAACGGCACTACATTTCCCTCGCGAGCGAACAACTCGAAGAAATGATTGAAATCTCGCAGAGATGCTTGATCTGGGATGTTGTCCCCGAAGAATCTACAAGACAGCTTGGTTTAGTTACAATGGGATGGAGATGATGGTACTCACTCCAAGTCTACCCCATCCATCCCATCTATTAGCACTCCTCACGTAGCTAGAAAGTCTTAATTGTTGGTACAAACGTCGCGCGCGAGGGCCGCGCGCTGGCGCGATGTAGCGTGAGAAACTGTCCAAATATGTGACTTGTGAGTGCGCACGCTTAACTCACTTTGTGCACTCAGCGTTGAAGAATAAGCAGCGAGCTGCGGGAAATAGCTTCCTTGGCCTATAACACAAAGCTTTGCCTGAAAGAATTGTGTGGGCAAACCCTTTTGCAGCAGGTATAGCAATTGCAGTGACCGGCACACGCGCCACAGTGCCGGCGCTTACGAATGTCCAGGGATACTCAAAGTTTGCCCTGCATTGAGAAAGGGGGATCATTCTCTAAGCAATAATAGTTGATTATATGGTGTCCTATACCTCTCCAGAGTACGTATAACTACTTTCAGCAACCCCACGCCAACAGAGCTTGCACTAGAGCACCACTGCAGCAATGTTCGGCCCAAGTGGCTGACTTTCCCACGCCCGGTCCCAGTGGCTTCCGCCCATCCTGCGCTCACCGTGCATTCAAAGTATATAAGCTGTCGAGAATACACTATGGCTGCATGCCCATAGTGCATTCCCGACAGTTTTACGCCTTACAGTGGGTCCCCCCATCTCACTTTACTACCTGCATAGGCAGGCTTACACCGAATTCGGCGGGTTGTGGCTGAGTTTCCCACGCATCATACGGGCGGTTGTCGGCGCCCTGAGTAAGCACAGGCATAATACACGGAAGGCAAGTAAATATCGCGCAAGCTCGGCGCCACAACGCTCGGGTTTACAGTATTTTCCGTGGGGTTTACGAGGGCCATTTTCCGTCTTTTGCGCGAGGGAGACGGCCGGTTCTGGAACGCCAAGCGAGTCCGTGGCGCGGTCCGCAGCCTCGGATTGATGTCCGGTCGCGCGCTTACGGCCGTCTCGCGTCTTACTTTCGCTCATACTTCTTACATCTGAGAATTGAGCGGCCCCACTGTCGCCCGGTCGAAATCGAAACGCTCACCGAAGCCACTGACGGCGTCCCCGGGCCGCTAGTCCGTTCCTGACTTCAATAGAGTGGCCACATCATCCCAACTTGAACTGTGCGGCAGGGACTGCTGAAGTGAGCAGCACTGAACTTGTTATGCCTTCGCAACTGAGGAGACTGATAGCACAACCCAACTGCAGGGACTGATGAATGAGTGTAACAATCACTCAACAACCATAATGGGAACAATGCATTGCCGACGACGATTGGGGCATGTCCGACAGCCACAGAACACTCGAACGCGAGGTCCCATGTTGTATTGTCAGAACCGGGACCCTGGCCACATAGATTCGTACCACCATGATATCCTTGGTCATCGTAGTGCCAGCTATCTCCTAATGATTTCGTGCGAGTTGTGGTTTGCCGTGCACCTTCTCATGGCGACAGGTCCGAGTCCCAGTCCCTACGGCGAATCGGGTCAGTACAGTGTTATTGGTCGTGTCTTTGTATATCTACTCACGTGCACCTATCATGAGGGAGACAAAACTCTTCCAAGTCGGAATCGGAATCAGAGTCATATTCGGGCCAGTCCGCTGGCTTCTCTACGGCCAGGATCCGTGGAAGTGAATCCCAGAGCGCCTTTGGTGCTTTCTGTTCGGCCTCAACCTTGCAGACAGCATCCTCGCAACTTTGACACAGTTCTGCATCGGCTGCACATCTGCGTATCAAGCGCTCGCATGATCGAAAGGCCATGCGAAGCAGAGACTTCGGTGAGTACTGATGCAGGACGCAGGAACGCATGAAGTCGATGTTGCTCCGACAGTCTTCAGTCACCGGTTGATGGCTACACCTAAAGGTTGGTGCGAGCGAAGAGTGAGAAGGGTTCAGCGATTCCATGAGATCGGTGATGATATCCTGAAGGAGCGCTTGGCGAGCATTGATACAATGCACGATATCTCGCGAGCGCAGACGTTCGAGGGTACCGTCGGGCCGAGGGGAGCCGTGTAGTAAATCATAAGGATCGAGCTGGCAGCAGATAAATAGGGCGCTGGGCAGCATGGAGTCGGTTCCGGTAAGCCGCGCGATATTGACTGCTTGGATGGCATCTGTGCCGCAAAAGTACATCGAGGAATTGCCGGAGTTCTTGTATACTGCGATCCATGTCTTGAAGTCGGTACAGAAACACGACTTCATCCTCGAAAGGTAGGCATCGCACACCCATTCGATCTGGTATTTGTGAGACAGTCGGATGAGGGCAGCAACGACCGCAAACTCGAGTTGTTCGTCGGAGGGATAGTATCTGTAAAGTTGGCCTTCACTTCAGCACTGCATACACTAAACAGTATCAAACGACGCGCACTCAAAAAGTACTTGGAGGAGATGACGGAGTTCTATGGGATGGTCATGAAGATGGACGACAGGACATCCGTCAATCGTCTCCACAGCCTTCGGTTGAGCGATCGCAAACAAGTCACGAAAAACGTCAGAGTTGAGAGCAAGTAGTCCTTGATATACTTTGAAGACGTGTCCCTGTGCCTCGAGAACAACGTCACCGTCCGGGTACCATATATCTTCGTCGCGTACGAACGCAGCGGCTATTTCTCTGCAGTGCGCTTGACAATGAAAAGCCAACGGCTACGTGCAGCAATATAGTCAAGCGAGTATTAGACAAAGCACAGCGGTTCTGCAGGAAGCATCGTGAAGAATGAGTACTTACGAGGTGAGCACAACGGTTGGCGTCACCGTTTCACCTGCGCGCCGGGAACATCTGGCGCCCGTCGCGCGTCGCGACGCGCCTTCCACGATCCCGTGATCGGGCATTTACCTTCTACGACCGCCCGGACTCACACTGGCCACAGGACAGACTGGGACTTCTGGGAATGCTAAGGGAGAGCATGATATACATGTATTTGCTACTGCTGTACTGGGTTCCAAAGGGAGCAAATGACAACGAGCTCAGGCTTCGACCTCGCTCTAAAATCGTACACGACAATACATTCACTCGCCGCGACGGACCGTAATGCTGCTTATAGAACAAATGGTCAAGACACCCTGTTGTCAAGAGTCCGCTTCGGATGCGACGCTCATGAGTCACACAGAAGGCATTGGCCTGCCAATGACCGCCACATGGATCCAAGCTACAGGCTGTGACGCTATGGGTACATGCAACGTCAGTGAAGCTCTGTGTTTATTGTGTCATAGACATACATCGGCGTAACTCACATCGGTAATTCTCTAGGCCATCCTGCTGGCACTCCTATACCCAGGATCCGAGGGAGGTCGATCCAAAGCTGTCTACGTGCCTGCTCTTCCGCCTTGTACCATGTATCTGCACAAACTGCACAGACTCCTTCATGAGTCTGGACGAGGCTGATGAGGCCCTCGCTCGATGAAAAGACATCGCGAACCAGATGTTTTGGTCTGGTGTGCAGATGCATCATTTGCACGGTTTGTAACATCCTACGGCACTGGTCGAAGTTGCATTGGGGCGATGCTGCAAGAGGAAGCAATATCTCCATTCTGGTGCTGAAGGCTTTGTGGAGTAGGGTTTGGCGGGCATCGAGGCACATTATGATATTTGCCGGGCTGAGACGGTCCAGAGTCCCGTCAATGCGACGGACGCCATTTAGGATACACTCTGTTTCCATCAGACAGCAAGTGAGCAGGGCGCTGGGCAGCATCGAGTCGGTCTCGGTGAGCCGCGCGACGTTCACTGCAGTGATGGCGTCTTTTCTGCAGAACTCCATGACGGGACTGCCAAGATCACGGTTGACAGCATCCCAAGTTTCGAGGCTGGTAGGGAAGCAAGACCTCATCCGCGAGAGGTAAGCATTGCGAATATGGTCGATTTGGTATTTATGGGAAAGGCGGATGAGGGAGGCGACGATTGAGAAATCGAGTCGCTCATCATCGCCGTGACGACTGTCGAGAGATGAGCACTGTCAGCATGATCAATGGCACACGAAACGCCACAAACCTCTGGGCGAAGAAAAGGGCGTGCAGAAGATGGCGCAGTTCATCAGGATGGTCTGTGAGATGGACGATAGGACATCCGTCGTACGCATCCGGAGACGTCGGCTGAGGAAGGGAGAACAAGTCACGGAACACCTCTGAGTTGTGCGCCAGTAGTCCTTGATACACTTTGAAGGCATGTCCCTGCGCCTCGAGCACTACATTGCCGTCCGCAAGCCATATCTCCCCGTCGCGTACGAAGGCGACGATGTCGGGTTGGGCTGTCGATGAATCGGACATGAGGCGACGATGCTTTGGGGGTTGATCAACGAGTATCCGCGGACAGGGAGAGCGGTGGCGAGGTTGGCTGGTACGTACATACCTGGCAGTACTTGGTACGTCCACACTAAGTAGGTCGCAGCAGCTAACTTACGTGTCGCGCCCTCAGCCTAATAGTAATAACGCTCGTTATAATTCACGATCCCGTGATCGCACATCCGCCAGAGCTGAGCGCTGAGCGGCGACAGAGACTCGGAGAGCCTGAGCTACACTCCATTTGAATCCGGATGCAGGTGTATACATGACCTGCTAGATGGAAGATACATATGATGAACTTGGAGGGTTCTGGGCATGAGGCCAGTCCGCTGGTATCGCAATACCGACGGACAGATGCTTCGGAAGACCTTCCCAGAACTGATTGCGCCTACACTGCTCAGCTGAACACAATACGTCCCCACAGTTTTGACACAGGTCAGAACCCGTGAAGTGTAGCCTTTGCGCGTTGCGGATGTTCGGCACTTCGGATATCAGGACGTCCGAAGGCGCAAGCCCCCGGGCCGGCGAGCCACCATCCAGAATGCGGCGGCGCATGGACTCGACGGTGCGTCGGCATCGCATGTTGTCGCATTGCAGCGATGGCTTGGAAGGGTCAAGCACATCCAAGGACGAGGAAATGGCTACCCGGACTAGTGATGAGCGAGCATTAATGCATGCCGCGAGGTCCTGTAAGCTCAGGCACTCGAGAGTACCGTCGAGGCGAGGGGAACCTTGAAGGAGCAACTCCGTGTCAAGCTGGCAGCAGAGATACATGGCGCTGGGCAGCATTGAGCTGGCTCCGGTAAGTCGTACGATATTGACCGCAGCGATGGCGTCTTTGTCGCTGAAGTTCATGACAGAACTGCCATGTTTACTGCGTACTGCGTCCCAGGTCTTGAGATCGGTGCAAAAGCACGACGTCATCCTTGAGAGGTAAATATCGCGCACGTAGTCGACTTGATATTTGTTGGACAGTCGGACAAGGGCAGCAACGATCGAGAAGTCGAGTTGGTGGTTGGAATGATAGTACCTGTTGAGAGACGCTGTCAGTGGATGTTAGGTTCCGCACAAAATGCTGCCTACCTCTTCCCGTCGAAGATGACTCTCAGGAGATGACGCAGCTCTTCGGGATGGTCCATAAGGTGCACGACAGCGCATCCATCGTAGGTCTCTTCAGACGACGGTTGGGGGATCGTGAACAGGTCACGAAACACCTCGGAGTCGCGAGAAAGCAACCCCTGGTAGACTCTGAAGACGCGTCCTTGCGCCTCGAGCACCACATTTCCGTCCGAGAACCATATCTCCTCATCGCGTACGAGCGCGGCGGCCTCCTGTGTCTGCGCCGGTCCGTCCACGGCCGCGCTCGATGGCTCTGATCCCGCTGTCGATGGCTCGGACATTGATGAATGAAGCTTTGGGATTCGAATAAGGAGTGTCCGCGAACTGGGAGAATGACGATGAGCCTGGCTGGTACGTGGGCCTGCGTAAGGTCTCTCTCGGTTGTGGATCTCGCGCTGTGCGAGCCTCGAGGTTTGCTCAAGGCATCTAGAGTATAGTTGTTGCCACGGCCCCGTGACGGTCGTCAGTAGTTATGCCGCTGGGCTGTCAGTGGTTGAACAACGACGCAGTTGTCGCCGGTAGAACGACGCACCCAACTAAGAGTGCTTCCCCGCGATACTATAATTCAATTCCCCTGCGGCGATAGATCTGCAGGTAAAAATAGTAAGACAAGGGTCGACTTGAAATGGTGGTTGGTAATATGGGGCTTACATGTTGAGGACGGGTCAGGGCACTCTGACGGTGAACATTGCGAAGACTCACTCAAGCACCGACATCATTGGCACCGCGACTTGCATTGACAGCAGTGCTGTTGAGGGGACTGTTTGCAGTTGTACTCCAGACGTCAATAAGAACGCTAGCATCCACCCTGCTGCATTGGGAGTACGGCCAACTGCTCAACAAGCCAGACCACGAAGCATGTACCGTTCAGCACACTAGTCTGGAAGATTCATGGGAAACGGGGGCAGATCAGCCAGTTCATGATGAACATCACTCGCTGTTCATCTCCTCATCCTCGCCATCACCACCACCCCCACTCTCCTCGCTTCCGCCATCGTCCCCGAAGAACTCGTCTCCCTCCAACACGGCAGGCCTCGCATCCTGCTCCCCCTTCACCTTAGCCTTGTCCAATCCCTCGTCAAGTTGCCGATCACGCGCCGTCATTTGGCGGTCCTTATGCCGCTCGCGCTCGCGCAGCTCGACCTCGGGCTCCGCACTCATCTCGCCAGCAGCCATCCGCTCGCGTACCCACGCGCGAACTTCCTCGCGTTGCGCATCTGTCTCGTTCTCCGCTTTAGCGTCCTCACCCGGAGCATCAGACCGGGAGTACAAATGAGGGTATGGGTCGGGGTGTGCGTGAGGTGAAGCGCGGAGTTCGGGCGGGAAGAGCGATATGTATTTCTTGAGCTTGGGATAGTACTGGTGAAGCGGCGTGCCTGTGAGTATGTGATAGGGAGACATTACTGAGGGAGGAGACTCACAATGATGTAATTGAGGTCCACACGCAGTTCTTCTAGCCTCTTCTGCAGCTGTTTCCGTTCCTTCTTCCTGAGCTTTTCTCCCTCGCTGTTTTCGTCTTTGGCGAGCTGCCGTTTGACTTGTTGTATCCTTCTGGTCACCTTCTGCCTTTCTATTTCGCACAGCTCAGCGCACAGCACGTCAGTCGCAAATGATCACAGAACGTACCAAAGAACTTGACAGCATGGTACCGTTGTGCGATTGCCCGTTCCTTCCTTGCCTGCTCAGCCTGCACAAGGTCTGCTTCCAGGGCTTTAAGTCTCCGCTCCGTCTTGGTACGCACATCTGCGGCCAGCTTGTCCTACAACAACATCAGACCCGTTATTAGACTGCATTCGCTTCCATGCGCAGATAGGACGAGCACGGTACCTTGGCAAGTAATCTCCTCGTCTGACGCAGCGCTGACTTGATCTTCTGCACTCCTGGTAGCCCTGCAGGCGAGTCTTCAGAGTCCTTATGTTTCCGGTGGTGCTGGTGTTTGCGGTCCCGCTTTTGCTTGTTCTCTATCTGGTCATTTGCCTTTGAGGTTGATGCAACGGCAGGTCCCGCGCCTCTCGTGCGTACTGGTGCCATCTTCCACGTCTTATCCGATACGTACTAGAATCACGAAGAGACCGGATATGGATCCAAAAGTAGCAGTTGGGATGGGAGTGACGACGGGTAGTAGGAGAGGACTCTGAGTCTGAGGAGGTCGTGCGCATTATATTGAGAATTTACTACTTTCCAATTGATCGAGGTTTGGCCAAAACGAGGTTATCTGATAAGATATTAGTCTGGCGTACGTGTCCAAACCAAGTTCACACTCTGGCTACTACTTCTCTCTCCGCCACGCTCACCATCTTCCACGACGCCGGGCCTTTCTAGGATGGCGAAGAGGGCTTCCCAGAACGCGCGCAAAGCAAGCTTGATTGCCTTTGGTGTCATAGCTCTCGCCGCATTCGCTTGCGCGGTGGATACTACGAACAAGGTTCGTGTCTGAAGGCGGTCTAGGACGTATCTATCTCATGCATTGACTTAGGCTGAGGAGGGCATCCAAGTAGCTGATCCAGCGGCGGAAGGTGAGTAGTGGCATCATGACCATGAGATGTAGCTCGCTGAGGATAATCCTTGCAGCCTCCAGGGCATACAAACAAGCAATATCGACGCTCTCCACCTTGACCGCGTTACCGTCATCTCAGACTGAGGACTCGAGCCCCTACCTCTCTCATAATAACAATGGGTTCCAGCTCTCGTCATTATTTCCTAGCATTCAGGGTCACGGCCCGATTGCAAGCGCGATGCGAATAGCAATGAAGCTGCTTCACCATCCATGGCTGCCCGCGTCATTGACAGGGTACGTGAAGGAGGAACTAGGCGGGGGAAGAAGGAAGGATACGGAGCTCCATGGCAAGGCGGTCAAAGTCATTGACCTTCTCCAGCATGCAGCTGACCTCGGACACACGGACGCCCTTTACACATTGGCACAGATCTCTTTGGTACGTTCTCCATGACAGTTGTATCCAACTCGATAGGCCCTATTTCCAAGACTCGCATAGAAGTGGAGTATGCCGGTCTCTGTGTTCCTCATCAGATTCAGCAGCGTTGAGGGCCAGCCAGACGGTGGTGGGTGGCTGAGGCCGAAAGGCAGGGACCCGACGTCCTCCGCCTGTGTGCATTTCTTCGGGAAGGGGCCTCTCGGTTTGGAAACAGCTGGAGGTTACTATTCGTAGCTGACAGGTCGTTGCAGTCTCCACCCAACAGTTACTTTCCATCAAAGCCCAGGCTGGGATACCACTCATACTCGACCCACGCACAGCTGACGGGCAACGCGTCCTCACAAGCGATGTTAGGTTTCTTCCACTCGACCGGGTACCACGGTGTCGTTCCCATAGACCAGGCGAAGGCACAACTGTACCTGACATTCGCAGCACACGGCGGACACAAAGGTGCACAAATGGCGCTCGGATACCGGTACTGGGCGGGCGTCGGCGTAGCCGAGAACTGCATGGACTCGCTGTCGTGGTACGAGGACGCGGCGGAACAAAGTGCGTCCTGCCTCGGAGATGTACAGTGCGTATACTGATATGCAGGCAGCGATGGCACGGTTCCTGTCCGGCCCTCCCGGCGGCCGCACGCTCCCTCTCGCAGCGCCGAAGCTGTCTGACCTCGTCGGTGGCGTCTTCGGGCCCGGTGCAAGCGTGGCGTCCACGGGTCTGCAGGCGGGTAGGCCAGTCATCAAGACTGCGCGCGCCCAGGCAGCCGGCGAGACATGGGAAGACCTGCTGGAATACTACTTGGTGCGCTGCGAGTCGATCATATTCTTTCTTTGATTGCTGACCACATTCACTCAGTTCAACGCAGACCGCGGTGAGACGGACTTTGCGTTCCGGCTCGGCAAGATCTTCTACCAAGGCAGCGTCTACGCCCTCCCCGGTGGGATCGCTTCCGGGGGCGAAGGCGCCAGCGCCATCCCGCGGGACTTTGCGCGCGCGCGTTACTACTTCATGCGCATTGCTCGGCAAGTCTGGTCGCGCGACCACGGGCGTGACACCTCCTCTGCGACGATTCGTGAGGAGAACCCGACGCTCGCCGCGTACGGAGCGCTCGCAGCAGGCTACCTCGGCCGGATGTACCTGCGCGGGGAGGGCGTACAGGCGGACGCGGCGACGGCACGGATGTGGTTCGAGCGCGGGGCGGACTTCAACGAGAAGGAGAGCCATAATGGGCTGGGCATCATCTGGAGGGATGGGCTGGTGGAGGGGAAGAAGGATGCGAAGAAGGCGATGAACCATTTCACGATCGCGGCTGGGCAGGAGCTCGCGGAGGCCGCGGTCAACCTCGGCAAGATGTACTATGGTGGGTGGAATACCGCTCTTGCGAACATCAGGAGACTAACGCCCGGCAGAGCGCGGCGACGTGAAAGTGGCCGCGGCCTACTTCGAGACAGCGATGCGCCAGGGGTCTCCGTTCGAGGCGTACCACTACCTCGCGGAGATTCAGGCAGCGCAGGCGCGGAACAACATGATCACACCGCACATCGCGGGGAGCTCGTGCTCTGTCGCTGTGTCATTCTTCAAGGTCGTTACGGAGCGCGGCGTGTGGGACGAAGACCTTCTCGACGAGGCGGCAGAGCTATGGGAGCTTGGCACGGAGAGGGGTCATGAGATGGCGATGCTGAGGTGGTGGATCGCTGCTGAGCGCGGGAACGAAGTCGCGCAGAATAATCTTGCGTATGTGCTCGACCAAGGTACGCAGGAAGCTGCCTCGCCTGTCAACCCATACCTGATCAGTGTTACAGACAGGAGCATCTTGCGTTTCACGAGATTCGCGCCGACCTCGCCTTCCAACGATACTGCGCGACTCGCTCTTACACAGTGGATCCGATCTGCCGCGCAACGCAACGTCGACTCTCTGGTCAAGGTGGGCGACTACTACTACCACGGACTGGGTGTCGCGGATGAGCCCGAAAAGGTGCGCTGGGAGAAAGCGGCGGGTTACTATCAGTCCGCGGCCGATACCCAGATGAGCGCGCTGGCGATGTGGAATCTTGGGTGGATGTATGAGAACGGTATCGGAGTCCCTCAGGTATGTGTCAACAGGAGTGTCACCGAACCTCTGAATTGCTGATGATGTGAATGTGCAGGACTTCCACTTGGCGAAGCGTCACTACGATTTGGCATTGGAGACCAACAGCGAAGCTTCGGTCCCTGTCTCGATCTCGCTGTTGAAGTTGCATGCGCGGAGCCTCTGGCGGACTCTCACTGGGCGGTCCGGCGGACTGAGCATATGGGGCGAAGACGATGAGGAGAGCAGTAAGCCATGTCTATCCATCTACGCTAGGTTGCGCTGACAGCCGCAGGCCGTTCTCGTCTTCCACCACCACAAGGACGAACCGTCGAGGGTGGCGAGGAGACAGACAACACGCAGGCAGCAGCCGGGGAGCCCGTTGGCGAGATCGATGAGTACGAGGACGGACCGTGGTACATTGGGAAGGCCCGTGAAGAGTTCAACAAGCGGAAGAAGAATGGTCAGAACGTTGATCGTGTGCGCCAGGACGACGATGATCCGGTGAAGGTGCGTGTTCCCGGCCCTCATATCGCGATCCGCACCCTGATAACTAGCGTCTCTCCCAGTGGGCGAGAGAACGCAGACAGGCCGAGGCCGATCGCGAGGGCGATTTCGGGCCTGAAGACTACTTCGACGCCACTACTCGCAAACGGGACGACGAGGACGACGACTTCGCTGAGACCATGCTGCTCGTTGTAGTATGCATCCTGGTGTCCGTCTTATTGTACGTCCGGGGGCGCTATCTGGACCGCATCCGGAGAGAAGCCCAACAGCAACAAGCACAGCCAGGAAATGGTGGGCAAGCACTTCCCGCGCAGCAGGCGCCTCCAGTAGACTGGCAAGCTCCGTTGCTGTGATGGTACAACCAAGGGTTTATGTGGATTTCTCGTGGATTGTACGACATCGTTGTCTGTATCGATATCGAATTGGAGGCATTCTTTTTTTTTTTTTTTTTTTTGGAGGGCTTTTTCAGGTGCCGGCAACAGACAATTGGTCCACCCCGGTCGCCCAGCTTGCGTACGGTGTTACCCGTAAGTGCAATCCACGGAAAAAAATGCAGTTTACGCACGGCTTAATAGCCAGTGTGGGACTCATCACCCCGGATCGATCTCGATGCGTAGAATCGGGGAACTACCCACTAAAAAACCTTTGCACTTCGTCCAGTCTTCCGGGAGCGCTAGTTCATCATAGATGACGGCGTTCCACGTGGCGAGGACAAGGTCCCGCGATAAGGCTCGATCTCCGTAGCGCTTTCTGGTGGCTTCCACATCAATGGAGAGGCGACTATTTAGAATGTATGCTAGCTTGCAGCGTACGTATATGGCACTATGTTCCCAATCTCTTTCGTCTTGGTGTCCGATGACTCTATCACACCGCAGCTTCCATACTAGGTGAGCCGCCTCTGAGATCATTATTTTCCATAGCCTCGTCGCTCCAGGTCGAAATTTGCTCTTCTCGTTCGTCCATTCTTTTAACCCTAGGGCGAGGATGTCGATCATGGTTAGTGTGGACCAAGGTAGGCCCTTTTTTCGCCACAATGCAGCGATTATTTGCCATATTTCTCTTTGTCCTGTTGCCGGGCATTCGAAAAGGATGTGTTCCACTGATTCCGTTTGTCCGCAGAAACTGCATCGCGCACGATCCTCGAAACCAGGGATGTTAAGCCAGTAGCTGCCGCATTTTAGGGCCCCATGGACGCACTTCCATAAGAAGATCGCAAAGGACCGACTGAAATCTTTGTGGCGAGCGCTCATCCATATCGTCTTGTTTGTCATGCAGTTTCCGGGCGGTGTTAGTTCATGGATTGCTCCCAGGTTTGCGGTAGCCTTTTGTCTCGGTGGAGTGCACTTCCACGAGATGATTCCTTTGTATGCTGAAGCTTGCGTGAGGGTGAGTAGTTTGGCTCCTGTAACGTCGAAGCGTTTGTCTCGAATGAGGGAGGGGGGAGGAGCGGTGGGCCAAAGCTGCGGTTGATTTGGGGAGAAGGTCTGTCTCGCTTTTTCCAATGTTTTCCAGTCATCAGGTTTTATAATCTTCCCTAGAGACGTGGGTGCGCAGCGCTGTCTGAGCCGATTGAGGAGGGCACGGATATGAGTCGCTGGGGATACATTTATCCAGCCATTGTCCTCCCAAATTGGGGTCTTGGTAATCATTGTGGATGTGAGTACGTCGTTAGTGCTTAGGATACGGAGGGGGGCATCAATCGGGGTGTGGGCAACCGCATATATGGCAGCGACTATCTCCCCTGGGGCCGGTGAGTGAGTGTCCGGGTCTATTGACTCAGTTATAAGTGCGTTCCTCTGGTCATGCTCACCGAAGAAAACCATATGTTTTCCTTCAGGCATATTGTCTTCTCTCGCTGCATTATCTGGCAAAGTCTGAAAGATGTAGACGATCGTGGATTCCTGGTGGACTACTAGGCCGGGGCGTTTACGATGCGATGGTGGGTCTCGCATCGTGCTGGGTTCAACGAAGATGCGGAACATTTCTGCTATGCCGCCGCGGGCTGTGATGGAGGGGTTGAAGGTGAGGGTGTCCCCTTTTTCCGTTTTTGCTTCGTCATTGCGAAGGGATCGTCGTGTTGTCAGTGTGAGACCGTCCGTATACTCCACAGAGAGTGGGTTCCACTTGGGTAGAATTTCGCTTAGTATACGGAAAGCGGCTAGCCTGCACTTCTCCGGATGTTTGCATCCATTTTGGATTGCCGCAATGCATTCGGGGCACTCACAGTCATCATTGCCCCAGCTCCGTCTCTGTTGTGGCGGGTTTGATCCACATGTTGATTCAGTGGAGTGTAGTAAGTCTGCGATGGTTGTGACATTGTGGTTGTCACGTAGGCAGTCACTGATTTTCGTATTGTTCAGCTTGCGTAAGGCTTTGGTCGCCCCGATGTGGTACCATACTGGGAGTTGTTTTTTTAGCGATGCGTCAACTTTCAGTGCTTCTAGGTGAGCGCCATACTTTTTCGCAGTTGATAGCATGGTTTTGATATACTGTGGCAGTGATGATTTTCCTTTGAGCGGTGGGTGCCAGCTCTGCAGGAAGGTATTTATCTGTGCTTTAGGTCTTATTTCACCAGCGTCCTTTGTGGCATACTGGTTAATGATGGCGTCCATCGCGAAGGCCCAGGTGGGTCGGCTAGGGCTTAGGTTCAGATAGCGTTTGAGCCACATCAAGTTAATTGCCTCGTTTCGGGATTCGATGTCTAGGAGCCCGAGGCCGCCGTCTTTAATGGGTCGGTGTAGGGTTGCTAGGTTTATTGGTGGGGTGCTGTTGTTGCCCCATATAAAGGTGCGTATCAATTTGGTTAGTTCTGTTTCAATTGATTTAGGCATCCCCTGTACTACTGTTAGGTATTGCGAAATCCCGCCGGGCCCCATTTGTACTATGTGCCGTTTTCCAATCATGGAAGGCCTACACTTTCCCCATCTATCAAGGAAGTTTCTTATTTTCGTGAGTGCGGGTGTCCATACGCTGACTTGATCAATCTTGTTTCCTATCCAGGCACCTAGAACTCGGATTGGCTCTCCGTCAGGAGCGATTCGTATGTGTTGCGGTATACGGTCCGTGGACGGGTCATCCGGGTCTATCAGACGCGTCCTGATTACAGCTTCCCGGTAAGCTTCTGTCCCTACAGGTACAATTTCAGTCTTGCCGTTATTGAATTTCGCGCGCGATGCAGTGCACCACAATTCGAGTATCTGCCAGAGGTCGGCCCAGTGGTCGCGTTTGGACAGGAAGGTGGACGTGTCGTCCGCGAACAATTTTGTTATCAATTTGCTTGCAGTACCCGGTATGCAGAATCCTTTTAGCGACGAGCGTCGGAGGGCCGTCGCTAGGGGCTCAATTGCGATGTCGAACAGGAGGCAGGAGAGTGGATCGCCTTGTCGGACGCCTCTGATTACATCAAAGAAGGAACTTGCTTCGCCGTTTACTATGGCTTTGGTACGTGCGTGTTTGTATAATGCTTTTATTTTGTTGATGAAGCGCCTTGGGAGGTGGAAAGCCTCTAGTGTGCGCCATAGGTATGTGTGGTCAATCTTGTCGTAGGCCTTTTCTTGATCGAGCGCAATGATGACGCCGTCTTCTTCCAAGGTTTCTGCGTAGTCGACTAGGACACGGCAAGTTTGTGTTTGGTCTTCAATGTGCCTTCCAGGCATGAAGCCCGCTTGGTCGGGGTGGATGAGTTTCCCGGCAACTTGATTGAGGCGAGAGGTGAGTATTCTCGTGTATATTTTGTAGTCTGTGTTTAATAAGGTGATGGGTCTATAATTACTTATGTCACGACGATCACCTTTCTTGTATAGAGGGCATAGCCATCCATCCGCGAACCGCCAGCTGGGTTCACCCCGTTCATTTCGATATCCCCGTAGACTGTTTGAAGATATTCTAGGCTGTTGAAAGCGCCTTCTCCTGAGTTTCGCATGTAGGTGGCCCAGAACTCGTAAGGTATACCATCCAGGCCTGTTGCCCGGCCAGTTTGGGCGAGTCGAAGCGCGTTTTGCACCTCGTCCGTTTCGATGTCTGACGAGAGGACTTCTAGGTCCATGTAGTCGAGGTTGGAGTCGAGATTGCTCAGTACTGAGAGCATTGCTTCCTCCTGGTGGCTCGTGGAGAACCCGGGGACGTCAAGGTGTTGTATTTGTTCATGATACGTTTTGGTTAGCTCTGCCATTTTGTCTGACCTTCTTTCATAAGTTGGAGGGTTCGAGTGGGGAGTTTGCAAGAGGTATAGAAGGTCCCTCGGTTTTCTTTCTCTGTTTATCGCCGACCAGTACTTGGTGACTCGCTCTGCGTTGATTACATACCGAGCCGTGGTGGTGAGTTTTGCTGTTGAGTGTCGTTTCCGTTCGAGTTCAACTATTCTGTTATGTATGATTGCTGAATCGCCTTGCATTGCTGCCGATGTTGAGAAGCTGGGGTGGCTTTCTATGTCTTTTAGGTGTGATGAGAGGCGGCCGATTTCTGCTCTTATCTTAGGAATTTTCTCTCTCAGGGTTCTACGTGCTAGATCTCTAAGGTCATCCTTGAAGCGCGAGTGTAGGAGCTGTACCGGGCTGGGGAATTCGTCGTCGACAAGGTGAGTGGCCGTTTTCATTTGTTTCAGTGTCGACATACCGAGTTCAGCCGCAGCTTTCTTGAATTGTTCATCGTCGAGTAGGTGTATGGGAAGGGTCCATCTTCCTTTCCCTATATACGGCGCTGTTCGTGTGCTTAGGACTGCGCTTACTAGTCTGTGATCTGTGTGCACTGCAGTTGTTTTTATGGACCATTCTTGTGACGACATTACTAGCTCATTTGTCACGTAGATTCTGTCTAGACGTGAACGGGATGTGCTTCCTCGTTGTGGATATGAGAAGTCTTTTTTCGTGGGTTCCGATAGTCTCCATCCGTCAAACAGGTCAAAGTGTCGTAGCAGACTTCGTAGGTTTTGTACTGCTGCGGGTAGGTCTTCCCTAGCCGGGATTCTGTCAATTGCTTCCTCTACGATATTGAAGTCCCCGATTAGTATGTCCGGTTTCCGGTACTGTCCATTTTCTGACAGTTGTTGCAGTTCTTGCCAGAACAACGCGTTTTCCTGAGGTGGATTTGGAGCGTAGACGTTCATAATCTTGAGATATTTGTCTGCATGCCAATGCATGCGGAGCAGTGTCGCTCTTCCGGGGATGATCTCTGTGAATTGGGTGTTGGCGATATCAACCAATTCGCGGTTTAGGATTGTGGCGACACCTTGGGAGGCTGTTGCGGAGGGTGAGCAGGAGTTGTGAATTGTGATCCTTCTTCCGTATACATTTTCGATGTTCTGGATGTCTGATGTATCTAAGTGTGTTTCTTGTAGGCACAGTACTCCGATCTTGTCCTCTCTTAAAAGCTGATTAATTTCGTTCCATTTTTGGTTTCGGGGGCCAGTTACGCCACCTCGTCCGTTGATATTGAGTGAACACATGTGGATGCCTGCTTTCGTCTTTCGACCGGATGATTTCGCATGCGTGTTACTTGCCGGTGTGGAGGGCTGAGCCCTTGAGTTCCGGCCCCTGGGCCTTTGACCTACAACCGGTTGTGTTAGGGAGTGCACAGGGGCAGCCCCGTCTCCGTGTTCCTCCATCTGATCATTGAGACCAGCGTGGGCGGGGGACGCGTTGGGCTCTCCCTGATGGAGGAGAGGGGTGCCAGTTGTCGTGAGATCGTCCGTATGGTTTGTTATATTCGTATTGTTGACCGTTGCGCTACACATTCCGACTACAACGATCTGTCGGGTGCGGGAAACACTCCTGGTTTCCTCAGGAGACACGCTGCCGTGGCAGCTTCGGCTTCTCAGCCTGGGGCAAGTCTAACAGTGCCCACTCGCTGTAAGTGAAACGCTACATCGGTTCCAGAGCTTTCCTGTCCTGCTTTAGGCAGTCAGTAGATGTGGGCTCCGTTACCGAGTATTGTGTGGTTAGTTTTTAATGTTCGTTTAGAGCCGTTCTCTTTTCCTGTTTTTTTATTATTAAAATTGAATATGGACGTTCTTGTTTGCTCATGTTCGAGTGGTAAAGGATATGAGGATCAACGTATATTTGGATGCGATAGTACATGTTATTCAAATCGTGGGTACACTGAGAGCGGCCCGGCATATACAATGTCCGGTTAGTTCATACCATTACGACGTCCACGAGAGCCGTTACCCCGCGCCCTGCCTCCTCGTCCTCCACGGCCGCCGCGGCCGCCTCTTCCGTTTTGCTCGTTGCCTTGGGCACGTCGGTCCCTGGTGAGAGCTTCGCGAGCGTCCGCTAGGGACGGGCCGTGCCATCCTGGAGTGGAAGGTAGGGTGCAAGCGGCTGTTGGGTGATCCGAGGAGTGGCAGTACATACAGAAGAAGCAGTCGGTGATGAGCTCCGGAGGTCCTGCATAAGCGCCGCCGTAGACTTGTTCGCGCACTTGCCTCCGGAAGTTGACCCATTCCGCAGCGTCGGCGGTGGGAGACTCAACGTACAGTAGCGCAATCGGTTCCTCGTCGATGCCTTCCCGTAGACGGATTTGCCTGACACGTATGGATTGGAGAACGAGGTGGCGTGCATCGTCGACAGATAAGTGGCGCCATCTTCCCCCAGAACTGATGTCAGCGATGAGGAGCGTCGTGATGAGCGATGCGAGGTTGGGGGATTCGAAGCCGGCGAGGAAGCCCTGTGCGATGCCTTCGTCCGATGGTTCGCCTATAACAAGACGACCTGGGAAGCGCCATCCTCCCATGAAGGTAGGGGGCTCATGAGGCGCTGCGAGGATTCCTACGGTGCCATCGGTAGTAGAGATCCATTGGTCGCGGAGTAGCGCGTTGCGCTGCGGGATCGTGATGTTGCTTACGCGGTAGAAGGTTGGGTAGGCGTTCGGACGCGGCTGCGGATTAGCGGCGATAGGCTGCGTGATCGTCGCGGTGCGTATGTCATAGACTTTGTGGAAGATTGTTTGGGCCATGGTGACACGTCCGTGGTTTCCGGGGTCGTTCCCGCTGCGAGCGAGGAAATGCAGGAGAACGCACGGATTGGGGTCCGTTGTCCAGACGGCCAGCTGGCTCTGTTCCATATTGCCGTACGGCCAGAAGAAATCGTCCCCCTGTAGCGGGAGCCAGCCGCCAGGCGGGGCTCGCGTCATCATGCTAGGAGCAGAGAAGCCGTGAGCTTGAGGGAGCGGTGCGATAGGGCCGGCAGGGAAAGCAGGTTCGACAGAGGGGGCGGGCACCGCAGGAGGGACAGGAGGGAAGTGGAGCGGAGTGAGATGCGCAGGAAAGATCGGCGTTATTGGCGCAGTCGCGAAATTGGGGAAGGGTCCGGGCGCATAGTGTACTGGGCGCGGAGGCGGAACGTATGTAGGTGGAGGGAGTGGTTGGGCATCAGCGGCGTCTGAGCGTATCGTGTTCGAGGGTCCTGCCGTCGCGTTGCGTTGCGGGGCCTTCCCTTTGCCGATCCCGAGTGAGGCGGGCAGGGCCTTCTCGACCGCAGATACGTAGAGGGCAGGGTGAGAGACGTCGCCTTGCCTGGCAATGAACGGGTTTGTGCTGTCGCCGATGATGAGCGCTGCGGATGGCTCTCGAGAGGGGGGTGGGCCGACTGGAACTTGTTTGTGAGCCAGGCGCGGAGATGCAGCAGGCGTATATAGGTCTTTTTTTTTTTTTTTTTTTTTTTTGAAAGAGGACGTAGTTAGGAGGGACGGAATCTGCTACGTGGTGATTTAGAGACGTACCCTCTATGCTGCCACCGGCGAAGTCCTCTCGCACTAGGACGTAGGGGTTATCTTCTCGCTGCGCCTGTTCGTCCAGGTAGCGCTGGACCATGAAGGAGGTGCCAGGTGCTTGACGAACGCGTGGTGGGGTGCCAGGAACGCCGGGTCCTGATAGGCATCCGGGAGCCGCGAGGACAGGACGAGGGCGATATGCATCAGCGGTGTATGTGGGTGGTAGGCCGTAGAACCTACGTATATGCGCCGTGGAGAGTTCCATCTCATCGGGGTCAGGTATTGCAACGTCGTCCATTTCAATGTCAGACGTCGTCAGCGCTGGTGGGTCCTGCAGTTCCTCGACGCTGGAGGACGACGAGATAGAGATTGCCATTGTCGTTGCGTGTTGGGTGGGGGCAGCGTGTGGTGTCAGAGCGACCACCGGGTCCTGGACGCGTGGGACGGCATCGGTTTGCGCGGACGGGCCGTCGACGTCAGTGGAGACGCGTCGACGCTTGCGCGTGTCGCTGACCGCTCGCGTCGTTACGGTTGGTGGGACGGTGGTGATAGACGCGTCGAGAACGGCGGTAGGGGTAGCAACGACAGAGGAGGAAGCGGTCGGGTGGCTCTCACCGACGGTCATCTTTGGTTTCCCAGCGACGGCAGCGTTTTTTTTGGCGCGTTGTTTCTTCGCTTTTTGCTTAGAGGCCGTCAACTTCTTTCCGGACCTCGTGCGGGAGGTGTCCAGGACAGTCTCTACTTCTTCAGCTGGCGCAGAAAGTTAGGGCCGAGCGTTGTAGAGAGGAGTGAGCTCACTTTTGACGACGGCTGCGACGTCGTTACTTTTTCCTCCCGCTGATTCCTCTACTGGCGCGGGCCCATTGACGACTTCGGCGGGTTGCGCATTGTTCGTGGCTTCGACTGCGTTACCGGCTTCGGGATCTGCGTGTACGGTGGGCGAGCCTTGGTTGGCGATCGAGATCGGAGGCGAAGGAGGCCTTGCCGCCACAGCCGCATAAGAGAGCCCGGTGCGTTCCACAGGAGAGATAGCACGGGGAGAGACCCACGGGTTGCCAGCGGGGGAGGCAGCGGCGCTAGCTCCGGTGAGGCGCGAGGGAGGGGAGCGAGCGGGAAGCGATGTCTGGCGACCGCCGGGCGGCGAGCTGGTCCTGACGATACGCGGAGGCGAGCTGGTCCCATCGTTGGCTGAGGTGGGTTTGTTCTGGTGCATGCTGGGCGAGTATGAGCGGGAAGCAGGTTATCTATTGGGTGCTGAGAGCGCAGCCTCCAGGGATCCTTTTATCCTCATGGCCTTGGATGATGTAATGCTGTCGATGGGATTTCTGCTCTGGGCTGTGCGTTGCCGTTTGCACTCGGCCTGATGTTCTTGAATTGCTATCTCACCATCGTAGTTGTCGCAGGTCGCAATTTGTCCCGTATTCTTCACGCGCTTGTCATCGGGCGTACGACATGGCGAGTGGAGCGGATGCGGTTGAGTGTTGGGCAGCGAGTCGGTGTCTCGTTTGCGGGTGGGCGTAACGGTGAGGTCCTCGCGTGCGTTTTTTGTTTGCGGGCGTGACGGTTTCGACAGATGTCGGTATGTCGAGCATAGCAGGCCAGTTCAAAGGGTTGTGGCCCAGTGTTTAGATGGGTTCGAGTCCTGAGGACGGTGCTGCGAGGAGTCCGGGCGCATTTGGCGCTGAGTAGTCGAATTTGCAAGAGATACTTTGACAGGTGTCCTGAAATGGACGCGGCTTCCTGTCTGCGGGGATTGTGTGGCTTAAGCGCCATTGTTGTCCCACGTTTAGGGCTTCTATGTCAGGGTCTGGTGCGCATGTCGGTTCGGCTAATCTAGAGGGATGGCGGTGCAAATTCGTCTGATCTTGAGATCAGTTGGGTCGCGGATCTTAATTTGCCTCCGCGAGCTTCGGCTCTTCATCAGGTTGTGCTTCGTTTGTTGGGCAGGAAGGTTGTTCGTTGACTGCCTACTTGGCCAGAAGGGCAGCGATTGTATTACTGCCTGACGCCTGGTGCGGTGCGCGTTGCGGCATCATTTCTGGGTTTGCGGTTTCAGCGGTATTGGTGGGGTTGGTTCCTGGTTGCGCGCTGGTTTTATTAAGAAAGGGAGGGGCGCTCCATGTGGCAAGTGATCGGTCGAGCGTATTAGTATACAGTAACGAGGGGGATGTTGACTACGTTGCTCGAGGTTACGGCAATTGATCTCCGCATACTCCTTGGAGTCACGCTTCTCGCCCTCTCCCTCTTGCTTAGATATCCATCTCCTCCTCCTCATCAGTATCAAACTCGTAAGGACTCTCTTTGCTCTCTTGAAGGAGCCGGTTCGAGGCGAGTGAGTTATGAGGCGGCGGTGAGGGTAGTAGGAGGTGGTAGAGAGATGTATGGTTTATTTTGTCGCGGCCGGTGAGTCTGGACCATGAGGTAGGCGCTCTGATTGCGCAGACCCCCGGGGATCCCGCAAGGGACCACGTGATCCAGTGTCTTCGTAGCTCGGATACTGCTTCGATGCGTCCTATTCCGGATCGTACACCCTCGGCAATGAGCGTGACCGGTTGGCCGGTCTCGATTTGGGAGCTCGGGCGTTTCATCACCGTCCACGTCAGGGTTGCCCCTTTCCTTTCAGGGTGGCCATCCACTTCGATCGCCAGTGGACTGGGAGAGTCGCGGGTGAGGTGGAGGATGGGGAGACATTTCACAGGAGGGGGAGCGGGCGATTGCGTGTCGAAATCTAGGATTGTAGGGGTCCATGGATTGGAGCATTTTGGAATCGTCGGCCATCTCAAAGAATGTTTGTATCGTCTGGGGGATTGGGGGCATTGCTGGTGGGTGTCATCTTTGTTGCTGGAGCTCTTGTCTCATGGTCTGAGGCAGGTTTTTAACGGAAAGCTGAGCGTTTACCTGTTACGGCATAGCCGGTTGTGGAGGTCCGCCTTTACGTTATGATTTGTGGAAGATTGATATATTTATTGGTTCTTTAGACGCTCTTTAACGTGTTGCGGTGCAAGAGAGGGTGTTTACAAGTTGGGTGAAGCAAGTGGGCTCCGCATTTCGGAGGGGGAAGAGCAGAGCTCCAGTCCATTCCTTTAGATTTTGTCTCGTTGTTCACTCTGGTTGTTCAGCCACTAGCGGCTATCCTGTTTGTGTTTGTTTAGGGTGTGGCTTGAACTCTGTTTAAGCGCCGCGCCCGTTGAGTCCAGCGCTTAGGTGGCCGGGAGGCGCGCAGTAGAGGGCGCGTCGTCGGGCATCGACGATGAGCACTGAAATAAGGGCGATATCCCTACGAGATGGAGCTCCGTGGGTCTAGTGGTACTATTGTAGCACGGTGTGGTACTTTTAACACTTGATGTGTTAGGGTAATGGGGTGGATTGCCCCTTGTCCCATTGGATGACGCTCTCTGGCGATATCCTGGCCAGCGTGCTTAACAGCGACGCTGGGCCTTATAGTGCATGTTCGTTTCACCCTTTTTGAGAGGGTTACTTACCCCCCGGACCACGAGAAGGTCTGCACAGGGCTCGCCAGCGACGAGCCCTCCCGGGGGATTGGAGGCATTCTTATCTCACAGTGGTGCTGATCTAGTCATGAGGTGTACAGATAGAGTTCATTCGGATGACAACATCGCCCTGACTGCCATATCCACCCTATCTACCTGCATGTTGTGGTTTTGCGGCGCCATGCATGTCATTGCACCCTGCAACGAGGATAAAGCGAGGCGGAGAACTTTTCCCATGGTCTGCACCGAAGTCCCTCCTCCGATTCCTTGATCTGGACCGCTTCTCGCATTTCGGCGATATAAGACGGAAGAATGAACGGACAAGACCAGCTAGTTATTGGCATCGTCCTATTGCTTGTCTGCGTCGTATTCTTACACATCGCCTACATCGTCCCGCTATTTCTCATTGCGATTATCGCCCTCAAGATCAACAAAAATGGCTACGGTGCACACAAACGGCGGGGCCGTTTCCGGCTCTAACGGGTCAACTTCTCTGAATGCGATTCCGTCGTTGGATGTCGCAGCGATATGGGAGATGCTAGGGCTTATGAAGGGCAGTCTAGGTACTATGTACGTAGCCCTTCGGCTTCCTCACTTCTCCACAGTGGGAATTGAGGAGAACGGAGGACATACTTCGTGCGATCAATGGCAAAGTTGAACAGGTTTTGTACAGTGGGCAACAGTTTCAGACTTTGGATGAACAATCGGCGAAGGTAGACTTGTTGGGACCCACAAAGGTGAGTTTTGGCCGAACTGCCATTGCTTTGAATGCTTGACCGAGTTGTCACTGTGTCAGGAATCCTTGAGGAAACAAGCGAAGGATCTAGAGGACGAGATGAAGTCAACTCAAGATAAGCGAGAGAAGACTCTTCAGAATGTCAGGAGTGCCCTGAAAGAACAGCTTAAGGAAAAAATCGCCAAACAGATGAAGTAAGCCCCTGACGGTGGAAACACAAGCAGAGCGACTGACCTGTCCGTGTAGGGACCACATCAAAGAGCAGATTCGTCAACAGGTCCCGGCCCGAGTCGAAGTCGAGGTTAAAACCCGGATTTCCCAGCATCTGCCCGTGCCATTGACGGTCCAGGTGGACGAAAGCCGGCGACAAATCGACGAAGTGAAACACGCCTTCCAGAATTCGTGAGCCTATTCGCCCATCCCCCGCCAGCGTACGTGGTCTGACGACGACACTTCTAGCGAGGCGAGGCGGCAAAACTCCAGCTTGAGGACGTACAACCTCGACCAGTCTCTCGCGGAGGTTCTCAAGTTGGACGGCAAGAAGTCTACTCTGTGGCCTGGGAATTTGCGATCTCTGTTCAACTACAGCGGTCAGTGTGTCACGATAATCACAGCGCAGTGATGATACTCACCGTCTGTCTGTGCAGCTGCACAAGCACGAGATCTCGCACACGACTACGGTCTCGGCGGGCCGATTGGGGACAGGGAAAGAAACATCAGCCACTTCATGGCGCATATCGGTAGGCCACGGGTGCCTCCTGGGCTACGACTCCACGCTCATGGTCTGTTCATAGGTATCTCTTTCCCGCTCTTGTGGGTGGCCGTAAACGGCAGCGCTGCGACCAACGGCGCTGGTGCTTCACCTTGAGTGCAGACAGCGTGGAGCGAACGTCTCTTTTGCCGGGTCAGTTGCTTTCTGTATTTGTAGCGTCGCAGTTGAGTTGTATGTACGAGTTTTTGTTGTATTTACCAGTGTCATGTATTCTATTCTTGTGTCAGGCTCGAAATGGGAAGTGGGCCTAGCAGACGTACCTTTACAAGCCAGCACATTCATACCGCAGGGCTGCCTTCGGAACCGGGGCTCAGTCCATGACGCTGGTAGCACATGAGAATACGATAACAGTATGCGGAGTTGACTGGTAATACATGATGCGCAGATGAAGATACGACAGACGTAGTAGAAGCGTGCTCTACGTGTAGGCAAAATACAACCACTGCAGACAGAACAAGACGCGATTAGCATTACCATACAAGAAGCGTCCACGGCTCGCCCACTATCTCCGGTTCTCATCGTAACCCTTGCCCACTGACACCGGACACCACTAGTTGAGGTTCTGCAGCTTCATCCACTCCGTGTCGTTCGCGTTGAAGTCGATGCCCTTCTGGCGCCACCACATACGCGCGGCCTCGCCCCCGCCGATCGCGTCCTCGAGTGCCTCCTCGATGTCGCACATCCGGTACTGTATCGGCAGCCCGCTCCTGTCCCACCACTCGAGCACGTCTGGACGGTTATGCCTCGTCGCGCCCGTGAGCGCGTCACAGTCGAAGATGAGCTGCAGCCCGCTCCCGAGCCACCACTGGAGCACCTCCACCTTGCCGTGGCAGCTCGCGTGATACAGTGCCTGCTTGTCGTACTTGAAGTCCAGCTGCGAGCGCGCCCACCACTCGAGCACGTCGATGTGGCCCGCCGTGCTCGCCAGATCCATCACGCGCCCGATTTTGAGCGGCAGCCGCACCGTCGGCGACGTCGCCTGCTGCTTCCACCACGCGAGCACCGCGAGCTGGTTCTTCGCGCTCGCGTACTCGAGCGCCGCCTCGGTGTACTCAAGCGGGATGCCTGAGTGCAGCCACCAGTCGAGCGAGGCGACCTGCCCGTTGCGCGACGCGGCGTCGATTGCTTCTGCGACGTGGTCCGGCGACGGGAGCGGTGTTACGTCAGGGTGCTGCTCGTGCGCGCGTTTCCACCACGAGAGGACCGCAACGCGGCCGTGCAGCGAGGCCTTAATCGGCAGCAAGTCGTTCTTGTACACGTGCAGGAAGATGGAGCGGTGCTGCGTGAAGAAGTACTCGAGGACATGGACGTACGAGAACCGCACGGCAAGACTGGCCCCTAATTTCGTTGGCGGGTGGGCAGCGGGGTTGATGGAGCGGAGGAGGGGCAGGTATCCAGTCAGGATGGCGTGGTCGGACGAGCTGGCGCGATGCCATTCCTGGGGTTCGGGGAGTGAAGTAGGTACACCCACCGCCTTTGCGAGCTCCCAGTCTCCTACTTTGTCCATGATTTCCGCCAGTACTTCCACTGGGAGGTCAGGGGCTTTGGCCTGCCTCGGGCGCGTTTTTGGTACCTCTAGCGGCGATGGCGAGCAGACGGGGCTCGTAACCCCATTCAAAGTCGCTCCATTCGATGCCGGATAGACGTGATACGCGTGTATGTCACTTTGCGCTAGCCTGAGTGCGAGTTCGTCGTCTGTGCCCTTCTGCGGCAGGCTCCTAATCTTTGAAAAGAGGACAAGCTGGTGATGGGTAAGGCGCCGGTAGGCCTCGTAGACTTGGTCTATGCAGTCGTCATAACTCTGTCATCGCATCAGTAGCAACGATGGATATCGGGCCAGACATGCCTACCGTCATGGAAAATGTTTCGAGGATAATGTTGGCTCAGTGGCAGGGGTGGCAGCGACGACGATGAGGAGGAGGAAAAGGAGAGTGAGGAGAAAGGTCAAGATATTGAGCGTCATGGGCGCTAAAACAATTGATCGAGATCGCGGTACTTTCAGGCCCAGATCATCTTCGGGCTTGCCATGTTGGGATTACGTGGTTCAGTAGTTTCATCTTGGTTCCATCACCGGTACCAACAAGAAAATACGTTCGAACAAAACGAAAAGCTGAGAGATGATGTGAATCCACGGACGAATAACCAACGAATAACTCCTTTCAACCGAGCCAGGTACCGAGGTTCTAGCGTGACAATGCCAAACGGAGCAGATCTGTCGGCAAGATATATTTTACTATTGGTCTTACACTAGTACATACTGAGCGCGCGGTTGCCAGTGGATCGCTCCAGCACCGACCAGAATACATAGAGGCCGGCACAATTGACGATGATGAACTCACCTACCATCTCCAGATTTCACTCACCATTCGAACAAGTGCCTATTCCCCGACTCCGACCGGAGGGAGAGGAGGGCTTTGTCGACCATAAGTCGTTCGCAGCCGGCGATGCCGCTCCCTCCGTGGAAAACACGTGACTTACAATTCCCATAAGCGGTATCGCAGCAATGCTCGAGTGTCTTACGAGGCAGCTCGAGGCAGTTGGATCCGACCGCGCATCTGGCTGCGTCTGGACGTCTGGATCTTTGACCACCAAATAACTCCTCCCAAAGGCAAGAGGGCCTCTATTACGTTGGGAGCCCTCGCATGCACTGTAGTGCTTATGTATTATGGTAAGTAAGTTCACCGTGTACTTAGCTCAGACTCGTGGAAGCCCGAGACGCCCGGGCGGCGAAGCCGCCGCGGGCGTGAGGGCTTCCAATTGAGTCTCCATATAATTCCGATGGTACAATATTACAATACACACATAATATTATGGTGCTGCTGTGGCAGGCTGAGTAGCTGTGTGCCATGCAGGAGTCGGGGATCGGCGCTTGCGCCGCTACGATTGGACGTTGAGGCCGGGTGAGAGCACGAGACAGAAACTGTGCATCACGTTACCTCTTATTCAATCTGAGTGTCTTATCGAATGCGAAGATACGTTTCTTTGCCCCTTCTAGTGATGTTAATCCGCCAATTCGATGCAAATGGGCGACGGTCAGACTCCAGCGGTGCTACTGTCTCGTCTTGGAAAGCTTCTTTGTGCACCTCCGTGAGTACGAATTTAAACAACGATTGACTTTCACTCATCAGAGATTGCGCAGGCTCTCCATCGAGGTCATCCCAGGCGATGGTTCCGACTGGCCATCGGCTTGGCTAGGCGGTGAAAATCTTCAGCAGGACCATCGTCCTTTCCTATACGTCGAGGGACACCTGGGAGTACCACACAAACTACTATATAAAGCGTATTTGACTGCTCTCCGCGAATTCGTACTCCTCAAGCCAACCTTTCGAGGCATCTCGGACAGTCACGATGACTCGCCCAACGCGGAAAGGCTCGCGCAATTGACTGCCGTCATATTACTCGCGAATCCTGCTCACCAGACCGCTTTGAACACAAGGAAACAGCTGGTCTCTCTGGGCCTGCTTAACACGGAGATAGAACTGCAATTCTGCGCGGCACTACTCGTCGTTCGAGAGTGTTCGAAACAGAGCCTTCTGTGGCACCACCGACGATGGCTGCTCCAGCTGCCGAGTCCGCTCAAGTGTACAGGGAAAGGGTTCAATAACCGGCCAGAGCACTCGGATACCCTCCGCCGCGCCCTGCTGTCCGCTGTATCGCTGCGCGCAGAATTTTTAATCGTCACCCAAGCTTGCGAGACGTATCCCCGGAATTACTTCGCATGGATCCACCGCTACTGCTGCCTCGAAGCCCTCATCACACTCGCGCGCTCACCGACACCAACCCAAGACGCCGACCGCTCGCTGCTCCTGGAGGAGATTCTATTCGCCCGGACGTGGATCGAGCGGCACGTCTCGGACTACACAGCCGTGCACTATTTCCACAACCTGCACGTCCTCTTGCTACAAGAGGCGGACGTACCACTACCCGCGAACGCGTCTGCCGCGCTCGGTGCGGACCGCGCAGACCACCGGACGATCCGCGCGTCGCTGTATGCACACGCCAAGTCCCTCCTGGAGACGTACCCGGAGCACGAGACGATGTGGCTTTACTTCCGGGCCGCGGTGCACATCTGTAGTGCGGATCCCGGTCTCCAGCTCGACGCGACGGATGTCGCTGACGGTCACTCGGACTGGGATGCTCCTTCCGCTCCGAAGCTGATGACTCTCGGAAACGCAGAGCGACATCAAGCCTGGCTTAGTCGGAATCGCGAAGGCTCGACAGATAGGCAACAACAGGTAAAACTATTACCGTCTGCACGTACTAGCGCATACTCATGACAACCCTTAGCTTCATTCGTGGCACCGTTGAGTCTGCTGCTCCAGGTTGCGATAAAGCTTCGCCCCTCCATTCGCCAAAAGCCGGTGCATCAAACCCATCTATCGCCGTGCTGTAGCATAGTGACTTATCGTAGACGTACCGGTCCATATTCGGCGAGATAGTTCCCAGCTGCGCCAAGAAGACTATTTCACCAACAGCACGCTAGCCAGAGACGTAAGTAATGTACAAGTAGCAAATTACGCACATGCACAGAGCAGTGGACCTATGTACAGATACTTTCATACAGACATGGAAGAAGCGGGCCTCTCGGCCTGCGAATCGCGAAAACGAATGGGCTAAATATGCGGGCATGTGTTCAGAGCACAAAGAACGGTGACAAAGAGTATGCTGATGCGAATGACACTAAGTATTGGGCTGCCTAGCGGTCCATCCCAACCGAAGAAAAATGGATGCGCTAGGACTTGCAAGACTATGCCTCTGGCTCGGGCTCCCGTAAATGACTGCGATGAAAATGTACATGAGCAGACGTGGCGGACTGCGGAGGGGACGTGCCACTTACCGACCGAGTTGTTTGTTCATTGCGAACATGTCAATCCTGTCTACGTTGAAGAGCGCCCTGAACTTGTCGTCACACACGATCTCCTTTCTGTTCTCGGGGTTCTGCAGGTTATTGCCCCTGATGTGATCCCAGAGCTTCTTGACGGTTTGCGGTCGCGAGAGCTTCTCCACCCCCGTCACAGCGATGAGCGGCTCGCTGAGGGACAAAGGCAAGATTCACGTCAGGCAGTACAAGAGGAAGCAAGGATGTGCAGCGCACCTGAGCGCATATTCCTTCTGAAACCCACCACCCCTCCGCTTTTTCTTCACGACCTCGCCGTCATCGTCCACAGTCTCACCGTCCGAATTTACAGTAGCAGAACTCTTTGCACCCCGTTTACCGCCCCTCTTGCCGCCCCGTCCTCTCCCCCGCGTCGACGAGGCCCTCGGGGTGCGTTGACGGCCGTTAATCTCGCTGTCAAGCTGCCTCGCCAGGTCCTCGTCCGTCAAGCCGCCCTTCCTCGCCTTCTTCGCCTTCACCGGCTTCGTCTCCGCCACCTCCTCCTCGCCGTCGTCTCCCTCGCCCGCGCCGTTCGCGTAGTCCTCTTCCTCGTCCTCATCTTCGGGGCGGCTCTTCCGCTTGCCCTTGGTGTCGGCGCCGTTCTGCGCGGCGCTGATCTCCTCGTATACGGTCGAAATAATGCGGTCAAAATCCTCCTTGTGCTTGCGCACGAACTCGGCCGAGAGCGCGATGTCCATCTCGACGAGCTGCTTGCGGACGCGCTTCGCACTGATCGTGCTGAGGTCCACGCCGGGCGCGTTGAGGATCTGCCGGATGTGCGGCTCGTACCGCTCGATGTCCGCGCTCATCGTCGTCCGGCAGGTGCTGTTAGGAATGAGTCGGGGGGAGGCAGTGGACACGCGAAAACGGGCTGCGACACAAAGTCGAGTGCGATGACTGGCGCGAAAGTGGCTTGCACTCGCGGATTGGCTGCAAAACAGGGGGCCGGGTACACGTGACTGACGCGTCAACTGTGACCGGCTTCAGTCACGAACGCGTCTCGCGTTTCCGACAACTGTCGGTCGCGCAGGAGTCTGTTTGGCAAGGTTGAGTAAAGGCGCGAAGCCGCACTGAATTGATGTTGAAGTACAGCATTACAAAACGAGATAACATGTCGTAGTAGTGTGTGAAGCTATTAATATCTGCTGAAATCCGCAGGAGCGCGGAAAATATTGTCTCGATACCACTTAAGCTCTGAAGCAGGCAGTCAACAACGTGAATTATTTGACACAGTGCTACTCACCTCGTATCGAGCCACGAATGTCGCTTAGAGCGCTAGAAGGGAAGTTCGTGAGTTCGCCCGCCAGGTGACACAATGCCGCGTACCGATGTGCGCTGCTGTCCTTTTCGTACAGATCCTTCGGTACCTCTACTGATGGGTACCACCTACGACACAATTCCTGCAAATTGTGAGTCAATCTCATCCGAACGTCCGTAGAGAGCGATGTGGACGCACCTTTATGGAAGACACGTCTAGCAGGGCCGCAACGCATGAGTGGGTCCAGTAGGAGTAGGTCACGTCACTTACCGACGATACTAGTGAAGTGCTATGTCAGCGACGATCGGCATATACTATGATAGAGAGGGTATAGACCGATAGTGCAAATGATCAGTGACACGGGGCATTTCCTGGACGAGGAAGGACCTGTCGGCGTGCACGGAGTTTCCGGCAAGGATGCCCGTCCGTTCATTGGGGACCCATTTTCGAATGTACTCAAAGACCTTCTTCTCCACCTCCTCGGTCGTGTGCGGGGAGTCTAGACACTGCTGTGTTAAACCAGACTGCAGGGCGGCGTGAGACGCTGAGGTAGTACGAAGCCAGATGGACTCACCGACGCGTGCTGCTTTATGCACCACTCATTCATGCTAGGAGTAGACGGAGTCTGAGAAAAAGAGGTCGCACAACAGCCGCTTACTCGCCTATCTAGGACAGCTTTGTCGGTGCGTATCACATACTCGATGCCATCGTCCACCAGGTCCAAGTTTCCGTTCGTAATGAGAACCTGGACATCCAATCAATTGACAAGCCGAAGTAGCATGCCTGTACCTACAGCGATTTCGAGTATCTGGTCCTTCCGAGGATCCAACCGGTCATCTCGCAGTCAATCCAGACCAGCGGTCCGGAGGAGAAGGTTAGTGGTTGCAGGCCTTCTGGCATTATGCGATCCAGCGACAATCTAGTTTTGTATGCAATTGTTCTTGCCGGTTGACTTCGCGCGAATGCCCTGCTTGCCACTTGCAGTGACCTGAACATAGATCCTAAACACGACCTTGTTGAGTGGGCGAGGGACGCAATAAAGAGGCGTCCACCAGTTATGTAGTGCCGTTCAATGTGTACGGCGGTCGTTCCGAGTCACGGGGGATCGTGACAAAGGACGCGTCCGGTCACAAATGACTACAAAGGGCAACCTGTGACAATAACGATCTCTCCGACTTACGTAATACGTCGAACTCCGGCGTCACTTGTGGCTTCGCCAGAACTGTGGCGGCACCGTCTTGTTCTCCCCTACATCCGTCCCCACCATCAACCACCATGACCACGCCCTATGCGACGCCCAGGTACCCTAGGGCGCCCTACTCGACGCCAACCTCGCAGAGCGCGTCGCGGAAGGTGCCCCGCGCACCGATCTACAACCCATTTGACCAGTTCCCCGAGTCCGAGTTCCAGTCATGGATCGGCGACATAACTGGCGCGATTAAAGCTGCGCTGGGCAGGGAAGACCCTAGAGAAAGTATAGCGAGGACTCCGGAGCGCGTTGAACGCGAGGAGGAACCTCTGGAAGACTCGTTCGCGGACGTCAAGGCGCGCCGCGCGGCTAAAGGCAAGGAGCGCGAAGTGGAGGTCGGTGACCAGGAACAGCCGATCGTCATTGACTCCGACAACGAAGAAGAGGAAGAGGAAGTTGAGGACGCAGCACGAATCATCGAGTACGATGAGGGGTCGGACTCCGAGCAGGAGGACGAAGGACAGCAAGAAGAAGAGGAGAAGAAGCCATACTACAGGTCGAAGAAGCAGAAGAAGCAGAAGAGGAGAATGACGATGAATCTGAGGAGGAAGGGACGAGTCTGAGGAGGAGGAGGAGGAGGAGGAGGAGGATGAAGCACCAGAGCTCCAGACGTCTGGCCCAGAAGTCATCGAGTTGCTTTCTGATGAAGAGGATGAAGTGGTCGCCCTGCCACTGCGCGCCCGACATGAAGAGGATGCAGAGGACCCGGAGGAAGATGCCGACGGGTCCGAAGGTGGCTCTGACGAAGAGCCGGAAACCGCATTAGCCAAGCCCGAGCGGCAGCCGGTTCATGAGGCTGTAGAACTCGAAGATGAAGAGGTCGAGGAAGACGAAGAGGAGAATGAGCCCGACGGCGCTGTCGAAGGGTCTGAGGTCGGCTCTGACGAAGAGCAGGAAGCCACTATATTCAAGCTCGAGCGACCGCTGGTTCACGAGGCTAAAGCATTCGAAATTGAAGACGAGGACGAGGAAGCAGAAGCCGTGGTCGAACAGCCCGGCCCTACAGCTGCCCCGGAACCCGAAGTCCTCTACTCTGGCTTTGCAGAGGAGGAGAATGAGTCTGACATCGTTGCAGACGTGGACCATGATCAGTCCGAGCAACGTGTAGACCTCCCAGACCCTTGGACAGGCCCGAGCACGTATGCGGAGGACTTCTATTCCGGTGGTGATTTGCTTCTGGAGCGCGGTGATGCCTCGAACCCGCATGTGTTACCTGCAGAAGAAGAAGACGAGATCGTCGAAGTCTCCGGGCCTGCGAGTGAAGCACAGGAGGTCGACTACGGAGGTATGTAAGAAGCCTTTGTGCATTCTATATCTCCTTATGTCTTGCCAGAATCATCAATCGTGGCCGAGGAGGCCCAGGAGGTGCAATTACCCGATCCGTGGAGTGGTCCGCGCGTGTATGCGGAAGACTATATGCCGGGGGCGACATCCGTGAAAGCGACTTGCGCACGCGCGTACGATCGCCGTCCCACCTGGAGCCGGTGGAAAAGGAGCTCACCGAGTTCCTCACGCCAGACATAGGCACACCAGAGACCACGTCCTTGAACGCCATCGAACCCGACCAAAGCGCCACACAGGCTCACGAGACTACACCCAACAATGTATTATGGACGAGCTGTATGCCGACCTCGTCGATGAAAGCTCTGTCAGGGGAGGTAGCATCGAAGCCGTTCTCGCGCCAAACCTGGAGGCTGTTGATGCGGACCCACACTCTGCCGTCCCCAGCACGGCAGACTCTCCGTCCCCACCCAATTCACATCTCACGTGGACTGGAACTGGCCGCCCGCATTTCCTGAGGGCAGGATGGCGACGAGGCCGGGACACTTGCTGAGCCGGGACCACCACGACGACTTCGTCGAAATTGTCGAGATTAGTGATGATGAGGTGGAGTCGCCTGCAAGCCCTACTGCCGCCGAGACGTTGTCGGTTGAAGAAGGCGCAGAAGCATCAGTCGCAGATGATTCTGGCGAGGAAACCCAGACAAACGAAGACGAGGAGCGCAGCGAGGTGCCTGACGTCCAAGAGTTGATGACTGGCAGTGCAGTTGCCTTCGACTCATCTCGTGGTAAGCTCGCAGTGTCCAACTCCCTCCGCTTGAGTTGACCAAATGGCCTTATCAACTTCAGAGTATTCCGACCAGCGCACAGTCGACGAGTTATATGCCGACATCGACGCATACATCGCTTCAGCAGAGCAAAACCTACTTGCCGAGAGCGAGTCATTGGATATGCAAGTGCCTGCCAATGCTGCCGACGATGTTTTCATCCGCGACTTCTCGCGGGCCCTTCAGTTGGCATTGGTGACCGGAATGCAGCTGAAACCACGGGAAGCATAGCTGCCGAACAACAGCCTAAGGCTGAACCCACAGACGCTGCAGTCGAGGCAGAGCAGTCTGTCCGTGACGAAGAGAAGGTCGTGGAAGCATCCTCAGATGATGTTCACCCGGAAGAGATCACCGCAACAGCAGAGTATGAGGTCGAGGAACCCGTCACGGAGGGCAGGCGTACTGAGGTACGTATTTGCAAGTGCAGTAGTGGGCAAATTATGTCTGGAACTCATTTGCATCATAGGAACCTGCCGATAATCTACGAGCCCCTAGCATTATTACTGAAGAGCTATCGGATGTCGAAGGCGGCAGTGCTGAGCGGGATGTTGATGTCCGCGAATACGCCGTCAGCGAACCTGACAGCCCCGTCGAGGTTATCGAGAATACGGACGCGACCTTGGAATTGGAGGACTTCGACGACCCGACGGCTGATGCTCCAGAGATTGAGGATACATCGGAGGCCACTCAGGTAAGCTGTCTCTATACGCTCTTAGATGGACAGAGCTGATCAAGCATTCAGGGCGAGGACACATCCGCTCCACACAAGGAGGACATTGTCGAGGAGAGCGGTGCCTTCGGTCACGCTGACGCTTTGCCTATGCTGATGGACATCACCGCCCCTGACCTGCATGAGCGTATGCTCGAGCCGGGCGTGCCTATGCCAGTCTCCGCCGACCCGACAGTCCCTGATCCAACAAGTGTCGCACCTAGCCCCGGAGAGACTGAAACTGTTACGCCCGCCGAGGTAGACGCGTCAGGTGCCTCAACGAGCCGGGATTCATCGGTCAGTGGCAGACCGTCGTCACGAGACCGCAGCCCGAGCGGACTCTTCACGGCGGACAACTCGCGAGCAGTCACTCCGAAGTTGCGATCGAGCGACCTGGGTGACGGGCCTGTCGAATCTCCATTGAAGCAGGTTGTCACAGCGGAGCAACTAAGTGGTGTTGACGAGCCGGACGGTGCGTCTACTGATGTCGACGACGCCCAATATGTGGCGGTCGATGCTGATGCGCCACAATTGCCAGAGCCACCTACCGTCATAGCGGAAGAGAGCGACGTTGCTTCCAGTCAACAAGCGCTCATAGACACCGTGGATCGCAAGCGAGAAAATGGAGCTGCGGCGACCAGCGAGCTGGATGAACTCAACCTCGAGTATCCCTCTGATACAGAGGAGCAGCCTGCGATTTCCGGAGGAAGAAGCAAGAAATCGACGTGCATATCAACCCGGATACGAGCCTCGATGTTGACGCCGAAGGTGACGTTGATCCCGACTATGTGCCTGAGCAGCATGCTCTTGCAGCCGACCTGAAGGTAGCGTATAATGCGGGCGTCGTGGTGTCTGAGGAGCCCGTAGCGGATAAGGTCCAGAGGGATGACACGCTTGCAATTCTGGGAACGGAGGTCGAGGTAAAGGAGCCCAGCACAAATCTGTGCGTGATGCTCTTTCTATCATCTGTTTGTGACTGACCGCCGACGCCGAAACAGCCCGGGTGCTTCCCAGGAGACGTCAAAGACTCTCGTGGCCAGCCAGACACTCTTGGAGATGCCGACGATCCCTTTGTTGACGCCGCCGTTCCCTCGCCCAGAGACGAAACTCAATCGCAAGACGATTCTCAGTCTACTGGATCGAGCGATACTCGTTCCCTCAAGCGCAAACGTGAAGGATCTAGACTCCCTCCGCGTGTGACCCGTTCGATGACACTGAGGGAACATGCTACGGATGACTGGGAACCGCGACGAACAATACAACGCGCACTCAAAGGCAAAGACAGGCGTGCGATCGATGAGGTTGATGAAGAACGTGAAAACGCGGAGTCGCCCCCCAATGATCAAGCCGAGGGGAGCGACTCTGTGACTGCCTCGCAATCCGTTGTAGCCAGTCGGCCAACATCTCGCTCTTCTTCGGTTGCGTCTGCCGCGCTTACTCGTGGACCGTCATCACCCACATCACCGACAGCTACCGGTACTCAGACGTATCCTCAGACTGACGATGTACCTCGCCTCATTGATGCACAAGAGGTCATGCATCACCACCATGGCCGTCGTGTACTACAAGTAGCTGCACGGATGCTAACTCTCGGTGGCCGCTCGACTTCGCAGTCGACAGAGCCCATGCAGCAGTCGAGAGCGGCGTCATCATCGCACTCACAATCTCGGGTCCCCTCTCCATCACCATCGCGTCCTCAGTCTCGCCCCCCGTCTCTGTCAGTTGTCGTGCCACCAACTCGTCCGACCTCGCCGACGCTCACACCTGCTTCGGCGTCGGACTCTGGAGCATCATCGATCCTACCACCAGAACCCGAAGCTGGACCATCAACGCCTCCACCCGTAGTGCAGAAGCCTGCCACGGCGACCCCTCCTCCGCCCCAGCCGGCAGTGTCTGGCAGACTCAAGATCGGAAATTCTCCTGTTACGAGGTCACGCTGCCGCTTCCACAAAATCAGCTTACCTCGCGAAGAGAATGGGCCGCGCATTTACTTCGTCGTTCCTGGCTGTTCCCTCAGCGACAAGGAACTGATGAAGGAGGAGGAGATTGTCGATCACGGAGTCCCTAGCTTCCCACAAGGCACCAAGTTGTTGGCAGACATCGATCACTTGAAACTGAACCCCTACATGCTGGGCGTGCTTCGCCAGCTTGTCGGCGTCGACCTCCTCCGGGAACAAGAGGTGTTCTACTTGCCCCAGGAAGGGGAGGAGTATGCGTGGAAACCCAAGCGTCAACACAAACACACCGTGTCCAAGGCAAAGTTATCCGCTCGCGGACGAAAGTCCATCGGAGCTCCTATTCAGTCTGCCCCTGACTCCAACGGGATCGCTGAAAGTATTTCTGCTGCGAGAGCGTACTCCCGCGCAGGCTCCGTCTCCACTGTCTCAAGTCGTCAGAGTCGGAGAGGTCGTGCATCAGGCAGAAGCAGCGTCGCCTATAGCGCTTCTGTCGCTGGTAGCGACCTCAGTGAACTGAGTGAAGACGAAGAGCCGCCCAGCAAACGGCGAAAGACGGAGTCCGGTTCATCGCCCCCGGCGGAAGTGGAGGGTGACAAGGAGGCATCTGCGTCTCAGGCTTCAGCGGTGGCACCTCGGAGGCTATCGAAGCGTTCAAAGCGACTCGGTAAAGATGCCTCCGCCTACAAGCCGGATCCTGAGGACGTTGTGGATGTCTCGGATGACGAGTCAGGGCCGAGTACGAAGCGCAAGAAGAGGGGCAAGCAGAGAGGCACCAAGCGTTCCAGGTCGGATGAGCCTACTGAGGAGACTGTCGTTGAGACGGCCCCGCCGAAACGGCGCAGAACACGGAAGAAGGCTATACAAGAAGCTAATGGTGAAGACAAGTAACTCGTTTGCTACAAAAGACTACCTTAATACCCGGGAGCTAGCTGATACGTGCTGCTACATTTGTGATACCTATACTGTACGAGGAATCTGTGCCGTCTGTATTATATCCTTTTCTCCTGCTCATCAAATTGGATTTTCACGCACCGTGATGCGCGTAGTTTGGATCAGTACACTTGCGAGACGCCCTCTGGTTCAAACATTCACCGTTTGTGTGGATTCAGAACTGGATTGTGCAGAAGTGCGTCATAAGACGCATCCTAACACCTATGGCATACCCCATCCCACTAAGTAGTTCCGTACATAGTAGACATGATCGCTAACATAACGTATCGAAGCATTAAGCAAGGTGTAATGGCAAATGCAGTAGAAATGGGAGTGTGCACGGACGTCGAGCCATTCACTTCCGTGCGTGTTTCCTCTTGGGCCGTTCTTCGACGTCCTCGTCCTCCTCGTCATCTTCCTTAAGCCGCTTTGCGGGCTTGCCCTTCGAAGTGGCTTTCTTTGCTGCCACCTCGGCTTTGCGGGCCTGTTCGTCGTTATCTTCCGCGGACTCGTCATCAGAGCCGAAGTCGTCCTTCGCTGCACTCTTCTTCGCTTTGGGTGCTGCTTTCTTCGACGTAGTGGCGCCGCTCGACTTGGTCTTCTCCTTGGGTGTTGGCTTTGCATCCTTGGATTCATCATCAGAGGCAAACGGATCGTCATCCTCAGCCTTTCTCTTCAGCTTGGGTTTTGACTTGGTCACGATCCCCGTCGTGGCTTTGGCAGTGACCGCCGTCTTGTCAGCATCATTGGTCTTAGCGGCACTGAGCTCTGCGAAGTATTCCTCCCGCAATTTCTGAGCGCACAAGGTCAGCGCCGGCGGATCGAGTGCGGGGTCTCCGCTTCATTGACACACCTTAATTTCCGGCTCTGGCATGAGCGCCGAGTTTTTCCAGACCTGGTGGACGGTCTCACATTGATTGGATCGGTTGCTATGCATGGGAAGACCACTCACAGTCGAAGGAATCCCACTGGGGTGCTTGCTATCAAGTCCTTGAATTCAGTCAGCCCACCTTTGAAACGCGTGCGAGCTGTACAAGACTCCTCCTACCTATCGCAGTATAGAGATTCGACTTGACGCCCATCAGGTTCATTCCATGTTTCCGAAGCAGAACTTTCATGATCTAAGAAGTACTCGTTAGAACGTTCCGAGGGAACAGGGTCGCGGCTAACCTCTGTGACGTCCTCCTTGTCATAGACGTTGGGAATGTAGAGGCACAGAACGTGCGAGTAGTTGGGGACTTCGTGCTTGGGGCATGTCGCAACCTTCGTGAGATGGGCACTCGTGGAAGCAAGCGGGCCCGAAATGAGAGAGTCTGGCGGAGCGGTGTGGGTCAGTGGGAATGCGTCCACGCCATCTCCAAGGCCGCGTACTAGCAATTGTCGACCACACAAGGTCGACCTTATCAGTTGGAGCGAAGATGAGCCTGTGCAAGTGTCGTGAGCATTGATGACATTATATATACGAGCGGAGACTACCATTTTCCAGAAACGAACCCATTTCGAATGGAGATCTCCTTCAGCTTTTCAGTGGCTTCGCTTTGAACCTGTGCATAGTGAGAACGGGCACAGCGCACACGCAGTCTACACACACCGATTCACGCAATTCCTTCTTGCTCTTTGTACCCTTCTTCTTATTGGCTCGAAGGGGTATGGAATCGTCGTTCTGCGCACATGGGCGTGTCAGTACGGCAAGTCATTGGAGATGTTCCGTTACCTTGATCTCTTCAACACGCGTCGTCACGTCCTCTACTGCTTCGTCTGAGTCGACGCATCAGTAAGGGCATCAGATCATTGCTCACAGAGTTCTGTCGCTTCCTCTACAGCGGCGACCATATCGGAGTCTTCCGCGTCTGCTGCGCATTTCCGTACCCACAACCACTGACAGGCGCGTGAAATTCAGCTTCAGAGCGCGCTGAGGAGCAAACGACTGTCTCTCTCACAGGTTTCGTCCCGTCATCCTGGACCATCGATGGCTTGTACTGGAGTGAGAGAACGCGTCAATGCAAGTGGGAACATCGAATTGGATACACGCGCTTTGGTGAGAAACTCGTCCAGCGGTAGCTGGGAGCTCGAAGACCAGGCATACGGGTATTCAGAGGGAACATCGTCGTCGTTGCTCATTATGACTCTTTCGCGAGGGTGTTTAATTGTGCGATTTCTGCGGATGATGTGGTTGGACAGGAACTTGAAGCGCGGACTCAGCCACAATGGCGTCGCGGACGCGTTACTTGTTGCCGTTTGCACGTTGTGGCAACTACTACAATATTGTGATTGATATTGGCCACACGGCCCAGCAATGTCGAGTGCAGAAGAGTACAGAGCTATCAAAACACCGCAAACTGACCAGCGATGACTCTTTTGTTGCATCAATGATGAATGTGGGGGCCACTGTGCGGCAGACTCCCTGAACCAGTGTGTCACTGTGGCCATCTCTCGCTTGCCACAGAACCGAGAAACCTTCAGGTAGCTGTGACCAAGCTGGTACAGACACGAAAGGATGTTATTCCTCGCTAACTTATCAGATAAGACGCAATCGAAGAGGAAGCAGACGACGTAGGCATTATGGCAGCGCACCCTGTTGGCTGTGCGTCTAGGCATCTCACGAAGGTGTGAACGCTCATCATGACGGTCTAATGATAGAGCCTCGCGGCGTAGAGGAAATACTCCCTACACGGCGCATCCCCGCGTCCTGTGACGAGGTGCGGCTTTTAGCCATATGGGTCGAAGACCGCTCAGAGCGGAGTAAAGGCTTGCAGCCGAATGCCTTGGCGGGTAGTATCTGGAACGGGACCTCGGCAGTTTGCGTCAAGCATTCGAGCACGTACCTGCTGTTCTCCCGTGGACACTCCTCCGCTGACGATCCCTTTGCCACGGCAGACATACATACTTCTCACGTGGCTGAACTGACCGACCGAGTGTAGAGTAGTTGATCACCAAGGACCCGAGCAGGCCTTGCGGCAAAATGGGTGGTATGATACGATACAAGCAGTCTGCAAGCATGACGAGAATAACCTGATACAATAGGTCAAATACGCAGAGACTGAAGATGAAGATAGCGACGTACGAAAGATATGGCTACAACGAAGACCAGATTTTCAGCTGGGCCAGCGACTCGCCAGAGCCATAGCCGCCCCAGATGATTCATGCTGGCGCGCCCTGGTCAGGCAGCCGCTCTATTGCATATCGTCTCCGGACGATGTACATGAGCGGCACACCAGGAATCTGTCTGATACGCCGACGGAGCTCCCGATCGCACGTTGCGACGATGTAGCACCGGTGCGATGTCACTCGCTGTACGAGGCAATCGTCGGCATATGTTCCAGAGTGCGAGCATGTCAAACGTTCGAAGCGCGGGTCTCGGGCAACCCTGCACGTTTGAAACGGTATGTCAGCCTGAGCGGTTGATCGAGGAAGCGTGGACGTACCTCAGGGCGACCCGGTATCGGTGCCCCAGCTTCTCGAGCTCAGCCATCACACAGTCCGTCACACAGGGTATGCCTGGGGATCAGAGATTGGATGAGCGTAGACTAGTTTATGACATACACGGAAGCACTCACACTTGGCGTACAGACAGTCCATCATGCCACTAACCAGCTCCAGCTTGTTTTGCAAACTGAAGTTAATAAAGTTCGTATCGATAAGGACCCGATACGGGGGAACAAGGGCAGCATTGTGTTGCAAGAAGAGCGAAGATGCGACCTGCGGTCTGGTATGCGTTACTAAGTGCCAGGGCCGAAGCGGTATCTCGAACTCACATTCGTCGGACAGCCTTCTCCTTCTCGACCTCCTCCTTCTTCTTTTGCTTCAATTGATTCTCTTTTCTGCATTCATTCTTTGTCAGCTATGTAGAAGAAAGCTGCCATAGGGGACTGACAGCCTGATATCGTTGGGATTCAGCATCCGCTTGACTGCGGCGAATTTTCTCGTCTTCTGAGCTTTTCCCTGCGATCAGCTAAGTAAGACGTAGTGTAAGAAAATACTCATCGCACACTCACCATCCTGTATGAAGTTGCGCGAAAAACAGGTTCGTGAATGGGATGAACACTGAGCAGACTGAGAGAGACGGTAGCTGATGCCGCCCGACAAATTATCGTGGGAATATAACCTTTCATGGACATTCAACGCTCGTCCATCAACTTTGCGTCGCGTCTAACTTGCGTCTTGCATGTCTTTTCGCGCCTGTTACGCCACGCCGCAATCACTTGTCCGCGCTCACTCCGCCTTCTGGACCTGTATTGCCGCCAACCAACCGCCACCATCTGAAAACCTGCTCAAGAAAGGCGGACTGGCTTCGATTAGAATTCGCCCTGCGCGGTTCAATTACGCCACACCCTATGTCTAATAACTCGGACAATCTGCATCATTGGCTTTCTATGAAGCATCCGATGAGGTATCGGACACCATTATTCCGCCGGCTGTAGCCTCGTAGCGCATTATCATCGTCTGTTGGTCTAATCCTTATGGCTCTATCGTCTACTACAGCGTTTACGACGACTTCCATCCGCCCTCGCTCCCCTGCCGGTGCAGATAACAAAAGTGGAGTCTGCACCTACCCCCCTGCCGTTGATATTGAACAGAACCCCAATACATTGCGACGCTAAAGAGCTCCCCAAGACCGCCCCGCTAGGTCGGATTGAAGAAACCCCGATTATGACATCCGCAAGATGCCCTGGCATGCCCGCGCTGCTTCTGGTTTCATCGGCCGAGCGTCGTCAATTATGCGGAACGAACACAAGGTAGCTTCTTGCCTCAATAGACGGGCGATCCGCCTGCATCTAGATGCCTCGCATGTAGATTCTACGTCACCACCACCCGTGACCACTACACGCCATGCAATGCTGGACCGGCTGGCTCGAATCTTCCGCGCGGGAGCGTATGAACGTTAACCAGCTGGACAGGTCTTGGGCGTCCCGTGAGTCACAGGAAATTCCCCTCGCGGTCTCAACGCTGTCTTGTCCTCGCTTGCTTGGAGCTCTCTGTCATGCGCTCTAGGCTACGACTGGAGCGGCCTGTCAAGCCCATGCTAGGCTTGGGATCCCTCTGGAGTTGTGGGGAGGATAACTCGGGTCCTCACCTGGAAGTCCGTTCCTAATGTCCCTCGCATGCCGGTTTATGCTTCAGGAAGTGCATCGATGTAGCCCTATTGCGCCTTATGTGCTGTGCTGCGCGATTGATCTGCATTGATGGTCCAGGTGCGTCCAAATATCAGTACGGCCTGACGGAATGAGACGGTGTTAAACGGGTGGGAGCGCGTCCCCCTCGGTAATCTACGCTCGAACTCACGGTCGACTGTCTATGTGCACACCTCTGTTTTCCCTCAGTCCGAAGGGATGCTGTATGTTTTCTTCAGCCGCTGATCTTCGTCCTCCCATGCAGACACTAGAGAAGGCACCGGCCGGATCTTGACACCAATTTGGACACGCTACCATCCACGAGATAGAACACCTTCGAATCGACGTATCCTGGACGTGTCTATGCCGACGGCCCCTGGTCCATCCTTGCCATCAGACCGGAAGCCTCCACTATTGGCTGACGTAGTTTGGGCGTAGTGTGGAAACATTCGCATCTCGGAGCTGAGAGGCCCTCGCAGTCGGAGTGGTGATCGGACTGAGCGGAACCGCATGTGTCTCCTGCAAAGGGATGGGACAGCCTATTTATCGTTGGACATAGCCCAACGAGTCAAAAATGCAAACTCGAGCCTATGCAAAGCGGTGATTAGAAGTTGCTAAGACCAGCGCCTCGTGATAGAGAACATCAGAGGTGAGCGCATACTCCTCCATTTGGCACTGGCACTGATGTATACTTATCGCTACGCACACGGCTCGGCAGCTATGGGTCGGTTTCGTGGGATTTAGAGACAAGAAAGGCTGTCCGTTCACGATGCGGTCGACGCACTGGTCGATGAATGCACGGTCTATGGCTACCACCAGTTTGGTACCTGTGACCTTCGTCAACACGGGAAGTCTGTCAAGAGCAAGACGTGGCATCTCTTGCAGCGCTTCTACCTTGGGAACAGTTGGAGTCACACGTACGATTGGTTTGCACGACTGGCAGCTTAACCAATTCCACGAATGCGAGAATGTCTATGAGCGCTGTAAGTGATGAATTGTGATATCAGGGCCCCTCATTCTCAGCAATGGTCAGGTTTTTGAAGTCCGTACCGCCTGTCCAGCGAATGCCTGCGATCAGAATCAAGCGGCGCGCAAAACGTTCCGACGTGCTGAGTTGTTTGACAGACGTCCACATCTGGCTATGCCCCCACTACATCACGGCACGACCAACAATCCCGGCCGGTCAATGCTTCGTGCCGCCACAGAACACATTCGCGACCAAAGCATTGATTGTGCGTGCTATATAGGAATCGCTGCATTTCGTACATTTATTCTGACGATTCCCAGGGTCGTGGCGGTAGGTAATCTGAGATGCGAGAGGAACGGCGAACTCTATAGGGGCCTTTCGTGCAGCCGCTTCGAAATGGCAGACCGTTCTTCTGACCGCTTCAGCGGCCCAGAACGAGAAGCTCTTCCGCGCTCCCGGTGCATCATCGTCGGTGCAACGCAGGCGATCCATTTTCTGGTTGGCTGCTCGGCCGGATCTAGGACGGAGCGACAATATGGTAATGCACAAGCCAGCGGCTATCGCAGTTCCAATTTGGTCGGTGACCAACTTTGACGGTCAGTGCACACATTGTCCCTGTCCGCCTCCTGTATATAAACCCGCACTTAGGTTGCAATGTCAGCCAACAATCGCGCCCCTCATCCCCTTCAATTACCACTACTTCTCACAGACTCCTATAGTCTCCACTATGCCCATTAGCCTCACCACGTCCGCCAGCAACGGTCTCACCGCTAGCTCGAAGACCAATGGAAAGACCTACAACAACGGCAATGGTGTGGCGAAGAATGGCCATGTCGAGCTCGCCCAGCATGCGTCTGGTTCCGGTCTACTGAGCCAGTTCATCATCTCCTACCAGGAGCTGCAAGCGTACAAGTATGTTTCGCCACAATTACGTCGTTGACCATGGAACTCACATGTTGGTCGTACAGGAGCGGGAAGGCCGTCATCGTGGATGGAAAGACGCTATCCATCCCTGCTGTTACCGCGGCGGCTCGTTACGGCGCCGCCGTGGCGCTCGACGAGAACGACGAGCTGAAGGAGCAAGTCGCGAAAAGCCGTGCCGTTATCGTTGGCAAGGTGAACGCTGAGACCAGTGTTTACGGAGTAAGCACGGGCTTCGGTGGAAGTGGTATGTCACTATCCAGCGCGCTTCATAACACCAACTTGACGTCTAACCTCAAATTGTGAATGACAGCCGACACGCGTACGAACGACCCGATCATGCTCGGCCACGCATTGCTTCAGCATCAGCACACCGGTGTGCTGCCGTCGCAAATGGATAGTCCTACGTCAGCTCTCCCGCTGTTGGATCCTCTCGCATCAACTAGCATGCCTGAGGCGTGGGTGCGGGGCGCGATCCTTATTCGCATGAATTCCCTTATTCGCGGCCACTCCGGTGTGCGGTGGGAACTCATCGAGAAGATGGGCTCGCTACTGAAGGAGAACGTCACGCCCTTGGTTCCCATGCGTGGCAGCATCTCTGCGTCAGGAGGTGAGTAGCGATCTACAGCCGCTCAATTCCCATCAGCGCCTCCATGTCTTCGACTTCGAGGCGCTATCGGGATTGAATGAGTGGCTCAGATGCAATCCTGCACGATCGTGCCACTGTACGCTGACGCCGTCCCATCTAGATCTGTCGCCTCTGTCCTACATCGCCGGTACGCTGATTGGCAACCCCTCCATCCGTGTATTCGACGGACCCGCCAAGTTCGGACATCGCCAGATCGTGTCTTCCATTCAGGCTCTCGCGGCCCATGGCATCGAGCCCATCCCGCTCGCGTCCAAGGAACACCTTGGCATCCTCAACGGCACCGCATTCTCGGCATCCGTCGCAGCTCTGGCGCTCAACGATGCCGTCCATCTCGCCATGCTTGCCCACGTCTGCACGGCTATGGGCACCGAAGCTCTGCTCGGAACACAGGGGTCCTTCGAACCATTCATTCACGACGTGGCTCGCCCGCACCCTGGCCAGGTCGAGTCGGCTGCGCACATCAGGCATCTGCTCGCAGGCACGCAGTTTGCTGTGACAAAGGAAGAAGAGCGGAACATCAAGGACGATGCCGGCGAGCTCCGCCAGGATCGTTATCCCCTCCGGACGGCGGCCCAGTTCCTCGGCCCCCAGATTGAGGACCTCCTCCACGCGCTCGCCCAGATCCAGCTTGAGTGCAACACCAGTAAGTGACGTTTAGCGGTGTAATCAGCACGATGCTGACCGCATCACTAGCGACGGACAACCCGCTCATCGAGGCGGAGACGGACACCGTGCATCATGGTGGCAACTTCCAGGCTATGGCTGTCACGAACGCCATGGAGAAGACACGCCTCGCTCTCCACCACATCGGCAAGCTGCTGTTCTCGCAGTGCACCGAGCTCCTCAACCCGACTATGAACCGCGGTCTCCCGCCCAGCGTCGCTGCGACCGACCCGTCGCTCAACTACCATGCTAAGGGCATCGACATCCACCTCGCGGCGTACACCGGCGAGCTTGGTTACCTCGCGAACCCCGTCTCGACCCACATCCAATCAGCAGAGATGCACAACCAGGCTGTGAAGTAGGTCCTCAACGATCTATTCGACACCACCATAACTGACATACTCTGCCTCCAGTTCCTTGGCGCTGATCAGCGGCCGTGCGACCATCAACTCGCTCGAGGTCCTGTCGTTGCTCACCGCGAGCTACCTTTACGTGCTCTGCCAGGCGCTCGACCTCCGTGCGCTGCAGCACGAGTTCCAGCAGGGCATGCAGAAGATCGTCGAGGAGCAGCTCTCCGCCTTCTTCGGCAGTTCGCTCTCCTCGTCGCACCTCCAGACGGTCTTCGGCCTCATCTGGCCTGCGATCGGCCACGCTCTCGAGGGGACCACCACCATGGACGCCGTCCCGCGCATGCAGAAAGTCGCGTCGGCGTGCAGTACGCCCATCGTCGACTTCTGCATCGCGAACGGCGCCGCGGCGGCCCTAAGCCAGCTGACGGTGTTCCGCGACGCCGTGGCAGAGCGCAGCGCGGCGCTGCTCGTCGACCTCCGCAACGCATACCTCAGCGGCGAGCGCGGCGCGGCGCCCGCCGCTCAGTACCTGGGCAAGACGCGCGGGGTGTACGAGTTCATCCGCGTCGCGCTCGGCGTCCGCATGCACGGGAAGGAGAACTTGGAGGGCTTCGCGAACGGCCCTGGCGTCACGGACGCGACCTTGGGCCAGAACATCTCGCTCATCTACGAGTCTATCCGCGATGGCAAGATGCAGGGCGTCGTTGTTGAGCTGTTCCAATAGAGGATGCAATGGACGGTCATGGATAGAGGTGCGGGCGGTAGGTGTATCCAGATATTTATCACGAGATAATACGCGTCTTTGTATAGAGTAGTCTTAGTCTTGGATGTATCATTAGACAATACCAGAGCGTTATACGATGCTTTTCTCATGACCGTATTGCACGCAACGAATTGGATCGCGCTACTCGACCGCCCTTCCCCGCTCAACAAGGTCGTATTTATGGTCTGCCTAAGTACCGGAAACTACCTACTGGCCTATTGTCAACAGTGTGAGTGTCGAGCCTGACCAAGAAGACACGGTACAATACTACAACAGTTAAAACTATGCAGAACTCGAGCGCGTCAGATATGGTGAATGTTCCGTCCCGCAACATGCCATGGACTCGTTCAAAACAACCTTCTGTCCACCCGTCTTCACCCAGGTCCATACACTCCTGTCCGGATTCCTGTGATCAGATTCCCATTCTGGGATCCCTTGCAACGAAAGTAGCCTATCCTCTTGCTTCGTAGGGCTAGACTTGGCGGATTCTAACGGAGGAAGACATCGGGAGGGCATGCCAGTAATGCGTGCCACTGGCATGCGCCGCACGTTGTTCGTTGGCCTTTCCCCCCTCTTGTGCTGGCCCGGCGTAAGGCTCTGCCACTACCCCGAGCATTGTGCACTGTCCACCCTTCCACGCCTGGCAGGCGCCGTCGAAGGAGGATTTGTTCTACTGCCAGTCCAAGTTGAGACTGCTGCCATTCAAAGCCTCTGCCAATAACCTGATCTTCATCCCGGCCCGGTCACGCCCGGGTAACGGTCTGTCGACGGTTGCTCGACGGTCTCTTCAGTTGCTCGACCATCTCCGAAAGACTCAGACAGCTCTCGAACCCGACTAGGATTCAAATATTCACGGCCAGTGTAGGCCTCATTGACGACTATCGACTGGGACATTGAAAGACCATGTCATCATTCATGTTGTTCTTTCACTGGGATTCGCCTGTTTAGACCGCCGGCGAGAACTTGCTTCTATGACCTATCGCTATCCCGATGGGGTAGGTCGAAGTTATCTATTCCCCGAGAGTAAGCTCAGCAATGACTCGAAACACGATGGCACAGATATCTGCTAGTAGTGTTGAGGGGCATCTCCCTTCCTTCCACCTCCATCGTGTTGGGCCGAAGATGGCTATCCAGCCCGAGAGTGGCATAGTGATTGTAGGCGCGGGGTGCTTTGGTCTCTCCACGGCATACCACCTCTTGAGGCGAGGATATACCAAGATAACGGTCCTTGACCGCTCGCCAGTGCTCCCGGCACCGGAAGCCGCGAGTACAGACATCAACAAGAGTACGTCTCGGGAATGTTGTTTCCAACCTGCGTTTTGCTCACGCCGAGCGTCACGTCGCTTTCAGTCGTACGCAGTTGCTACGCAGACATCTTCTACTCCAAGCTCGCCCGCGATGCTATCGCGAAATGGAAAAATGCCACCGAGTGGGCAGACTGCTACCGCGAGTCGGGCGTCCTCGTCCTACTCACCGGCGAAGGGTCATACGGAGACCTCGCTCTTGTGAATGACCGTGCCCTCGGTGCACGCACTGTCCTACTTCCAGCCGGCTCCACGAATACTGTGCCGTCGGACCCGTCTTCACCTGCCTTGCCGCCTGTTGTGCAGAATCTGCTCCAGGACAAGTCGGGATATATCAATGAAGACAGCGGTTGGGTGCACTCCTCACGCGCGGTGGAGCTGCTCATCGACAAGGTCAAGAGTCTGGGCGGAAACATACTTCCGGGAAAGGCGGTAGCGCACCTCATCAAGGATCCCCATGGGAAGACGAACGGCGTTAAGTGCGCGGACGAGAGCGAGTACAAGGCGGACTGTGTGGTCCTAGCGGCTGGAGCGTGGACCGCCTCTGCTTTCCCGGAGTTGGACCTTGAAGAGACATGCGTGGCTACTGCGTATGCACAAGATCGATCTCGAGCCATGGACGCGTGCTGACCGAATGACAGGCAAGTTGTGGGCAAGATTCAACTAACGCCAGAAGAGGCACAAGCCTACCGCGCGAACCCGGTCTACCTCGACCTGGACAGCGGGTTCTATATGTTCCCAGTACGTCCTCACTCGGCCGTCAAAGGCTCCTCTATTTCTGACCGCTCTTCTTCCTAGCCAAACGACCAAGACGTCGTCAAATGCGCTGTCCACGCCGCCGGCTTCACCTACCGACCCACATCCACCTCCGCCTCCACGCCCATCTTCCTCAAGCCCCCGAACGAGAAGGACACCAGCCACGGACACTTCGAGACCGCCGTCCCCAAAGCAGCTCTGCAAGAGCTGCGGGCAGGCCTGGCAAATACGTTCCCCGCACTTGCAGACAAGCCGTGGGCAGGGGCGCGGATGTGCTGGTACACGGACTCTGCGGACGAGGACTGGGTCATCGGCTTCCATCCGCGGGACCCAGGTGTCATGTTGGCCACTGCTGGCAGCGGGCACGCACTCAAGGTATGTTCCCCTCCTCGCGTTTACGGCCAAGAGCTCGCTCTGACCCGTGATTGGGACCAGTTTCTTCCTAACATTGGAAGTCTGGTGGCGGACGCGATGGAGGGCAAGATGGACGCGGAGCTAGTGAGAAAGTTCGCCCTGGATCGCGCCAAGAACGACGTCCCCGTGAGCAGACCAGGCAAGGAACAGAGCGAGCTAGACCTCAGTGATATCGTCAGCAGCGAATGAGCTTGCGCTGGACGAATATGCAGCAGCGGAGAAACAGATTGCAGCGTGTAAAGTACAGAGCAGAATATTACAGATACAGCTCTACCGGGTGGTACTTTTGGTACTACGGAGATGGTCTAAGGTGCTTTTGAGTGTCAAGAACTACTGTCTAGGATTGCCAAATGTTCGTCAGATCATGCGCGCTTGCCAACAAACTCGCGCCAGCTCCGGACCTCGGACGGTATCCGCCCCTCGGTGTACTTCTTCAACCCGCCCTGGGGTATCTTCTTTTCGAGTGCCTCGACGAACAGCTGCGCGCACCGCGCGTTGTTGAGCAGCGGCAGGCCGAAGTCGACAGCGTTTCTGACAACAACACATGATGAGAATCATTTTGGGACTCGCTGTGATGTCTGTACTCACCGCCTAGCGACGTAATCCTCATCCGTGGCGTCCTTTCCTCGGGACTTCGCGAGGTTAATGACACACTCAATGTCGTACTCGTCGAACACCTCCCGCAGCAACCTCTTGTCCTTCGTCGGGAAGAATATCCGCTGTGCCTTCACGTACTGGAGCGAGTTAAGGAACTCTTCGACAACCGGGGACGAGCAATAGAGCTTGAAGCCGAGGTTGATAAGGGTCTTCGCAATGCTGGCCATCTCGGGCGTGTTAATGTCGCCACCGATCAGCACGCCGGTGTTCGGGCGCGGGACCTTGAAGCCTGTGGTGCTGAGTAGCGAAGCCCAGTAAGCCTCCTGGATATCCTTGCCGAACGCCGCAACCTCGCCGGTGCTAGCCATCTCTGCGCGAGAATATCAGGCTGGTCCACTGGCAACAGAATAATCAATACTTACCGACTCCGAGGAACGGATCTGCACCAGCCAACCGGGTCCACGAGAACTGAGAGACCTTCACGGCTGTGTAGTCACGTTTTTCCACCATCGCGTCGACAGGCGCAGGCACGTCTTGTCCGACAATGGCAGCGGTCGCAAAGTCGATGAAGTTGTGGCCGAGAACCTTCGACACGAAGGGGAACGAGCGCGAAGCACGGAGGTTGCATTCGATGACCTTCAGCTGGGGCTCCTCGCCGGGCGAATCCACGGGCTTGCGGATGACCTGCATGTTGAATGGGCCGCTGATCTCGAAGGCCGCAGCGACCTTCTCGGCGATCTGCTTCAGGCGCGTCATGTCCGACTCGGTGAGGGAGAAGGGCGGGAGGACGAGGGTGGCGTCGCCGGAGTGGACACCGGCGTTCTCGACGTGCTCGGAGATGGCGTGCAAGAGAAGCTTGCCCTTGTGGGCGACCGCGTCGACGTCGATCTCTTGCGCGTTGTCGATGAATTTGGAGATGACGACGGGGTGCAGGGGTGAGACGGAGGCAGCAGCAGAAAGGTTGTACTCCAAGGTAGCCTCCTCGTACACGACATTCATAGCAGCACCGGACAAGACGTATGAGGGCCTAATCAGAACAGGGTAGCTATCAAACTCGTTAGCATCATTTTGTATCGAGGTTTGTGTTGAGAGCCCGGTACTTACCCAACATTCTGCGCAAACGCCTTAGCAGCGTCGACGGAAGAGACCTCCGTCCATTCCGGTTGGTCGACGCCAATGCTATCAAGGATCGACGAGAACTTGTGACGATCCTCCGCATTGTCGATCATCTGGGGATCGGTACCGAGGACATTCACTTGATTCTGCTTCAGCCGAAGGGCGATGTTCTGGGGCAATTGTCCTACAAAGACGATATCAGCCTCTACACTATCTGTGATGTTGCAGGGACTTACCACCGACGCTAACAATGACGCCGTGAGCTTGCTCCAGCTCGTATATATCCATAACCCGCTCGTAGCCGAGCTCCTCAAAGTAAAGACGATCAGCCTCGTCGAAATCAGTGGACACTGTCTCTGGGTTGTAGTTGACCATGATTGTCCTGTTACCCATCTCACGGAGCTTGCGAGCGCAGGTAACCGCACACCAGTCGAACTCGACACTACTGCCGATACGGTAGACGCCCGAACCGAGGACCATTGTGCCGTGCTCGTTGAAGTCGACGTCATGCTCCGACGCGTTGTATGTAGTGTAGAGGTAGTTCGTGTGCGCGGGATATTCGGCGGCCAGAGTGTCGATACGCTTGACGAAGGGTGTGATACCGAAGGACTTGCGCTGTGCACGGACAGTGTCTTCCTTAGACGAGACGAGGTCAGCGATGTGCGCGTCGGAGAAGCCCTGGCGCTTAGCGCGCTCCATGAGCTCGGTGTCGACGTTCTCGAGCGAACCGGCTTGCTTGAGGGCGTAGACCGTCTGAACAATGTTGTCGATCTTGTACAGGAACCACTGAAAAACGGAACCTGTCAGTGGCTGAACACTCCCATTTGAAGGCCACAACTCGCCTTGTCGATTTTGGTCAACTCATGGATCTTATCGACGTCATATTGCTTGTTGAATATCGCATAGGCGATGGCGAACAGGCGCATATCCGTCGGCTCCGACAACGCCCGGTCCAAGTCTTCCGGCTGAATATACGCTTCGAATCCCTTCCAGCGCGGGTCCACCTGCCGAATAGCCTTCTGCAGGCTCTCCTCGAACGTGCGCCCGATCGCCATGACCTCTCCAACGGACTTCATGGCCGAGCCGACCTCACGGTTCACCTGTGACGAGAACTTGGCTAGGTCCCACTTCGGGATCTTCGTCACAATGTAGTCCAGCGAAGGCTCGAAGCACGCCGTGGTCGTCTTCGTCACTGCGTTAGGCAGCTCCGGGAGCGTATGGCCGAGTGCGATCTTCGCAGCCGTGTACGCGAGCGGGTAGCCAGTTGCTTTTGATGCGAGAGCACTGGACCGACTCAACCGCGCGTTGACCTCGATGACGCAGTACTCCCTGGACGTCGGGTTGAGCGCATACTGAATGTTACACTCGCCGATCACACCAAGATGACGGATGACCTTGAGCGCAGCCGACCGCAACATGTGGTACTCGTCGTCCGGGAGCGTTTGCGAGGGCGCGACGACGATCGAGTCACCGGTGTGCGTACCGAGAGGGTCGAAATTCTCCATGTTGCAGCAAATGATCGTGTTCTGAGTCGACCATCAGCAAGATCTAGGGACTGAAGCGAATCGAATACTGACATCTGCAGCATCGCGAACGACCTCGTACTCAAGCTCCTTCCAGCCCTTCATGCTCCGCTCAATCAGCACCTGAGGGCTCAGGCTGAGACTCTTGGCCGAGAGATCGCGCAGTTCGTCCGGGGTGTTCGCAAAACCAGACCCAAGTCCACCGAGTGTGAAGGCAGATCGAAGAATAACCGGGTAGCCGATTTTGTCGGCGGCAGCGAGCGCGTCATTGACCGAAGAGACGGCGGTAGACTGGGCGACCGGAATGTCGATTTCTATGATAATGATAATGAGACATCAGCATTGCCGTCTAAGACTGCGATTGGGACCATTATGTTGGACGTTCCACACAAAGCACAGTGCTCGCGTGCTGACAACCGCTATAGTGATCGCCGCACGGCTCGCTTGGGCGGGATTAGGCATTACAACGAAGTAAAAAATGGTTGTAGAACTGCTTCAGTAACACATATTCACACCCAGGACGCAACATCGTGCTTCAAGGACACGCTGAGAGCGATTGCCACGGAGGACAGAACACTCATGTGTCCGACTAAAGCGACAACGCCCGATGCAATGCCTGTCGCCCTTCGCGGCATCGCGCTCCAACAAACAACCGTCACTCCACGACGCGGTATTGTATGTGCCCAGCAAAGCGATGATCCGCAGGGCATAATTGAAGGGCTTCGCGCATACGCTCCTGTCTCGATCACGTGACCGAGAAAATGTCCCAAAGCTACTTCCGACCTTTTGAGACGAGGTGTGTGCCGGCGCGAAGGAGAGTTGCGATGAGGATAGTGAAGATGTACGTACCCTTTAATGCCTGAACGAAAAGATTACGATCCTCCGACACTTCCAACGTCCGTATGGGGGTACCGAGCACTTGCACACCGAGCCGTTCGAGGACACCCATCCGGTCGAGCTCGATGCCGACGTTCAGAGCACTCTGACCGCCGAAGGTCAAGAGGATGCCGTCCGGGCGTTCCTTTTCCAAGACGTATGCCACGTAGTCCGGGGTGATGGGCAAGAAGTAGACCTCCGACGCCAATTGGTGCGACGTCTGCCATGTAGCGATGTTCGGGTTGATGAGGACGGCGTCGACGCCCTCCTCGCGAAGAGCCTTCAACGCCTGACTACCAGAGTAGTCGAACTCGCCCGCCTGGCCAATGCTGAGACCTCCACTGCCGACGATGAGGACCTTGCGCACGTCCGGGCGCGGTATTTGGGGGAGAACCTTCGCGGAAATTTTGCGAGCGAGTTCGGACGGTGAGTTCAAGACGTGGTCACCTTCCTTCTTGCCATACGAACCGACGGCCGCCTGTGCGACTGCACGAACAGGCTTGGTAGGAGCTGCATATCGCGGTCGAGAGACGTGGTACTGCCGAACGAGCTGTGTACTCCGCGCCTCCTGGAAAATTCGTTTAAGGCCTGGTTGAAGTCGTAGGAGTCCCATCCTACGATGGAGGACCGCCCCGACGCGAATCGACGCAAACAAGAGGAAGGTTGGAAGAGGAAGGTTGGAGGAGAGTGACTCCGTTCTGAATCTGAGACTCCCAATGAATTTGACTTTTTGGGCCTATAACCAAATCTAGACTAAGTAAAACTATTATTTTCTCTCGCAAACCCAATAGGGTGAGATAACGTCAGATCCAACATCACCCACAATTCTTGCCCTCGTCGTCCACCACGACACCCTCCTGCCTCCTTTTACGACCAGCTGCGGACGAACACAGCCCAGATATCTCGTCTCAGACCTTGACTTGCGAGAACACCAACTTCTCAGACTGGAATATTGACGATGGCTTTCGGTTTGACTATCGGGACGGAGCGGGCGACGGCCTTGCAGGTTCGCCCATAGCTTTCATCGCATATCGTGTCTAGTAGCTCACATCTTGCTTAGACATCAATCCAAGATGAACTCACGAAGAGGGGTTACAGTACGGAGGCTGGTATGTGGTCATGCGCGTGCAGGCTTTCGGGTTTTGACGGTGGTTGCAGACCCAGTCATGGCTGAATACATCACAATTATGATCATCAATAACAAGACGAAAGGTTCGTTCAGATGTTGAGAGCGAAACAAGGGAGATTGACACGGTCTTGGATGCTAGAGCAAATATCTTCGGAGCTGGAAGATCGTGAGTTGTCTGACTATCGTCCTTCATGTCGTTCTGTACTGACAAGCTTGAACAGTGATTGGAACAGAGTTTGGTGAGTATCCATGTAGTATCTCAGAATTGAAGTTCATTGTTTGTGCAGATCCTACTTTCGTCGATTGGCTTTTCGAAGAAGCCGCCAAAGGCGCGCCTGATGCAGCACCCCCCGCTCCCGAAGCCTCGACATCCACTCAGCGCCGCGAATCTCCCCCACACTTGGCAGAGACAGTACGAAAACCGCCAAGCGGTCCTCGCGCTGGCGCACCGCTCTACCAGCAAGCCATCTCACAGGCCATTCCTTCCACCTCCCCAACCGCACAGAAGCGCTTAGCGTCCGCGCGCTCACCTTCACCCACCGGCCATGCCAACAAATCCCGACGTATGGACGGGCCTCCAACTGGCCCACGCGCGATGCAGCACGGAGGTGGTGGCCCGCGGAGTCTGCTCGACCGCATGGGCCCCTCACGCAACGGTCACGCACCATTTGCGCAAGATGACATCCAAGCGCGGATAGACAATATCACCAACGGCTCGCCGGACGCGAACATGATGATGATGGGTGGCGGCTTCCCGATGGGCGGCATGGGCGGCCTGGATATGGCGATGGGGAACCCGGTGATGCTGCAGGAGATGATGATGAACCAGATGGCGCTCATGACGCAGATGGCGGGGGCTATGGGCATGATAAACGGTGGCTTTCCGATGCAGCAAGGCATGGGTGGGGACATGGGGATGTTCAACGGGGGCATGAACGGGGTGCAGGGGCAACAGGCGGGTGGGATGGACAATGGCAGGGGGAGAGGGCGGGGGAGAGGCGGTCCTCGTGGTGCCGGCCGTGGCAGAGGAGGTCAACCCAGTCACAACGCTCCTATGCACGCCGCAAACGGAGCGCCGAATGGTGCCCAGCAAGCACCGTTGACACCTAGTGCTCCCGCACCTGCCGTAGTCGCGCCAACACCTGTCCAGGTCGCACCTCCTCTAGCGATTACGCCCTCGACAAGCGGATCTGCACAGAGCCACTCGGCATTTGTACCCCCTGAGCGACCACAATCACCGACGCTCTGCAAGTTCGGTCTGAAATGCACGAACGCGCTCTGTCGATACTCCCACCCATCCCCTGTGGCCACGCCAGAGAGTGGTGTGGTCCTGAGCAACGAAGCCTGCGTAAATGGCAAGAACTGCAAGGACAAGGACTGTATCAAGGCCCACGTCAGCCCTGCTGTGCTGAACCCTAATGGTACGTGCTTCGTCTTCTCGTTCATGAATGCACAATTAAATCACTTTCAACAGCAGAACAACTCAAACCCAGCACGTATTCGTCTCCCGCACCTCCGGTGACCCACTCGCACCCACAATCCCCGACGCTCTGCCGATATGGCGCTGCATGCACGCGGCCCAACTGTACCTTCGCCCATCCTTCCCGTGCACCGAGTAACGCTGCCTCCATACCCTGCAAGTTCGGCACGGCATGCACACGGGCGAACTGCCCATTCCAGCACCCTGAAGGCCGCGTGCTTCCGACGTCGTTCCACCGCGGGCTTTCGGCGACCGGCCCAATAGAGACCATCCCTGCGCCACAGACGGGCACCATGGGCGCGTCCAGCCATCACAAGAGCATGACGTTCAACAAGAGCCAGAGTGCCGCGGAGCTGGAGAAGAAAGTCAAGGAGATGGAGGAGAAGAAAACCGAGGCGGAAAAGGCTGTCGCGCAAGCCAAGGCTGCGGCTGCTGGCAAGAAGGACGGTGCGACGGGCTCCGTGGCAATCAGCGCATGAACGACATTCGTGGTTGTGAACAGTCGCAATCTCGCGACTCGTTGATACGACTTATTCGAACGAACAGTAGATATCTGTATGATATGTCTCGCTAACTAGCATGTGCTTTGCAACTTCCTCGCGGTGAAATGTCTTGTCTAATTAGCTCCAAGTAGCTGTAGTAGGGTGCTGGTGGAATACAGTCACAGACGTCTTGGTGGTCATCAATGTATGACCACCGCCCACCCTCCATGTGTGTTGTGTTTGATCAGGTTCTGACGAGCTCTACCTCAACGAATGAAGACGGTGTTGCGCCGACGTGAGTAATACATTCCTCAATATTGTCATGGCCCGAGCTCATTGACATGCATACTGGGTGATCCTGTTTTCAACAGGCGACATATAGCTTTGCCCTCTGACAGACTTGGACATTGACAATTTCCTCGACCCTCCTTTCTCGGAGCCGGTACCCCATTCTCTGACGTCGCATCGCAACTCCTTCCTGAGGATCAACGCTATCTTCGAAAAAACATCAGCCTAAATTGCACTGGCCGTAGTCTCCCGTGGGCAGAGTAGACAATTTCTTCAACCTCCGCTGGCTCCGGATAGTAGTGTCAGTTTCGGCCGAGCCCGCGAGGCCGGAACGAGCGTCCAGCCGAGCGAGCGGCGAGCGCTTCCGCCGCCGTCAATTTTCCTTGCGACCTCCACCGTCTCGTGTCGGTCACCGTCGTCGTTGGCGCGCTCGACGCTCGCCTCTCGTTTCACCCGCCCACCCGCCCGCAGTCCGTTGTTCAATTGGTAGCCACTTATGTCGTTTGATAGCATTACTAAAATATGTGTCCTATTCTACCGAGTTTGCGTCAATGCTATTTATCCTGTGTGTATCCGTGGGTCCACGCAAAGTTCATCGCAGACGATCAGCAGTGTGTGCACAAATCGCGCCGCGCAGAGCCCGCCCACCCGGCGGCTCCGCGTGCCGCGTGCGACCCGGGCTTCGCCCGGTCCCCCCCAACCTCTCAGTGCATCACTCTCTGGCCGTTTGCCCTACCCCAGCAGCGAAGACGAGGCTGGATCCTTGTTATGTAACACTGGCCGCCTTCATTCGAAGGCGCTAAGTGGTCCCCGCTACTACTTAGCACAGTCTGATAGGGCGTCGTGATGACCCCGACGGTGCTGTTCGGGCCTCAGCCGATCTGCAGACGAAGTCCACTTTAACTTTGCCAAGGCCGCCTCTGGAGTCTGTACATGTGGGGTCGGAATGCAATAACATTAATATTGACCACAGTACACAGCCGTTTGATACTACGTTGCCTCTTTTTCAATTCACAATGTTCTCAGGCAGACATCGCATGGCATGCTCAGGCCGAGGCACTTGGCGAGGCATCAGACATTGAAATATTGAAGCTTGAAGTAACAGCGCGCGAGCGACCAGAACGGCGAACGCGGTCGACCGGTCCATCATGTGACCGTACATACTTCGATGCGGACGACCCTGGACGACCGACTCCAAGTCAGGCCGCGACATCAACTTGCCAACGACTGCGGTTGTAGAATTTACATCTCTGTGGCATTCCTTGACTCAACAGTTTGCGACATATATCTGTTGGTTGCTTAACTTTCATTGCCTAACTTGACTCTGTTCAGTCCGGTTCGCTGGCAAAGCCGCGTCGCAGTAACTGGTAAGTACGCGTGGACTCGTTTCTGTCTCGTCGAAGGACAGTCCAAGGGGCACACGCGCAGGGTACGTACTGGTCGTGCGCGTGCGTGCCCCTTGATCTTGTCTGAGCCGTGAGTACCCGCGGTGCAGGTGTCCCGGAGGAATGTGCATGGTTCATAATCATATTTGCATATGCTGAAAATATACACAGGTCGAGACATTCGAGGGCCCGTCCCACGGGGAAAGCGTGCTTTGCCACTTACAAGTCAGGCATATTGAGGATATTATGCTCCAGCCTCTGCCTATGCGCCTCAGCGGCGTCACGTTCGCTCGGCAGCATCCACTGAATATGCTGTCGTCAGAGAGCGCGTCTCACAGTCACACTTGGTACGTACCATCTCGTCCTCCTCTGCTTCCCTCCTCGCTGCCTCGGCCTCTGGCAGGTGCTCCTCGAAGTCGGGTGGCAATATATCCTTCATGTGCTCCCAGAAGGTCACAGGATCACCCGCGTCTTTCCACAACCCGAGCATGTCCAGGGCCCAGCGCTCGTACCCCGTTTGTATAGGATCATTGCTAGCCCTTGTCCGCCGCGAGGAACCTCGCCTTGGGGCTGTATGCAAGGTATATCGTCCTCTGGACGTCCCGGAGAGTCTCATTCATTCTGTTGAGGACCAGCTCGTTCGCTTTCAGCCGCAGCTCCGTATCCTCGAGGACCGCCTCCATTTGCTTTCTCCTCTCGCGCATATCATGCACCTGCTTGAATACCTTCTCGCAATCCGCGCGAATGTGTTTGTGAGTCTCCCGTTGAAGGTTGGGGTGGTTTGGGTTCTCCTTCTGCATTCGGCGGATGTCCTCCAAAGTCCACTCCGAGAGGGGCTTCTCTTCGGGACCGACGGCGCGGTGGTCGTCGACCGCCTTGCCTTTTCCCTTGTCTGGCATGACCCGTGAGCCTGCGCAGTGCGGACAAGGTGAGCGAGCGATCCTTCGTGTTGGCGCACAGCTGTAGGAACTCACCTCGAACTTCCGCTATGGACTACGTAGCGCGTCGAATGTAGAACGTGCAGACTGGCAGGCGAACTCTACTCCTTTATATGCAGAGATTTGTGGCCAACCCCGTCGGAGCATCAAATCCCCCTTCACCGCCGGCAACCACGCACACCAAGATTTACGCCACATTGGACGAGCCTGGGTCTCCATGGCGAGCAGTCGCCAATAGCCCTTGTACGTGTTTCCATTGTTCTACATTTATGGAAGGTGGTGCTAAGATGGCCATCTCGCCCTTCACCTTCAGATCGTGCGTCATCGAATGCCCAGACAGTCTGCGCGGTGGACGACTCTCGACGAAGATCCATCGATGGACAGACTCGGTGCTTCGGGCGCAGCACGGATTTCACCTGCTGATGGGTGCCACTGAACCTTAGTCGCTGAGGCGAGATCGTCGGAATGAACCACACGAACTTGGAACGAACACCCACGCGACGCCATGAGTCGAAGTCTGTAACCGTTCGGCGTCATTCTCGCAAAGGAAAGGTCTCGTTCCAGGTCGTTCCGTCGCCTCGCTCTCACGAAGCGGAACGCCTGAAGCTAGTAAGTTGGAATGGTTTACGTCCGCCTTCGTGTCTGTGCCATCGTGATCCACGCCCGAAGATCGAAATTTGAATCTAGGTCCCCGTCCCTGCGTAATGCGACGCTCCTTTTTCGCGGATCGTCCAGTGGTTCGTGTCGGCACGACACGTGTAGCGCACGCGCTCTCGATATCCCGATCCTCGTCTAACTGCGGAATCCTCACAGGGTTCGTCTTCGCCTCCCTACCCAAACATTGCTCTTGGTGAGTGGACAGCCGTTGTTTCGCCATCCTGTCCAAGATGTTCATTGTTTCGTCCGTCCAGAATGGTTATTCGAGTCCTACGGGATCTCAGTGCTCCTCGACAAAGGACACCGCATTGCGTGTGTTCATGATCGGCACGTCCCCTTTGGTTCAGCCGAAACCCTTCCGGATGAGCACGCGAACCGAGAACACCCTCCCGTACAGTCACTAGGGCGTCTACTTGCCAACCCTCCTGGATTGTCTCCGCGTGTCGCAGGCCATTGTTGTACCTTCCTGGCTCCCGAGAATGCGGATACGGGCCGCGAGAAAAAAACCCGGGGTAGATAGGATGGGATGGCCCGCTCGCTCTTTCCCTTTCGTTGTCGCTGACCTCGTCTCTTGACTCGGAGTGGCACTCTTGCGATGGCTGTTGCTCCCTCACTGAGTCGTCCAGCGATGGACCTGAAGCTTCGCTTAGTGCCCTTGTGAGTTCCCTTGTCTTTTTCTCAAAGCATCAGTTCACTCACGTTAGTGACAACTTCGTCAACGTTAGCGCTCGCCACTAGTATATAGGTTGACGTCCCCAACGAGTACGGATCTGTACTGCGGTCGGTCATACACGGCACGCTCTCTCGCACCATGGAGGGCGAGTCTGTCCTCCTTCGTCGTTCGAGCGCTGACTGGCGCCCTTCTAATGCACAGGCGAGAGGCGCGGTATAGTATGCTCGGCGATGCGACTCATCGATGTGGATCGTGTCATTGTGCTTGAGACCTGTGAGGACGGCGTATGAGCGCATAGCTAGGCGGGACTAGGCGGTCCACGACTCGTACTTCTGTCCCCTCTGCCACAGATGTCTACCAAGGGTGGAGCCCGCGATGACACCCAGGTGTACGCTGTGTGTCACGCATGGGGCATTGACTGACTGCAATGTCCATCGGATGTGCCTGACAGCCGCGTAGATGCAAACGTTCTATGTCCAAGTCGCAGAGTCGTTCGCAGTTGTCTTACATCGATCGCGATCACGCGAACAGACAGGTCCGTGCAAAGTAACTTTCGATTATGCCGGTATCCGAGGAAAAGACGCTAATACACTCCGAAGAACAGGACAAAGAAACACAACGGGTATACTGCACAACGCGCAGACGGGTGGGTATACTGCACAATATGCAGCCGGGTATACTGTACGGCACGCAGACGGGTATACTAAACAACGCAGCGGGCTCACTGCTCAACACGGAGATGTTAATGGATGAATACCCTACGATCACTCGCGACGGGCACGTTTCGGCGACGGCAGCGGCGAGATGTGCGTTCCATGAAGGTCCCGCCACCCGCCCTGCTGGGTATATCGTCCCGCCCACGGATAGTCAGGCTCGGGGACGCTGCCTTCGAAGCCATTGGAGCCTGGGACGGGTCTGTGGACGTACCCTCGCTGCTGGCTAGGACCCGCGATCGGCTGAGAAACACTGCAAAGTCAGGGTGAGCAGACTGCACGAGATTCAGACGTTGATGTTGCCAATGCTTACCTGTGCCTCTCATTGCTAAACTCCCACTTGGAGTCCGCCTCATCATCGTCCTCATCCCGCTGTCGCTTCCTGGATTGAGAGACCGAGGAACCGTACTCTGTGGAGACGGACGGGCCCCACAGCTGGCCCGGATAAGGAAACAGTGCAGGCTGCAGCGCGAATGCGCCGGTCGGACCTATCTGGCGGGTGGCAGCCTGCTGAGAGGGCCCTGCCTGTGGCTGGGCGCGAGGGCCTCGTTCAGCCTCATCGACCATCCTCGACGGATGCAAAGTCTTCGGACGCCTCCCACTGTCGGGTGACTCGGGGGAATCGCCGTCGAGGATGTCCGGTTCGGCCTGCCTTCGGGAAGATGGCGCGCCCGGAGTGCGTCGAGAGTAAGTCACTGGGTCTGGCTGGCCTCGCATGCGGACAGGGAATGATTCAGACCAAGGAGGGGGTGGTGGTGGCAGGGGCGACGAGCTGAAACTTGGACGAGCACTCCGTGGCCGGTACTCAAACGCCGGCTGAAGACGATTCGGAGGGCCGAGCTCGGAGTCGTCGCTGCGCAAGAAGCCATTGTCGCCTTCGTGCATTCGCGGCCCTGCAAACGGATTCTCCTCGCCTCGCTCGAGTGTACTGGCGGCGGCGTCGTCGTCGTCGTCCTGCTGCAGCTCGCCTGCGATCTGGATCATCTCAGCCAGCGACGGCTTCCACTTGCCCTCCATCCAGCCTGATTCCCAGTCCTTCAGTTGCATCATGAGCATGTGCTCGAGGACGAGGCGCTTCGCCCGCATCTCGGTGGTCCATTCCTCGACCATGTCCGCCTGAGCCTGCATGTATTCGAGGATACGGGCCAGCTTCTCCCTCTTCTGCTTGATGCCCCGGGACTTCTCACAGGCGAGGCGGCCACTCTGGATCATATCCTGCGCGATTACCACACTGACTCCACTGGTGGGCTCCGGGCGTGCGGCGTGCGCTGCCTTGGACTGTTGCTGCATCTCCGCGAGTCTGGTGTCCTCCTCGTCCTCCGCTGCCTCCTCTTCAGAGTTGATGTCAGCGATGTCTTCGACGAATTGCTGGTGAAGGGCGGAATACGCTCGCATCTTGATCTCCATGCTTTCGACGGGCTCGGGGTATGCATCCTGTGCCGTGGAGGCCATGAAACGGCTGTAGATGGGGTCGAGCGGGCTCATGGGCTCGTCTGCGTTGAGGGAGGCGTCGTTGGGTTGGCCCGACGGACCAGCTTGTGGAAGGGGCGCAGGCGCAGGTGCAGACGTGGCGCCATTGTGTGCCTTAGCGTTCTCCTGGTCGGCACCCGCAGACGAGGGTATTTTGGCAGGCGTAGGGACATGGCGAGGCTGAGACGTGGAGGGGCGAGGCTGCCGCGCAACAGTCTCTTCTCTGCGGAGAGGCACGACGGCTACAGATAACGACAGGTGAGTAACACAGAGATCTTTGACGACACGACGACTTACGCTGGTGACGACCTCGGTGTACATGGTCAGGCGTTGCGGGCAACTTGAAGCGGGTGTCTCGTGGGTCGATCTGGTGTCTTGAAGGACCGGCCTCTGGCTGGGGCGGGGGTGCGAGGGTCTGTGGCGCTGGTGGCCATCCGAGCACTGGTGGCGCGCCCATCCGATAGGGCGCCGCTTGAGGCTGCAGACGAGACGGGGCGCGGGGCCTCTGCGGTGGCGAGGGACGCGGGAATGCCAGGCTTGAGGGACCTGCCTCCGGCTGGTACAGAGACCATGGCGCGAGACGCGAAGGTCCGGCCTGGTTAGGCAGCCTTGATGGGCCTGCCTCGGGCTGCACGGGCGGGGGAGGAAGCCGCGTGAAGGAGGGTGGGAGTTGGGGATGGCGGGGAAGTGGTTGCTGAGGGCGCAGACCGACGGCAGAGCTGTGGCGGAAGACGTAGGCGGGCGAGATGGCCATCTGTTGGGGACGGGGGGTCGATATGCGAGGCACGGACTGCTCGGTCCCTGCTTGAGAACCAGCCCGTGCTATTGAGGATTCCTGGGTGCGGTACAAGACGCCGTCTGGCAATCTTGAATGATTGTCGTCCTGCGCTGCCGTACGAGTGGGAACACCTGTTGTTAGGTGCTCCCGCTCGCCCCGCTGCGCTGGACCTTGATTGTTCACGAGTGTAGACGACCCGTGAACGAACTCAGGCATCGGTCGGGCTGTCGCAGGGTTGTGCTCTGCGCCCATAACTACGCCCGCTATGGTGAGTGGTGCATTGCAATCAAAGGCAGGTGTGCGTACCTCTCCGGCCAGCCTTTGGCACGGGGATGGGGATGGTGGGGCGCAGAGCAGGGATATCCTGCTCGCGTTGTCGTGGGGGTGGCGGCGGTGGCGTCGCGGTGCGCCGTCGTCGGGGGGCCACTTCCTCTTCGTCAGCCGTGTTCTCTGTAGTGGCCTTCACCTTCCTCTTGAGCTTCGGTGGGACATCTAAGAGGTGGTGAGTGACAGTCAATGTAATCCGGGCGATGACGTACATTGCGGTGCACTATCCCCGTAGACCGGAGGTTCCACCTCGACCTCCCCTGCCTTTTCCTCTTCTTTGGGCTTTGTCGCGTTGAGGCGCGTCGACCTCCTTACGGGTCCCGGTGCTTTCTCCGGCCTACAGCTGCGTCAAACCCATCGTCCGACACCACTGACGAGAAGGGCAACTCACAGCTGAACACCGTCGGAGCGCTTGGCCATCAGCGCCTGGATTATGTCCTCTGTCTTTCCATTCGCGCGGATGCCTTCCCGCTGAACGCCGCATGAGTCACTAGCTGGAGGGACGCGTGAATGAGACACGTACCTTAGCGAGCTGCTGGATCTCGTGGCGCTTGAGTGCGCGAAGGGCGGTTGCGTTCAAAGGAGAGCTGCTCATTGTTGCAGAGTGTGGCGTAGAGTGTGCTAAGGCTCAACTCGGAGAGGGATAGGTACTGGGTAGGTCGCAAGGGAGGTAGGAGCAGGGCACACGGGGGATGGTAGAAATTGGGATGCAAGAGTGGGACGCAGCGCGCGCGCTTTAAATGTTTCGAGAACAATGACCGCAGGGCCAAAGCTTGGGAAGGCATGGGCTACGGCCAGGGGCCTGAGTGGCGTCCGGAGGGTCAAAGCGATGTTTCGACGAATATGGTAGCCGGATACAAGGCGGTCATCGCATGCCCAGATCTCCTCCTTAGCCGAGTGACAAGCGATGCACAGGTACTAGATGCCTTCGAATTCAATATTTCATCCATTACATCCGTCGGACTGGCCATTTGTTGTCATCTACCCCAGGTAAGAGCGAATACAAAGGGAAGCACACACGGTACATGTAGGTTCGCGCCATATGTTCACGCATGTCCGAACATTGCCCCCGCACAGCTAGGTCTTGAGGCAAGATGGCCGAGCGGTCCAAGGCGTGTGACTCAAGCGAAAGCTTACCTGCTATGCGGGTTTTCTCATCTGGGTATCCAGGCGCGAGTTCGAATCTCGCTCTTGTCATATTTTCGCACCGTCTTGGCAGTATGTCTTTGTGTTCGCTTTTTTGTACTTAGTTGCTGCTTGATCCGCTACCGCCATCCAATTGCAATCGCCGCTGGACGCCTTCCCGCGCTCACAACGTTATGTCCTCAACACCTGCTCTAAATCTCCCAGGCACGTCGGCCAATTTCGCTTGTCGTTTGTCTCGAATTCCGGCACCCCCGTTTTAAACCTCTATCTGAAAGGGGCTCCGACTCGCCCTTTTGAAAAGCACGAACATACCGTCGGTGGTCAAATTCTCGTCCGACGGTTGGCTCAGACAACCTCCGATACCGTATTAACATCACAGCCTCACAGGTTATAGGTCGTCGTTGTGGTTTAGCGACCCTCACTATCGGGCCTTGTGCCACAGGCGATATCAGACGTCCGACGCTTTAGCCTTACCAGCGCCCGTAAATCCTGCGAAAAGGCACTGTCCATGCCAGTGCCACCGCCTCTCCGCCACCAATTCGGATCTAGCCAATAATCCTGAGTGGCATGATGCGTATACGTGGCCCACGAGTACGCAAGAGACGATAGTTCATGCCAGTGGGAGTCGACGGCTACCCTCCAGTGCCGGGCCAGCAAGCATCGATCGCGTCTGTCTTAAGAGGCCCAAAAGCCCCGTGCAGTAAGCTACAGTTGTGACATCGGTCACTGTGGAGTGTATTGACCTCTGCACGCCTGGCGACAGAGCTATTGTACTGGTAGATCATCATGGTGAGGAGGCCACTATGCCTAGTACCTACCAAGACCTTTTTTTTTTTTTTTTTTTGAATCCCTTTATTGTCCGCGAGGGCCGGGCCCTATGTAGACAAAGCACTAGCACTAGGAGTAGGTACGGAAGTGTTCACGTAGGTTCAAGCTGAGCATAGGCTCACGCCGGGGCGAGAGCTGGAGATGGTACAGTAAGAGAGCAAAAGGAAAATATGGTGCCGAGACAGTGACATGTATGTACAGTAATGGGAGTGCGAATGCAACGAGGTAATCTATTTATGGGAAAGTGGACTCCCGCCCGGGAGACGACACACGTTCGATAGAGCTATCGGACTGGACGAGCGGTCTGGCTCAGAGCGGGGTGTGAGTGAGGTGCGCGGGGCAGACTGGTGCAACCTGCCGCCCTCAGGTGCGGCCCCGGCATCGCAGCACTTTTCCCGGCTCCTACAGTGACCGTCGTAGGCGCCGCTCGCTGTCTCTCTGGCGTGTCGGTAGAGTCGAGTGTATCGTACGAGGAGTGGACCGTATAGTAATCAAGTAGGGGGATAGGTGCTATCGGAGTGGAGGGAGAGGGAAGGGGTGAGGTTGGTCAGTCGGCGGCGAGGCCGAGGTCGCCGTAGGTGGCCGCGAAGCGGCCTGTTGCGTGAATGAATCGGAACAGGAGTCGTATGGCTCGAGGATGGGTGAGGAGCGCTTGTATAGAGTTGGCAGCTGGTCCGAGTGTGAAAGCAAGGTGTGCGCGTTGTTCGTCGTACGATGGACATTCCAGTAGATAGTGGTGGACTGTCTCTCGTGCGAGGTGACATGTGGGGCATGTAGGTGAGTCCGCCTTCGAGATCTTGTGGAGGTGGGCTTGTAGGGGGACATGTTCGGTACGTAGTTGGATAAGGAGGCTGGCATGCTTTCGTGGGAGAGAGTTCATTAGCTTGACATAACGTTTAGACGGAAGATCCGGGTCTATACGATCCATCTTAGTGGAACGCGGTGAGCGTTTCCACTCATCGCGCGCGCAGCGTGCGAAATGTTCAGCGAGCATCTGCCTTACCTTTGAGATGCTGGCAGGGAGATGTTCGGACAGGCATTTCGGGAGCAGGGCAGCGGAGCTGCCCTCTCCCCGCGCAGCTTTCTTCGCTTCCTGGTCGGCACGTTCATTGCCTGGGATGTCGCGGTGGCCTGGGACCCAGCGCAGCGTGAGCTTTGCGCCGGGGTGTCGTCGCAGTAGAGAGTCGATCTCGCCTAGGAGCATGTCGATAAGGTAGTGGGCGGGGTGAGGCTTCCGGTTTTGCACCGCCAGGAGGCAAGCAGTGTTGTCGGCGGCGCAAGAGGACGTTCTCGCGCTGATCTCCTGTATGAGAAGGTGAGTCGCTAGTATTAGCCCGACAATCTCAGCCTCGTAGACCGTGTGACGAGACGCCGAGCCTAGGTGGTAGCGGAGGACTTGGGGTTCCCCATTTCCTGGCTTGTAGAGTACTGCTGACGCGCCTACTCCGCCTTCGATGTCTGATCCGTCTGTATACACGCGGTATCCTGGCCTGCGGGCCCAGGTCTTCTCGTTTACGGCCGCCTCGTCTTTGTTATCTGCGATGTAGACTGCGAAGGGCGGGTTCCATCCCGGAGGGAGCCTGACCGCTTCGATAGTCTCAATGTCATGCGGGAGGAGGTGGTACTACCAAGACCTACCACTACCACCACCGTGACCACCGGGCCAGTACGACGCGGGGGATCAACGGATCTAGAAGCATGAGCCACACATCGCGGTATACACGTGTTTGATTGAGCTGTGGCCCTTGTAGCTCAACCCATTGTTCTCTTTTAGTGGTCAAAGCGTCCTCCGAGTGGCGCCTCTAATACCAAGTGACCGTGGTCACGGTTGCCACACTACCTCTTCCATCCCCCACTTGCGACCTACCATCTACATAATGGACGCTACTGCTCTCAAGCGCCCCAAACTCCAACAGCTGGCGAGGGTGAGTCCAGTGTTCATCTCGTCCGATTCGTTCAACGCTGAGCGGTGGCGTCCTGCTAGATGCACAACATCAAGGCCAACTTGAAGAACGGTGCGATTATTGAACAACTACGGAAGCGTCGCCCGGGAAGCGAAGGGTGCGTTGTGCAATGCTACGACGGAATACAGGTTACGAGTCTCTGACTGTGGCTTCGATTCAGATTCAACATTGCAAGCCCACCAAACGGACAGAACTCCGAAACACGCGCGTCTCTAGCCAAAGACCCCGCACCGGCTGAGCCGCGGACACGTCTATCCTCTTCGCCAACAGCAGCAAATGGTACGCAGCCTGCTTCAAACCCTGGTGACCCGCGCCACGCGCAGACGCCACTCCCGCAAGGCGAGTCGGAGACTGGCCGAAACGGTGTTGTCGACAACGGTCTGTCTGTCAATGGTCACGTCAACTCGTCGATGGCTGCGCACGCCAGCAGCCCGGCGTCCCAACAGGCTCCTGGGCCGAGTGGCGAGGCCCCCGCCGTTGACGTCCAGCCACCAAACGTCGAACGAGTCAATGGTGGCACGACAAGGTCTGGCACAATCGAAGGAGAAGCCGGAGGTAAGTGATGAATCCCACTTTCCACGCGTTTCTAACTCAGTTCATCGCGTCCAGGCGCACAGCATCTGACCGAGGCACAGCGAGCGCGATATGCGGCTAGACAGCGCAAGGAAGTTGAGCGGCAGCGAGAAGCCTATAGGGACGCCGCCCGGCGCCGTCGCCGCGAGGACCAGAAAGCGCGACATCGCTATGAAAACGCGGCCTTGACAGGATTCGCGGAGCAGCACGAGGTGATCTACAGCGTCCGCCTGCTACGTAAGGCGCACAACAACGCGGAGCACGAGTGGGATGCGCTCGAGTCGATGCAGGAGAAAGTGCAGGGGGTGCTCGCCTCGTCGCGCACGCACATCCGGACGGCCACGATGACGCACGCGAGCACGGACCGATTCAGGACGTTCTTCTCGTACTACCACCCGGTCCCGGGGAAGTGGAACCCTGCAGACTTCTGGGGAGAGGAGCCCGAGAAGCGGACGTGGCGGTATTTCCGAACGGGAGATGAAGACGGTGTAGCCGAGGAGCCTGAGGGACATGGGAGGTTGCCTACATACGTTCCTCCACGACGGCCGTACGTGCACCGCCTTCATCGTCTCTGAACGTGCGCGCTGACTGCTTCGGTCTCGTTAGCACCGACGTGGCCACCGAGATCTGCAAATGTCCGATGCCTGCCGGGTGCGTCAAGTCTCGCTTTGTGTTGAAGATGCGAGGCGGTATGCTGATTCGTCGACGGACGTTCTCCAGAGACAGGAAGATGAAGGGACTCAAGCGACTGAATGTTGTCGTGCCCAATAAGCTGGCGCAGCGGTTCTTCGATAGCTTGCGCGTCGGCTGGGATGTCGACTACATGAACAAACGCTTGTGGCCAGAGTCGGAGGACGAGGGAGACGACGAGACAGAAGAGTCAACGGATCAGCCTCCGAAGACGAGGAAGCGCAAGGCCGGTCATGACGAAGAGGAGGGTGGATCGACATTGGAGGGCGAAACGGAGGAGCCAGCCAATCAGCCCCCGAAGAAGAAGTTGCGCAAGGCCGGTCCCCAGGAAGAGGGGGACAAGGAGGCGCCGAACAAGGGGAAAGGGAAGGCGAAGAACAAAGGCAAGAAAAAGACGTCGAAGAAAGGCAAGGAGAAGGCGCATACCGAGGATCATGAAGAGGCAGACGAAGGTTCTGCGGATGCGGACGACGTTGAGGGTGTCGACGATGCTGAGGAAAACCGGCTACCTCTGTATCGCGGCGAGCGGTACCAGCGCATGATCCCGACCCGGGCGGCACTCTGGCAGATCACAGACAACGAACGCATTGCCGCTGAGGGTGCGCGTAAACCCCCATTCGTGCGTATCTGCGCGTTCAGCGGGAGGGAATTGGCATCAGTCCTGCTTCAAATCAACATACGTCGCCTTCATAGCAAGTCTTGCCCCCTCGCATTTTTGCCGTTCGAACTGAACTGCGTGGGCACTCTTTTGAACCCTCTCGTTTCCACCGTGGTCGCTGGGTACCTGACTTTTGAAGGCGAGGTAATTCCATTCGGCTCCAGGAGACACGCTGTGCGGAGCAACGCAACGCCTGGAACGGGTCAGCTCGCCGCCGCCGTCGCAAATACATCTGCTCATCCTGCTCCAGTCGTTGGCCCAGTAGGCGATACCGCGGCTAGCGTATATCAACCTAGCAACATTGCTCCGGGAACGGGTCCGAGTGGTGATGCTCCAGGTGTCGCTGGCGCCGCCCGGCAGTCCCAACCTGTTCGCTTGTTGAGGAACGCGGATGCAATCGGCGCTGCGATCATTCTGGGCCCAGATTTTCTTCCTACCGTCCCCATTGCAGAGGGATCACCCTTCCCCCAGGGCTATTCGGGTGAATGGGCTTCCGCCTGCATTCCCGGTGCGCACTGGACAGCCACTTTCAAGGCGATCGACGCGATGGTCTCCAATGGATATACGCCGCTGGCCGACTTTCACCACATATTCCTTGACCTCCTGGTAGCCAGTATTCTGTACCTGGGAGGCAGGGAACCGACAATTGCCCAGCAAGTCAGCAGATACCAAGCGGGACCGAGTCAGCCGACGAGGAATAATGACGACGGTGCCGCTGACCGCCCCGCACTCTCGGACTTTATATTCGCTAAAGTGAAGAACAATCCGGCATTTCCGCTAGAGTGTGCCAAAGCTGTGCTCCAGCCAGACTTGCGCGCGAGGACATACGATAGGATCGAGCGCCCGCAAGAGCTCATAGCGCGTTATAGCGTGGTGCACACAGGCGAGGGCCTTGTCCCGCGGACGATCGTCTTACAAGATAAGGATCCAATCAAGGATTTCCTGATGCCCTGCGAGCAGGTACTGGCTTGCGTGCGGTACTCCGGATACCCTGACAAGCTACCAACGGGCATTCCCCAGCAAGGCACGCCAGGCGCTCCTAACGCTATGCAAGTCAACGGTGCCCAGCCAGTTGGCGCGGTTCAGCAAGTCAATGGGGCTCAGCAATCCGAAGGGGCTCAGCAGGTCGATGACGATGCCATGCAGGTCGACGACGCCGCGACAGATGATAGCGACGAGCCCATTTCTGGGGTTGCAGCCCGGATAGTTAACGCCGACCGGTCCTACGACCGGGATGGCGCCGCTGAGGCGTTGCGGTACATGAACGCTAGCGCGCGCGCTTCAGCACGCGACAACACCAACTCGCCTGTCACGCCGCGCAACCCCGGTTGGCAACCTGGGATGCCTGGACTTCGTTTCGAAGAACATACCGCGTCATCACCTCTACCGCCCCCCGATTTCACGCAGGATGGCATGGACTCCGTCGCTGGCGATGGAGACTCGGCGCAACCTTCGGGGCTCCATGGCGATGTTGAGGACGGAGTGAGTGGACCTTCAGGTAGCGAGGACGCGGACGTTGTCGCGGAGGCACCAGGAGTCGCGATGCCGGCGCGTAGTCTTCCATTCTCGCCGATCCCGGAGGCAAGTGAAGACGAGGATCAGGTAGCGGAGGAAAACATCGAGACGATGCTCGTCGCGAAGTCCATGAGCTTTGAGAGGAAGCCTGCCAACGTCGTCGGCGAACACTCTGACGCGCAGGTCCCGCCGCAGCCGACATCGCCTCCGCGGAGGGTCACTCGCTCGCGTAGTCGTCCGTTAGGTCCTGGCCCCCTTCCGAGGAGAACGGTTCCTAGGCGTGGAGCTACTGGGTCTCGTCGGGGCAGGGTCGGAAAGTGAAGCTGTTGAAAGAGTTTAGAATGTTAGATAGGTTTCCGGCTCGCTCGTGAGTAGTACGCATACCCAGCATACCCAGTTCCATGTGATCCGGTGTTGTATATACTGTTGTCTAATACTTCTTTTATATACCCTTGATACCATTCTCGAAACGACCCGGCGTCGCGCTAGTGATTGCTGCTCTTATGAGGTAGATTGATGATCTCCGTTGCACACCAAAACATCCGGTAAGCGTCTTTTATGAATCGGCGCATACACGGTGAGCTCGTTTGAAACGATGACGTTGTGACGACGGCCAGTACATAACGCAATTGGTGGTCTCGGATAGTGATTTCCCCTGAACACCACAGATGTGCAATTCTGAGGCGATGGTCAGATCTCAGACCCGGTCGTGATACAAAATCGATGCGCACAGCCCATGCTCTAGTTCGTGCCAGTGTGATGAGGCATGCCAATCGTCCCTATCATGAAGTGGGTACTACAACACTGCTTGAAGTTCTAGTTTTCTGCATAACTCTTATGGCATTTGCGCTGCACATATATAGAGTGTAAAACCGCTCACCTCATTTACAGTCTTCGTTACTATGCTGTGTCTGTCCAATCTGTCGCTCCAAGCTTGAGGTTTAATGAGGAGGAGGCGACTCGGGAGCGAGCCTGCCTGCCAGTGCGCGTCGCCATTGCGTCACGTGTTCGCGTTGAGAACGCCAGCGAGTTTGGTTCAAGTTGAAGTTTAGTGACCGGCGTTGGTCCGTTACTTCGGTCAGTCCTCAGAACAAGTACCTCGTCCGTCCTGGCCCAGTGCTGGTACGTCACGTCCAATGTACCAAAGTCATCTACTCACCTCAACGGAATCAGCGGGACACTCGGTCGAAGAATTGAAACTCATTCCACGCTTCCCGTTGAAACCTACATCTCACGATGCACCGAGCTCTGACTATCCAAGACTTCATTCAATTGGTGGTGAATGAAGTCGCCAGGCCGTGTCCACTGGAAGAACGGACGCTCCTGGCTCTGGCGCTCACATGCCGCGCATTCCAGGAGGCCGCCTTGGACATGCTGTGGGCTTACCAGGATGGCTTGGGCCGTCTCGTCCAGTGCTTACCGGAGGATCTATGGACATATTCAGATGACCCATTGGAGGATATAGTGAGTAAGCTGCTGCTCCGCTGTTAATTGAAAGCTGAGTCCGTGATGCATCCAGACGCTCAGCGAACCTACGAGGGCCACCACACAACAAGACTGGCAGCGCTTCGACGTCTACGCTCGGCGGGTCCGCACACTAGATATTGATGATTCCCCTTATTTCAAGTCCCGTACAGAGTGCCGCGTCTCAGGGCCCCTCTTTCGTTGGCTTCTCTCGTCAAGGACTTCTCATCAATTGCTCCCTAGTCTATCCTTCCTTGACCTGGGGTGGGGAAGGAGATATCTTCCAAGTATTACGACTCTGCGCACACGCTATTTGGCCCGCGGCTCACTGAGCTGGACATCAGCACCCCTCGGCTCGCCGACACCAGTATGCTTGACGTGATATTGCTGCACCTCCCTCTGCGTTCACCAGATGTCAAGTTGTTGAGAGTCAACGAGTCCCAGTACAGGGATTCCGACTGTCAGCCCATCCTTCTGGTATTCTTCCAGCGTTGAAAGGGCTGGAGAATTCGCGGGGAGCATATCCTGACATTGACACCCTCGCGGTTGTCGACCTTGCCAAACCTCACAGAAGCACCTTACTTTTCGACAAACAACGAGCCACTGGCCAATTGGGACAGAAGGGACCCTCAAACTCTTACCTTCCGCGCTCTGGAGAGATTGACTATGAGGATGACGACAATGGCTGATGCCGAGCATTTATCCGCTGCTGCTTTCCTCGACTGCAAGAGATATCCCTGACAACCATTTCGAATCCAATTCGGACGCTCTCGATGGCGTGCTCCGGCTGATTCACGATCGTTGCCAACATGCTATATTAGAGTCGATCCAAATCCGAAGCGGTGCGAATGAACACCTCGCGGATGTAGTACACGACATCACCGCAGGCGTCCTTCCGACGTCTCTATGACTTCCGACTCTTCGTAAATTTGGCCTCAACACGAAGATGCGCATCATCCTCGACGACGATGCCGTCGAGGAGATGGCCAAGTCGTGGCCTCGTCTGGAGTACCTGCATTTTAGGTCACCTCCGACTTCGGCGACGCTGGAAGGCCTGCGCATCTCGCCCGGTACTGTCCTTCGCTGTCGTCACTCTGTATCGACGTGCAGACGAGGGGTACCGTCGTCTCCGCCGATGTGATCCCCGGCGGCGGCTTCTGCAACCGGGCCCTCGAGGAGATCGAGTTCGCATGTCGTTTCCGTTGGGAATGAAGCGAAATAGCGGCGTTCCTCAATGCGATCTTCCCCAACATCCGGAGCTTGATTGGGGTGGAGAAGGGTATGGGATATAATTTGGTCCTACGCATGGCATCTGAATGGGAAAAGCACGCCAGTAAGTAACGACATGCCTTGACTCATTGACCTACTTTGATGTATACACCTCTGCAGGACCAGACGCAACGTAACGTCTGCTATCGACATGTCAATATTATATCGATGGAGCATCTACGCAGCCCTTCAATTTAGCGTTACAACAACTTACAATAATCTCCAATTCCTTTCTTCCGCCACGCTGCAATGTCCGGGCTGTCTGTTTCGGAACGCTGATGTAGCAAACGTGCGGCAAACACTGTGCCAGCTACTTAGCATGACGTGACAGTCGATCGGGATTCAGGCTGTTTGAGATATGGTACATACAACCGCAATCGCTAGTTCGCCCTTCTTGCACTGCAGGCTGTGCTCACTGACTCGGACATTGGTCGAACTTACGGTAAAAGACGTACGCATCAACGAACTCCTCACCCTCGCTTCCGTCTGCCTTCTTCAGTCGTCCCGCACGCGGAATGAGCCCCGCCTTCGTGAAGCCGAGGGCCTCCCAGAGCCTACACGGACGGGTGTCAGTATGCCCTTGCTAGAGATCACGCATGGCAAGGGCTCACCGGACACTCGCAGCGTTGTTTTTGTAGACGAGGTTGAACACGCTCGCCTCAAAGCCAAGCCTTGGTGCGTAGTGCAGATAGGAACGCGCGAGTACGGCACCTATGCCCCGCCCACGTTGTGCGGGGGGGACAAGGAACCCAGCATTGCAGATCTACATGCATATTGACGTCAGAAAAGTGAATGTCCGTTATACTGGGACGTACATGAGAGGACCGGCCAGGATAGTTCGGTTTCACCTGCAAAACGATGTCGATCAGTCACCGGGATACTGTAAAGCCTTTCCGACGTCCCGGATGGTAGGGTACGAAGGGCTTAATTATGGAGTCTAGACAGAGACTCACGTAGTAACATCCAGCAATACACTCCTCCATGCTGCGTCCCTTGACCGCGTCTCCGATACCGAGCTCAACCTCTCCGCCATCAACTATCTCTTCACCCGAGCCTCCCTCTCCTATCACAGCCACCAGCACGTCCGCCGCGAAGTAGTAGGCCTCAAACGTCTCGAGCGCGTACTCCTCGCCTGCGCGGATTTCCTGTGGATAGGTCAATCCGCGCTCAAGCTCATCCGCGAACACCTTGTGCAGGTATTCAACCAGACCCGGCACGGCCCGCGCAGTCGCCAGGGTGAGGTGGTGGATCGTCAAGTGTGCATCCGGCGCAGGAGTGTACTTGGAGGTTGGCTGGAGTCGCCAGCGCGTGGTTGGAAGAGGTCCTGCAGTCCGGTTGGGAGTGAGGATCGCGCCGTATGCCGACATGGCTCCAGTGTATTCGACCAGGAATTATGCGTCGATCTGTGGTTTTCAACAAGTCCAAGCCGTCGAGTCGACTGTTGGTCGAGTCATGTCTCGCCCGTTGCCCTTAAACTGTATTGGCGATCCATGTTGACGGGGACGGTCCGGCGCCGGTGGCGGAAGTATTGTCCATAGATCCTGCAAGGTCTCATGCTAATCGTAGCACACCAGTCTTGTCGCTCGAGTGCAGAAGCGAGACGGACTCGGTGAGAGTTGGATGAGGGCGTGAAGCTTAACGCGCCACACATGCTCACGCTAGTCTCCCCTAATAGGCAGACCCTAAAGAAGAACTCTTTGAGTGGGGGAGGACGTATGCTCACGCGCACCTGGCCAATAAGTGAACGAACGCGTCTTCGAATTCGTGGACCGGCGCAGCTAGTTCTGTTACCTTGTCGAAAGAGCATATATCGAATATGACGAGATCTACTCATGAGAAATCCTTCTCGTGTTGTGTTACGCATTACTATACGGATATACACTGCGTCGCCGAATATGCGCAGCGAAAGAGCTATATACTTAACATACTATACATCACAGTTTGATCCATAGCGGAGCTCCATAGGAATTTCGAACCTCTACACTGGGGCTACTTGCGGTACTGTTGCAGCGGAGCGTTGGCCTCGTCAATAGTTGTCCGACGACATCAAGGTACACGGCAGGACTCACCATCGTGTCTTTGCCACTCAGATACTATCCGCAAGAGGTCCAGCACTTTCTCCACCGCCAGCCAAGCTTGGCCTATCTCGGAGCTGACCCCCCTATTGATGTGCTTCAAGTTGGGGAAGATCACGAATAAGAAAGCCCCGATCTCCGCGGTGTCGGCATGCACAGGCGAACGGGGGAAGCAAATCCTCTTCAGGACCCGGTTGCAGTGACCGTCACCAGGCTTCGCGGGCAGGTCCATGCAGGGGAGGGTGTAGATGGGGGAGTGGGTCGTGTTCACGTCGATCGTAAGCGAGGCCAGAGACGGGCAATACCGAGCGAGATGTGCGAGGCCTCGCACCGTTACTGCAGTCTCCGCGAGGTTTTTGTCGTTGCTAGACAGCTCCAGGCGTTCCAGATAGGGCCACGACATCGCCATCTCCTTGACCGCGTCGTCGTCAAGCGCGATGCGCATGCGCATGTCGAGTTCGACGCTGCGCAGGTGGCGAAAGCCGTATAGCTGTCGCAGACACGCCGGATTGGCGGTTGATATCCCTGGTTCTACAGTATCCTGGCCACGGCCAGAAAGTATGCGGAGCTTCTTCAGCGTGGCATGCGGGCAAAATCGATCGATAGATCGAAGGAGAATACCGAGGGTGACTCCTCCGGGACCGCTGCCCGACTTCAAGAGTAGTTCCTCAAGCCGGGGAAAGCGACAGGTCGATAGGACCGCTTCTAGGTCATACATGGATGTCCCGTACATCGACAGTCTGCCCAGAGAGCGAAAGGTGAGGTCGTTCGTGGTGTGGCCGTCCCCCGATTGTCCAGGTATGGCTTGCCATTGGCGGCTGACTGGAAGATCCAGTTCCGTGAGATCTGGTAAGGCTGACAACCTCATGAAAACGTTAAACACCATGGGCACGACTGAAAACATCTCGAAAGATCTCAGCTTCTTGAATGACGTGAGGACGTCGCCGGGGATGGTTTCCCGATCCCACTCCATGCGCTTCCACGGCATGTGGACTCTCAGGTTTTGAACATCCGGTGAACGTCGAAGAAGGTGAGATAGTGTCGGGGTGACAGCAGGGGGGTCGACAGCGTACTGCGATGGCCATTTTCCAATCTCCAAGCTGGAGAGTCGGGGGCCAAAGAGCAGGTATGCCGATTCAAAATAATCGCGCGGTATGTTGTTCGTCCAATGGAGTAACGATAGCTTTGGGAGCAACCGATGGGAGGGCCTCGACGAGAAAAGCCACTGAAAGAGGTCCACCGAGATACCGCGGGACTGCGGTCGAGAGTCTATTGTGTCGGTATACAACAGTCGAACCCGTCGAGCGTAAAAGTCGAGGCGCTCCCAATCTTGTGGCGTGAGGGGCCTTATAGGTTCCTTGAGCATCTACATCGAACAGCAGTCGGTGAACAGCAATTTCTACAGGACGGACGCATGGCTCACCAATGTCCCTTGAGTACCCTTCGAGACGGTCCACAAATCTGACGGCAAACATTCGACGAGATGGCCCAAGCCTACCTGAGTCGACCATAGAGTATCCAAGGCGGGTTCGCTGAACGCACGGCATGCCAGTGCTAACGCCAGAAGCATCCGGATGTTATGACCAGCTTGGTCCACTATTTGATGCAAAATATCCGTGATGGCCAAGGCCCGGTGCATCTTGTGGTATGTACGTTCCGCGAAAGAAATCTAAGTATGTTGTGACCTCCGAGCGACGTCGCCTGCTACCATGAGAGACGGTCAGCTTCAACATCGAGACTTGTCAACCGTGTCCAAAGTTACTGACCTTAAACTGAATGTACGAGCTTTGCCACCTCCGAGTCTTGCACGGCTTCACAGACGTTATTCAGATCTGAACCGCTTGAACCCGAGACTCGACGCCCAACGTATGGCTGTGGTTCGAGTGGTGGCCGTTTGGCGGTTGCTGAAGGACGAGCGGAAAACGGTGCTGTCGATATAAATGCGAAGGTCGTTACTAGCGCCCGGGTCGCAGGTCAAAGCGCACACTTTGCTTTGAACGCACCGTGGTGGCAAAGCCATATGCCCCTAGCACTGGCACAGTGGATAGACCCTGGATACCTCACACAAAGCGTGATGATTGATAACGCTCACGGATGCCGTCGGTTTCTATCCTTGTGCACGTCGTCGTACGTCGCGGCGCCAACATGTCTTGCCAATGCCGGTTTACCCAGCTTGCTGACGATGGATGGAGGATCACGTCGTACAATGCTTATCATCCTTGTGTAATCGTGAGCTGCTTTGAGAGCTACTCGGTAAGTCGTTCGTCCTTCTTCATCTGCTGGCAAAGCGGGGCGTCGGCGGTGTCTTCGTCTGCCTCTGCCTTGTGGTCTAACCCATCTAGGCAAATGGATCCTACTTGTGTGAGATCGCAAAGCGTAGGGTGATATTGACATAGAGTGATCTTCAAGCACGTACTGTAGACACGCGTAGGATCTTGCCGGATATGTGTAGTGTTGTTAACCTGGGCGACGTGAAAGAAACTTGCTTCGTAGTCAAATTTGGATACATCGTACATATAGGAGCAGGAGAGCACGAGAACCTGAAGGGGGACAAGAACGCGTCATAAATCTAAGCGCATATGATCGTCAGACAAGATATACAAGACATAAACACATAAACAGGACGTACATGCGTACAGCAACATCGGCCCGGATACGTGTTCTCTCTGGTGATACATCGATCGAGTCAGCGCGCGAGGCAAGCACAAAGGGGCGGGATACCAGAGTCACGGCAAAGCGACATCATGAATGAACTTGGAGTACTCACGTGTAGTAGCATCCTACAATCCGTACTTCCATGCTCCATTCGTCACTTCCCATCCATTTACCAACTCCCCAAGTGATCCACCACAGCAACCAGCACGTCCGCCGCAAAGGCGTATGAGTAAAACGGTCCGACCGCGTCCTCCGAGTCCTCAGGCAAGCATAGCCCATTCGTGGACGCTTTGTGCAGATGTTCGTGCAGATCGGGCACGGTCCACGCAGCCGCCAGGGTAAGAGAGTGGATCATCGGTTCGGCGCAGGAGTACGCTCATGTATTGATTTGGGTCGCCTGTATGTGGACGGAAGCGGTCCAGCAGTCCGAGTAGCCTGGCAGATCGCGTCCTGCTAAGATGTCTGATAATTCCAGCAAGTGTGGAAATCCTAGCGTGAGGTTCAAAGTAGAGTCCAGGTCGTCAGGAAGCTAGTAGATGTATATGTCCCGGTTGGCCCTCGAACTGTGTCCACAATTGGTCAAGACAGTCTAGTACGTCCGCAACGATTGAGGACTTCATGTTCCCATTCGGTAGCAGGCTAACGACGGCAGGTGAACTCGCGGGTTGAACGTGAATTGTAGAGTCAAGGTCGTCGAAGGAACAGAGATGCGAGTGTGAGCGTAGGTGAGCGTCCGTAAAATAGGTGAGCGTCTGGCTATGGCCGGGCTTGACGGCAAACAGTGATCTATCACCGTTATGTACTGTCTGTTTGCACCCTCACCCCGACGTCCACGCACCTCGCAGTCATGATATAATCTTCACGCTCCAAACGTATGCTTTCAACCATTCTCTTCGGTTTGACCGTCCTGGGATTCGGGGCATGGGTCGCGGTAAACCACCGGCACCATACGACCTATTACCGCCCGGCGTTGTACATCGCAGACAAGGGAGCGGTCATAGAAGTGAAGGACGCGGGCGGAAGGACCAAGACGAGACAGGAGACGTTACGCGATTTAATAGAACAAAGATGTCCGAGTCTCCTCAGAGACTTCAGGCCGGTGTGGTGGCTCTTCAGGTGCGAATCCCACTGGCAGTGGCCATGATACTCGCACCCCGACAGTGCTGAAACGATGCTGGTAGCGGCCATCTACAGACCGCATACTCCGTGGTTGGGGATTTTTCGAAGATAGATGAGGTTGAGTACGACAGGTGAGTAACATACAGTTTGAGGTCGGATTTCTGAATTGACGAGGCCAATAGGACTCTTCTACGCACTCGGGACGGCGGAACTCTGTACGTGCGCACTAGCATTGCTACGCAGGTAACCTACGAGAGAGAAGCGGTCTAGACTTTACACCGCCTGAGAGCACACGGAAGCTCCCAGAAGATGCACCCATCATCGTTGTGCTTCACGGCCTGACCGGTGGTGAGTGAATACCTCGTGTATCGTTGCTTAATCCTGAATAAAGAGACCCGTCCTGTTCAGGGTCTCATGAAGCCTATGTGCGCGCGGTCGTATCTCCTGCATGCAGGCCTGTAGATGACGGAGGACTGGGATACCGTGCGATCGTGGTGAACTTCCGAGGATGTGAGTCCCTCAATAAACCGTCCGGCGGTCATACTTATCGCGAAGTTAGGCGCGGGCGTCCCGGTAACAAGCCCCCAACTGTATTCTGCGGGGCATACAGAGGACATCCGTGCGGCGATGTTCTACATTCGAAGACGCTATCCGAAGGCACCTCTCCTTGGCCTAGGATTTTCGCTAGGAGCGAACGTGCTGACTAGATACGTCGCGGAAGAAGGCGACGGCTGCAGGCTTGCTGCTGCGTGCGTTATAGCTTGCGTGCGTTACTCGTAATTTCTGTCAATTCGACACGCAACTCATGTAGAGTATGCTCTAGCCATGGGACTTGGTAACGAACAGCGAAGCGTGAGTGACCACACCGGCGGAGCAGTACGTGAACTCACTTGGCTCCTCAGTTTGGAAGGCAACTGGTTACACCGCCGGGTGTACTCTACAGCGCTCGGCTCAAACCTACAAGCCGTCGTCAAACGTCACGCCGCTGCTCTGAGCACGCCTCCCTCACACCCCGTCGCCCAGGCGGTCGCCCCGACGCTCGCACTGCAGTCGCCCACGCTCGAGACGTTCGACGAGACGTTCAACCGCATCGCCGGCGGGTCTTCACCGCCCTTCCCCTTCCCGAGCGCACGCGCGTACTACACCTGGGCCTCGTCGCACACGACGCTCCCGCGCGTGCGCGTCCCGTTCCTTGCCATCGGCGCGGAGGACGACCCGGTCGTGCAGGTGCTCCCCGTGCACGCGGGCCGGAACGGTTACGTCGCGTTCGCGGTGACGAAGGGGGGCGGACACCTCGGGTGGTTCGAGAGCGGTGCGGATGGGGCGATCAGGAGGTGGTTCACCCGGCCTGTGCTGGAGTGGCTTGAGGCGGTCGGGCGGGACATGGTCGTGCGGGCGCGGCCGGGTAAGCCGCTGAGAGAGGTGGATGGATTCTTGATGGAGGTGGGGCGAGACGATGTCGGCTGCAAGGAGGCTGAAGGTGGCGGGCGCGTTAGTGGGACCGAGGGAGAAGAGGGGCTTTTGCCTGGTTTGTGAGGACGTCTGGAATATCCTCTATTGTCGTATTTGCTATCCTTCCTATCTGTTATGAGATCATGTATAGAATTAGATTCACGAGGGTACAGTCGTCGACTTAAACGTGAGATCCCGAAGACGACTGTACCGCAAATGCATTCTGTGGTGTAGAGATACTGCGCGGAGCGGGCTCATCCCAACGACGCTTACCATGTCGCTAGCTGTCGTGTGTTCGTTCGTTCGGGCTGCTCGTCCTGTCGTCATCGAAATGTGCATTCGCGTTAAAATACTAAGTAACCGTGGCCGTGACATGGATACAAGGGCGAGCTACCACGTACTTATGTGCATCAGTCTGTTGGAGGCGCTGCGCAGAGTAGAGTGTTTCCTGTCAACAATGGCACCATGATTCGACTTGAATGAGAACTCACCGCCATACTTCTTCTCCCACTGAGACGCGATCCGCAGAACCTCGATCGTTCCCACCACCGGCTCCCAGGAGTCATCCATCTCGATCTCCTCCTCTTCGTTGATTGCCTCGAGGTTGGGGAAAATCGCGTATAGGAATGCTCCTATCTGCGCGGGGTCACCCGACACGGGTGATCGAAAGCAACCGATGGTCCGGAGGACCCGATTGCAGTAGCCACCACCGGGCTTCACGTCGGGGGAGACAACAGCATTGGACGTGTCCACGTCGAATATGAGTGTCGATAGCAAAGGACAATATCTGGCGAGATGAGCCAGGCCTTCTAATGTTGTCGCCGTTGGAATCCTCCAGGGGTACTTGGGCGAGCTGAACAGCTGCAAACATTCGAGATGAGGCCACGACATGGCCATTTCATGCACAGCGTCGTCGTCGAGGACGATGCAGTTCTCCGTGTTGAGTATGAAGCTACGGAGATGATGGAAGTCGTAAAGGTGTCTGAAAGACGCGGCGGTGATGGGTTGTGTGACATCCGCCGAGTCCTCGTCAGGATCTGCACTTGTGCCATCGAAAATCTCGACGGTTTCCAGTGTAGCATTCGAGCAGCATTCGTGTACTGACTGAAGCACACTACCGAGTGTCTTTGACTCGTCGAAGGCGTACTTGGATGTCAGGAAGATTTGCTGGAGTTGGACGAAGCGACAAGCAGATAGGACTGTGTCGATGTCGGTCATGGATGAAGCCGACAAACGGAGCGACTTCAGAGCACGAAAGAGAGTGGTCGAGGCAGCATGACCTACTCCCATATCGTTGACGACGGCTTGTCTGTAGTTGAATTCCGAAAGAGTTAGTGTCATGAGGTCTGGCAAAGCTGACAGCTCGGCGAGAATGTCAAACGTTACAGGCGAAGCCGACCGCAATGTAAGAATCTCCAACCTCTTCAGTGACATTAGAGCTTTTCCAGGGATACTGTGAAGCACAGGGTCCCTGTCTAGAGGCATGTCGACTTCTAGCTTCCGGACGCCTGGTGAGCATTGTGGAAGGTGAAGCAATGTCGTATGAATGGCATGGAAGGCAGTGATCCCAGCTGTCCATGCTGGTCTGATGTACAGCTCAGAGAGCCGTCGACCGATGAGTAGGTGCACAGAGTCGCTGTACTCGAGCGGTATGAGCTCTGTCCAGTAGAGTGACGATAAACTGGGGAGCAGTTGATGTGAAGGCCTGGATGAGAAGAGCCAGCGAAAGAGCTTCTCCGTAAGTTGGCCCGGGACGGGTCTCCTTCGGCGACCGACGACTCCGTTTGAATTGAATTGTAATACTCCGACCCGCCGAGCATAGAAGTCAAAACGCTCCCAATCCTGCTGTGTGGTAGGCCGTGTAGGTGCCCTAAGCGTCTGAACCTGCCGCGCAAGCATTTGACTTCCTTCGAAAGCAGAACAACCGCATAAGTACTCACCAACCTGCCCGAAGCATCGTTCGTCATTTTCCACAGTTCTGTCGGTAGACAATTCACGACATTGTGTAGACCGTTTTGATGAAACCATAAATTGTCCAAGGCGGGTTCGTGGAAGACACGGCATACGAGCGCCAAGGACAAGAGTGTCGGCAAGTCGAGAGACCAACCGGGCCAACCGCTCCCCGCTTCGTCAACTATCATGCGAACGAGCTCTGGAGTGGTAAGGGCCTGGTGCACCATGAGTTGTACGATTCTCGTGGAAACACAACCCAGGTATGTTGTGGAATACCACGAGTATCTCAGGCTGAGGCTGTACGCACGAATCTGCACGAATCCAACATTAACGACATCGGCTAGACTAGCCTCTTAGCAGTGACTGACCTTCCAACTCACTCTGCACACTACAGATCCTAATGGGTCGATCACCTTTGCCGGACTAAAGCACTAGCCTTGTAGGACTAGGAGGGAGAGAACGTTGTTCTGTGCGAGCCTGAACTCGTTGAGCTTCCAAATTTCAAGTGTCTTGTTCAACCGCCAGATGAGGGCGGAAACTGCCGTGAGTGGAGTTCTGCACGTGACAACACAAGGTACTGAGGGACAAGATGGAGGAGCTCGACGTTCTAACGTTTCAATACCGTTATGTAGTGAAGGAAAGGTTATTACTACACGGGCCAATACCCAAGTGCTTTCAAGATCCCACGTGTGTATCAGGCTTCCACAGGACTGTGCCAGAGCCTGAAATCTCAAGTTGTCAACGGTGTAAGCACTAGAACCGCGACTTGGATTCGTACTGCACTGCGTTATAAGTTGGAATGACTCACCGATGTTCCTTGGCCACTGAGACATCTTCCGCAGTGCATCAAGCATGTCCTCTACTGGCTTCCAAGAATCTTCGCCCGGAGTATCGTCACTGTGTGAGTTGATCCACTGGAGTTTGGGGAAAATCGCGTATAAGAAGGCCCCAATTTCTGCAGGGCAATCCGACGCGTGCGACCGCTGGAAGTCAACGGCTTGGAGGACTTGGTTACAGTAACTGCCACCAGGCCTCGCGTCAGGTGAGACAAAGGTCCCAGTGGTGTCCACGTCGATTGCGAGCCAGTTCATCGCCGGGCAGTACCTAGCGAGATGCGCTAAGCCCTCCAGCGTCACAGACATCCCGGGCTCTTCCTCGGCTACGCTTTCCAGCTGCAGGGATTTCAGACGGGGCCACGACATGGCCATCTCCTTTAGGTCATCATCGTCGAGGGCGATATACATCTCAGTGAGAAGCTCGAGTTCGCGGATGCTGCGGAAGGCGAAGAGATGACCTAAGGACGCCGCGGTGATGGTGTCAGGTTCCGGTACCTCCTCGAAATCCATTGACGGAAATAGGTCAATGGTGGTGCGTAGCTCGATGACCTCCAGCATAGCATGCGAGCAGTGGTCACGGATCAGTTGAAGCGTGCGATCGAACATACTAGAGTCGGAGCCATAGAGCGACGTCAGGGATAGTCGCCGCAGTTGGGGAAGGCTACAGGCCGACAAGATTGTGTTTATGTCGCTCATCAATGAGAACGTCAGGGTCAAACTCTCTAGAGCACGGAAGATAAAGCTCGGGGCAGCAGCATGGTCTGTTCCAAGTAGACCGCATGCGTCTTCGTCGCCAGAGTGAATAGTGATCTTCGCCTCCGTGAGATGTGGTAGTGCTGATAACGCGGTGAAGACGTCAGGCTCCAGAGGTAGGGTCGACAGCAATGTGAGCGACTTCAGTCGTATTAACGACGCGAAGACTTTGGACGGAAGACGTTGATCATCAGGGCCGCCGTTGGCATACATGTGGATGGTGAGTTCATGTATGTCGGGCGAACGAAAAGGAAGGTGCACCAGCACTTGAGGAACAGCCTGTGATGCGGCGAAATCGGACGACCATACACCCATGTGCAATGTGGAGAGCTGCGGGCCAAATAACATATGCACAGACTCGTGATGCTCGAACGGCATGTTCTCCGACCACCCGAGGAAGGATAGCTTGGGAAACAAATGATGGGATGGTCTTGATGAGAAAAGCCAGCAAAAGATTTGCTCCGAGAGGACGCGAGACTTCCTTCGGATTCTCTTCGGGCCATAATGTAATATTCGGACACGCCGAGCATAGAACTCAAAGCGTTCCCAGTCGCGTTGTGTGGTGGACCTTGTAGGCTCCCTGAGTGTCTGGACACAAATACGAGTTCCAGCCTTGATCACAATGCAGAACGACTGTATGCTCACCAGAGTCTTGCCAGAATCATCTGAGATTTTCCACAAGTCTCCCGGTAAACACTCGACGAGATTGCCCAAGCCGTCCTGACGAGACCATATCATGTCCAGGGCGGGTTCGTGGAAAGCGCGGCATGTGAGCGCCAATGCAACGAGTGTTGGGAAGTCGGACCTCGACCAACTCTCGCCGTCGTCCGTTGGAACTTCACTGACTATCAACTGGATGAGCTCCGAAATGGTAAGGGCCCGATGCACCATGGACTGAACGCTTCTTGTTGTGAGATAGCGCAGGTGATAATGCCGTCGCACAGCTAGTATTGAAGCCGTTAACCCAACATCCATCTGTTAGTAGTATCACTGACCTCTACCGAATCTACGACTCACAGCTATAGGTCACCTTCGAACTGATCAAAATGCACGCCTCGTTTCCTTGTACAGTTTGAACTGCAGTGTGCCAGTGAGATCGTCAAGCGTGAATGAAATGTGGCTCGTCCGAAGGGAGCGGAGAATGCCGTGGCCGACTTATGAGCGCTAATCCAACACCGCCTCACGTCTCTATCGTTTTGGATACAGCTGTAAAGGCCGCAAGCTCGCAGCGCAAGTGAAGGCTTGGTCCGGCCAACCACGGACTGAATGCGAGGAGTTCAGCTGAACTTCGTACGAGGCAACCGATTCAATCATATACATGAAGTCGACGGCGCTCAAGCTTCCCGGTATGTATGAGAGAGACAGACAATTCCGGCTCGCACATAATACTCACGATGCCCTGATTTGACAGTTGCGTGCACCTGTAATTTCTGCGTTGCATCGTCGTGAAACGCGTACCCCGCGATGCACAGAGCACTAGCCGTCCCGGAGCTCCTTCGCATGATACTCGATCACACTGGCGGTGAACAACCTTACTTACCGGCGCTTCTCGCGTTCGCTCTTACATGCCATGCTTTTCTTGAACCCGCCCTGGATATCATATGGCACTTTCAGAACGGTCTGGGGCACCTGGTCGAGTGTCTGCCCGAAAAATTCTGGGAAGCCTCTGAGTCTGCGCATTCACCGGCACTGGTACGTGCAACTGTCCGCGAATTGCAAGGCCAAAGAAGAAACGTGTATCTGATCTCCCGTAGATGCCTAGAAAGCCTGACAAGCACACTACACCTCAAGATTGGGAGCGCTTTGACTTTTACGGTCGGCGTGTTCGAGAGCTGCAATGCGGCCCGTCACGCAGTCTTGGACATATGTCCCGGGCGATATCGGATGCCCTTTTTTCCTGGCTCGTTTCGTCAAGACCCCACTATCCATTGCTGCCAACGCTTCGCAAGCTCATTTGGACGGAGAGCAGGACATATGGGTACTTCGGCTCTGCACAACTGTTCTTTGGGCAGCAGCTCTCCGTGCTGAATATTGAGAAACGCAGGCCCAGCTCAAAGTACTCCTCCAACATTATCACCCCGACCCTCCAACACCTTCCACGACGCTCACCAGATGTCCGAGAGCTAACCATCTATGTCGTTGACGGATCTATGGACAATAACCAACCTGACCCCTTTCCCGATAAGGCCTTCGCGTCATTGCAGAGGCTGGAGTCTCTCACGTTGATGACGAGCATGCCCATGTCGTTCAGCAACCTCGCGGACCTCGCGACACTCCCGCACCTCGCAAAACTGCACTTCAAGGCCGTATTCAACTCCTTACTGTCAGCCGTCCCGTCCACGGCGGTGCACGCTAATACAGGCCGTCTCACCTTCCCCTCTCTCTCGACGCTGTCTTTGCAATCCGTGTCCATGGGCAGCTCCGTCGAATTCCTATCAGCATGTCGCCTTCCCACCCTCAAGACGGCATTCATCAATTCGAACGCAGCCACGGACCCGGCCACCATTGGACGTGTGCTGCAGCTACTCCGCGAGCGGTGCTCGCCGAGCGTGTTGGAGGAAATCGATGTGACCAGCGGCCTGGACGCCGATATCGAGGGGGAAGGTGCACAGGTCGTCACCATGGAGTCGCTGAGGCATCTCTGCGAATTCCGCCGTCTCCGCAGCTTCAATCTTTTGACGGAGATGTGCATTGTCCTCGACGACGACGCCGTCAGGGAGTTGGCCATGTCGTGGCCCCGACTGGAGCGCCTGGAGTTCTGGTGCACGGCCATACACCCCTGGGGGCATCCGACGGCTACGACGCTCCAGGGTTTGGCGCATTTTGCGAGGTACTGTCCCTTGTTGGCATCGCTCATGATCGACGTGAATACATCGGGCACGGATGTCTCGCTCCACGAGAGGCCCGGCGGCGGCTGCTGCAATCGGGCCTTGCGAAGCATTGATTTTGGCCAGTCCCCTCTCTGGGAAACCCCGTGAAAGTGGCGGCGTTCTTGTTCGCGATCTTCCCGGACCTTGCGGAGTTCAACGAAGGGAACGATACGCTGCTCGTCGAGTCGTGGCAACCCGTGCAAGAGGCTTATCAGGTTCTGCGGTTGGCGCGTCACTGGTGGAAACAAGCGGGTGAGTTGCGCACACACCTGTAGTTGCGCAGTCTGCTGACGGGGAAGCACAGGTGGATGAATAGGCAAGCAGTCGCATGTGCATCGTGTATGGAGGTGCTACGTGGAATGTGAGGTCGTGCACATTGTCGACGTCTCTGATCTTCAAGTTCAATGTTGCGATGAAACAAGAAACCAACGTCGAATTGTTGTAAAGATACTTCCTTTCGTTAAGACGACTCGGGTTCAAGACTGCACCAGAGACTACATTCGATAGTAACATAAGAAACTAAGTAACAAGCATAAGTACTATATTCGAAGCAGCGCTCAGGCGGCGCTTGCCGGGCGCTTATGTCTCGCAACCCTACCTTGGCGTGGTCGAGGACGACGACTGCGGCAGTGTACGCCTCCATGGCTAAAATCAAGCTTTCAGCACGTCCAGCACGATGAGTGCCTCGACTTTACCGAACACCGCTGCGCTGGCAGGTCGTCTGGTTGCTCGTGCACGACACCGACAATCCTTGGGTCTCCGAACATCTCAGCATGCGCGGATCCACGCGCGGTCGTACTCCCAACCACCTGTTCAACAAAGCCTGGCAGGCGAGGTGAATCGGAAGGAAGAATCTGATGCGTCTCAACGTCCTCATTCGCGCGATTCTGAGCCTCGCGCCAGGCCGGGAGGTTTCCCAACTTCGGGTTCGTCATTTGTCGACGCGGCAGCGACAGCTTTGATTGGTCTTGGAGCTGGTAAGTGTGCGCAATTGCTACCTATTCCCTCGAGCTCTGTCTATTGTTGAGGAGGGACTGGTATGATTCGAAAAAAGAGTTAGGCGGGACAGTAACAGTGGCTGTCAGAACGATTCGAGTCTCGATTGGGAGAGTGACTCGAGGCCCTTGCCGAAGGTTAACCCTCGTGGTTCAACACGTCCAACCTTTCTTGCTGTGAGGCTCTCTGAGATCCTCTGAGGTGCTCGTCGGTGGCGAACGTGTGAGAATATCCAACCGCCTCGCTGGGACGCGACATTGGCTTCTCCACGAATCACAACCCATTAGAATGACAGTAACTGACAGCAGCGTCTAGTGTTCTTTGGTGGTGTCGCATATGTCGCCTGGTACAAGAAGAACGTCCTCGACAAGGTGAGGACCTCATGCGCTCGCCTTCAAAGAGACTACCTTCTCAGACACCCCGTAGATCGAACTTGCGTTTGCGAGAGGCTACGACCCAGCCCTCGAGCTCGCAAGCAATCCACGCACGCAGCACGACACCGGAGACGATTACGTTCATTGGATGAAACACGTACGCCGCCGAGAACAGTCCTCACTTGACCGCATCATCAAGGGCACCGAGGCTGGACAGTATTACCTGTTGCTCGGACCTAAGGTACGTGCGGATGTCGTGCGCATTTCACGAGAGGGTCAGGGAGCTGAGCGTGGGTCGCGTAGGGCACTGGCAAGGGCACGATGATGCTTGACGCGATGCAGGCGATCGAAGCCGAGGGTGTCGCTATGTGTGATGCGCACCCAGACCTGGAAGTCTTCCGTCTGCGTCTCGGCAAGGCGATGAATTATGAGTTCAACGAGGACACGCAGACCAGTCTCTTCCAAAGGCGTGATCCTCGGGAAGGTCTGTGGACTCGATCCTCGCGCGCAGGTTCATATTGATCGCACGAACTCGCAGCGGGGCCGTCCTTGGATATCGAGCGAGGTCAGTCGAGGGTGTGTCTGCCGCGCGGTGCCGGTAGTCATATACTACGTGCACAGCGTTGAACAAGCTAGAGAAGGTCGCGCTGCGATACGCACGAAGAACAGGCAGGCCTCTCGTTTTGATCTTCAATAATATCCATTTCTTCAAGAATGACGATGATGGGAGGCAGATGCTGCTGCAGATGCAGCAGCGCGCAGAAAGCTGGGCTGCTGCCGGTGGGTGTTCCGCTCTCCTCTCATGCACATCATTCCCGCTCACTCGTTTCGCCCACCAGGAATCCTGACGATGGTGTTCAGCAGGTATTCATTATGAAGCTTCATAGTTCTCCTCTGCTCACATGTATCAGCGACGACTTCTGGCCCTTTCTTGTCATGCGTAGGTCACTTACTTAGTTGTCGTTGCGTGTATCCCTAACACGTCTTTCAGGAAAGACCGCCAGCAGAATGCAGGTGATCCCCATCTCACCACCCGCGTCAAATGCACGTTCTGACCGCAGCACCCCATGTAGGTCGTGACGGTGTCCGACCTGAGCTTCAAGGACGCGCTGCGCGCCTCGGCACAGATGCGCCTGAACGCGAAGCTCCCGACCGACTCAGAGGAGCTCCACGACGCCGTGTCCATAGTGGGCGGACGGCTGTCGTACCTCGCGCAGCTCTCGAAGACCGCGAACATGCGCGAGCACGCGCAGCAGATGCTGGATGTCGAGAAGGCGTGGCTGCTGAGTCTCATCGGCCTCATACCCGACTGTGACGACGATGTCATGGACGAGCAGAAGTGGAGCTCGTGCTCGTGGCTCCTCCTGCGCGAGTTCGTCAAGCAGCGGCGCGCGGACGAGCGCGAGCGTGCGGAGGCGCTTGCGGCCGGTGAGCTGTCGTCCGAGGGGCTGGACGAGCTGCCCCTCCCGAAGATTCCATACGTGAGTATCGCTCCTTTGGGCCTAGCTGTGCTGTCTGCTGACCTTGACGTTCAGTATAAATGTCGTCAGATAATGACCAGGGCCGACTTTCTTGAAGGTGCGCCGTGCATGCGTGTTGTTCGCGGACTGCCAACTTATTGTCTGCCAGACCTCGATCGCGCCAATGTCATTGCCATTGATGTGAGTCTTCGCGGTTTCATGAGGGTCGGACGCTGATACGCACTCCCGCCGGATCCCAGACGAACCATGACGTTACGCCGGACTCCGTCCTGCTGCTGCAGGCGGCGCAGAAGGTCGTGGAGGAGGAAGGGTTTGACGACCTACTGGACGGCGTGCGGAACCGAGTGGACGAGATCGAGAGTCTCCATCGCACGAGGGAGTTGACGGTGCGTTTCACTGCTGGCCAATACAACGGCCGCACGCATCCTCCCTACCGGTGCGCAAGACGCTAATGAACATCCTTCCAGTTCAAAGACATAAGCGCGGGTGATCGCATTCGACTCTCGGTGGACAAAGGGGGCGCGGTTTCGGTCACTGGCTGATAGGCCTGCGTAGAACCACGATCCCGCGAGTATGTTCGGCCACACTACCCAACACCGCGTTCAGCGCAAGCATCGCAATGCGTTGAGGACGTGTTTCGGCCTAGTGCGTTCCATTCCCTATCTCGCTGAGCGGCTCGTCGCAACTTGGCTGTGAGTCGGACGCAGTACATGCATATCAGAGGTCCCAGCCATGCTTTCCCCGCATGAAGGGGACGGAGAGGTCTATCATCCCTGTCCCCGCGAACCAGTGCGCGTCCGCTGATTGGTCCGTCGGCCGCTGATAGACGCAAGAAGGTCATTTAACGGCTCGACGCTGGGAGCGCGGATGCCGCTAGAACTCTCATGCTCTCGTGCGCCTCCTCCCGGCGAACTTTGCACTCGCGCTGGGCCGTCTCACGGTTGGCTGCGAGTGCAGTGACTGCTCCACGATTTGCACGCGCACTAACGTCCACTGGCGACTCTATAGTTTGTGTAGGGTGGATCTTCGCTTCCTGCATTGTGGGATGAGGGCCTGACCTCCTTGAGCACCGCGCTGTACGTCCAGACGCATCCCGTATCGTGCGTGAAACGCTTGACCCGGGGGATCCCAGATACCTGTCCTCCGATGCATCGCGCACCTTGGGAGAACTGGCACAGCGGCAGGACGGCGCTCGACGATTGGGCGTGGTTGGGTCTGTCCCCCTTACGCTGGACAGATTGAACATTCACGTAGACGTCTGAGAAGATGTGCATGGGGATGTGAAAGACGAAACGCTGCGCCCGCGTCTAGCGATGGCGGAGGGTCGGAGCTCTTTGAAAGCATCCGCTGCCGAGGGTCAGCAGATTCCCTCCGCGGCTCTAGACTTGCTATCTCGTGGCGAGTAGCGCGTGCTGGCGAGTGACTTTGACGTCGTTTTATATGGTTCGTGTGCAGCTCAATCTCTAGTGAGCATGGCGATTTGACTAGTATACTCATTGTGCGTTCCACCGTCCAGCCGGGTTGGTCTGAGCGAACAATGTAGAAGTGTGTCTACTCTCTAAGCCTCAGTATGAGAATGAAGAATGGAGTGCGAGCACGTCTACTAGTTCGATAGGACAGACTTCTGCGCTTCGTAGGCACGTTGATATCGTGGCCGCATCGACGAGGTTCCGTTTGCTTCCTGTACTAGCAGTTTATCCGAGTGGTTGATGAACCATCCGGTTTCACGGACGGCAGCAGGCCGGCCATCTGAGTCTTTCCTCCTGGGTGCAAGTACAGCGCTAGTAGCTCCAGTTGAACAATAGACAACAATCGCGAGGTGAGATTCGTCGAAGTCGCAGCATGAACAAGAACTGCCCGTTTCGGATACAAGGCAGTCTCCCTTTTCAGGAGAAGCATCGTATATTGGCTGAGGTGACCATCCGTGTCTCGAGTGTATCGTACTTGAAGTATGGGCACGTTGTTCGTGCCTGTGATGTTATGACCGGAGACGCCGCATACACCTAGTAGGCCACTTGCCCCAAGAGCGTACAGCATTGGACGGTTGAACTTGAAGACGCATTCAATGCAAGTACCGAGTCGACCGCGACAGCCACAGGAATGATGGACGGGCGCGTCGCTGATGGCAGACGCCCCAGCCAAGGCAATCCACCGCGCTACCAGACCAGAGCAAGTGAATGGCGTCATGAGGATGACCGTGGATGGTGGCGTTGGCGAGCTCGGGCCCTCGGGCAGGTCGACCAGTATGGCTTATCGATGTCAGGAACGCAGATATGGTGGCTAGTCGGGATCGACTCGCCACCGACTTCGAATTCACTGCGTAGCTTGCGGGGCAGCCAGCCCGAAGGAAGACACATATAGATGAAGAGCCGATCCGTACGGGAGCTCGTGGTCGCCTTCACTGGCCCTACAGTCGGCATACATACATGCAGCTGGCCCGGTCTTCGCAGATCCTAATAACACAGTAGCAGAGCACCCTTCACTCCGCAGATCATGATCTTGTTATGGACCTCGGCACGGGCGAAGTCCGAGAAGGAGGGGCCCTATCCGCAGCACGCCAAAGGCCGCCTTCCCTCTACGTTGTGGCCATCTGTGAAGTTCAGTAGCACGTATCATAAGGGATCCCGGCAGTCCGAAGACATGCTCGCCCGCCTCCAATGCACGTTCCTGTATCGCAGATCCTGTCTTCTCCCGCGACATGGTCCGATAGGTCGAGTGCTTGGAGCGGGGAGGGCCTAGCAGCATGATCCGGCACCGACAGAACAAACGGGGTCCATAGCTTGCTCCTAGGGCGAAACTCGCGCGGGAGCCGTCGAGCTCTCCATTCTCAAGTCTGCGTGGATACGCCGCAGACATATAAGGCCATGGCTTGCGCGTGATACAGATGCACTAAGCATACCGATGCGGAAGGGCGATCTACGGCGATAAGTCAGAGCATCGGGAAGATAGGGTAAATTTGGAATAGGGTGCACCGTCAGGACACTGGGAGACAAACCTGGACCAGTCGCAAGTGACGTCAAGGTCCCGCTGAGCTTTGGGCATCGCCAGCCTTGGCCTTGCATTGTACTTTCAAGATGCCAAGCGCGAATCTGTGCTCGGCAAACGGCTGCGCCATGTGCGCGACGCGGACTCGAGGATACTCAACTCCTGTATTCCCGCGTCAGAGAGCGTACAGATTGCGGAGCTGATCACCGTGTGAGGGCAGCAGAGCTTGAATGATAGCGACTTAGTGTGAGCAACCTGACTGTGTGCGAAGAGGCAAACGCACCCATATCCTCGGACCGTCACGGGCACTGCTGCGTCGTTTGAGTGGAACGAGTCTGAGGATACGACAGACGCCTATCTGAAGCTTCAACCGGCCCCTTAGGACCAGTCCACGACACACCGAGACACTGTCGCTGTTATGATCATTCGCAGTCGGCGTCGGATAACAACAGAAATGCTGTCCGACCCCACCGACACCTACCAATCCAGCGTCTATCAGCTGCAGGCGTTCCGTAGTGGCCATGTACCAGGGCGCCTGAGGATAAATGAACGCCACCAGCCTGGCTCGGAAGATGGAACGCTGGGAGTCTGAAATGCCCGCCCTCGCGCCGTTTCATATAACTCTCGTGTACACCACGCGCGCACGCGCGCACAGAACGGGTTCGCACGGCCGCGGAGGCCATCGCACCGCCTCGCAACTCAAGAAATGCTTCAGCACATTGCCCATCCCATTGCAAACGAACGAGGATGGCACGTACGGACAGTTCGACGCACGGACCAGCAAATTTTAGACGTACGAGATGAATTGGCTGCTCCCCGATCCGCCTGCGGGTGGAGTCGATTGTGATCTCGACCAATCATGGGGCAGATCTGCCCGTCGCACGTACGGGGTCAGATGCGGCGAACGTGGGCACCCCAGACCCAGGACCGAGCCCGTCCCTCGCCCTCGGAGCCAACACAGCTTCCACCCACTCTCCGGAGCAAGCGCGCAAAGTCGGGGTGCGGGGCCTATGCTCCGAACGCCCGCTGTCCCACTCGGGAAGGTCTGTATTGCTTATGTAGTTATTGCGTGTAATAGTAGACGGCATACTGGCGATATGAAGCTTCATTGCATTGAGGGTTAGCAAACCTTCTAAGGTGACATAGAACTCACATGTATCGATGGGCAGGATAGGGATGCGACTCCCTCCCTGCGTGCGATCTGAGCCTCGACGAAGATGCGTCTGGCTCGTGTCTCGTCTGACCGCTGACCATGTCCCCTGTAGTCTTCGAGACACGTCCGATGTTGAACGTTGAATCCGTGGCCGCCGGAGCATCCTTCACCGCTCTACGTCGCTCCTCCGTAAAATTTGCTCAGTCGGTTTGGCATCGCGATGGACAGCGTGAACGTATAGGAACATATTAGTGATCGCACTCACTTTGCTCACCGTTTTCCTAACTCCATAATGCAGTGCTCGTCCTCCGTCCGCTCTGCACTTCCGCGCCGGGTCATCTCGGTGGCGCACCATGGTCCGGTCGGAGGCAAATTTCCTGAGTGTATGAGCGTCACACCGTCACAGCGAGTGACTCACCGTGACTCGCCTCGATATGGACCCACTGCGGGGGCTGGGAACGAGGGTCTGGTGTAGCGTGTCAGCGGGGAACGGACGAAGCCTATATCGAGGGCCTGTACAACCCTTGACGCGGACCCATGTGACGACGTCAGAGGTGCATCTCACTTTGCCAGAGATGCCGGGAATAAGAGAGTTATAAGTAGGGGTCGCGCTGATTCATCGATCCTGGTCAAGAAACATGTCCAATGACCGGTGGAGGAGGGAGGAAGTGCTGAACATTGATGATACCAACACGAACAGACATTGGTGGATAGGTACTGAGTCGCAAAGACTGTAGTCGGAACTGAGACATTGACGTAGACAGAGATCAAAGCAAGACTTACCGAATCCATACGGCATGGGTGCGCCAACAGAGGGATGAGTCGGAGGCGAGTCGAAGCATCACGAAAAAGGTCTGTACTAGGCGCCTGTCAGACAGACCATCAGAAACCAGCCAACCCAACCGTGCAGAACGGGGTTATGACGGAAGGAACTGCATACGAGACACCCTGTTTCCAACGAAGGGCCAGCGTTTGACATAGAGATAGGCCTCGGATGTCGTCAGACGTTCCCACTGTATGCCCAGTGAGTAGCACAAACGAAACAACAACACTATGCGGGCGTTCTGAGACGGTGCTCGAAGTGCGTTGTGCTCCAGCGCGAGATGTCTAAATCTTCCACCGACACAACTCGGAGCGGCGCCCGCATGACGCAGGTGCGTTCAGTGAATCTTCGAGTGTGCAAAAGTCACCGTACTCTGTCGCACGCCCGTCACAGAGCACCAGAGGCTTCCATCAACTCGCCACCTGTTATACGCCGGGCAGGCAACGCGAAGATAAACTCGCATACCTTACGTACCCAAGACGCCGATGAGAGTGAGACCCAGGTCGCAGAGCCGTTGACAGCTCCCAGGCGGGTCCAAGGACGCGTTCCAAAGCACATCGCGTCCCCGCCCGACATGTGCACAGTCCAGCTCGAAGCACATTGCGCGCGCCTGTCAGGGGAGATCATGACATGCGGGTACCCAACAAACTGCCACATACCCGGGCGCGAATCTCGAAGCGAGCGACGGATCGGGCGCGGCGCGAGCTCACTGGCACTCGATCCCGATCATGGCGTTGGACAGTGCAGCGCAGCTCCGTCTCCGAGGCCGCCGGAGAGAGCGAACAATGGCGAGAGTGCCCTGTACTGTGTGCGGGTGGGTGTCCATCATGCGCAATATCATCGCTGTCCGCCGTGAGATCGTGCATCAGCGTGGAGGGCTGGCAAGTCGGGTTCCAGTCGGGGATGTGGGGTGGGTCGGGCGTCGTGGACCGTGCGGTGTCCACAATGGTATGAGCAGTGGGTGGGCGCAGTGCGATGCAGTGGACGAGGTCGGACTTGGTCGAGCGTGACCGCCGCGGAGACCGTCGGGGTGATGGGACACTGGGAATGATCGTCAGCGACGCGCATACTTAGCGTATTGCAAACACCACGGGAACGCATCACAGGCCGGCCAGCACAAGTATGCAAGGTGCTTATATACGGAGAGTGGTTGCGTGCGATAGTGATGCGACGTACGAGGATCTCCATACTGGACAGCAAGCGAGCCGCACTGGCATACTAATCACGATCCCGCTTTCCAATGAAGAGGCAGCGGCAAGAACCACAGACGTCAGTGCGTGCGCACCTCGAAGCATACCAGCTACCGCACATTATGCGAGGATGTCCGGTCCGCGCACAACGGCGGGACCTTCGACGAGCGTATGAGACCGCCGTCGGCCCCTGGCTGCACGCCCGTCATGCACAGCATCTCAGTCAACACTGAAGCATTGGAATGATGATGGTGGCGTCGCGCGACCCGGACTCGCACCGGAGACTGCCCGTTTCGGGTTGCTGCCCAGTACGCCCAGCCGTTCGAACCCCCGAGCCACAGGCCCCGGCTTCGACGCCACCAGATGGGCGAGATCGCACTCCTACGTGACACCGAGTCGTCAGTCTGATGTAGTAAGGTTCTGTGAAGGGCAGTTTCACGAAAGCATATCAGGTAGAGCACGCCACGAGAGCCGGAGCATGTCCACGACGTACCATGACCATTCAGATTGTAGATCCGCGACGGCCAGGTGTTCTGCACGTTAGCTAACGCGTCCACGACAGCTCGAAGGGCTCAGTGCATGTGAGAGAGCCCATCATCCGCGGCGAATGGCGTCCGTTCGATTGCGAGTAGGTGTCCACGGGCTGCACGCCAGAGAGCTGCGAATGACGACGTCCCAGAGAACACAGTGGCCGTCAGTGTCTTCGACGTAACGTAACACCGCACGCAGCCATCAACGCTCGTCGCCCAAGCATACAATTCGACGTACCGGGGCCGCGTTGCAGCTAGTACCACTTCCAAGTCCAACCACCACGACCTCGCGCGCGTCTCCCCACACCGAGGAGGTTCCCGGGCGTCCCAGCACTGACGTCACGCGCGGCCAATACACGTTTCGCGCGCACAATGGAAGGCCCTCCCCAGGATCGGAGTAGTGCCTCCCAGGACGCTACTCGGGCGCCCGCACTATGTCCGTCGCACCTGACGCGAGCTCGCCTTCGCCGTTGATGTGCAGGCGCGCTCTGCGCTGTATGTGGCAGTTGGCGAGTACGCTCCTAGTAGCTCAGAGGCAGGCCGGAGCGAGTGCGGGCGAGCCGTGTCATGATCGTCATCGCCGTCACGGTGGGTCACTGGCAGGAGAAATCCCGGGACGACTTACGGAGCCTGGATGGACCCTGTGGGTATTGAGCGCGACGGGGGCGCCAACGCTGGGGCCAGCGTATGAGCGTACTGTACTCCAGGGAGAGGAAGAGAGGAGAAGCTCGGGCAGATGAACGGCGGCGGTTGAATGTTGGACATCGACTGGGAGCGAGCGTTGGAAGTGGAAGGTGGTTTCGGTATTGGTGAGGGCACCGTGACGCCACCAGCAGAACATGACGGAGGATGTGGTGTAGGGAGCGTGTTTCCGAGAAAAAAAAGCTCGTACGCAGTCCCTTCCGATTGCAAACGTACACAGGATCATAGTGCCTCTGCAGCTGGTAATTGCGCGCAGTGGGTGCACCACTTCGATCGTGTTGAATGCACCGCTTCGGTCGTGCTTCGGTGGCGCAGTCAAAATCGGCTTGCTTGGCTGTCCGCGCACAGAGGATCGCAGCAGTCGTATGCATCTTCCAAGGAGAGAGACAGGCCTTCGATGATGGTGAACAGGACAGCATGGCGCAGACACGCCTCCAACAAGGCGATGTGTGCGCGTGCCACGATCGACGTCTGAGTGAATCACTCAAGTACGTACAGTTCCTAGACTATCACGCATGGGCCCTGGGCAGCGAACATCAGCATCGAGTTCCAATTGGATCTGAGACGGAGGAAAGCACACCAGGAGAGGGGACAATAGGTGGCGATGACGGGGCGATGAGGCATAGCGGCAGCCAAACTGCGCAAACCGTTGGGATCCGGAGAAGGCGCGAAGGTAAGGAAGAACAAGGCTGGGCGAGTGTTACCTTGTCCGTAGGGTGCTGTACGTATGCCGCGTCTGCAGGGACGGCCCGAGCGAGCTGTACAATAGGCCAAAGCGGGCTGAATGGGAGCGTCGATTCAGGCAGGCCTGAGGTCACATCTGACGATCGCTCGACGCCCGAACGGGCGAGCAATTGGGGCGCTCTGCATTCTTGCACGATCGCGAGCACCCGCGGAGCGTATCAAGCCAAACACACACCGAATAGAACGCCCGCATTTGTAGACAACACGAAGGCCAAAGCGGCCGCATGCGCGCGCGAGCTCCAGGTGGCGTCGACGAGCCGCCGGCTATTGTACCGCATTTGGGCGGCGTCCACAAACAAGCGTCGCACCGACGCGAAGCACGAAGTGACTCTGGCGGTGGCAGGGACGTGCAACCGCCGTCCGCTCGAGCTCTTTGATCGACGCTTTTCGAGCTGCGACTGATCGTTCCACGCAGGCACAGTTGTTCGGGGCACTGCAGGCCAGTCTTGGGCTGAGACGCCGATCCGAATAGTGCGACGACGTCGCGTCACACTCGAAGGGGGACGCTCTATAGCCAGCTAGTTCGAATGCAGCAGACACTGGAACATGCAGCTGCGGTGCCACCGTCACTGTCCCTCACGGGCCTCAGCGCACCATCGCGGACGTCCCGACGGAAGTCGGCGTGATGGCCAATCAAACCGCGGGGTGATTGGCGGGAGCGTGTAGGGGGCTCGCTGCCAACGCCGCATCACACTGCAGAGACACGCAGGCTGTGCGTCGCAGCGGGCGGTGGGAGCGCCTGGACAGAACTGGCCGTCGGTCGCATGGCCCGCTGGCTCCTTCCTTTTCGGGAGGCGTCACGGCGGACTAGACCCCGCCGCCACGCGCCGCCGGTGGCTGAACAGGCATGCAGAGCGGGCCGGGCGGGACCCGGAACACCTCTCTTGCCCCTTACGCTCGTGCTTTGGCCTCTCATGCTGTTCGGCATGGGGACTTTCGAAACACAAGCGTGGATGAGACAAGGCCTGCGTTAAGGGGAGTCACTGGTCGCGAAGGTGAGCCGCATATAGGTGCTACGGTGCAGCGCCTTGGGGCAGCATTGATTTGTGTTAGTGGGCATACGTTCGAGTCAAATTGATCATGATAGTTCATCTCGTCCTTGTCGGAAACATATTGTGAGGCGATGCCTGATTTCTTTTGCGCTGAAGCATCAGACCGGTAGAATGACAGTGCGTCCTTGTCTCTGTGGAAAGGATGCAAGCAAATTATCCTATACACGTCGTCGATCAGAGGCGAACATCTATGTAAGCGGATCCTACCCACTGACTCTCTTTGTAGTGACTGAATGCTATCATCCGGATCCGGTGGTCAAGACACCAACCGCATACACCATGTATTGCGATATCCTAGGTAGAAATGAACGAACCACTGGACGTTGGTCACCGAAGGTGTCCTGTCCCCTGCGGGACAATAGGCGGAGCCCACCAAGAGCGCCACGATAATTTCCTTTCCTTTTGTGTCTTACAAAAGCAGACTGCCCCGAGGTATGTTCTGCGCTTGACTCTGCTCATCGTTCCTGCCATTTCTGGCAGGGAAGCGTGTGTTCGAGGTCCTTCCGGCGTTGGCCACAACGGACGCTTCAGCCACCTGCCGGAAGGGGATGTCACAGGGGCGTGTCACCCTGCCTCATCGGGACAGACCCCAAAGCGGAGCTTAGGCGCTTGAGCGATGGGCCGAAACAGCGTCGAGACAACAGCGCCTTTGTGCTCGGGCTTATATATCCACACCACTCCGTCGCGAGAACGCCGTCAAAATTTCCCCAACCCCCTTCCTCCTCCATCCCATCCCCTCCCAGGGCTCATTCTGCGCGCACTGCCCCTGCGCCCCGCGACATTGTCTGTGCATTGACTTGGATAAGGACCGCGCGCCGCCTCGAGGCTCTGGACGATAGGGTCGCGTTCCGCCGCCACGCCATTTCCGCGCCGAAAGGTTGAAGGGTTCACACGGTGAGTGTTTGTTGCATCCTTTTTCCGGATGGGGCACGGTGCCTTTGCCGGGCACGAGGCTGCGCTGGCGCCGGGGGGCCGCTCTGGCGACTGGGCGAGGGGGCTGAGCCGATAGGCCCGCGTGTTGCCGGGCACGCGGCAGGGCGTCCCCAGGCGCGAGCTGTTGCCTGTCGCCCAAATTCGCGAGAGCAGTTCTGATCGGGCAGGAGCGTGATGGGGTGCCACCTCGTCGTTTATCTTGCCTCGCCTCTTCCCAGCGGGCCTTCTGTCGCCCATGCGTCAGCTGTACGCACGCCCGCTTGCTTGACCCCTTCCGAGGCTTCTGCGTCGCTATACCCCGAGCGTGCTGACTTATATCCCCTCCAGTCTCCCTCCGCCGCCACCATTTGTCGCCCACCGCCACCGCGCCTGTCTGTGGCTCCGTCTCGACGCTCTGTTACTATCCCATCATGGCTGCTGTCTCAGGTCCCTCTGCCGCCCGCCACCCCTCGCCTTTCCGGAGAGCGAGCAAGATTACCTCAAGACCGCCGCCAGCGCCGTCTAGTGGAACCAGCGGGCATAGCGCGCACCATGGCATCGTGAGTAACCCTTCTGACGTAGCAACCCAACCGAACACTAACAGTATTCCTCCAGCCTGACCCGTACTACGGCCACGAAGAGACCGCCAAGCTCTGCGCGAGGTTCGTGACGCATTTGTTTGCGTGCCCCGACCTCCCTCCGTTATCCACCGCCAATCCGCCAGCACCGTCGCCGCCGCTCGCATTGTTTATCGCCTACGCCCTCCATAGAACGCGACTGCACACTTCGGTGACCTTCGCCGCCCTCTACCTCCTCCAACGTCTAAAAGCGCGGTTCCCCGCCGCCCGCGGCTCGTCGGGCCACCGTCTCTTCATCTCCGCCTTCATGATCGCGTCGAAAGTCATCTGCGACGACACCTATTCCAACAAGTCGTGGAGCATTGTCGGACAAGGCATGTTTGCCCTCCGCGAAATCAACCAGATGGAGCGGGAGATGTGCTCCTACCTCGAGTGGCAACTCAACATCGAGCCAGCAGCGCTGAAGGAGTTCGAGGCGAAGGTGCGGAGGGACTTCAAGGGCCACGGGCCATACCCCACGTACGTACTCCCCTCGCCTGCGCCGACACCAGTACCGTCGACGACGCCATACGGCGCCACGTCGACCACCACCCCGAGCTTCGCCGCGCGTCCGTCGACGTCGCCACCGAAGCCCACCCCCATGCCCGTCGACGCCAGCACGGCGTACCCAAGTCCGCCCACGAGCCCCGACACGCCCGACACGCCCGAACAGTCGTACTCGACTTCGACGAGCCCGGCATCGTCCGCATCGCCGTCGACGCCACCGGGTTTCGTCGACGCGAACATCCGCATCGCCTCGCACAGCACCCACGGGACGCCCCACGCCATCGAGCAAGAGTCCGTCGCCGCCGTCGTGCCGCCGCCGATGCAGAAGCAAACGGGCCGGTCGCTGTCGAGGTCGAACACGTTCGACTCTTTTCCTGAGAAGGGCTCGCCTTCAATATCCGACGCCATCTCGACCGACCGCGCCTCGGCGACGAAGAAGGCGAAGGGCCAGGACTGGTACGCCCACGCGACGCCGTGCGTGTGGTAGGCCCGTCGCGCGCCATGATATCTCTATTTCCCATGCTTGCTTTCCTCCAACCGGCCGCCGCGTCGTTGCTCGCGCGGGCGGCCGCCGTCGCTCATTATATCGGACACCGTGCTCTCGCATAGGACCTCTTGCATCCGGTTCGTGGCGCGTTTCTCTTCTTCGTCGCTCTCGCATTGCCCCGCCCGCTCTCATGCCTCTGCTGCCGCGAACTCTTCATTTGTGCATTGTCTCCTACCTTGTTACGCATGTTCGTCTCCTATTACCTGTCCACGATATTTGCATGCACTGTATCAATACCATACAAAGTACCTTATCTATAGTTGTACATGGCTGCTTAGGGCTCTCCACTATAGGGTCTTGCGTCTTCCGTTATATAGGTGAACATAGGCTGGCCGTAGTGTTAACGCGCTCACGAAAAATATAATGAAGCTAAAACACTGCAATTCCTTTCACTTGTGTGATCTTTTGAGAGCGCTACTTATTGGAATACATCGAACTGCACTATCGAGCAGGCGAGCGAGTGAACGTCGACGCCAGTGGACTTTGTCGTCTACTCCCATCTTGCCGCCCACGTCTGAACATCTCTGCGTTCTCCTCCCAAGTCTTTTCCTCCACCTCTCTCTGATCAACAGCTCGGTCGCTGACTGCAAAACCGGGCTAATCCAACTACAGTCATCGCCGTTCCACCCGCACCGACCGATCACTCTCTCCGACGTCCCTAGTCAAGCAAATCTCTTCCTTCTGACGGGTATATGCGTGCTCTCGCGCCACCGCCCGCAGTGCCGTCCGGAAGCTCACGATCGGGTAGGTAAACGTTCACCAACGAGGCCTTTCCGCTCCGGGTCGCGCCCGCGACCCCTGGACCGCGCGCAGGAGAATCATCGGGCTGCCGCCTTGGCGATACGCACGCCGACCTGGCCGACGGTCAGCGGGTGGTGTGGACGCTGGGCCGCCAGGTACGACTACGTTGTCGTCGGGATTCTGACTGGCTCAGACTGTCTGTTGAGGGCGACTCCACACCGCGTACTCGGGGTACTCGCGCGGGTCTCAGCGAGTTGGAGAGGCGGAAGCAGTTCTCGTATGCCCAGGTACCGCGGAGTCAAAATGTGCGTCGTGGCTCGAAAGCTGATCAACTTTTCTTCGAGGCGTCGGGCTAATCACGACACTTAGGGGCTTCCTCCGCTCGGACTCGCTCTACGGCACTCCGTTTACGGTGCGTCCATGACCAGGTCAGTCGTGCGGTCGCTGGGCAAGACCCCGGGCGTCGGGACATTGCACTTCTGTGGCCGGCTGGCGTCATGAAGTGAGTGCGGTGATACGGTTTTGTTGTGAGTGGTCGTCCCGGTGCGTCCTTGAATACCGTTTTCGACGGCGTTGGTCCGCAGACCTTCATGGCTTCGCTATCCTTGGGTGGCCTGCTGCACGTTCGCGGCGGCCATTCATTTCGGTGCCATTCGCATGCCCTGGACGCACTATGATCATCCACATAACTTAGCTCAAAGCTTCTTTCGCGGTACCGCTCGCCCTTTCACGCTCGGTTCAATGATTCCCGTTCCCTGTTTCCTGCCAATCATCCTGGCCCCCGCCTGGCGTCACGACTCACTTCCCTGGCTACGGCCCCGTGAGCGACCGGCGCAGCCACCCCAGACCCCTTCGCCCAACCTAAACGCCAACCTCTCGCACTGCTGACACTGCATGCAATTTTGCAGGACGCCCACAGCGTTCGAGGCACCTGTACATTCCAGTCAAGGGCACTTGCGGCCCAGTACTCGGTGCAACTCTGGTGCCTTCGCCCCACTGCCCAGGAAAGCGCGCAGTTTTTGCTCCACTTGGAGCGAGTTTGCCCCAGCCATCCCCAGAAGGCTGTGTACTGACACAGAGACCTCGTGCAGACGCCGCCGAGTTCGACCCGGGGATCGATGCGCGCCGCTCGCAAGGTACGTCGCTGCGGGTACACATACGCGCCCCTATTCTCTCTGTCACTCTGTATCGGCTTGTATCGGAGGCTCATCGTCTCATTGCAGGCTTTATGGCAATATCTTCGGCCATCGCGTCAAGCGCCCGGCGCGGAGGTTCGTGCTTGCGGGCTCGTATCGTCGTGGAGGTGTATAGTGATTTGCCGCTGCTGTCGAGTGTCGACTGCCTGTCAAGGTATGAATGCTGAGCGTTCGCGTTTGCAGTTGTGTATGCTGACCGAGAAGGTGCATTCTTCGTCGATTGACCCGACGTATCGGACTGTTGACGAGCCTCGATCACTGTAACCGCAGTAAGTCCTTTAGAGTTTCATTCCTTGTACCGTTTCGACCATGCTATGCCCAGTATCGATATCCATCTACTGGGACTACTGACCGCCCTGCACACGATGCCGAGAGCTCATACCAGGACTGTTCAACGTTCAGACGTGCACCATTCAGCATGCCATGGTGCCCCTAGACGTCGACGTAGCTACGAAACTCAATATCCGCGTAAACCTCCAACCAAGCGGCGGCACCCCGCCATCCCCGCCTGCCCACAACGGCTTGTCGCCAACGGCCGTTGCGTGACGACTGCCTGGGTGTTTGTCGTGTCCGCCACGAAAAACACGATGCACGACAGGCTTGGAATTTGAATCGTTTTTTCACGCCAGTTCGGAAGGTCGGGAGCCACGTGTTGGGCCACTATCGGAACGCGCCAGACGCGTCTGATCACATACGCGACCCGACACGGTCACGCCCACGCGATCCGGGGACAGGCTATCCCGCTAGCGCAAGTTGGGTTCCTGTGTACGTGTTCGCGGGATCCCGCGAGGATGGATTTGGGCATTTGGCGTCGGGGCGTTGGGTCGGCAGCCCTCGTGGCTGCGATCATTGGGCAATCTGCTCCTTCTCGGATACTGAACGCGGCAGAACCAAACGTAGTCGAAGCGGGGCGGCCCGGTCTCTCTTCAACTCGACCTCTATCTGTGGTCAGCTCACCGGGGGCATCCAGCGCTGACAAGGTGGGGACCGCTTTCTTTTATCCGCTATGGAAGACCGATGCATTACGTTGCAGTGGTGGGTTTGGTCCGTTTGGAAGACTTCGGTGGCTTCTGAACCCTTTGTGGCGTCGCCACACACCTAGTTCCGGTGTTCATCTGTCCTACTACGTCGTGTCAAGGCCATGGAAGGTGGCAATAAAGCGTGGTGGCCCGTGCGCGGCGGTGGTCGGCGAGTGTCTTTGACGGCAATAACTGACCGAGGTATGTGGCGATTGCATCACAAGTGGTGGGATTATACCGGGCTGAGTGATTGATGCGTTCTCACAGGTGAACTCGATTGATTGACTGAGGATGCGGCGTCCAGGCCCTGTTAGAATTAGAGCATCAACACGAGGAAAGAGGTACGTTAGATCTTCTGTTGTTGGTCTCGCTGTTAATGATATTGTCTGTCAATTCGGTGTCCCTGACAATGCTGAGAACGTCTATTTGACAATCGGTCTCGTCATGACAGCGGTCACAGAGCGGCGCGTTGCAAGCTCCACTACAGACGAGTCAACATCGTACGCATGTGGTGCGAGGTATATTTGACACAACTACGCAGTGCCTGCGTACGCTTCCTGTCAACGATTGGGACGTTTCTCAGATCCGGACATCTGGATTCTGCACCCGTTCGCGTAGGCTCTCGACAAGCTGAACTAGGATAACCACCTCACAACTATGGTCCTCTTGCGTCCTTCCACCATATCGGCTTCTCCACACCCCGCACGCGTGCGTGCAGAGCCTCCGGGTCGCGCACGAGAATGACAACAGACGCACACTGACGAACACTCCACCGTACGTCTTTCCTATCTCAGCAATTTCAACCTTCCACAAACTCGGACCGACGTGACCCTGACGTACACGCGGGATGGGATCAAAGGCAATGCACGCGCTCGACTACATAAGCACGCAGCGGCCTCGAGGCCGTCGTCTGCATATGTATGTACGATTGTACAGGCTCGTGACCTCTGGGCGCCCTCCACAACGCTTGCTCGGTGGTCGATGCGCACGCGGTATTGCCGCATACGGCGATGTGTACAGCTCAAGGCATGCTTCTGACTGCCCTCGATCAAGCGTTTGGGCGAAATTTACATCCGCCTCTCGGACACGTTGCTGATCATGCGATCGCCTCCGTTCGTTGTTGTGCGCTCCGCCTCCGCTCGTTGGCCGAGAGCGGTAGTGAAAGGCCTTGAGACAAGCGGTTTGATATAATTCTTTTTCGAATTGATGGCACTTACACAACACATTATACTCTAGGTGAACAATGCAAGTGCTGTGCGGTTTTCCTGAACAAAAGATGACCCTTGTCTGAATTGGAAATCCTAGGTACGTCCCAGCACTTTGGCTGCGTGTTTATGCTATCCTCACATGGCATGCCTTATGCTCAGCGTGACATCGCCTGACGACCTACAAACTCCAATGCGCACAAGGCCGGCGCGTTGTCCATCGGACCTGTACGCGGCGTCACACCTGTGATTAGCGTGTTCAATGGTCCCGACGTGTCAACTCAGGTATGTGCCAGGCCTTCCTCGTCCCGTTGAGTCAATGCGTATGGGCGTCCATTCCATACACTAGAGTATATGGTGACGAGATGGCATGGTCTGATATGGGCACTCCGTGCGTGTATATGACCACCGGTACGGCATTCACGATGGGCTCGTGACCAGGCGCGCTTCCACAGTACGCGTTCGTTTCCGCCTTGAGGACTTCGAGGCGAGGCGAGACCAGGTAATGACAGCACTCCGTTCTTACAGGAAAGATGCATAGCGCCCGCTACATCCTGTTGCGCGCGTCGCTCATTTATTAAACTTTGCATGCAGTTACGGTGGTCTCGATGTATGATGGGTACGATCCTCGGGCGCGGATTGTCCCAGGGTTGAAATTGGTGAGCGATGTCCGGACGCACGCTGTTTCTGAGGCTGTACTGGTGAATGTATGCATCATGATGATGCCACCCATCAAAGCCAGTGAACTTTACCTCGATGGACAGATGTACTCGGATTCTAGTTGTATTATGGATATGAGTACAAGGCGACGTCGCGGGTCAGGACACGGTGGATAGACTCCTCTTACGATCGGGGTGAGTGATCGAGAGAATGCGTCAAGAGTTGGGCCTAACGTCTTCTCTAGGCGAAAGCTTGTACTAAGCAGGCATGCCGCACTTGACAAGGCTCGTTCGTATTTGGAAGGACTCCCAGCGCAAGTTGTCACAGGACCACATCTAGTCTGCTGGCTGTCTGTTTAGACGAATGACAAACGTACGGCACTGGGTATACACATCTATACTCCTCGCAACACGAACGTCGCACTCGGATGCCCGTGCCCGTGCCCGTTCCCGTGCCCTATGACTGGATCCAGAGCTCCTATCTCTCTACCGATATCACCTTATCCCTACATCCAATCTTAATCGACGGGCATTACGGAATCCCTCCCTGAAACCTTCTATTCCCCGGAGTACAATACCCTCTTTGCCTCGTTCTCTCTTCCCCATACAGACCATAATGAGTGTGTCATACCTCCTCCATGATCTCCTGCTATCTGCCAGCTATCTTCCTTGAGCGGTAGTCACTCGGGTACGAAGGCGGCCGAAGGCAATGCTGCCTACAGGCTACCGCCCAGTGCCATCCGCGCATCAGCGCGCAGACATCCTAAGCGGTACGGTATCAGGTACTACGCCGCTTGACGCGGTTTGTGGGCGCGCGTCGCGCGAAGATAGCCTTTTGGCTTGCGGGCGGGATCCGAAAGCTCGGAGGCGGGCTAAAGTGAAGGTATTCGGCTGGGGTGTGACCGGCCTCGTAAACATGGCCAATGGCTCAGTCTTACTGCATAGGCGAGCTTCGGAAGACACCTCGAGGTATTCTGGAATATCGCGCGGGGGTGAAGCTGTCGAAGTTCGTACGTACGAGTGCCAATTAGTCCTTTTACCTCATCTGCCTGTCGTTGGGCACGTTTTACTGACCGCTCTGGTTGGCTGCAAGTGTCCCGTTCCCTGCCGGTATCATCCTGGATCCTGCAGCTGCACAGACCCGGTGCGGAGGGCCCAACGTACGATATCGATCGAGGTCGCCGCGAGGCACTGATTGCTTCTGTTCGGCTTCGACGTCCAAACAGAGTATTGCATGCAAAGGAAGTATCGATTCCTAATCCAATCTACCGAGGCTTGCGCTTGCGCTACACATGCATTTTGCGACTTTGGTGAGTGTGCCAATCAATCGAACAAGTCGTTTTGCTACGAGTGAGCTCGCTTGTCCAAGCTGGCAATGGTGTTTGAACGTTCAAGGTAGAGTGATCTGTTTCGAGACGTCAGGCAATGGCGACGAGTTCAGGAGGCGTGAGCCCGGAGATAGGTGATGGTACAAAGGAATCCGTCAGCTAAAGTCTTGAACGATGTTAGATAAAGCTCAAGGGGAATGGTTAAGCTGTTCCGGTGACACGACGTACCGAGATGCTCATTCAGAGTGGATTGTTGGCCGGGATTATCGCATCGTACGCGCTTAACTGCTCCTACGATCTTAAGCAGGTACTTCCAGTTATAAAGTACCTTTTTCAGATACGCAATAGCTTCGGGATAGCCGGATGGTACGGACGTACCTAGTCATGTTGACTGTAACCACCCGGCGTATGACTGACTGCCACATCGGCGGGACATGTACATGTCACATTCGCGGTTGCGACCGATCGCCGCTACAGTCTTCAGACCAAGGTATGGGGCGTGCAATCGGGGAACATGTCAGTCATCCGCTCGGAACAACCAAGATCGGGATTGTGGGGTCGTCGACGTAGCACAGAGTCGGTAACACTTGCAATGGGGCGCGCACATCAAAAGTAGTCCTTGGTGTAGGTTTGAAGCCCAGTCGTCTTAACGAAAGGAAGTATCATTACAACAATTCGATGTCGGTTCCTTGTTTCATCGCAACAGTGAGATGGCAGATCAGAGACGCTGATATGCTCGACCTCGCATTACACCTAGCACCTCCATACACGACGCACATCCGGTTGCTTGCCTATTCATCCACCTGTGCTTCCCTCGTCAGTACAGACTGCGCAACCTCAGGCGTCCGCGACTCACCCGCTTGTTTCCGCCAGTGACGCGCGAGCCGTAGAACCTGATAAGTTTCTCGCACGGGTTGCCACGACTCGCCGACCAGAGTATCGTTCTCTTCGTTGACCTCCGCAAGGTCCGGGAAGATCGCGAACAAGAACGCCGCCACCTTCGCAGGGCTTCCCAAAGAGGGGGACTGGCCGAAGTCGATGGTTCGCAGGGCCCGATTGCAGTAGCCACCGCCCGGCCTCTCGTGGAGCGAGACGTCCGCGTCCGATGTATCCACGTCGATCGTGAGCGACCCCAGCAAGGGACAGTACCTGGCGAAGTGCGCCAAACCCTGGAGCGTCGTAGCCGTCGGCTGCCCCCAGGGGTGCATGGCCGTGGAATAGAACTCCAGGTACTCCATTCGGGGCCACGACACGGCCAACTCCCTGACGGCGTCGTCATCGAGAACGATGCACATCTCCGTCAGAAGGCTGAAGCTGCGGAGACGGCGGAAATCGCAGAGACGCCTCAGCGACTCCATGGTGACGGCCTGTGCACCTTCCTCCTCGACATCGGCGTCCTGGCCGCTGGTCACATCGAACTCCTCCAACACGCCCCGCGAGCACCGCTCGCAGAGTAGCTGTAGTGTACGGTCGACGGTGGCCGGGTCTGACGCTCCGGTCGACCTGATGGATGCCACCTTGAGGTTGGGAAAGCGACATGCTGATAGGAATTCGGCGGAGCTGCCCATGGACACGGATTGCAGAAGCAATTCCGACAGAGAGGGGAAGGTGAGATGGCTTGTGTTAGTGTGATTCGGGACAGCCGACAGTATGGGGTTAGAATCGGCAGCGAGATGCAGTTGTGCGAGGTGCGGAAGTGTTGCCAGGTCCGCGAGGCTGTTGAACGACAAGGGAACTTCCGAAATCAACGTGAGAGACTCCAGCCTCTGCAAGGACGCGAAGGCCTTATCGGGAAAGGGGCCAGGTTGAGTACCATCCATGGAATCGACAACGATACAAATCCTGAGCTCTCGGATGTCTGGTGAGCGTTGTGTGAGGTGTAGGAGAATCGGGGTGATGACGTCGGAGGAGTACTTTGAGTTGGGCGTGCACTTGTCAATATTCAGCGCAGAGAGCTGCTGCCCGAAGAACACATGCGCAGAGTCGAAATACCCATACGTACTGTTCTCCGTCCAGAGGAGTTTGCGAAGGGCGGGTAGCAACGGGCAGTGGGGTCTTGACGAAACGAGCCAGAAAAAGAGGTCATCCGATATCGCCCGGGACGCATGTCCAAGACTGCTTGACGGGCCGCATTGTAGTTCTCGAACACGCTGACCGTAGAAGTCAAAGCGCTCCCAATCTTGAGGCGTAGTGTGCTTGTTAGGCTTTCTAGGTATCTACAAGCAATCAAAGACGAGCTCCTTCATTGGCTTTTCAGAACGCGGTGCGGGTGCACTTACCAACGGTACCTGCGCAGACTCGGAGGCTTCCCAGAATTCTTCAGGTAGACACTCGACCAGGTGCCCCAGACCGTTCTGGAAGTGCCATATGATATCCAGGGCGGGTTCAAGAAAAGCATGGCACGTAAGAGCGAACGCGAGGAGCGCCGGTAGGTATGGTTGTTCGCCGCCAGCGTGATCGAGTATCATGCGAAGGAGCTCCGGGACGGCTAGTGCTCGGTGCATTGCGAAAGATGCGTTTCGCGTGGTCATACGATATAACGCAGATTGCAAAAAACTGTCATATCGTGAGTACTCTGTGCAGCCGAAGTTGTCTGTGTCTCTCATACACACCGGGAATCCTGAGCGCCGTCGACTTTATCAATATGAGTGTATCAGTTGCCTCTCTGCACGTACGAAGTTCAGCAGAGCTCCTCTAGCTCGCATTCGAACCGTGGTAGAGTTCCGGACCAGGCCTTCACTTGCGCTGCGAGCTTGCGGCCTGTAAGTTGTAAGTATGTTAAGTAGTAAGTAAGGAGCTTCCGAATTCTGCGAGTTGCTACGTAGTGTGGCGTGGGAATGTAGTGAGATCGACACGGCAACAGCCGATGCGTCTAAATGGATCCCCCCCCCTCCTCCATGCCGCAAACGTCGTGGTGGTTGGGTCGGGAGTGGTACCAGCTGCAACGCAGCCCCGGTGCGTCGAATTGTATGCTTGGGCGACGAGCGTTGATGGCTGCGTGCGGTGTTACGTTACGTCGAAGACACTGACGGCCACTGTGTTCTCTGGGACGTCGTCATTCGTAGCTCTCTGGCGTGCAGCCCGTGGACACCTACTCGCAATCGAACGGACGCCATTCGCCGCGGATGATGGGCTCTCTCACATGCACTGAGCCCTTCGAGCTGTCGTGGACGCGTTAGCTAACGTGCAGAACACCTGGCCGTCGCGGATCTACAATCATTCGGTCATGGTACGTCGTGGACATGCTCCGGCTCTCGTGGCGTGTTCTCCCTGATATGCTTTCGTGAAATTGTCCTTCACAGAACCTTACAACAGACTGACGACTCGGTGTCACGTAGGAGTGCGATCTGGTCCATTTGGTGGCGTCGAAGCCGGGGCCTGTGGCTCGGGGGTTCGAACGGCTGGGCGTACTGGGCAGCGACCCGAAACGGGCAGTCTCTGGTGCGAGTCCGGGTCGCGCGACGCCACCATCATCATTCCAATGCTTCAGTGTTGACTGAGATGCTGTGCATGACGGGCGTGCAGCCAGGGGCCGACCGCGGTCTCATACGCTCGTCGAAGGTCCAGCCGTTGTTCGCGGACCGGACATCCTCGCATAATGTGCGGTAGCTGGTATGCTTCGAGGTGCGCACGCACTGACGTCTGTGGTTCTTGCCGCTGCCTCTTCATTGGAAAGCGGGATCGTGATTAGTATGCCAGTGCGGCTCGCTTGCTGTCCAGTATGGAGATCCTCGTACGTCTCATCACTATCGCATGCAACCACTCTCCGAATATAACCACCTCGCATACTTGCCTTGTCCGGTTTCATGCGTTCCCGTGGTGTTTGCAATACGCCAAGTATGTACGTCGCTGACGATCATTCCCAGTGTCCCATCACCCCGACGGTCTCCGCGGCGGTCACGCTCGACCAAGTCCGACCTCGTCCACTGCATCGCACTGCGCCCACCCACTGCTCATACCAATGTGGACACCGCACGGTCCACGACGCTCGACCCACTCCACATCCCCGACTGGAACCCGACGTGCCAGCCCTCTATGTACGCTGATGCACGATGTCACGGCGGACAGCGATGATATTGTGCATGATGGACACACCCACACACAGAACAGGGCACTCTCGCCATTGTTCGCTCTCTCCGGCGGCCTCGGAGACGGAGCTGCGCTGCACTGTCCAACGCCATGATCGGGATCGAGTGCCAGTGAGCTCGCGCCGCGCCCGATCCGTCGCTCGCTTCGAGATTCGCGCCCGGGTATGTGGCAGTTTGTTCGAGCTGTTGGGTGCCCACATGTCACGATCTCCCCTGACAGGCGCGCGCAATGTGCTTCGAGCTGGACCGTGCACATGTTGGACGGGGACGCGATGTGCTTTGGAACGCGTCCTTGGACCCGCCTGGGAGCTGTTAACGGCTCTGGGTCCCACTCTCATATCGGCGTCTTGGGTACGTAAGATATGCGAGTTCATCTTCGCGTTGCCTGCCCGGCGTATAACAGGCGGCGAGTTGATAGAAGCCTCTGGTGCTCTGTGACGGGCGTGCGACACACTACGGTGACTTTTGCACACTCGAAGATTCACTGAACGCACCTGCGTCATGCGGGCGCCGCTCCGAGTTGTGTCGGTGGAAGATTTAGACATCTCGCGCTGGAGCACAACGCACTTCGAGCACCGTCTCAGAACGCCCGCATAGTGTTGTTGTTTCGTTTGTGCTACTCACTGGGCATACAGTGGGAACGTCTGACGACATCCGAGGCCTATCTCTGTTGCAAACGCTGGCCCTTCGTTGGAAACAGGGCGTCTCGTATGCAGTTCCTTCCGTCATAACCCCGTTCTGCACGGTTGGGTTGGCTGGTTTCTGATGGTCTGTCTGACAGGCGCCTAGTACAGACCTTTTTCGTGATGTTCGACTCGCCTCCGACTCATCCCTCTCAGGTTGATGCACCCATGCCGTAAGGATTCGGTAAGTCTTGCTTTGATCTCTGTCTACGTCAATGTCTCAGTTCCGACTACAGTCTTTGCGACTCAGTACCTATCCACAAATGTCTGTTCGTGTTGGTATCATCAATGTTCAGCACTTCCTCCCCTCCTCCACCGGTCATTGGACATGTTTCTGGACCCGGATCGACGAATCAGCGCGACCCCTACTTATGACTCCTTATTCACGGCATCTCTGGCAAAGTGAGATGCACCTCTGACATCGTCACATGGATCCGCGTCAAGGGTTGTACAGACCCTCGATATAGGCTTCGTCCATCTGGCAAGTGACACCACCCTCGTCTTCCCCACTGACACGCTGCACCAGACCCTCGTTCCCAGCCTCCGCGGTGGGGAGAGTCACGTCGAGTCACTGGCTGTGACGGCGTGACGCTCATACACTCATGAATTTTGCCTCCGACCGGACCATGGTGCGCCACCGAGATGACCCGGCGCGGAAGTGCAGAGCGGACGCACTGCATTATGGAGTTAGGAAAAAGGTAAGCAAACTGGTCAGTGAGTGCGATTACCAATCCGTTCCTATATGTTCAACCTGTCCATCGCACTGAGCAAATTTTGCTTCCGAGTTTGTGCGACGTAGAGCGTTGAAGGATGCTCCGGCGGCAACGGATTCAACGTTCAACGTTCAACATCGGACGTGTCTCCGTCCGCGGTCAGACGAGACACGAGCCAGACTCATCTTCGTTGAGGCTCAGATCGCACGCAGGGCTGGAGTCGCATCCCTATCCTGCCCATCGATACATGTGAGTTCTATGTCACCTTAGAAGGTTTGCTAACCCTCAATACAATGAAGCTTCATATCGCCAGTATGCCGCAGTACATAAGCAATACAGACCTTCCTTACTGGAATAGCGGGCGTTCGGAGCATAGGCCCCGCACCCCGACTTTGCGCGCTTGCTCCGGAGAGTGGGTGGAAGCTGTGTTGGCTCCGAGGGCGAGGGACGGGCTCGGTCCTGGGTCTGGGGTGCCCACGTTCGCCGCATCTGACCCCGTACGTGCGACGGGCAGATCTGCCCCATGATTCGTCGAGATCACAATCGACTCCACTCGCAGGCGGATCGCCATTCACTTCGTACGTCTAAATTTTCCTGGTCTGTGCGTCGAACTGTCCGTACGTGCCTATCTTCCCTCGTTTGCAATGGGAAGGCAATGTGCTGAAGCATTTTTTGAGTTGCGAGGCGGTGCGGTGGCCTCCGCGGCCGTGCGAACCCGTTCTGTGCGCGCGTGCGCGCGTGGTGGACACGAGAGTTATATGAAACGGCGCGAGGGCGGGTATTTCAGACTCCCAGCGTTCACACTTCCGAGCCAGGCTGGTGGCGTTCATTTATCCTCAGGCGCCCTAGTACATGGGCACTACGGAACGCCTGCAGCTGATAGACGCTGGATTGGTAGGTGTCGGTGGGGTCGGACAGCATTTCTGTTGTTATCCGACGCCGACTGCGAATGATCATAACAGCGACAGTGTCTCGGTGTGTCGTGGACTGGTCCTAAGGGGCAGGTTGAAGCTTCAGATAGGCGTCTGTCGTATCCTCAGACTCGTTCCACTGAAACGACGCAGCAGTGCCCGTGACGGTCCGAGGATATGGGTGCGTTTGCCTCTTCGCACACAGTCAGGTTGCTCACACTAAGCCGCTATCATTCAAGCTTTGCTGCCCTCACACGGTGATCAGTCAGCTCCGCAATCTGTACGCTCTCTGACGCGGGAATACGGGAGTTGAGTATCCTCGAGTCCGCGTCGCGCACATGGCGCAGCCGTTTGCCGAGCACAGACTCGCGCTTGGCATCTTGAAAGTACAATGCAAGGCCAAGGCTGGCGACGCGGAAGGCTCAGCGGGACCTTGACGTCACTTGCGAGACTGGTCCAGGTTTGTCTCCCAGTGTTCTACATAACGGTGCGCCCTATTCCAAATTTACCCTATCTTCCCGATGCTCTGACTTATCGCCGTAGATCGCCCTTCCTCATCGGTATGCTTAGTGCATCTGCATCACGCGCAGGCCATGGCTTTGGATGTCTGCGGCGTATCCACGCAGACTTGAGAATGGAGAGCTCGACGGCTCCCGCGCGAGTTTCGCCCTAGGAGCAAGCTATGGACCCCGTTTGTTCTGTCGGTGCCGGATCATGCTGCTAGGCCCTCCCCGCTCCAAGCACTCGACCTATCGGACCATGTCGCGGGAGAAGACAGGATCTACGATACAGGAACGTGCATTGGAGGCGGGCGAGCATGTCTTCGGATTGCTAGGATCCTTTATGGTACGTGCTATTGAACTTCACAGACGGCAACAACGGAGAGGGAAGGTGGCCTTCGGCGTGCCGCGGATAGGGCCCCTCCTTCTCGGACTTCGCCCGTGCCGAGGTCCATAACAAGATCATGATCTGCGGAGTGAAGGGTGCTCTGCTCCTGTGTTATTAGGATCTGCGAAGACGGGGCTAGCTGCGTGACCCCGATGCATGCATGTATGTATGCCGACTGTAGAGCCAGTGAAGGCGGCCACGAGCTCCCGTACGGATGGGCTCTTCATCTATATGTGTCTTCCTTCGGGCTGGCTGCCCCGCAAGCTACGCAGTGAATTCGAAGTCGGTGGCGAGTCGATCCCGACTAGCCACCATATCTGCGTTCCTGACATCGATAAGCCATACTGGTCGACCTGCCCGAGGGCCCGAGCTCGCCAACGCCACCATCCACGATCATCCTCATGACGCCATTCACTTGCTCTGGTCTGGTAGCGCGGTGGATTGCCTTGGCTGGGGCGTCTGCCATCAGCGACGCGCCCGTCCATCATTCCTGTGGCTGTCATGGTCGCTTCGGTACTTGCATTGAATGCGTCTTCAAGTTCAACCGTCCAATGCTGTACGCTCTTGGGGCAAGTGGCCTTCTAGGTGTATGCGGCGTCTCCGGTCATAACATCACAGGCACGAACAACGTGCCCATACTTCAAGTACGATATACACTCGAGACACGGATGGTCACCTCAGCAATTATACGATGCTTCTCCTTGGAAGGGAGACTGCCTTGTATCCGAAACGGGCAGTTCTTGTTCATGATGCGACTTCGACGAATCTCACCTCGCGATTGTTGTCTATTGTTCCACTGGAGCTACTAGCGCTGTACTTGGACCCAGGAGGAAAGACTCAGATGGCCGGCGTGCTGCCGTCCATGAAACCGGATGGTTCATCAACCACTCGGATAAACTGCTAGTACAGGAAGCAAACGGAACCTCGTCGATGCGGCCACGATATCAACGTGCCTACGAAGCGCAGAAGTCTGTCCTATCGAACTAGTAGACGTGCTCGCACTCCATTCTTCATTCTCATACTGAGGCTTAGAGAGTAGACACACTTCTACATTGTTCGCTCAGACCAACCCGGCTGGACGGTGGAACGCACAATGAGTATACTAGTCAAATCGCCATGCTCACTAGAGATTGAGCTGCACACGAACCATATAAAACGACGTCAAAGTCACTCGCCAGCACGCGCTACTCGCCACGAGATAGCAAGTCTAGAGCCGCGGAGGGAATCTGCTGACCCTCGGCAGCGGATGCTTTCAAAGAGCTCCGACCCTCCGCCATCGCTAGACGCGGGCGCAGCGTTTCGTCTTTCACATCCCCATGCACATCTTCTCAGACGTCTACGTGAATGTTCAATCTGTCCAGCGTAAGGGGGACAGACCCAACCCCGCCCAATCGTCGAGCGGCTCTGCCAGCTCTCCCAAGGTGCGCGATGCGTCGGAGGACAGGAATGTGGGATCCCCCCAGTCAGGCGTTTCACGCACGATACGGGATGCACTTGGACGTACAGCTCAGTGCTGGAGGAGGTCAGGCCCTCAGCCCACAATAATGCAGGAGGCGAAGATCCACCCTACGCAAACTATAGAGTCGCCAGTGGACGTTAGTGCGCGTGCAAATCGTGGAGCAGTCGCTGCACCTCGCAGTCAACCGTGAGACGGCCCAGCGCGAGTGCAAAGTTCGCCGGGAGGAGGCGCGCGAGAGCATGAGAGTTCTAGCGTATCCGCGCTCCCAGCATCGAGCCGTGAAATGACCTTCTTGCGTCTATCAGCGGCCGACGGACCAATCAACGGACGCGCACTGGCCCGCGGAGACAGGATGATAGACCTCTCCGACCCCTTCATGCGGGGAAAGCATGGCTGGGACCTCTGATATGCATGTACTGCGTCCGACTCACAGCCAAGTTGCGACGAGCCGCTCAGCGAGATAGGGAATGGAACGCACTAGGCCGAAACACGTCCTCAACGCATTGCGATGCTTGCGCTGAACGCGGTGTTGGGTAGTGTGGCCGAACATACTCGCGGGATCGTGGTTCTACGCAGGCCTATCAGCCAGTGACCGAAACCGCGCCCCCTTTGTCCACCGAAAGTCGAATGCGATCACCCACGCTTACGTCTTTGAACTGGAAAGAGGTTTCATTAGCGTCTTGAAGGATGCGTGCGGCGGATGTGTTTGCCAGCAGTGAAACGCACCGTCAACTCCCTCGTGCGATGCAGGCTCTCGATCTCGTCCACTCGGGCCCGCACGCCATCCAGTAGGTCGTCGAATCCTTCCTCCTCCACGACCTTCTGCGCCGCCTGCAGCAGCAGGACGGAGTCCGGCGTAACGTCATGGTTCGTCTGGGACCCGGCGGGAGTGCGTATCAGCGTCCGACCCTCATGAAACCGCGAACTACTCACATCAATGGCTATGACATTGGCACGATCGAGGTCTGGCGGACGCTAAGTTGGCAGTCCGCGAACGACACGCATGCACGGCGCACCTTCAAGAAAGTCGGCCCTGGTCATTATCTGACGACATTTATACTGAACGCCGAGGTCAGCAGACAACACAGCTAGGCCCAAACGAGCGATACTCACGTATGGAATCTTCGGGAGGGGCAGCTCGTCCAGCCCCTCGGACGACAGCTCACCGGCCGCAAGCGCCGCTGCACGCTCGCGCTCGTCCGCGCGCCGCTGCTTGACGAACTCGCGCAGGAGGAGCCACGAGCACGAGCTCCACTTCTGCTCGTCCATGACATCGTCGTCACAGTCGGGTATGAGGCCGATGAGACTCAGCAGCCACGCCTTCTCGACATCCAGCATGTGCTGCGCGTGCTCGCGCATGTTCGCGGTCTTCGAGAGCTGCGCGAGGTACGACAGCCGTCCGCCCACTATGGACACGGCGTCGTGGAGGTCCTCTGAGTCGGTCGGGAGTTTCGCGTTCAGGCGCATCTGTGCCGAGGCACGCAGAGCGTCCTTGAAGCTCAGGTCGGACACCGTCACGACCTACAGGGAGTGCTGCGGTCAGAATGTGTATTTGGCGCTGGAGGTGGAATGGAGGATCACCTGCATTCTGCTGGCGGTCTTACCTGAAGGAAGTGTCAGGAATACACGCAACGACAATCATGCAAGTGACCTACGCATGACAAGAAATGGCCAGAAGTCGTCGCTAATGCATGTGAGCAGAGGAGAGCTATGAAGCTTCATATTGAATACCTGCTGAACACCATCGTCAGGATCCCTGTTGGGCGAGACGAGTGAGCGGGAATGATGCGCATGAGAAGAGAGCGGAACATCCACCGGCAGCGGCCCAGCTTTCTGCGCGCTGCTGCATCTGCAGCAGCATCTGCCTCCCATCATCGTCGTTCTTGAAGAAATGTATGTTGTTGAAGATCAAAACGAGAGGCCTGCCTGTTCTTCGTGCGTATCGCAGTGCGACCTTCTCCAGCTTGTTCAACGCTGTGGACGTAATATATGACTACCGGAGCCGCAAGGCAGACACGCACTCGACTGACCTCGTTCAATATCCAAGGACGGCCCCGCTGCGAGTTTGTGCGATCAATATGAACCAGCGCGTGAGGATCGAGTCGACAGACCTTCCCGCGGATCACGCCTTTGAAAGAGACTGGTCTGTGTGTCCTCGTTGAACTCATAATTCATCGCCTTGCCGAGACGCAGACGAAAGACTTCCAGGTCTGGGTGCGCATCACACATAGCGACACCCTCGGCTTCGATCGCCTGCATCGCGTCAAGCATCATCGTGCCCTTGCCAGTGCCCTGCACGACCCACGCTCAGCACTCTGACCCTCTCGTGAAATGCGCACGACATCAGCGCGTACCTTAGGTCCGAGCAACAGGTAGTACTGTCCAGCCTCGGCGCCCTTGATGATGCGGTCAAGTGAGGACTGCTCTCGGCGGCGTACGTGCTTCATCCAATGAACGTAATCGTTTTCAGCGTCGTGCTGCTTGCGTGGGTTGCTTGCGAGCTCGAGGGCCGGGTCGTAGCCTCTCGCAAACGCAAGTTCGATCTACGGGGTGTCTGAGTAAGTGGTCTCTTTGTATGTGAGCGCATGAGGCCCTCACCTTGTCAAGGACGTTCTTTTTGTACCAGGCGACGTAGGCGACACCACCGAAGAATACTAGACACTGCTGTCAGATGATCATTCTAATATTTCATGATTCCTGGGGAAGCCAATATCGCGTCGAGACGACTGCCACTATCCATGTCCTTGTCGGCATACATGAACGAACCGTTGGCTTTGGAGAGTGCAACGTCTGCTGTTCACTAGTCTCCCCTAGGCAGACCCTAAAGAAGACCTTTTTAAGTGGGGGAGAGGACAGTCTTCTATGGGCTGTTCACCGAGTTAAAGCGCGACGCAGTACACCTGAGCTCACCCAAGCTCATCTCCGCGAACATTCAGCCTCGGACATGGCTGATATCCTCACACGTTCGCCACCGACGAGCACCTCAGAGGATCTCAGAGCCTCAGAGCGAGAAAAGTTGGACATGATAAACCACGAGGGTTAACCTTTGGCAAGGTCCTCGACTCGCTCTCCCAATCGAGACTCGAATCGTTCTAACAGCCACTGCTCCTGTCCCGCGTAACTCTCTTGTCAGGGATCATACCAGTCCTTTCTCAAAAATAGGCAGAGCTCGAGGAGATAGGTAGCAATTGCGCACACTTACCAGCTCCAAGACCAATCAAAGCTGTTGCTGCCGCGTCGACAAATGACGAACCCGAAGTTGGGAAACCTCCCGGCCTGGCGCGAGGCTCAGAATCGCGCGAAGGAGGGCGTTGGGACGCGTCAGATTCTTCCTTCCTATCCACCTCGCCTGCCAGGCCTTGTTGAACAGGTGGTTGGGAGTACGACCGCGCATGTTGAGATGTTCGGAGACCCAAGGGTTGTCGGTGTCGTGCACGAGCAACAACACGACCTGCCAGCGCAGCGGTGTTCGGTAAAGTCGAGGCACTCATCATGCTGGACGTGCTGAAAGCTTGGTTTTCCGAGCCATGGAGGCGTACACTGCCGCAGTCGTCCCCGACCACGCCAAGGTAGGGTTGCGAGACACAAGCGCTGCCTAGGCGCCGCTTCGAATACGGTATGCTTGTTACTTAGTGCTACTTATGTTACTGTCAGTTCTTTCTGTACTTAAGTGCCAAATATAGATGTTATCTATCACAGTCATGCCGCAGCCTTGACGCTGTTTCCTCAACCTGAACTTCACGCTCTCATCCCCTCTGTTATGTCGTGGTCTTCGCCTGCAATGCCTTCTGCGACCCATACGAAGGATGGCCGTAGTATCTTGCATCTCTGCGCAATGAAGCAGAGGCTTGCACAGTGAGAATGCTAACGGGCGTACTGACTCGGAGGGTGGATGACGAAGTGAGTGCGGTCTACCGGCTTTGTATGTTTTGTTCAGCTCTTTAGCTATGTTGCATGTTTTCTGCACAACTCACAGGTCTGAGCGTGAGATAGGATGTCGTCCGAAGCTCCCGTCGTACTCAAGTCGTACTACCTAGTCACGGCATTGGGAGAGCCGGACGAGATATACGTGTGTAATTTCCATCGGAATGCCTCCAAACCGTCTGATATTGTCAGTACAACGAGGCGTCGCGATGATCTTGCTGGCCACGTTCCATGATAGCTGCAGTTGACAGTTACTGAACGCCGAAAGAAGTTGGCGTGAATAGCAGCTCGGCGCCAGCAAGCGATCTATCCCAGTCACGGCCAGACTGAGTGATTGCTAGGGAACTGCCACGTACAGTCAGGCATACACACCACCATACGTCTCCTGTGTGGCCGTTAGAATCGTCTATGAATCGTCCCATTCACGCGTCTCTTGTAGGGCCTGGGCCATGCGGAGAGATCAAAAGTCACGTCTTCATCGCTGTAGAAGCATATCATACTGATCCACCGCATGTACATATCAGACGTCTCTGCAACAGTGCCATTGCCACCAACTCGAAGGCAGGTGTCCGTACGCCTGGAATATATTACATTGCTATCATACATTCGTTGATGCATATCGTTGGTAGGGAAATTTGGGCGAACCCGTCGCTGATTGCATGGTGGTCTAAGATATGGCCGACACTACCTCTGTCATCTGCAGAACAGCAGAGTTGCGCGGCGGGTCAGCGACTGAGGTAAGTACGATTCCCATTGCAATGTTTACGTGTGCCACGATATCTAATTCCGAGTCATAGCCCAACATGTTAGTGGTTGTTTCGTGGTCTCAATGTCCGCACCCTGATCATCACGAAGTCAGCGGACACTTTGTGCGACGGAGCCGATTACGAAGCAGGTGCGTCCAAATAGTCACTATGCCTTAGGAATCCAGTGTATCGTGATCGTTTCGATCCATGGAACGGCAGCCTGCATGTCTACGTGTACGCCCTCCTTGTCTTCTGAAGGCAAGGTCTACTCCGTGACCGATGCGTCAGAGCGCCTTGTAGTCTGTACAGGTACCGAGGTATCTTCCATCGTCCAGATATCACACACGCATGGAACCTGCTTCGAGATTCTGTACACAGGGACCACTCGCTAGTACTCCACCGTGGTGCCAGCCAGTTATGTAACCACGAGCATGGTCAAGTTGACGTTCGTAGCGTCATCGGCGCAGCATTGCGGCCCTTTCAATGTCCTGTTCACTTGGTCGCCGTGAGGCTGTGCGAAGCAGTCAAGAAGCCTTTTGCGTGAGCCATGAATTTGTGGTACGGTTCAGTCCTCGCTGTGCGTGCATCCCGGGAACACAGATGACGTCGGTCTGACCCTTGTGACTGCATTGCTTCAGGGCATGGCGGGCATTGCGCACCGCACATTGGCGTACGGCTTTATGCACAGGCGACTTCCAGTCGCGGCGTGGATGGATGTGATGGGCTCATGACCGGTGTGGATGCTCCTCGTAGCTGCCCCCTTCTATTGTATTGTATCACGCCTGTGCGTATGTTACTCTGGTCCGGAGTCCCCCAGCGACCTGCGGACAGCACATTAGATTCGTCGCCTCGTGTTTTATAGTCATACCTCTATCCGGCATCCGTCATTGGTATGGTCCCTTCCGTCTGCACGGACAACTCGATCATACTTCTGATAATCTTGTTTAAGCGTGTACGAGGACTCATCTTTGCTTGACACCATTGAGCGCACGCCGAACCTCGCATCTTCACTCCGATCAGCTTTGCTTTCTGGGCGGCCTGATTCCAGGACATCTTCGTCGCGCGCCTCCGGAATGATATCGTGCCGCACACAACCACTGTGATGGCTTCTCGGATTCCATTGAGGCCGACCCAGGAGTCATAGCCTGAACGAAGATGATAGCTTGAAACAAGCCGTTTGTGCGTTGTTCTCGTGATGAAGAGTATCCGCTGCTAACTTATGCGTTGCATAGTCAATGCGTCGCTGCATTTTTCATGTACACACTTCTCTTCGCGCCTCGTTTTCGGGTCCATTTCAGGAACATTCTTGAGCGCGGGCTCTGATTATCTGCCATTCATTTCGCGGTGTAGATGCGCGGACGCGAGTGTCTCAGAAGACCCATTGGTACATCCGCTGCGACCAGCGAATACACTTGTGACTGGCTGTGCGTCACTGTTCTCCCAGGGTCTGTGGGACTGCCATCAAGAAGCAACTTCGTGGCGTTAGTACTGTACGTTCCGATTCTGCATGCAAGAAGTGGCGTGGCGGCGTCTGAAGTTTTACAGTTCAATCCGACGAGTTCTCAGCCCATTCGAGTGGTTCTCCTGCCCTCCCTCATCGTAAATTTCATTGAGGAGTCTAACGGGAGCATTTACCAGAAGCATACACGAGGTCCAACGTTTCGAGCATGATAGTCGCTGGTCCGGCCGTCGACTCCTCTTCGCGTCTGTGTCTGTCACGTGTTCGCGTTCCGCTCTCAGTTCCAGGACAATGCACCAGTGTAACGGCGATATTTTCTGGAATAAATGGCTACGAGGTTAGCTATGAAATGCTTTGCTTGACTGTGCTGCGACCTCCGAAGCGACTCCTTGGCACTATTAGTGCGCTTCGCTCGTTATTATAAGTAATACGTCCATCCACTCCATTGTGTCACACATCATCCACACTGCACTGCCAGCCAGTGGCGCCTTCAGCATCATGCCTTCACCCAACCCTCACCGAGTCAGTCGCGCTTCCTCACTCGAGTGGCATCGGTGTGCCATTACGATTAGCATGAGACCCTGCAAACTCATAGTCTATAAACAATGCCTCCGCTGCCGGCACCGGACCGTCCCCGTCAACATGGATCGCCAATACTGTTTAAGGGTAACGGGCGAGACATGACTCGACCGACAGTCTACTCGACGGCTTGAACTTGTTGGAAACCACACGCCGACGCATACTTCCTGGTCGGATACGAGTACTGGAGCCATGTCGGCATACGGCGCGATCCTCACTCCCAATCGGACTGCAGGACCTCTTCCAACCACGCGCTGGCGACTCCAGCCAACCTCCAAGTACACTCCTGCGCCGGATGCACACTTGACGATCCACCACCTCACCCTGGCGACTGCGCGGGCCGTGCCGGGTCTGATTGGATACCTGCACAAGGTGTTCGCGGATGAGCTTGAGCGCGGGTTGACCTATCCACAGGAAATCCGCGCAGGCGAGGAGTACGCGCTCGAGACGTTTGAGGCATACTACTTCGCGGCGGACGTGCTGGTG